AATATGTCCCCGTCTACTCTACTTTAAACTTTACAGCTATATAGTTATAAGTTATTACTAAACAATTTGCTTAACCAAAAGAACCAAATATAGAATTAGCACTTTAAATTTTGAATTACGGTGTCAAAAACACAAGCTGTAAACAACTCATTTGTATTGGTAACTTTGAAATGTTCAAAGTATAAACCGTTCAAGTCAAATTATTCGACCCCTCATCTTTATCACATGCTTGGACAATACATTGATGTTTATTACAAAGATTTTAAAGAAAGTTTGGTAAGTTGCAACTATCCATTTAATCAACATAAAGGTTCCTTTTTCATAAAACAATTATTTAAATTCTCTTTTTTCTGAACCTAACAAGTTAGATTCCATGGATAAGAAATGTAGGATTGATAAATAGAATCAATACATGCATGTTCTATAAAAATCCAATTCCTTTTACCAATAATTGTGCTTTTTTCGATCCATAAAATAATTTTATCTTTGGTCACTAAGCAACAAGTACCTTAGCTTTAGCATTTTTGTCTATGTTTACCAACCATGCATACTCAAATGTGACAGGAAAAATTCCGATCAATATTTCTTCAAAAAAAAAAAAAAAAAAAAAGAGACTGCGTATTTATTCTCGAATTTATGATCAACGAACATATTTAATATGTATATTCGATACATACATAAACGTTTTTACAAATGTGATAGCTTTAATTTGTTTTAACGGCTATCTCTAAATTGGTGGCTAGTATAACTATACCTAATATTTCAAGACACAAAGTTAATGGGATTAAAGAAGATTTACCATCATCAGAAAGAGAAAAGGACATGATCCCCACCAAAGAAAATTCAATATTTATTTTCTTAACATCATAGAGGATGTGTCATATGAGAAAGCTTGAGATATTTTTAGATAAACACAGAAACTACGATATTATTTGCTTTTAAAATAAAATAAACAGAGAGGATAAATGGGCGTTAAAGAGCCATAATTAGACCCATCAAACAAAGAAATTAAGAAAAGAGGTCCAATTAGCCCAGGAGGAACAGAGTGGGGCCCAAAACAGCGATGCACACAAGAGACCCGACGGCGCGTGGGATTCAAACGAGAAGCGAGAGCGCGTCGTCGCTTTCCAACAAACAAGAGGCGGACCAGAGAGTGTCGGATTATAAAAACGTTTTCTTTTCTCTTTTTTTTTGCACTCTTTAACGATGATGATGGCGTGAAAGAAAGAGAGAAAGAGAGAAAGAAATGATGATCAGTCAAGCGAGCTGTTTTTGGGAAGAGAGACTGAGGAATCACAAGACCAAAGGTTTCTCTTTTTTTTTTTTTTTTAATCTCTCTTCTCTTAGGCATTTTCTTGCATTTCTTCTCTCTTCACACTTTTTTTTGCAGAAGGCTAGAGAGACTCTTCTCTTTCTTCTTCTTATTTTTCTCTTTTTCTTTAAAAATCTCTGTTTTTGTATTGGTTTCAAAAAACTGTAACAAGTTGTTGGTTTTATCAATGCTGTAGAATCGATTCATCTTGCATTCTCAAGAATTTTGTTGTATCATCATGTTGTCTGGGTTGCATGAATTAGAAAATTTCTGCATCTCTAATCTATTTTGTTTTATAAAATTTCCTATGTGTTGTCTTTCTTCTTTTTGTTAGGAGATAAGATCCTGATAATGACTAAAGTATGTCCTGAAATGGAAGTAAAGAGAGTGGTTGTTGAACCAATTTCAGCAGATGTGAGCTTTGCTTCTAATCATTTTCCATCATACAAGTTAGGACCTGATGATCAGATTGTTGATGAACCTGAGGAAGACGAAAAAGGCCCATCTGTGAAAGATGTCGTCGATAAAGAGACCGGAGATTTGTCAGATCAGCACAAGCGGCTTTCAGTTCGTGACCTCGCTTGCAAATTCGACAAGAATCTATCTGCAGCTGTTAAATTAGTTGACGAGGTTCCACCATAACACAACTCTGTATTTTTAGTTGATTGGTCTACTTACCAAATTAACATTGTATTATTATTATTTTTTTTTGTTGTTGTTGCTGGAATATTTTTTAGGCAAAGTTAAATGAGGTGACTTCTTTGGAAGGACATGTTATGCTAAAGAAACTTAGGGATGCTTTAGAAGCAATGAGAGGCCGTATGGATGGGCGTAACAAGGAAGCGGTTGAAAAAGCTATCTCCATGGTTAGCTTTTTTTCTTGATTTCTTTTACTTGTTGAATGCAATAGTCTTTTTTGCACCGTGTAAACATTTGTGAGTCTTGAATCAAATGTGAAGGCCAGTTTCTTTTTGGTCTTGTAGGTTGAGGCTCTAGCCGTTAAGTTAACACAAAATGAAGGTGAACTAATTCAAGAAAAGTTTCAAGTGAAGAAACTGGAAAGCTTCCTCAAGCAGGTCTGTTCTTCATACTCAATTCTCTTGTAGCTTTGTTAATTATTTTAGCAGTCAAAGTAAGGCTGATTCATCGTGTTCTTAGGCTACAGAAGATGCGAAGAAGTTAGTAAACCAGGAAAAGTCGTTTGCTTGTGCTGAGATAGAGAGTGCACGGGGTCTTGTGATGAGACTTGGAGGTGCATTTGAAGAACAGGAGCTTTGTTCTAAAGCTTCTCGAGCTCAGGGACCGGTATGTATCAGTTTGAGTTTAATCTTCCTTTTTTCTTATGTTTTGTTCCGACATTAAAAGGAGTAGGGTTTCTGAATCGAAAGTTATGTTCTGGTTTCGCAGAATGTGGAGAAACTGGTAGAGGAAGTTCAGGAGGCTAGACGAATCAAAAAGATGCATCAACCAACCAAGGTCCATATTCCATATCTCTGCTCTTAAATCAAATGTCTATGACGAGACTTTCAATTTCTTTGACTAGTCATATTTCTGATATAACTTCATGATTTTGATGGGTTACAGTTAGAGTAACATTTAACTGAATGCTTTATGATTTAGGTGATTGGCATGCAACACGAGCTTCATGACTTAAAGAGTCAAATCCAAGAGAAGTCTGCATATTCCGTTAAGCTTCAAAGAGAGGTATAGTTTGTGTCTTGTCTTGCTCACTTATTCTTCTTCCTTTCTCAACCAACCGTCTAAGTTCTCTAAAAATCTCAAATGTTCATATACAGATAGCGATAATCAAGAGAGCAGAGGGATCCAAGTCCTGTCCATATGTTCTAGATGGTGCACCAAGTCTTGGCTCGTGCCTAAGAATCCGTGCCTCCTCAGATAGTGCTTTAGATATCTCCAAATGTTCAGTCCAGTGGTACCGTGCAGCATCTGAGTCTAGTCGCAGAGAAGCTATATCTGGTATTTAGTTTTGTTACATAGGAGAATATCAATGATTCCTTTACATATATTTGGCAAATTATATTATCTTCTCAAAGTTATCAACTTTGGTAGTCATAGTACATGAGCGTTTAGCTTGAGCAGTTCACATTCTTCCAATCTCAGGTGTTAACCGGTCGGTATATGCTCCAGAACCATTTGATGTCGGGCGAGTTATACAAGCAGACATTCTTACTAACGGTCAGAAACTCACTGTTACAACCGATGGTCCAATTAATAATGGTTGGTATTACAAGAACCTTCTGCAGAATCCTTCTCATACAGATTTAAAAAAAAAAAAAACCCAAATGGCTAATTGAATCACAAATTTTTGCAGCTGCTGGCTTGCAGTCACGCGTTGAATCACTCCTGCGCAAATCTAACAGTGAATTCACCGTATGTTTACAATTTCCCCTTTTCATGTAAACAGTTCTTAGTTCTTGCTCTTAATATAACTAGGCATATTGAAATTCTTCTCAGGTGATTATATCACAGATGAACGGGCAAGACCACTCATCAAGATCCCATGTATTTACTGTTGGAAAGACGAGGATAAAGCTGTCCCGAGGATGGATCACAAAGGCCAGAGAAATATATTCAAACTCCATGCAGGTAAAATCAAGATCCTGTGACTCTTGTTGTACTGTCACTCTCTGGCTCTTTCTTACAAGTTTTGAAATGGTTTGGTAACATTTTAATAAGCTATGTGGAGTGAGAGGCGATGCTAATGTTCCTGCAAAGGCATTGTTCTGGCAACCAAGAAAAGGTTTAAGTTTCTTACTAACTTTTGAGTCAGAGCAAGAACGTAATGCAGCCATACTTCTCTCCCGGAAATACGCATATGACTGCAATGTGAGTAGAACTAACCGGAATATATTTTTTTTCAATATTTCTGATTATATCTCTTCTTGTTAAGCCTTGTTTTTTTAAAGTACAGTCACTCTAATCAATGTTAAAACCTGCAGGTCACTCTGGTTGGGCCAGACGATTGAGCTAATGAAAGGAGTACCATTTTTTTCAATTTAAATCTCCTGAATTTTTTTTCTCTTAAGCGTGGCGATTTGGACTGTTATGTGTTTGTGTGAGGTTAAAAGTAAAAAGAAAAGAAGAAGAAGAAGAAGAAGAAGAAGAAGAAGAAGAAGAAGAAGAAGAAGAAGAAGAAGAAGAAGAAGAAGAAGGTGGAAAGTTTAGCTTGGGATTCTCTCCACTGATACAGTGTTTGCTGCATAGTTTTAGGCAGAAGCACATTTTGTGTTTTTGGCTTCACCACTTGTTTGAGGTGGTTGCCATTTTCTGATTGGTTTGTTTGTTTGATTGGTTTAGTTTTGCTTGGTCCACATTGCTAGCTAGATTTTTTTCTTTTTTTTCTAGTTGTGAAATTGTAACCAATATTGGATTGTATGTAAACAATAACAGAACAGAGTGTTTCATTCAACAACTCACATTCTGAATAAGAAAATCTTTGAAGAACAGAATTATAAAATGGGCAATCTCATGTATTTTATGATTTTATCTTTGCATTATGCAAAGTTATCCAAGTGTCAAAAAAAAAAAGAACTTGTAGTATAAATATGGACATAAATCATAGATATTTAAAAAGCTTCAAATATCACAAACTGATAACTAACATCTTTTTATGGAATTAAATTAAATGAAAAAAGAAAACAGTTTATACCTTTTAAGACATCTCCCTATTAAAGAGTGTCCGAAATCCGACGTTTCTCTGTTTTTCTTTTTCTCTTTCCCTTTCACTCTTTCAGTCCATTGGCGGAACAAGAACCCGACCCAGGATTTCTAAAAAGTTTCAAACTTTAATCTTCTCGTGAGTTGGGAATCCAAATCAATGGGGAAAATCGTCGTTGAAGTCTGTTTGTTATCAGCTCGAGGGCTCCGTGTTGGATTCGGATTCGGATCCTCGCTACTGAAACACCAATGGTACGCCGTTGGGTGGATTGATCCAGAAGACATGTACTGCACCACAATCGATGCTTCGAGATCAGACAATCCTGTTTGGGGAACAAAGTTTTCTGCTCTGCTCGATGATGACTCGGGGTTTGAGGATTCGAAATCGGCTTTGCACGTCGAGGTTCATAGCAGAGAACCCATCTTCTTAAGGAGGAAGCTTCATGGCTCTGCTACGGTTTCCTTGAAGGATTTTCTGGATAAGTATAAGAAACAGAGTTCTTCGAAATCTGTAATTGAAGAAACTGGAAGCTATCAGCTTAGGAAGACGAATTCAAGCAAGCCTCAAGGTTTTGTCGATGTGTCGATCCGTATATTTGCAGAAGGAGAGGATTTTGGGGGTTTTGCTGGTAATGTCTCTGAACTGAATCATTGTTTATTTGACATTTATCTGGAATCAGACCATGACTCTAAAGCCTAGATTAAAGTTTAAATCTTTGTCCCCTGAAGCTAGCGAGAATGGATCTATCAAATGAACTATATATGTAAATGTTTAATGGAATCTGTCAGTTACCTTTTGTTTATTTGGCGTTTCATCTGGAGTCAGACCATGACCCTAAACCCTAGGTTAAAGTATAAACCTTTGTCACAAGAAGCTAGCTCTGTAAAGTTTAAACCCTGGTCACACTATCTCTAATGGGATCAATGTACAGAAAGAAAGAAACTTTGGTGCTGCTTTTGTTTCCTGTAACTCAATTCTTGAACCTGAAATTTGGGTTTTGTCTGAAAGAGAGAACTCACCATTCTTCTTCTTCTCTTGCACAGGAGATTTTGGAGGAATCATGCTCAAAAACAACACTTCAGGGCAAAATTACATGGCCGGCTCATCGCAGGATCCATTTGCTCCACCGAACCAGCCAAACCATTTAAACCCATTCTCAGCTCCGCCATATAACCACCACTCCTCAGTGCCGTATCCTCCAATGAACAACGCCAACCCACAAATGCAACAACCGTACTACCCTCCTCCACCAATGCAGCCACCACCGCCTTTGAACGCAGGCTACATGCCTTCATACATGCCGAGACCAATGAACGCTGTGAATATTCCATCACCTGGAGGAGCGGGAAGAGGATATGCAAGGCCTGGACCAGGGCTTGCAGGATTGGGAGCTGGTGCAGTAGTTGGAGCTGCCGCAGCTCTTTACGGCGGCGATTACTTGTCAGGAGGATTCGACTTACCTCAACCAAACTTCTCTATTTCCATTGATTGAGCTGATATAGCTGCATTGTGAGATTATCTGAAGTATAGTAAGATTATTTGTATTTGATATGTTAAGAGGTCTCAAACCCAATAAACAAGAGGGGAATTCGATCAAACTGTTATTTCTTCTTTTCAATTGTTATTACTTTCTTTATGGTGTTATTAGAAAATTTACATGACAATAGTGTTTGGAAGCAAACTGGTGGGGATGGATCTTGATATGTAGCTCTATGTACATAGTCCCAATTTAATAGTGCAGGTCCGTCACTCGAAGTAGCAACTGTGCAATGAATCAAATCTTATGCAGTCTCACCGAAACTATTTACATGGACATGGTTATGTACAGAGGCTTTGAAGAATGGTCGGAGCATGATTCTGATCTGGCTTAACTTGGGCGGTTTTCTGTCTTCAGAAAGCGGATATATTCTAGCTGCACCATCTCTCCTCCGTTCACAGGATCAAAGCTGCATCTGTAGAAACTGTGAGCATAAGAAAACACGAGTGAGCACTGAGCAGAGATCTTAGGGTGATTATTATATATGCACACAACTAGTGAAATTGCTCTGTTTAAGATACTTGGTAGTGTGATGGGACAGCAAAGTGAATATTCTAAGAGAAGTCAGAATTGGGTTTATTATACCTTCCATCCATGCCGATAATAGCAACCGTGTTGTGACTACCAAATGCTGCGAAGAATTGTGTGACTTCTGATACGTGGAACTGTGCAAATGACCATTCCGAGCTGAAATACTTTGGTAGTACACCTGCAAACAAGAGTCTACTTGTTAGGAAAGAAAAAGGCAATGAATTAACGATATGCATAATCTGAGTCATATGCTACTATGAAGTGAATAGATCTTTTGGACTTAGAGCTACTACATAGTCAATGTTCCCACCCGGTTAGTTTTTAGGAATCAAATAATCTTTTTTTGGCAGTTTCATGAGGAAATAATGAACAATGATTTGGTGCCCTTCTTTTGTTCCATACGTAACTCTAAGAAGAAGCAAGGCATCATTTTACATGGGACATTAAAATCTTTGCTTACCTCTCATAAACGATAATGACGAACCGGGATTGGTACCAGTGGCTGGAGAAACAAGGCCTTGCAGAGAGTTAGAATATGTTTGTTGTGTCAGGAGAGCTGCATTTTCAGTGGAATGAGAATCCTCCCCAACTACCCTAACTCTAAGAGAGAAAATGTGAACAGTCCCCTTGTCGCTTGATACTGCCAGCCATTGCACGTTTGGTGAAAGTGCAATGCTATAAATGTCTGCTCTGTCCACTCCTCTTCGTACCTATAAAGAAACCAGCAATGAATCGCATCTAACACGCGTTAGTAATGAGTAGCAAATTGGCATCTGCTTCGTCCTAAGTTTCTATCAACGAACTTCATAAGGCTTTTCAACAGAGGACTTGTGCGAGATTTTACTAACAGGAAATCATAAAGCAGGTTTGTCAGTTACAACTCATGAGTCTGAACAGATGATCTATGATCTATGAGATTGCGAAACAAATTATGCAGTGATCAATATGCTCATAGAGCAAGACAAAGCATTTTAGAAAGGAGAAATCAATATTTAATATTTACTCTACCTCTTGCAGACGAGTTCCATCCATTGTGTTGAAGATTCTAATCAGTGTGCCCTTTGTACTGGCAGTTGCGAGTAACAAACCATCCAGTGTCAAGGTCATGCACGCAATACTGGCGTCATGTGCATTTATGGTTTGTACCATGTTTAGGCCAAAATGTTCAACTCGAACCTCTCCACGATGAAGACCAGGGCAAGCCAGCACAGATGTATTTGAGTGATGGGAAAGGCAACATAACCCTCTTGGATTTGCTTGAGTTTCAATCTGATGAAGAAGTCTTAGGTCCATAAAATTGTAAACATAAATCTTGTGTTCAAGAACAACAACAATCCGGTCCCTTCTCAATTTCACCGCACGAATTTCAGACCTAAAAGCAAATTCACTGATGCAACGGCTCTGGTGATCATCCCAAATTAGTACTTTACTTGAAGGGTACTGAGAGTTAGGCCCACCACCAACAAGCGCCAAGATATTGCTTCGGAAAAGCATCTCTACAATTTTGAATCCCCCGTTCTTCAGCTCACGCCTGAAAGTTTCTTTGAAAGGTTCACAGTTGTATATACGAAAACCATGACTTGTTCCAGCAGCAAAACAACCCGAATCCTGATTCCAAGACACAGAAACCAACTCTGCTTCTTCATTTTCATTAGATTCTGATTCTGGACGCACAAAAGATACAGAAGTGCTGTTACTGCGGGAGTCATGGCCACCATAAGCAGCTGACTGCAAGATTCCTCGGGGATTTGAAACAGTTGAACTCATTTTTGCTATACCACTTTCACGTCAAAATCATCAACCATGAAAAAATTAGCAGAACTCAGGCCTGCGGTACAAAGAAACACCCAGAAGAAAAGCTTAGCCTGATCTCAATCCCAGGAAAAGGAAACACTGGACCTGAAAGATAGTAAATTTTAAAGTTCAAGTCATGCCAAAACATCATCATATCGCAGTACATAGATCCAAACCAAAACCAAAGTAAAGACAATGCAGCAAAAAAAAAGCTTCAGGGATACTTAATAGAATGTGATTAATGGGATCATCATAGGTACCTAGGAACAATGCAAAGCAAGAGCAGATAAACAGCCCTTCAGAAGTTTCGAGTGTGATCAATACTTACTTCGTACAGGAAGACTTTACAAAGTTCATTCAGATTTTATGATATCATATCATTTTCGCAGCCGTCATAGTGATTATATCAGACATATCTATAATAACCATAGCTTCAGAAAGCAGCTCATGAAGTAACTATGTTATGATCCGCCATGATCGAACCACATTAACCTGGAAAATTCTATTTGCAGTGCATAACTCTCCTAGATAAGCGAATTCAAAATTCATTTGCAATACAAACGGAAAAATTCACAAACACTATCGCATACTAGTGAACATCCAAATCAAACAACAAAAATCTAAGAGTAAACGGGGAAAAAAAAAACGATCTTTGATTGAAACATTTAGCAAAGAGATTATGCGGATTCTCACCAATTGGGAACGAAACAACGCGACGAGGAACAGCGAGATCTACGATGAAAAAAAATATTGACTCTTCAATCTTCAAGCTTGAAATGACGAACACGCTCCGGTGCTGCTGAATTTTTCCTGAATGACTTTCTCTACCGGCTCCTTCCTGTAGAAGTTTATCTTCGTCCAAATTCTCCGGGGTTTTTTTTTGTTGTTTTGTTTTCTGGATTTGAGTCGGTAAAACAAAAATGGGCTAAATATGCCTAAGTGGGCCGCGAACTATTGGCTCTTTTAAGACTTAACCACCATCAGCTAAATAAAATTCACGTGTGTGCCGTTTCTTAAATTAGAGAGAACACCGCGTGTCGTTTATATTTCTTAGAAGGAATCTTCGCACCTTTTGGATTTATGCAAAAAACCGAGTAGAGAGACCACTTGATTAATCTCATAGGAATGTAGTATTTTCAAAACAACAAAAATGGACCATATTTATTCACATTAGAGAAACCATCCTTGATTCAAATATGGTTTAAGAAACTGAAGCTAAAGATTCCTTTTACGGTCAAAAAAGTTATACGAGTATGTTTTACTTTACGATAAAACATAAAAAAGAGCTGTCTAAATCATTAATTAGAAAATCATTAAATAATCTATTTTTGTGTAACCCGTCTTTTCTAAGAACATAGTTGAATGTAATGTAAGCTATATTTTGACAATCAATGTTTTAAGTTTTTTTTTTTAATTTTGACAATCAATGGAAGTGATTTAGCGTTGGAGCTGCATTTTGTGCGGAAAAATGGCTGTTTATACCAAAAATGGAAAATCACAATGGAGACAAACCAATCCATATTTGGAAAAAAAGTGATTTTGGCTTTGGAGAGTGAAAACCCCAATACACTCACTTTGTTCAATGCGCACCAAACATAAAAGAATGATAAAATCCCAGTTTCCGAGAGAGGGAGACATGGACCAATTATCACTTGATTCTGCTTTGAGTTAAAAGTTAAATTAAAGCATGTCCATCGGTAAAACATGTAAAAATCGTATTTAAAAGATATTATATTAATATTTTAATAAAATTTAAAAACAAATAAGTTTCAGATTTTTTAAACCACTTGTATGTATACATGTGTCACCAACGTTCCTTAAAATTTCTTAAAAACGTATCTGAAATTATTTAAATAAAATACGGTTGTTTTTCTCTCTCCAACTTTTTCTTTTTTTAATAATTTTTTCTTACTTAGATACTAGGTAAAAACTCCCGATGAAAGTAGCTTTAATCTCATATACTTTGTAATAAGAGTATTTCTTTTGGATGCTTTAGCTTCACCATATTTTATTTCTCTTGCAAATTTACTAATAGCAAGTTGTTGACAAACGTCGACTTTTCTGTTTCTTGTTTTTCATTTGTCTAAAATTTCTTACAATTTTATTATTGTAGTTTTTCATTACATGGTGGAGAGAGACTTTCTCCGTTACCGGCACAACATATGACCTCATTTTCTATATATAATTGATTTTGTTTAAATTCCTGAATTCTGCATTTTCAAGTTCTCCCTATCTCAATGAAGATTATCAAACGAGACGTACAAGTTAAGTTTAAGAAAGTGGAATTATCTTAAAAAACTACACAAATATAAAATCATTCAAGAATTATGTATAAATCATATATTAAAAATATCTCAAGATAGATTTAATTATACTGTATAATATGGATCTTATATTCCTGCTGGTATTACAATCCAATGGCCGAGACTAATTAATTTGCCATAGTTTTTCTTCGACGGCGAGTCAGATAATTTGTTACTACAACTTAAATTTATACATGATAACTTTATCATAAATTGCAATAGAGTTGTCAAATTTTAAATTCTAAATGAATCGTTATAATTGTATGACAGACGTTTTTTTTTTGTTAATACAGGGTATATAATATTTGTACTTTTTGGTGCTCACCAAGAATTTGGGAATATTACATGCAGAAAAATCTCGATGTACATGAAGCTTAAAACGTGATGGGTTTCGGGAAAATTTATAGGGAAATTGAAACCATTTTTATGGCTACACGTAAAAAGATGAACATTAATTTTGTCGGTAACCACCGGCCTCAACTTAAACAATTTCAAAACCCTAATCCATATATTGTTAAGTATTTCATTCCTTCAAACAAAAATGATGCTATATATGATGCCCTTTTTTGAAAATATTAACTAGTTGGATGATCACATGATGATAATTGTTTAATTTATCCATATTTATCCACTTGCTAGTTGCGTTTTCGCATCTGCATTATTGCAGACACTACATGAACCACGCAATACCTATGAAGAGAATATTATAAAACAGCTCAAGATCGTGCACGAGGACTATATTCTATTTGTGTACTTTATATATAATTGTATAAATCCAAATGGTATCGAGTTTTATATTTTATTGTCGGTTGGGCATTTTGATCATAATGTAACGACTCGATAGCTACTTACTTTCCTCTTTTTGACATAATCGGTTCTGTACAAGTTAGTTCAGAAGCCAGTTTTAGGATTTAGGTTCAATCCAACTAGGTCTTGCGAAGTTGTGAGCTAATTAGCAAATAACAATATATATATTAAAAACAGAAGTTTGAGTTTAGCTATATATGAGCTGCCTATAATCACGAGACTAAAGAGAAACGTACGGGTGAAATATAGAAATCAAGACTCCACATTATTGTATAGAAATAGTAAGGCTGAAATCTTACACAAATAACAAAAAAAAAAATGATATCGGTTTAATTAATATATATTTCTTGTCTAATGAAATATATCGGATTTTCAACCAAAGGACGATCATGTGAAGTTGTGAACCATTCATCGCTCTAATGCCAATCATCGGGAACATACAAAATTGCAAGTACAAAAGTCTAGCTTATAATACAAACTACGAAATTACAAGTACAAAGTTACAAGTACACGACCTCTGTATTATATTCTATGAATATCTCTAAACCCATAAAATAGTATATGAAGAAAAAATAGTACTATACAGTGTACATATGTATCATTTCATTCCCAAAAATCAAGAGCAATACTGTATCATCATTTTAGAAAGACTGTCGTAATTGTATCCATAGTCATACCCGAAGATATACCTTAGAATCAGAATGTATATATCCTTCAAAGAAATCTTCACTTGTAAACATGACTATACCTTTAAATGCAGCCCTAGTCCCTAGCGAATAGTGGCTAGATTGTCCAGAACTTGGACAGGATTAAATCCTAAACCATATGGTTATTAATTGTGTAACCTTATTAGACATTTAGACTCATCAGAATCTATTCTTATATACTAACAAAACAAAACAAAAAATTGTAGAGAAAGAAGGAGCTCCCTTCAGTCCAAACACAGATAAAGAGGGATGAAAAATATCTCCCGCATCATTCACACAGTCACTGCGGTTTAAAATGTCATTGTTTTTTACCACGAGTGTTTGGATGGATGAGTCGGCTGATATTTCTACCTTCTTCATTTTCTATCCATGACTGGACTGAAAGAATCTCCTTCTATATCTATCTGTATTTTCTTATCTCAATTCATACATATATATAACACTAAAGGGCCACACTTATGAAAAAGCAGGTTTGTGTTCGGTTAAATCTACAGAATAATACATAGGCATGAGATATAGTTTCAAACACATGCACTTATTGCATATAATGGGCCATCGACAACAAGACAAATGTGATCAACACAACTTCCTTATATTTGAACATTTAGTTTGAAATGCTATTTGCATGTTAAATAAATGCATCAGCAGAGAATTAGAATGTAAAGTACTAATGTATAAGTATATATATGGATCAACTTACAGGATTTGGATGCTGAGTGTTTAAGTTTGAAACTTCACAGGAAGATGCAAGCTTTACTGTACAAGTAAGACCACTGATGGGTCTTGTCAAGAAGAGGCTACCAAGAGAGAGACAAAGTATGAACTGTTCATCAAACATTGAAATCATAAAAAAACATTAATAATACTTTTTTTCTTTTACAAAAATGAAGAAATTGTTTTGTGAGTGATGTAAGCCCTGTGTTGATGAACAGTCCCTATAATAATAACAATAACTACTTGAGTAAATAAATATATGCATAAGACGACAGTTCCAAAACATGTGTGAAAAGATTCCACCATAGACATAGTCATATCGCAGATTATGAGAAAATAAAATAAGAAAAATATATAGAAAGACTGATTAAACAAACATAATTTGGTTTGACCACTTGGTAAATACAAGCTTTGGAGCAGGAGATATGTTCAATTTTCTCATGAAATATATCCTCAGTTTCTGGAGGGATTGTGCAAGAGATCGGATTCCGAAATCAGAGAGAAGGTAATGTTTTTTCAATTAGGGGTAAAAGAAGGAAAACTCTATAAAGTTAATTAGCACAAAAAAAATTCTTTCATATCAATCATGCATAATTGCATATCATATGCCTTTTAAAACAAGAATTACTGAATCATGATTTAGACAAGGCAACAAACCCTAAAACCAGAAATGAAAGGCCTAATATCCTTTTCTGTGTGGGCAGAAGAGATAGAGATTAGATCTGAAGTAAGTCATATACATGGTAATCGAAGATCATAAAGACAGGGTAAGAAAAAACCCTAAAACTGACAAATTGAAAAATTAAGAGATTAGATCTCAAGCAAATCATAACTAACGGTAGATGTGATGATAAGAAAAGAGAACCTTTACATGGATATTCAAGTTTTTGGAGATGTCTGAAAACCCTAGCTAGCTCTCCTTTTGAAATCTTTTCAGCCCAGTATTGCTGAAACTAGAAGTGAGGAACAGTAACTTATATAGAAAAAAGGAGATGGATGTAGGTACTAGCAACTAGGTATTAGCAAGTGGTGATTCAAATAAGGGACAAACAAAAAGAGATGGTGATGATGATGATGAATGATGAATGATGATGATGGTGGTGATGTTGGGTCATTGTCCTCATGGGAGTCAGGGAAAGCTAACTGTTTCTTCATATCTCACCATATCTTTCATGTGAGAGAGAAACAGAGATAGAGATAGAGAGGTGGAGAGAGAGAGAGAGAGAGAGAGAGAGAGAGAGAGAGAGAGAGAGAGAGAGAGAGAGAGAGAGATGGTGACTTGTGTAATTTTGTGTTGTGTTTCCCGCAGATGTGAATTGATTTTTGATGGGAGAGAGCTTTTAAGAGGTTCATCAGCCATCTTTTTAAGGTTCTTTAGTTTTTTTTTTTTAAGGATTACATTTAATGAGCGGTGGAAGAGCTTGAGAATTTAGATAACCTTTTTTAGATAATTAAGTGTTTGGTCTATTTTATTAGTATTAATTATGTTAGCTATTAGATTAACGAGTGGACCAAAGATGAAGCTACAAATCATATTATTGTACACTAAGGATCATTAGTGTATATTATAATTGGACCCGAAAAATAATTATTATCGTTGTCTTTATGCATTCAAGAATCTCACAATCTTGTGAACACAAATTCTTCTTAGAGAAAGAGAGATAACCATTTCAAGCATTACTTATTAAAAGTTAAAAGTTTCAGGAAGGATTCCAGAGTATTACATATATCTTCAGTAAATGGAGTCATTATATTTTAATATTTTACTTTTTGCATTTTCGACTTCAAACAATAAAAATATCTTTAACAAACATTATTAGATTACTGCTGTCAAAGTTTTGTTACATTTATATTATTAGATCTCTTGACAGAATTTTAATGTTACAATAGTCTTATGAATCGTTACATGATGCATTACGTACATTCTTTTGTAGTGAAACTTATTAAGCTATTCACAAATTATGCCATAATTAACAAAAATCATTGATGTCAAAAAAAAAAAAAAATAACAAAAATCATTAGAATAAATATTGGTTTAATTAAGCGACATTTCAACGCACCAAAAAAAATTAAGCGACATTTCATATCGATCACATGTGTGTTGTTTTCAAATGTCTATATCAATTCAGTATTAGTTATAAGATTCTTTAGAAAAAGAAAACCAAATTGCATATATGTATATCTTTGTTTTTTTGGCTTTAACATATATATATCTTGATAGTTACGTTACACAATACAAGCATACAGAGAGGTAAATAAAGTAACTAGTGTGATATACAAGTTTCATATCTCAATCAAACAAAACAAAGATAAGTGGGTGTGCGATTCATATAAGATTATCCCAAATCGAGATAGAAAGATTACACGTAAACGTAGTCCTTCTTCGTCCCCGGAGCAGTACGCACCACTCTCCTTGACTGAAATGAAAAACAATCCACAAAAGGACATTCGAAAATGACGATTTTACCCCTGCCAACCTGTCATCTGTGAAACCGACCAGAGTAGTAGTGGGCATGGGAGTTTTGAACTGTTATTACACTTGTGGGTCCTTTGTGTAGGCGCTTGTTTTCTTCGTTCAAGAAGACCCGATAAAAAACACCCGGTAACTAAAGATAGCCTTGACCCGACCCGACGCGATCTGACCCGACCCGACTAGATCTGACCCGAATCGGATACTCGACCCGACCCGGATAAACGACCCGACATTTCTACGATTCGATCACCATTGACGTCAGAACTCAGAATAGTAAAATATACTTAAATCGCTGCTACGAACTCAGCAAGCTCCTCCGGAAATGGGAAGATGATGGCGACCCTTTGACTCCTCGATCCCAATTATAAATCTTTTTTTGTTGCATTTCCATTGATTCGCCTGATCGGTTTTCCAAACGAGGGGATACTCAAGGTTGTAACTTTGTTCGAGTTTTTGTGCAATCGATCTAAAAGGCTATAAAGGATGGTGAGGCCATCGGATTTCAAAGCGGTTCAAGGGTTTATTCGGTTGCATTACAGTCGGGTCAACCCAATTACTATCGGCCGCTCAAACCCATCGGCTCTGTCTTCTCCTCCGGCTATTCCCTCGAATCGTGTTTCCCAGCTCCAGCCTAAGTTCAGCTTCCACAGCTTATCTTCCAAACCCACTTCCACAAACGTGGGATTATCTCAGATTCTGTCCTCTCCTAAGCTCAATCCAAAGTTGCAGGCTTTGGGTTTGCCTCGCGTGAATGTGAACTTTTCGTCGGCGTTTAGATTGGTCTCCACTAAAGGCGCTGGATTTCGAAAAGTTGATGGCATTTTCGCGAGGAAGGTTGTTGACAAGCCTGTGAAAGCTGTTAGCTCAACATTTGCTAGGTACCGTGGGGCTATAGGGTTGCACATTGATGCGTTTTGGAAAAAGAATAGTCTTTTTGTGTTTGGAGCTGGAGGAGTGTTCGTATGCATTTTCCTTTGGAGGATTATGTTTGGAATTGCCAGCACTTTCGTTGGGCTCTCAGAGGGCATGGCCAAGTATGGGTTCCTAGCACTCTCCTCTGCCATCGTAGCGTTTTCCGTAAGTTCTGCTGTTTTCTGCTACTTCTTAGTGTGCCGTGAAGTTTTTCTGAATCAGTGAACTGAAGTGCTGTAGTTATCAAATTATGGTTATTGGTTGATAGTGATGGGATTCGAAAACTTCCCGTTATATGCAATGATATTGGTTTAGTTTCACAAGGTCTTGAGCTATAGGTACGTGCGATCTTGCATGGTGATATTTATATATCTTACAGCTAGTATTAGGCATGGAGGATATTGTTTATAGGATGCAAAAGCTGCGGTAAGATATGGTTTTGTTTGCTTCTCTTGTATCATCATACATAAATCACTCCTTCACTGCTACCTGCATTTATTTTTCTAATAACAGGGATTATACCTCCGCTCAAGGTTCACAATAAATCCGGATAAAGTTTACAGGATGACCATGAGGAAGATCAACACAGCAGCTGAGATTCTTGAAGTCATGGGTGCTCCTCTGTCAGGATCGGATCTACGAGCTTATGTGATGTCAGGTGGTGGCATAACATTCAAGAAATTCAAGCCAACAGTTAGGAGCAAGCGATGCTTTCTCCTATTCCCTGTTCAAGGCTCTGAGAGAAAGGGACTTGTTAGCGTCGAAGTTAAGAAGAAGAAAGGCCAGGTTTCACTTTCTTAACTCCACACTTTCCCTTCTACACGCCCTTCTTCTGTGTTTTGTTCACGTTGTAATACTTGGGATTGTGATAAGCTTTGAAGAAAGCTTAGCGGCTAAGCTATATCTGTCTAGACTATGACTGAATGTGATTAGAGCTGTTGTGAGTTGGCTAGGTTTATAAGGATATGGATTTTATAAGGTTTGGTTGATCATTTGGTTTATACTGACATGACACAACATTGCGTTTGTCTGCCGAGCTTCTTAGATTCTTTCATTATGTCATATCACCAAAGAATCCTTATTAGCAATGATGCCTCCTCTTGTGTGAATTTTTGTCTCTTTCTCAATTTTCATGTTTTTTTTTTGTTTCCTCAGTATGACATGAAGCTTTTGGCGGTGGATATTCCGATGGCGTCTGGTCCTGACCAACGGCTGTTTCTGATTGGCGATGAAGAAGGGTACAAAGTCGGTGGTGGATTAATCTCTGAGTTAAGAGACCCTGTTGTGAAAGCCATGGCAGCAACTAAGGAGTTCGATAATCTTGACGAAATCGAAGAGGAAGAAGACGCTGAGAGAGAGCTTCAAGAAGCTGAAAGAAAGCACCGTGAAGAGACTGAGAAGCTCGAGAAAGAGAGCTCTTAATTCGTTTTTTCTTCCCCGGAAAACTTGAAAACGTTTCTTCACATTTCAATATCCCATCAGTGGATATAAAAACGACACCTTGGTTCTTTGCTAACTTTCCGACAAATAAATTTATCGGGCTATTGCGTCCAATCTTTGCTGTAGATCATCGCCAAAGATTTTCTTCGTCTTGTATCAGAGCTACACTGTTTTGTGATTACTGATTCTTCATACAAGGCCGTGTCAGATTCAAGTGTTTTGGTTTATAACTTATATTTTCTGGTTTCACCGGTTTATTCATAATAAATGTACAACGTATCCCAAAGAAACAAAAGCTATGTCATGTCCTATGTATCTTTGACCAGTTTCTATACTACAAAATTAGCCATTAGTTATTATGGTTAATCAAACCAATTTCCCATCGAAGAACATGTAAAGAAAAAATATGTTGCTTAAATCGAACGTTCTCCGGATCCTTCTTGTTGATGTTTCTGAGTCTTTTCAAAGAAAATTTTAATCTTTGATCTTGGCTTTCTCTCTGTCTCCTTTGCTTTGAGGCTGAAACTAATTATGATGCAAGCACACGAACAACCTGAAGTTGGCAGGATCTAGAGGTAATCCTTTCTCAAATTGCTTAATTTCTTTTAAAACTTTTTACATTATCTAGGACATTTGATTTCCTTGCTATTCATCTATTCTTGTTTTTACGAGTGTTAAATTAAGAAAAAGTGTTTTGGTTTGTGCTTTGACTCAGGAAGCTAATGGCAAGCTAGGGTTTGTGTGTAAAGGGTTAATGGGAAATAATTGTGGGAAGGTAAGACCTTTGCCCTCAGAATCGACGAGTTTCATGGAGATCATAGTCAAATTTTTTAGCAAATTTATGTTGAAACAATTCAATGTTCATTACTCTTGTGCAGCTTTAGATGATGAAAGATAGTAACAGAAACTCTTATGTTCTTTAACAGATGTGGTCATGTATATGCTGTTGCAGCAGCAGAAACAAGGCTCAAACTCGGTGCCAAAAAGGGTCCTACTTTTTGAATGGGAGGGTTCATGCGGTAACTAGAATCGAGAAGTGGGAGGAGAAGATCAGAGAAGCTAACAGTAATGGCAACATTGTAAGATCTTCCTCCCCATGATTTGCCTTCTATGGTTATATGTTCTTCCTCGATATGATCTGACTCTTTGTAACATGGAGCAGCTAGTAGTAAATTTCAAGGCGTCCTGGTGTTTACCTTGTAGAAAAATAGCACCAATATACGAGGAACTTGCGTCCACATACACCTCAATGATATTTGTTACTGTAGACGTCGAAGAGCTGGCTGTAAGTAACCCAAAAACACACATTATGTTCCTTCGAATGATTTTGAGCTATTCCAATTTAAGGGAGATGTGTGTGAAAAAACAGGAGTTTAGTGATGAATGGAATGTGGAGGCAACTCCAACAGTAGTGTTCCTCAAGGATGGGAGGCAAATGGATAAACTTGTAGGTGGAGATGTTGCAGAGCTTCAGAAGAAAACAGCAGCTGCTGCAGAGCTTCTCATCAGAAAATCTTAACTCTGTTATAGTCTCAATGTCGGATTTTATTTGTTAACTTTGATGGATTCTTGTAAGTTAATCTCAAACAATCTTAAGCATGGCCTTAAAAAGCCATTTCAATTTTCTTATAAGAAATTGCAAGAAGATAATGAGAACCAAGTGTTACTCTCTATAGATCAATAATCAGTTTATAGCAAATCAAAACTCTGCTTTTACAGCAGCTCTGTTGGTTACTATTAGAGTGAGGAGATGAGAAGGCCACATATGAAGTGAAGGCCAAGCATCTCCACACCAAATAAGAAGAAGAAGAGAAGTGTCAAAACGTGACTTAGCCAAGAATGAAGCTCATCACATGTAAAAGACATCAAGAAGGTGATCAACCATGTGTATATGAAGCAATGGAGGCTTAGGAGTCATGAAGTGTGTTGCAAGCCCAACTTATTGGGTTGTCCATACAATCTCTTAGTGGGCTGTCCGTACAAGCCCACATAAACTCCTCCAATCAAGCCCAAACTGTAAGGAAGAGTGTGTGCACGCCTAAGAGAAGTTGTCAAGTGTTCTAGAATCTCCTCACTTGCCTCCATAACCGTTTGAATTCAAAGAAGTGGAGGGAAGCAAGAGTCACATGTGTGACTTAAAAAAAGAGTTGTTATGTGCTGTCCCTTTCAATCTTTGTCTTTGTGCCCAAGTTTAATTTCTATATAAGGGCGCCCTCTCTCATTGTAAAACACACAGAATTCATAATAAAAGAGACAAGTTCTTGTTAAACTTGTATACATCTCTCTCCTTTACTTATGCTTAATTAAATTAAAGCAATGTAGAGAGTGAGTTATATGCAGTTTAGGTCTGCCTTAATGGCAGATCATTACTTGTCTAATTATACTTCAAACCACCTAAACTCTCTCTTTTGTTCAGTTAGACACTAAGTTAGTGAGCTAATCCTTCTTTAATGAGAACACAAACTCTAAGTGTTGTTGTTACTCAAATATGGATTCATGTCTCATGCTAGTGCAACTCTTCTTTACTTAGTTAGTCATTAGATTACTGAACCTTTCTTTGGTTATGACAACAAACTCTCTAGTTATGTTGCTTGTAATACTCAGATTGTGTATCATACTAATGCATTTTTTATTATGTTGAAGTGAGTTCATTTGGTTGGTTAATGAAGAACCAATCACAAGTTGATTGTGTTTCTTCTTATGTGAGACAAACCCTCACAAATTCCAACATGGTATCAGAGCAAGGTTATTCTCTTGGGCTGGACTCACTTCTTCTTTCTTCTTTCTTCATTCCAAGGATTCCTCTCTCTCACATTCTTGTTAAGCTTTTGTGACAGACCTGTGAAGTCTCTTGTCCAAAGGGTGAGGAGAGAGTGATAGGATGAATTTTAGTTTTCAAGTGCCTTTAATGGCTTTGTTTCAATCCATAAATTCTCCTCTCTATCCCCTCTTTTCTTATTTGAAGCTTTAGATGAAAGATTGAATCTGTTCATACTAACTTGAGGGAGGGAGAAAGATTGAAACTTTCACTTGAAAATGTTTTACAAAAGCTTTGCCTTTGGTTTTATTTTTCAAACTCTTTCTTCCCTCTACCCATCTCTTCTTTTGATAAGCTTGGATAAAAGACTTTATGTCTGTATATGCCTATGCTTAAGGGAAGGAGAGAGGATGAAAGTTGATTTTTGAATTTGAAAAACTCCTTGAAAATTTACTTTGGGAATTATTTACCCTTTGTTCAAAGGATTTGAATTTTGAAAAATGTTTTAAAATGGTCCAAAATAATTTTAAATTGTTTTGAGAATTTTGCTTGATGGTTACAAGCTTGAAAGTTATTTTGGAAATTATTTCATTGATAAACCCTTTGGGAAGATTTTTGGAAAATATTTTTAAAATTCCGAAAAGTATTTTTAAAAATATTTTAAAATATTCTTGATGAACCTTTGGCTTTGATAAGCTATTTTAAATGTTTTAAAATTCTTCAAAAAATTGTTTTAAAATTGTTTTGCAATTTTTCCTTGAAATGAAAAGGTTTTGAAAAACTCTTTTGAAATGTTCAAAATTCTGGAAAATATTTTTGAAAATGTTTTGGCCTTGAATGGCTTTGTTTTGCTGATGGACAAATGGTTTTGTTCCATTAGCACAGCTCTTTAACACTCAGAAATCACTTGAATGTGAATTAATCTAATGTGTTTGTTGTTGAGATTGTAGGAAATCTCTTGAAGAGAGTTTGTCCTTGCACCTCTTTGATGAAAGACTGGTGGGAAGTTAAAAGCCTCACCAGCATTGTTGCTCAGCCATGAAGCTTGAAGGCCATGGACTGAATGTTGCTTATGCTCATACTCATTCTCCATCATACTCATTCTCCACCATACTCTCTCTACACTTCCGCTTACACTCTATCATACTCTTATATTCTCTCATACTTATAGTTACTTATACTCTTATTCTCCGGTTACTTTATACTCTTCATCTCTCACTATTGTTTGCTTTGAATCTGTCTATACTCTACAGGTTCTAAGTGTAATAATGGGGTTTGGTGCTTTTGGCTTGATTGTCTCATGAAGGCAAGGCAAGTGTTTTGGTGTTTGGCGCATCCTTGACTAGGGGAGTTAGAACCAATGGCCACCTAGAATGTCTGCTGGACTGGTGGAAAGTGATGAATCAGCTCGGAGTTAGAACCAATGGCCACCTAGAAAGTCTGCTGGACTGGTGGAAAGTGATGAATCAGCTCCCTAGCAAGATGTTTTCCCATAGATGGAGATCAAACCAAATTCATTCAGTCCATTCAAAGGACCATTCAAAGACCACTCTTCTTCTATTGAAAGGCTGTTCTCTAAATCCTATCTCTTATTTCAATTAGTGCTAATTTCATGACTTACTTCATTCATTTAGCAGTCAAATTACTCTTCATAATTTATGCATAATTCTGTTTGACTGAATTGCATAAGTTAGTATGAGAATATTAATTGGATGTCTTTTTGAAATTGTTTGAGAATGCATAATTCAGATTGACATTATTTCGAACTGCTTGCTTAAAATGTTCAGTTCTCTCTATGAATTACTAATTGTGCATCTTAGTCTTTAATATATCTCTTAGGCTTTGATATTCCTCATTTGGTTATTTGATATTCCTTATGGCAATACTTAATCTCTTCTTTTTTATTCTCTTGTTTAAGGGAAAAAAAGACCATAAGAGCCTCAAAGAGACTAATGAGAGCCTCAAATGCTGAAGAGTCTCAAAGGAGATGGCAAAGAAAGGATTCAAATGAAAGAGAAGTCAAGTCATGAAGAGCTAAGAAGTGAGAAGACTTGGAAAGGAGCCAATTTTCAAAATGGTTTAAAGGTCATAGCTATTCTAATGCACCGTGGAGGCTATACTCTTTTTGTCCTCATCATGGTTTTATCCCAAAGAGGTTTTACATGATGAGGTTTTTTAATGAGGTAGTCCTTTGCGTGGGCAAGCTTGGCCTTTGGTCCCAATGGCTCCCGACGCCCAAGCTTGAGGGAGGGTATTAGAGTGAGGAGATGAGAAGGCCACACATGAAGTGAAGGCCAAGCATCTCCACACCAAATAAGAAGAAGAAGAGAAGTGTCAAAGCGTGACTTAGCCAAGAATGAAGCTCATCACATGTAAAAGACATCAAGAAGGTGATCAACCATGTGTATATGAAGCAATGGAGGCTTAGGAGTCATGAAGTGTGTTGCAAGCCCAACTTATTGGGTTGTCCATACAATCTCTTAGTGGGCTGTCCGTACAAGCCCACATAAACTCCTCCAATCAAGCCCAAACTGTAAGGAGGAGTGTGTGGACGCCTAAGAGAAGTTGTCAAGTGTTCTAGAAGCTCCTCACTTGCCTCCATAACCGTTTGAATTCAAAGAAGTGGAGGGAAGCAAGAGTCACATGTGTGACTTAAAAAAAGAGCTGTTATGTGCTGTCCCTTTCAATCTTTGTCTTTGTGCCCAAGTTTAATTTCTATATAAGGGCGCCATCTCTCATTGTAAAACACACATAATTCATAATAAAAGAGACAAGTTCTTGTTAAACTTGTATACATCTCTCTCCTTTACTTATGCTTAATTAAATTAAAGCAATGTAGAGAGTGAGTTATATGCAGTTTAGGTCTGCCTTAATGGCAGACCATTACTTGTCTAATTATACTTCAAACCACCTAAACTCTCTCTTTTGTTCAGTTAGACACTAAGTTAGTGAGCTAATCCTTCTTTAATGAGAACACAAACTCTAAGTGTTGTTGTTACTCAAATATGGATTCATGTCTCATGCTAGTGCAACTCTTCTTTACTTAGTTAGTCATTAGATTACTGAACTTTTCTTTGGTTATGACAACAAACTCTCTAGTTATGTTGCTTGTAATACTCAGATTGTGTATCATACTAATGCATTTTTTATTATGTTGAAGTGAGTTCATTTGGTTGGTTAATGAAGAACCAATCACAAGTTGATTGTGTTTCTTCTTATGTGAGACAAACCCTCACAAATTCCAACATGGTATCAGAGCAAGGTTATTCTCTTGGGCTGGACTCACTTCTTCTTTCTTCTTTCTTCATTCCAAGGATTCCTCTCTCTCACATTCTTGTTAAGCTTTTGTGACAGACCTGTGAAGTCTCTTGTCCAAAGGGTGAGGAGAGAGTGATAGGATGAATTTTAGTTTTCAAGTGCCTTTAATGGCTTTGTTTCAATCCATAAATTCTCCTCTCTATCCCCTCTTTTCTTATTTGAAGCTTTAGATGAAAGATTGAATCTGTTCATACTAACTTGAGGGAGGGAGAAAGATTAAAACTTTCACTTGAAAATGTTTTACAAAAGTTTTGCCTTTGGTTTTATTTTTCAAACTCTCTAGTTATGTTGCTTGTAATACTCAGATTGTGTATCATACTAATGCATTTTTTATTATATTGAAGTGAGTTCATTTGGTTGGTTAATGAAGAACCAATCACAAGTTGATTGTGTTTCTTCTTATGTGAGACAAACCCTCACAAATTCCAACAGTTACATACTGTTTACTAAAATATGTCTCGCAACTATAGGTTCCTCTTTTAAGAAATAAGCCTATGAATCAGAATCTGAGTCTGAATCTGTTTCTGCGTCACACTGCACCCCAAACGGTCTCAATCTGTTTGTGTTTGCTTCCAGTGGAGGCATGCCATCATCATCATCACTCGAGTCAATTTCACCGTCACCTTTTTGCTGTGCGATGGGAACTTGAGAGCTTTCATCAGCCGGAACTGGCTTAGTATCTTTGAAGACTTCTGGCCTGCATTCACCATGTCCAAACTAACATGAGCTACGCTGAGTAAACTTTAAGATTTCATCCATACACAGCAAAAAGAAAGAAGCTTTTTTACCATTCCGGAGACTTTTGGAGGAGACGGACTTGCTCAAAGTATAGAACTTTACAGACGATAGATGTAACTTTGCTACCAGACTCTTGGGCCTTTTCCTTTCCTGTATGGTCAATCACTACAAAGCTTCCTGTAAATCATTGCAGCACAAACAACATAAATCAACTTCTGTTTGAACAAGCCTGAGTGAAGAATCATGTAACTTTGTTTATAAGAGCTAAAACAGTACCTCGTCTGATCCACATGCTCTCACGAAATTTGGCTGGAAACAATGCTAATGAGTTGTCTCCTTTTGCATCCATTATCTTCAAACAGACCCAAAATAAAAACAGAAGTTAAGAAGAATCGATTGGAAACTCTCGTTGGCCTAAAACTATAACATGAGAGTGATGTAAAAATTCAACCTTTGATCATAATTACAAACTAAGCTAAGCATAAAAGAGGCAATAACCCAAAGAAAACGCTGGAATTGGCGAAAAGGGTGAAACCCAAATTAGAAAAGAAGTGTTTTTTTTTTTTGTTACCTCAATTTGATTGGAACCTCTGAGAGAGACGACCTGAGCAATGCTCTGACATTCCTCAAGCGTAAAATCCTGCTCTGACGCCGCTTGTTTCAGATTCCTTCTTCCTCTGTTCATCTCTTCTCTAACTCTTCAACTCAAATTCTAAGATAATTCAATACACTAACAACAGAATTACGACAAAAAGAAAAATGACGAGAGCAAAAACCACAGAAACGAGATTAGGGTTTTGCAGTTGTGCCGTTCAACTAGAATCGGATCAAGAAAAAAAGTGAAAACGACTTTGTTTGCTTATAAACGGGGGTAAATTAGTTATTTTTTAAGTCTAAAACTCGAGGGTATTAATGTCATTCCGTTGACCAAATAACGTCGGTGTAACCGAAGCGCTCGTATCTGCAGATAAACCGGGAATCCGTTTAAACCGTACACACCGTGCGGCGGTCTGTTACTCTCCTCCGGCGCCTGAATTTCCTTCCTCCACCGTCTTCGCCGATTCGGCGTTCCTAAATTTTGCTCGAATCCTCTTTCACTTCACAGGTTCGTAATTATGTTTTCTTGTTAATCCTGAGTTACTTTGTATCGTAACTTTACGATTCGCTGTTTTGAATATCTAGAAAGTTGAAGCTTTTCTTGTGTTGTTTCCCCTTTTATTTGGTTCCGCTTTAATGCTGTTTCTATTCTAGCTCTGAGGTGATGGGTAGAAGAAAGCAATCCAAGCCGCAGCGTTCGGTGGGTTTGATCACACAAACTGGTCCAGAATCCGACGGGAAGCAATTATCCGGCGACGAAGCGGAGGGTTCTCTGGGAAAGAATGTTGAAGATGTCGATAAGCCATATTATGTGGACATAAGCTCAACTAGTGAGCAGCAGCACTTTGATATAGCTGAAGTTGTTCTAACGAATCTAAGCTTAAGAGAAGGTGTCTGCGTTGAGATTGACCATGATATGGATTGCTCGTTACGGTTTCGGCTATGCAATGTGAGCAATTTCGTTGATCGGATTAAGCTTGGTCACTGGCCTGTGTTGTCTTCGAGTGATGTAACATTGGAACTGGTTGATAGAAAGGTGTCTGATGATGATGAGGCTGTGTCAGTGATTTGGTCTGCAAGTTTTGACGGTCCAGGTGAAGGGGTTTCGGGTCTTGCTCATCTGGCAAGTATAAAGTTTCTGACTTTGAGGCTTGTGCCGGGTGATCAGGGAATGTTGTCTCCTAGAGTTAGAGTCGAGATGCTTCAGCAAGCTTTTGATGCTTGTGACTCGCTTCTTGAGAAATCAAGACAAGTGTGGAAAAAGAGTATGGTTCATGTCATGTCTTGGTTGAGGCCAGAGGTAATGACGTCGGAGGCGAAGTATGAGACACAGCTATTAAACGTGGAGGAAAGCGAGAGATCGAGTGTGACGGATGATGAAACTTCGGACTCTAGTAAACAGTCGAGGTTTGATGCTTCTGCTTTTTATGAAGCCATTAAACCATCAAAGTGAGTAAGCAGAGACTATTCTCTTTCTTTCTTTCTTTTTTGCCTGTGCGTTAAATGCGTTTCCAACTTATTGGTATTTTATGGATTCAGGATGGATACGATGCTTGAAGATGACATAGCTGATTTGCTCCCAGAACTCAGGCCGTACCAACGACGTGCAGCTTATTGGATGGTGCAGCGAGAGAGAGGAGATCCAATAACTTTGGGAGACAACAACCAATTCATTTCACCTTTGTGTATCTCCGTTGGGTTCCTTGACTCTGCTTCAAATATGTTCTTTAACCCATTCAGGTTGGTAGAAAAGAATTTAGCTAGTGCAGTTTATTTTGAATTTGAATTATAAGCTCCTATCAATTTAGGGAAGAAGTCGATTTGATCTGGTCCATTTGTCATGCTTTGGTCTGTTTTTAGTGGGAACATCTCATTGGCACCAGAGTATTTTTCTCCTCGGATTCCGGGTGGTATCCTTGCTGGTAAGAACAGTTTGCAGCTTCGTTTTGCCTCTATGTACCATTATCAGAAAAAAAAAGAAAAAAGAGAATAATTTTGTTTGGATTCGCTTTCACAAAAGAGTATTTTCTAAAACGTTATGGTTTGAGTTTGCTTAAATGCTAGGTGGTCCAGCTTTATCAACTTCTGTGGTATTTTCATACTTAATGTGGTAAAATATGAATGCTGCAGATGAAATGGGATTGGGAAAAACGGTTGAGCTACTTGCTTGCATCTTTTCTCATCGAAAACCAGCAGAGGATGATGAGGTTTCTGTGCCTAATGGTTCATCAGTTGCTGACGAAACTTGCTTGAAGAGATTGAAAAGAGAGCGTGTTGAGTGCATATGTGGAGCTGTCACCGAAAGTCGCAAATACAAAGGAGTATGGGTACAGTGTGACATGTGCGATGCTTGGCAGCATGCGGACTGTGTAGGTTATTCACCTAAAGGGAAAGCTAAGAAGGCAAGTGAAGATGTCGACGAAAAAGCATCTCAAAAGAAGAACAAAAAAGACGCAACGAATATTGTTGTCAGAAAAGGTGAATATATTTGCCAAATGTGCTCTGAACTCTTACAAGTCACTGCTTCTCCCATCTCTACGGGAGCCACTCTTATCGTCTGTCCAGCTCCTATACTACTGCAATGGCATTCCGAGATTACACGGTACCAGATTCTTCTCTACCTTTAACAAAACGATGTTTTTTTTTTTTTTGGTTCTTCGCTTAATTTAATGTTAAGTTATCTTTTCTTCCTTTCATTTGTCTTGTTGTAGCCATACACGCTTGGGTTCTCTCGTGACATGTATCTATGAAGGCGTGAGGAATACATCACTCTCTGAAGAACCTATGATCGACATCACTGAACTCCTCAATGCTGATATCGTTTTAACCACATATGATGTCCTCAGAGAGGACTTGACACATGACTGCGACAGGCATGATGGTGACCGGCACTGTCTTAGGTTCCAGAAAAAGTAAGATTGTTTTCATGTCATGATGAAACTTCCGTCATATCTGCTATATTGAACAAATTGCATTATTGAAACATTTCTTAGAACTTGCCAATATCAATGTGGATTAGTTCCATACTCAAGTATTCAGACAAGCCTAATGAACAACACTTACTTTAATCTGATAGAACTGTTGCTTTATCTCCTGATTGTTGTTGTATTGTGATAGGTACCCTGTTATTCCTACTCCACTCACCAGAATATTCTGGTGGAGGATTTGCTTGGATGAGGCACAGATGGTGGAGAGCAATGCAGCTGCTGCAACAGAGATGGCATTGAGATTACATACCAAACACCGTTGGTGTATCACTGGAACTCCTATACAACGCAAACTTGATGACTTATTTGGACTATTGAGGTTCCTCAAAGCAAATCCGTTCGATGTTTCAAGATGGTGGACTGAAGTTATAAGAGACCCATATGAGGTCTGAGCAGAGCAAATAGTTCATTACTTTTACCTTTTATGAGTTTTTCTTGTCTAACAACGTTCTTGCTTTGTTCAGAGGCGAGATGCAAAGGCCATGGAGTTTGCGCATAAAATTTTCAAACAAGTCATGTGGCGTTCTTCAAAACTCCATGTGGCTGATGAGTTGCAAATTCCACCTCAAGAGGAATGCGTCTCGTGGCTCAATTTTTCTGCAATTGAAGAACACTTCTATAGCAGGCAGCATGAAACTTGTGTGAGTTATGCACGTGAAGTTATAGAAACTTTGAAACGTGATATTCTCAAAAGAGGTGCGAATAGTGTCTTTCTGCACTTTCCACCTTTGTCTTTACTTGCCTCTTAAAGTTTCTCTCTCATAACTTTGACGCTTAACTTTCAATCCCACTTATGATAATCTTACAGGTCATAGCTCTTTTGATAATCCTTTAATAACTCATGCCGAAGCAGCAAAACTGTTGAACTCACTCTTGAAACTGCGCCAAGCTTGCTGCCACCCGCAAGTAGGGAGTTCTGGTTTACGTTCATTGCATCATACTCCAATGACCATGGAAGAAATCCTAATGGTTGGTTTGCAAGATTTACCTTTCTATCTTGGTTTTAGTTTATTTCTGCTAATTGAAGTTTTTCTCAGGTCCTTGTGAGAAAAACCCAGAACGAGGGAGAAGAAGCTCTTAGGGTGTTGATTGTTGCTTTAAATGGGATTGCTGCTATCGCCATGCTTAAGCAAGAGTTTTCCGAAGCTGTATCGTTATACAAGGAAGCACTAAATATAACCGAAGAGCACGCAGAAGATTTTCGTCTTGATCCATTGTTGAATATTCATATTCTTCACAATCTAGCTGAGATACTACCACTGGTCGAAAGCTACGGTAGAAAGCGTTCTGCATCAGGAAGCCCTGAAAGTAATATTGATGTAAAAGATGACGATCATCATCGTGCAGCGAAAAGGCAAAAGATCAATGAGCGTGACAGTGCAACTCATGTTTCTTCAGAAACTGCACATCAGTGGGAATCCGATGCTCAAGACAGTAGTTTACATAAAGATGGAGAGTATCATGAAGAATACAAACATCTGGATACAGTCTGTGACACATTGAAAGAAAAGTATTTATCCGCATTCAACTCAAAGCTTTCTGCGGCACAGCAGGAATTCAGAAAATCATACAATCAGGTAATTTCCACAAAATGCTTCAAACATGTTTCTGTTACTTTTTTCCTCCTAAAGCTAACACTTGCAATGCTAAATAATCGAAAAAACTTCAAGGTTTCCGAGTCGTTGAGCAATATGGGGAAAGAACGTTCGGTTTGGTGGTTGGATGCTCTGCAACTTGCTGAACAGAATAAAGAATTTTCCAGCGAGTTGACCAGGAAGATTGAAGAGGCCATCCATGGAAGCTTAAACAATTCAAGCTCCTCCAGAGCAACTTCTCGGTTAGTGCATTGAAAATTTAAAATTGAAAAGTTTCATGACTTCTGTTTCCACAAACAGTTACAGAAATTTGTCTGTTGATTGTAATTATGGGGCGTAATTTCTACATTTGACGAATGAATTCACCTGTATCTGCAAAGTTATCGGGACTTGTGTGAGTTATCGAAAACATTAAGAACTAACTTGCGAAGTTCCCTTATTCCAGCTTTAGAACCATACATGGCATGAAACTTCATCTGCAGACGTGTATGGATACACTGGAAAGCTCTAGAAAGACAGTGATAGATAAGCTTTTAGAGATTGACCAGACTATGGAGAAACCGAAATTGGAGGATATCGAGCGTATTGGTCACTGCAAATTTTGTAATAAGAAAGATGATGGCCCTACGTGTATTCACTGTGAGCTAGATGAAACATTCCAGGTTTGCTTCTTTTGCTTGTTCGCGCTTATATGAAGTTTTATGCTTATGTTAATATAAGCTGTTACCATAATTTCATGTATTGAAAAATCTTACCAGGGATATGAGGCGAGGCTATTCCGTCTCAACAAATCTCGTAGGGGACTAATGGAACATGCGTCTGCAGAGGAGATAGTAGACTTCACGAAGAAGAGATCTGCACTTAATCTTTTCTTTGTTGGTTTGTCATCGAGAAACAAGGATCTAAATCCATCCAATGGTGATAATGAGGAACCCAACAAAAGAAATGCTGGTGACGCCGTGATTGTAAGCCTCTTCTGTGATTAAAATCATATGATTTTGGCAGCCATCGTCACGGTCTTGATACCAATCACCCTTTATGTTGTGATTATAGGTTTCAAAGTCTCCATCTGAGACGGAAACTGTTCTTGGAGTGATAAGAAACCACTGCAAAACTTATTTAGACAGGGAAAGCAAAGTGGCAGCCACAAAACATTTACAAGTCCTTGAGGTATTGTCCTAGAGATCTCCTTTGCTAACATGTAGAAAGTGGTAAACTAAACGGGATCTGACATTTCCAATTTTTGCTTAAGGCGATGAGGAAGGAATATGGACTTGCAAGGGTTTTGGCTAGGGCTCAAGCTCACCTCCTACGTGCCTATGATGAGATTAAGATGGCGACAATGAGACTACAGATTAGAGAATCTGAAGATGACACGTCGATTTATGCTTTGAGCCTGGATGAGTTAGATGCTGCTAGCGTGCAGAACACAAATGATAAATTTTTGGCTCAATCCTCGTTGCTTAGTATTAAAGGGAAGCTTCGTTACTTGAAGGTAAATATGTAACCTTATTGTTGTTATATCTTGCAGATAAGTCATTAATGTCTGTGTTGCTAACGTTTAGGTCACATGTCTATTGAACTTTTCAAATATTCACCAGAAGCTTTAGTTATATTTTCATAAAACAAATCTTATTCTTTGTTTTCCTTTTCAGAGTTTGATCAAATCCAAACAGAAACAAGAATCTGAGAGTCCAGATCATTCCTCACCAGTACATGAAACAGTTACGGCTTCAGTTCCTGTTGAACAGGAAGGCGAGAACCTTGGAAAGCGAGAGGAAGCATGCCCGATTTGTCATGAAATTCTACGAAGTCAGAAGATGGTTTTCCAGTGCGGACACAGCACTTGCTGTAACTGTAAATACTTGACATATTTTCTTTGCTTGATCATACGGATTTTCACTTTCATGCACACATATGTTCTCGTGCCTTTTCTTTCTGTCTCGTTGATATCCTGTTAACAATATCTTCTTTTTTGTGTTCGTCCACGTAGGTTTCTTTGCTATGACCGAGCGCGTATCAAATCATGAAACTCAGAAAAAGTGGGTGATGTGTCCGATATGCAGGCAGCATACAGATGTTAGAAATGTTGCATATGCTGATGACAGACAAAACGGTTCTTTGTCAGATCAAGATCACAAAGAAAACGAAGCATCACTGTCTGTTCAAGGTTCATATGGAACAAAGGTTAGCTTCCTTGACTTTTAAAGATTTCCTGCACAAGAAAGTACTTCTTTTTCTCATCTATTTGTTTTGGGGTAGATCGAAGCCATTACAAGAAGAATCTTATGGATCAAGTCTAGTGACCCGGAATCGAAGGTTCTTGTTTTCTCCAGCTGGAACGATGTTCTTGATGTGTTAGAACATGCCTTAGCTGCCAACGGCATCACTTTCATCAGGATGAAAGGAGGAAGGTATTGTAGCGACAGTTTCAATCGGGAAAGTTCATTAAAGAGTGTTGCCATAGGTTACTTGATGGAGTTGTTATATATAACGTTGATTCCATGTTAAAACGCAGGAAATCACAGACGGCCATTAGCAAATTCAAGGGGACTGAGAGAAAAACCCAGAACACAAACTCCCATATTAAAGAGGAAAAATCGGTCCAAGTCCTATTGCTTTTGGTGCAGCATGGTGCTAATGGTCTTAATCTTCTGGAAGCACAGCATGTTATTCTGGTGGAGCCGCTTCTAAATCCGGCTGCAGAAGCGCAAGCTGTCGGGCGTGTTCACCGGATTGGACAAGAGAAGCCTACTCTAGTTCATCGTTTTCTGGTTCGTGTATCTGCTTTATCATGTCACCTTGGTCTTTGTAAGGATTCAAGATCTCCCATTTGGTGATTCACTTTGATCCTGGCCTCTGTTTTTTTTTGTGTGGAAACTAGGTAACGGGCACGGTGGAAGAGAGTATCAACAAGCTGAACAGGACTAAGAGCACAAACGTAAGCTCATTCAGCAGCAGGAATACAAAGAATAAAGATCAACAGTTTCTGACGCTACGGGATCTCGAATCTCTATTTGCTTCACCAGCAGCTGAAGCAGAAGAGACTGAAGAAAACCCGGGAGATAAACAGGAGAATCTGAGAGATCTTCCTCCCTCTGTCGCTGCAGCGATAGCAGCAGAGAGGAGAATGAAAGAAAGTAATGCATCCTCATCAACCACAAACAACACATCATGATTAATATGGAAATGGTTGCAGAGAGATTTGGTTCCAGACAAATTGGTTGGTTGTCGGAGCATCTTGTTGTCTGTATAGTGTGAAGAGAGAAGTAGTCCAAAAGTACACTGCTTCTCTTTGGTGTTGTCTACATTCATTATGGATACTTAACCTCTCGAACTTTTAGATAGGATTAGGCAAGGAATAAGAGTTTTTTTTATTGTATTGCAACAGACATTGCTCTGCATTAGAGTAGCTTAAACTTACAATAGTGCTTTTAGGAATATAACAGAAATTTCAAAGGATCATCCAGCTACTAGAATTTCTAACATTATTGAAATTTTTTTTAATGTTTTATTTACTGTGGGATTTTGGAGAGAGATTATGGGCAAAAATGAAAGGCGAAGAACTCGTCAGCTTTCCGAGCTCATAGGCTCAACAATCTCAATCATCATTATAACTCTCCTTATGATCACTGATCTATATATATACTTTGATATGGAAATAAATAAATAAACATATGATTAAAAACAGCAAAAAGGGTAATCTTTTCTGATAATTTGGAGTGTAAACATATTCTTGTGTTATAACATTTGAGAAGACAAAAAGTCTACATTCAAGAAATGAAACCACAAAGCCCCAGAAAAAAACAAAAATTTATTCAGCTCCACCGGAAAGATGCGAGAACAAACTTAGAAACTGGAAAAACTCTCACACTATCTTGAATCCTGGTGATTTGATTCCTCACTTTTCTTCAGGTGCGGGTTTATCAATGAATGTCTTCTTTATCCAACCAAATGGCTGTGAATGTGATCATAAAGATTATGTCAGATACAAAACAAAATGAGTTTCGAAGGGAAAAGATTAGAGAAAATGGTCACTAGCTTAAGAGTTAAGGCGCCCATCTCTTCATAACAACAATAAACCACACACTGTGACTATCAGTAATGAAAAAGAAATGGATCTAATGCTTAACATTGAGAAACAACAAATAAAACTAATTCATATCTCAGTTTGAAATGGGTGCGATTCTATCCTCCTAAAGATGTGACTAAGTGAAGCCAAAGATTGTGGAACGTAGAAGCAAAAGCATTTAAACGGAAGACTAATCTGAATGAAGCTCAAATCAAGAGTTGGACTTGGAAAAAGAGATGAAGAAGTCTGATCACCAATTCGATTAGAGATATTTCTATCTAGTATCTACGACAAAAGAAGCTTATCACAAAAATCGAATCAAGCCTTTCATGAAATGCAACGATGCAGTTTATATTCGTGCCCAGAAAAGTACCTCCCTTTATGGATAAACATCTAACGAGATCAATGCAAAGTGCATATTTTTAAAGTGTTCATGAATGAATCATCATCACTTGTGACTTTTTTTTTTTCATTTTTCGTCCAATTCAATTCAGATCAGGAACAGAATCCGTGAAACCCAATTCAAATGGCAGAGACAGCTAAAATCTTAAGGCCGGAGATCCAGAGAAAGAGGAAGATGGCTTACTTGGACGACCCAGATGGCTCCGGCTGCGGCAGCGACACCCCATGCTGCGGCGGCCTGGATATCCACCGATTGGATTTGGCTATTTCCCTTCACGCGATTGAGCACGCCTCCTAACATTACTGCTTCGATCTCTCGCTCTCTCTCTCTCTCTCTTGTTCGCTATCAAATCGATCGAACCCCACCGAAATCCTTAAAACGAAAATGACGATAATCAATGAAACGAATTTTTGCAATCGCATTCGTCGACATTATAAGGGATGCTTGACCTAGTCAAACGTCACTTTTACACTTCGTGCCGTCTTATGTGTAAGCACTTGAACAACGTGCCGTTTACACTGTATTTACTAAGTGTTCATCATAAGCCAAAAGAGATCAAGATCAGACAAGTTAAACACACTTCCATTCCCTTGATGATTATTATTTAAACTCTCCAATGTAACAATGCTTTTGGTTTCAAGAACAACAAAAAAATGAACTATCAATATCCAAACAACCAACAATCACAACATCATTCTATCTATATTGGAGAACCAAGCTTCACATTGCTCTTTCTTGGACCATCTGGTTTAGTTGCGGGTCGACGACCCTTGTCGGGACCACCGATGACGCCCCATTCCTCAAACTGTGTCTGCCTCGCTCTTGCCCTCTCTTTCTCCTCTTCGGATTTCGTGGAGTAACAGTAAGGGCAAGAAACTCCATGCTCATACTCTGGAGCTTCCATGTCTTCATCACTTATAGGTTGCTTGCATCCGTAGCAGAGTTTGTGGGTTCCTTGTGCTAAACCATGTTCCACAGATACACGCTTGTCGAACACAAAGCATTCGCCTTCCCACAGACTCTCTGTCTTAGGGACTTCTTCAAGGTACTTCAATATCCCACCTTTCAGATGATACACCTGATAACAAAATGTTTTTGACTTTTTTACTTACCTCTGAAAACCAATAGCTCAATGGTTAGATGTTGTATTAGGTTTACCTCATCGAAACCTTGGCTTAAAAGAAAGCTTGAAGCTTTCTCACACCTGATTCCTCCAGTGCAGTACATAGCAATCCGTGGCAACGTCTTCGGTTTTTCAGTTTTGACTTCTTTATCAGCGATTTCAGAAATATCCTCTTTCTCCGCCTCTGCTTGCGTTTCATTGCCTTCTTGCTTCAATGCAAATTGATTCTCCACCCAAGATGGAAAATTTCTGAAAGCTGTGGTACATGGATCCACAGCTCCTTTAAACTTCCCAATTCTAGTCTCATAGGTATTTCGCACATCAATCACTACCTGAAACACAAAATCACACCGAGAATTCAAAGATCTTATAACATTTTACCAAGAAAAGACACAAAGTCATAATTTTTTCAAAGATTCTTATAACTTAGAAGCAAGCTACACAAACACAGAACTAGATACGGGAAAGTGATTTGAGTTCAAAGTTTATAAACAGTTCCCAAATCTTATTCAAATTTCACCATGTGCTTGACTAATCTTGCTACAAGATAGTTAAAAGAGATCTCACAGTTTCTGGATCACTGATCAGTTCGTTCCATTCTTCGGGGCTCACATATGTGCCAACTCTTTCCATCGGCGAGACACTGGGCATTCCGAGCGTAACAATCTGCACAGAGACATTACAAAAGAAACTCAACTCTTGACAATCTACAAAACTTCAAAGACGAGAGTGTACGTACCTCTTTCTTGAGTTTGACCCTGACATGGTCCCATCTAAAGGGAGCATCTTCACCGGCTGCAAGAGGAGAGCTGCTGCTATGTCCATGGTGGATTGCTTCTTGTTCAGGACTCACAGGTGTCTCCACTTGCCTCAAACCATTCAGTCTGATATCACTCTGTATAAATGCCAACACTCTCTCCACTGATTCACGACTCCCGCAGATACTTCCATTGATCCCTTCTGGTGCAAGAATGATTCCACCTGAAACACGCTGGTGAAACAATACAAGCCTATTCTATCACTGCTTGGTATCTAAAACCCAATTGTTTTGTTGTTGCTCATTACAGCACTCTTAAAGTCAATAAGATTGTCAAAGACTCAGCCTTTCGTATCGGAACGACACTGAATATCCACAATTTGATTGAAATAGAAGAAATGGCATACCAATTCCTCGCAGAGATCCTTCAGAGGCTTTCTGAAATCAGCATGGTCGGGAAAATCAGCGAATTTGTAGAAAGAAACCACAACGAGCGAGCCAAGATCCGACTCGGCAGCTTCTGGTCTGCTCGAAAAGCACTGAGAAGCCGTAGCCATGCTTTGCCGGATAGCTCCGGCGCTCGAACAAGCCACCGTTGATTTCAGAGAAGAAGTGGGAGAGGAGGAGAGATTCTGGAGTTGGGATTGAGAGTACAGTAACTCGGTTTTAGATATTCCACCGGTTGAGCTAGTATTCATGCCACCACCGGAAAAGGGAGACTGTGACTTAGTTGGTGGTGGCGATGAGAGCATCCTAGCGGCGGCGAGGGACGGCGGAAATCTCCAGTGACAAAACCGTAGCATTGGGTTTCAATCCAAAAACAAATTCTGTGGGCTTAACCAAACCGGGCTAAACCAAAAGGTCTGTGGACCGATTCACGTGGCTATAAAACAACTGACCTTTTAATGTTAAGATTAAAAAGTGATTTGCTCTCGTGGGGCCGCCACTATATTAGAAATGGAGAAGAATACGGCTTTAATTGGTAATCTGAGTTTAAGATCATAAGTCAAAAATGTTATCAAGTGTAAAATAAGATTTTTTGATTTTAAGTTATGATACAATTTCGAGTTATCTCTTTGTTAAATTGCTAACTTAAAACTTAAATCTTTTCAACTTTATTTTCAGCTGATGTATATATTGCGTTGATCTTCAATATATTTATATCTAAGTGAGAGACATGTGTTATTATTGTGTCGTTGTATATAGAATTCTGTTAAACTAAATGTGTCTTAGTAACAATCGAATAATTTCAGTTATGCAAGTTTTTGTAAAGTTGTATGAGTACTTCAAGTGAAATTTGTATACTGTTAAATATGTTCATGAATCTCTCAGTAAATATGTTGTGTTCTTGCCTATTCCCTCATTTTACATATGAACGAACTATACTGTTTTATGATTAGTAAGTAACTAAAGCCGGATTGTTCGATTACATTTCGTGTTTGTATGATAAATTTAGTATTGATCTGTTCCATAAATGTATGGTTATCAGAACTTTTCTAATCGAATTAAAGCAGATAACAAATCCAAATGAGGTCTTACGAATGTTTTTCCCTGTTCCTAGGTGAGAGTTATGACACAACGAAAGTTCAAATAAACAACAACAAAAAAATCCAAATTTGATTAGTCGTGCTTCTAGAACTGAAATGTTTTATCATCTGATAAAATCTTATCCGACATGCAAAACAATAGATAATTACGATTTAGAATGTGGAATTTTTGGATCTGCATCTAAAGAGACTCTATGAATGTTTTTGTCTGGGCGTGAGGGAAAAGAAGCTTCCTATGTCCTGCCTGCCTCAAACTCTGACCTTTTGTAATTTTTTTAGCTTTTCAAAACTCATCTTTTCTAATTTCCAAAATTATTTTCTCTCAGTCTTCCGATATAATAATTGATGTCCTCATCAGCTATACGAAGCTTCCTCCTTTATCTTCTTTTCATTGTCTGCAATGTAGACACTTTTTCGTGATAATATTATACCATTGATCTAAAGTTTTACAAAAACATGTTCACGATAATCATTAATTTTTCTAAACGTATGGGGACAAAGCCTAAAGGCACATATAGTTGTAAGTGTTTTGGATAATGACGTAGTAGACTAATTTACTGGCATATTCAAAACGATTATATAATGGCTAGTGAAAAATATATAGTAATAACTAAATGTTAAGCGACTTAGAAAGTTTCGACTACTCCATTCCGTACTTTTCGATTTTGTTTTCCACGGTTTCTTCATTAGGTAATGTTGTCAGTTGGAATCAATAAACACAAGTCAAAAATTAAGTTTTTTTTTTTTTTTTTTAAATTAAGTTTTTGAAAACGCGATATTTGGTACATACCGTTGATTAACAGCTCGTACTACCTAGCTAGATGATTGCATGTTTCTTTAATTAAAAAGGCCAAATCGGTTGAGTACTCTATCTACACCTTATGTTGAATCTCAAATATAACGATTTAAATATATATCTCTCGGATAGACTCAAGTATCAAAAGATTGTAGTTACTAAATTTTAAATTTCTAGTCGGCACAACTAGAAAATGCATAAACGGTCACATGTATATAATATATATACATATATATACACATATAGACTTAAATATCACAAATTTGTAGTTAATAAATTTTTAAATTTCTTAAAGTCGGCACAACTAGAATGACCCTAAACGACCACAAGCTTGATGTATATGATTTGGGAGTCATGACGTCTTATAATTTAGGAGTCCATTTTTCTATTTAACGACCTTTTGGATCCATATGTAGACACAATAGTTGAACATAAAGTGTGTCAGTGTGTGTGTGTGTGGAATTTCCATATTTGCATAACGATAAAAATGAAGTTCAGATTTAGTAGTGACAAAACCTAAGCATTACTAATAGAAACGGTAACTAGCCAAGACATAAAAGCAATTAAAGATACCTAGGTGGAATTAAATGCATGCACCACTATAAATAAGGTAAAATCGTTAGGTTAGAAACAAATTTGGTTAATGCAAAAAAAGCTTGGTTTAGATTTGAGTAGTGATCGCTTAATGGGATTTGGTTCTAAACAAGTAGGTACATAAAAAAGTCAAACACAAGAGGCTGCCGTAACATTAGTGGGATTAATTAATTAAGACATTAAACAAAAATATTAGTACTGTAATAATGATAGCTATCAATTTTATACTCCAACATCAGTTTTGTAGCTATAAAACTATTAGCAAAAACAAAAATCTACTTTCAATATATTTATTGCTGTTTGAATATAAAGTTGTTCTCGTTCAAAGCCAGGAGTGGCTCTTACAATAATTTTTGTTTCTTTTGACTTGATGATTAATTAATTCTTCTGAGGAAAAAGAATTCCCCGATTGGGTATTTGCACGAGATAAGATTCAACTTACACATTAAAAAACCGAAATGTTCATATAAACTACATTAAAACAGTTTTAAGCTTCGTGACAGATCATTATCCATATTCCAGAGTAGTCATTAACGATAACTCGGAGTCCTTTAATCGAGACCTCTCGATTAACAATTTATAATACAACTCAGCTTAAGATTAGATTAAGCACAAAATGACATATTTTAATATATTAATTAAACTACTATTCGTATAACGATTTGTCATTTGTCAAGATTACTTCCCCACCGTTGACATTTCTCACATCATCCCCGAAATAAAAGCAATATTTTAGCTGTTTTATATTGATGCTTAAAGTTTTGAACATTTGAATATAACTAGTGTCTAGATATGACAATCTCTACATGATTAATCAGTTGAGATATATAAAGAAATGGTGGATTTGGATGAGGTAAAACGACGAAGTAAAACAAATTTGCTGAGACATATATATGTATTGGTTCAAACAGAGAAGTAACACATACTCGAAGTTGTTGCGTTAAGCTAGAACATAAGTATAAGATTAACAAGTGATTTGATCTTGTAGGGACATTCAATATGAAATGGAGAAGAACAATCAAATCCCTCTTCCAAGTTTATTTTTAGCTGATATATACATATTGCGTTGCGAGACATGTGTCAGTATATATGTTGTGTTCTGGCCTATTCCCACATTTTACATATGAAAGAACTATAATGTTTTTTTTAATGATTAGTAAGTAACTGTTTTGATTTTACTTAAGATTGACAAAAGTAAGTGTATTAATGAGAGTACTCTAGAGAATTAATAAGCAACCAAATGGATTTGACTTACGGAGTTTGATTTGCGAATGGATGCAAGAATGTGGACTCAAATTACAGCAACTCCGAGGAGTACTCAGTGGCTCCTGCCCCCTAACTCCCTAAGTGCCCTCACAATATCCCAATCCCATATCATTTTTGCAAACAAATGTTTTACCTTTAACTATTTTTTTCTTTTTGGGCAAATGCCTTTAACTATTTAAATTTGTTTTATACGTCAAGAAAATAACTAATTCAACTAACCCAAAATCATTCATTTTTATATTATTTAGAAATTACGAAAAACGAACACGTATCCATAAACAAATTAAAATGACTTCTTTATTACTCGATCTATCATCATAGGTTATAGTTTAGTAGAATGTTACTTTTTTGGTATTAAGAACATGTCAATGGTTATCTGTGAGAGCAGTGACAGTTTCATCAAAATTTTCATAATTCGAAATAATTTAAGTCTTAAATTCATATATATTTTTTTCTATAAATTCCCAAGTACTGCCAAAATGACCAGGGCAAAGCAAGGAGTAGGCTGACATAGCTAAGGTGTGACTTGTGGTTGTGATGCCTTTAAAGCTCTGTTTTTAGCCAAATGATCCAAAACAATTTTAATAATAGTTCTACAAATATAAAGAAATAAAAAAATAAAACATGGTTGCTTTATTATATTGAGATTAACCTTGATTACCACTTATAGATCCGAACAAAGCGGTCTCACCACAGCTGATATATTTGTTTTATAACATTTAATTTTAGTAGTTAATAATCTCATCCATTACAAAATTCAAAGGTTCAAACTATGTATATGAAGAATATTCGTTATTTTCCTAATGAATCCTTCTACTTTTGTAAATGTACGATACAACAATACACATGAGTCATGGACACATCAATAATTGGTCTAATGTAAATGCTTCCACATCAAAAGTTATTTTGGTTTTAGAAACTATCTGACTCAATTACTCTAAAATAAAATTTATGTGGTTTGGTCCGATATATCTTGTCAACATGTCTCCTCTCTTTATTTTATTCATTTTTCCCTTCTTGATGATTTCATTGTCAATGAAAACAAATTGATTGTTAAAAATATAAAATATTTGATTTATATAACTTAACAAGTTGTCTGAGATCGTTGTCACGGAAATAAATAAATAAATCCTAATCTTAAACATTAAAACCCAAAAAAAAAAAAAAAAAAAAAAAATCCGGGAAGAAAGGAGAGAAAAAAATACAGCCACCAAGTCCTGAAACGTGTTACGGAGATGGGTGACGTCGTCCCACCTCATAGGTGTGACATCAGCAAAGCTCTGGTAAGCCAATGGGTGAGTAAATAAGATATCACTTTACCATTATACCCTCGAATCCATTATCATTTTATAAGAAAGTTTTATCAATCTCCCAATTATACCCTCCGGACCACTATAAACTCATCTCTTACTCTCGGTCTCTCTTTCCTAAGCATCTTCCTTTGATTATTTTCTCTCTCTCTCTTGATCATTGAGAAAAAAAAAACCCAGAAAAAATCTATCTTTCTTCTCTCCACTATATTACACCATTTTCTCATCCTCAAATCATAAACCCAAAAACAAAACCTAAAAAAAAACACCACATACCCATTATATTGCTGTAACAAAAAAAAAAAATGGATTCAAATAGTAACAACAACAAATCCATAAGCAGGAAAGTTGTCGACCAACTCGTCGAAGGCTACGGATTCGCTACTCAGCTTCAGCGTCTACTCTCTCATCAACACTCTAACAACCACATCGATCAGACCCGTATTGTTTCCGGGTCGGGTTCAGTTCCCGGTGATCCGGATCCCGCTGAAGAGCTCATAGCTAAGATCTTGGAATCTTTCCATAAAACCATATCGGTTCTTGATTCTTTTGATCCCATCGCCGATGTCTCTGTCCCTATCGCCGTCGAGGGTTCACGGAATGCTTCATGCGGCGATGATTCGACGGCTCCGGCGAGTTGCAACGGTGGAGATTCCGGCGAGAGTAGAAAGAAACTTGGGGTTGGTAAGGGTAAAAGAGGCTGCTACACTAGAAAGTAAGTTAAATAAAGTTGAAATTCAAAAACATATTTATTGTTTATATTTTTCATTCGTGTTTAATGATTTAATCTCCTTTTTATGTGGGTTTAAAAATGAAATAGTTGCTATTTTTGTTTATGGATTCCATCATATTTTTGTGCTAGTGCCCCCATATTGAAATGACTGATCCTACAGGTTATTGGATATATTCAATTTGTTCTTTTTTCTTTCTTTTTCTTTTGTGCAACATATTCATTTTGTTCATAATCATACAAAATGCCAATGAATATTAAATACACGATCACTGTTTTTGTTATTAGTCTTGATAGTGATAGAGAAATTGTATGAATATGATTTGATTATATTGGAAAATCAATGGAACCGAATTTGATCTGGTATCAATTAGTGCCGTGATTCCATTACGAACAAGACATATAGTAGTACTATTTACCGTGGATCTGTATTACAGGAACATATATATTAGCTAAAATGATTTAGCCATTGATTAATAAATTATTACTTATTATTTGCAGGCCGAGATCGCATACTTGGATCGTGATAGCTAGAAGAATTGATGAAGACAGATATGCTTGGAGGAAATATGGACAAAAAGAGATTCTTAATAGCAAATTCCCAAGGTCCTCCTTTCTCCACATATATATCTATGTATATATAATATATATTTATATAATGCATATATATATATATATACATGGCCAAGCCATTTTCATTTTGTAACGAGAATCCCAAACCGAATCTAAACTAGAATCTATAACTACTATGTGAATTCTGCAGTGGTCTAAATCATTGTGCTTTTTACTAATGTTTTGCAGAAGTTACTTTAGATGCACACACAAGCCAACACAAGGGTGCAAAGCAACGAAGCAAGTCCAGAAACAGGAGCAAGACCCTGAGATGTTCCAAATCACATACATTGGCCACCATACATGCACTGCTAGCGACCAAACACAAACAAAGACCGAGCAATTTGATCAAGAAATAATCATGGATTCGGACAACACAGTGGCTGCAACCACTGTTAAGGTACATGAGCAAGAGAACAACATCAGTAGTGTAATAACGGGTTTAAGCGCAGGCATGGTTAAGGAAGAAGAGAATAACAATGGTGATCATAATAAAGACTATTGTGAGGGTTCTTCCACAGATGGGGACTTGTCATTGGTTTGGCAAGACGTGATGATGCTTGATGATCATCAACACCATCAGAATCACTACTATCATGGTGAGACTAGAACTACTTCGTCTCAACAATTCTCTTTCATTGACAACGATCAGCTTTACTCCTTATTCGACTCATATGGCGCTTAAGAAGGAACTAGTGCTATATGAACATTCGAATATGACTCAGGATCAGGCTTGTAATATTTTCTCCTTCTATCTCTCTGAGTATGTTTAGTGGAATGTAATATTTTGTTGTATGTTTGATAAATCACCATATGACATATATACTTCTCCTTCTACATTTCTCTCTTATTTCAATTTTTTGAACTGACACTAGTTGTTTTGTACGTGCTAGTTAGTATCTGATTCTTGACTAAAAAGTTCACTTTGGATAAACCATGACTTAAATCTATTACGACGTATTGATGAAATAGCTTGAATGTATTACCGATGAAATTTAGAATAAGCCAAGCTCCAAAACAGCGACAATATCCCACTAGATTATTGTTTTGCCTATTTGATTATTAGTACTTTTGATGTTGGATTCAATAATGTTTAATCAATACATGTGATATATAATTACCTAAAGAGTGTAAAGAGACTTATCCATTCAAATTGCGGCTCTGAATGTTTGGTGCTAAAAAGGAAAAAATTGGGACAGATGCATCTTGCGACAGTCATGCTTTGTCTTTTTGTTGTTGCCTTTACATAAGCGACGCCGTATACACTAGGGCATTAATAATGCTTGTTGCAAGGACAAAACAAAATTAATCAAGTTTTTCTCTATAATATATTCGGTAGTGACCAATAAAAATAATTTCCGTACATGTACTCGTGATCGTTATATACAAACTAAATTTATTACACTCCGTGTGACGTATAAACCTTTTGTACATGCAAAAAAAATGAGAAATTGGTATAAGATAGATAAATAGATAAAACTTACTCGATTTCATAGAAATAAATTATAATTGACAAATTAGATAATAAATTAAACTATTTTTACGTGTGATAGTTTAAAATTGCGTTTCTTTATTCAATAAAGGTGTCTGGATTTTCTAATAGTCTAATTTTAAAGAATCAAAATATAATACTCCATATCATAGTTTAAATAATAGGTACCTTGTTTTAGAAATGGTAAAACCTCGACTAAAACAAAGCAAAAACAAAAAAAAAAAAAACACGAGAGACGACTCTTAATACAGCAGATGCCTCTACATATTAGGTTTTACTTACATATAAAAGTTCAGAAAATATAACATATTCATCTGATAAAAGTAAAATAAAAACATGGATTTAATTAGAAATTTATATTTTGTTACAAAAATTATTGTTTAACATCAATAAAAAGTTATGTATATAAATAATGAATAAATAAATAAAGTATTTTACATCTATATACATATATGTGTCTTTGAGATTCTTTCTCTCCGTTCTAAACTTTAAAATAACTTAAAATTTATCAAACATCATCGTTGTGATGGTTTTTTTCTCATTTTATAAGAAATGTATGGGACATTGGCTTCATTCTCTTACATTTTAGTAATTCGTTTAAAATGAAAAAAAAAAGAAGGAAACAAACTAATTGTTTAGTTTTATAAAACCAAGAAACTTTTAAAAAGTTGATTAATGATGAGTTTGTTTTTGTTTTGTTATGTGTTTTCAAAACCCAACAACTAAACTATATAACTCATTTAACACCTTAAACATCTTTTGCATATGTCACAATATACTGTTATAAAATAATTGAGGATAACGTAAGTGTCTTCTCCGTCGACATAACAAGTACACACGATGAACAAAAGGGCAAAATGAAAATGAAGGCCCATACATGATGAAGAGTGACTGTGGAAGGACCATAACTTCCACTCAAACAGCTGAATTTGACACTGGAGACTGCTTTTTAATTATTTGGATTCTTTAGTCTGAAAAAATACAACAGCAAAAAGGAAGAAACACCAACAAGTTCATGCCAATTTGTGAGATACTGACAAAATAACAATTTCCCCCCTAATTTTGATTTATTTTAAATAAAACGAAGTTGCAGCATTTATATAATAAAGTTGCTGAATAGTGTTTCTTTATTTAATCATATTGTCCAATGTGCCTTGTACTGAGAAAAGTGTACGCGATTGGATATTCTGATTACTTTTTTTTGTATCGTCAGAAATTCTGATTACTTAATGTTTTATTTCAGAGCCAACGAATTCCTTAAATAATCCTAAAATGATTTTATTAAAAAGAAATTTGATGAAATGAGCTCTCTCTAAAGATTTGTATGGAAATGGCCAAAATGGGGAATACAAATTTTTATCATGTAATAGATAATTGTTTGTTTAATAATTAACTTTTATTTTCTAAACTTAAACTTGAGTGTCTTTTATTAATACTTGAAAAGATATGTTTGCATCTTCAAATAGAAAATTGTGAAGAAATTTATGACAATAATTAAAGTCTGAAACTAGCTCCATTTACTAACAAAACACTTTTCATTGTCAAAAAGCGAATCACTCTAAAAGAATTGGTTTCCATGAATTTCCAAACTAGAATCATTCGTAATATGTAAAATTTTAGTAGTAATAATAATAAATTGAATCAAAACATGTCATTTTTCTGTAGATATATGAATTCTATTATTTGTCTTTATCACTCTCGTCTAGGCTAGCCGCCGGAAATGGTGATGGAGCTAAGCTGAATCATTGAAAGGAAATATGAAATTCATGTTGGCTTCGATCCCATCGGTACCAAACATCATAGTATCAGCCATGTCGAAGATGTTGGGACCAGAGTCAACAGAAAGACCAGTTGCGATTGAAGTGGTGTGGGCAGCAGAAGCAGTGGGAGCGGTTGAGTAGATGTGGCAAGTGTGCGAGCCACGATAAGTTATTCGAAATGTGAAAGGATCATCATTGAGGCGTTGGACTTGCTTTTTGGCTGGACAATTGTATAACTTTTGGTGGGTGCATCTATAGTACGCCCTGCATTATTGAAAGTACGTATATTTGCTTTTATATTTTGTGTATACATATGATATATATATATATATATAAGCAAGTAACTAGTTATAATTTAACATGTACTAAAGAAAAATAATGATTTGTATTTTTTGATAGCGAGGTTTGAAAAAGATATACTTATAACATTGAAGCTTCAATATTTAAGTGAAGTTTAACAATATGGTTAGTTGGCCATTATAATAAGTTTGATGATTACAAATCGAACTGATTGATTACAACTTCTTGATGTGATATGTCAATATATTATTTTCGGTTGATTAACTAACTAAAGGCACCCAACCTTTGTACCTTAATTAGTTTTATGAATATATCCATCAAGTTTTCTAAAAAGTATTCATCCATAGTGGACGAAAAACATAATTAATTCAGAGTTCGTAAAAAGTTAATATTTACCTAGGAAACTTAGAACCAAGAATTTCCTTTTGACCGTATTTACGCCAAGTATGGTTATCGTCAGGTGCCAGATTTGTGTTCCCCGTCCTTAAGGCCGCCACCAACACCGTTTTTTCTTCTGCTTCGTCCTTCCTAAATATGTGTGTAATAATCATTTAATAACATTCCATACTTTGCCAAAATAGAAAATCATATAATAACATTGAAACTTTGAATTTTGAATTTTGAAGTGGACTAGTTAATCATCTCGTTTCTCATAAAAATTAGCCATTATTTGTAGTATTTTTGGAGGAAAAAAAAAAACTGGTATAATAGTATTTCACTGTATTTTTTCTTTATACTACTTTTCTATCGAAGAAAAAAAAATAACTCGTACAATTCTACTTTTTACCTTCTACGTTGCCTTGGCGTGGAGGAAACGCTACCGCCGCCGGGCCCTTCTACAGCCGTCAACTTCCTTCCTCCGCCACCATCAACGGACATGAGCTGCGTTTCAGTTCCCTGAGATGACGTGGACCCACCACACCTTAACCAATACTCCTGCATCAGACGCGGTTCAATCTGCATTAGCGTTTGGTCTGAACAAGACGTAATCACCGGTTTAAGTTGGTTCAACGCGGTGTCGTGGGAGTTCCTGATGTCAAGGACATTCTTAAGCAGCTGCGTTGCATCACCAAATGTCTTTGTGATCTCGTCGAGAGAGGTTGATAAAGATTCCGGTGACTTCTCCGGTAAGCTTGACTCAAGCTCCTTGACCAGTTTCAATCCGTGGAAGATCGTGGACATAATCTCTTCCATTTGTAACTTAAAGTTTTTTTTCTTGGTATGAGTATGTGTATTTAAATTTATTCACACACATATTACATATATATATATATACATATATAGACGACGAGTACGTAAATGACGGTTAGTGCCAACAGTTAGCTTCGATGTTGGTTCCCATTCTAATTAAGATCTGAATATACAGATTATTCAAAGATTGTGAATTTTTTTTTTCTTAAAGCGACATCATTTCTTCTATTAGTTATTTTTGGGGGTTAGCTAAAATGATTTTTTCCTAAACGACAGGTAAAATATGTCCAAGAATCAAGCACGAGCTTTTAGGCTATTTCACAATAGGCAACAACAAATATATTTTTTTTCCAATAAAAATAGGAACTAATTGTTTAGTAAAATCCCGACCGAAGATCTAACTAGTGGTAACCCATTGACGCGGTCGGAGAAATTCGATTAAACACGGCAGACGAACTGGTAATAATATTGACCAAGTCATGGTCTTCAGTGATTTTAACATATTAATGGTTTTTTGTTTCTTTTTCAATTTTCAACCTTACAAGATTTTCTCAGAAGTCTAGACGAAGACTTAAGAATTCAATGCTGAAACTGTTGAAACTTTTTTGCTTTAAGTGGAGACACATAAGTTAAGAAATTTCAAAGGTGTTGAAACAACTACTTTTGGTAAATTTCTTAATAAAATCCAAACAGAAGCTTCTTCTGGGTCCGAAACATTTCAGTCTAATTAATCTTGATCATATGATCTTTAAGGTGTATAATATATAGCCCTACGTTTTAATTCAGTTGTTCTGAAGTTTAATAAAAGAGTAGTTTTCTCTAACTTTTTTGTTTGTTTGTTACTGGTAGATCTATAGAGTCCAACGAATGTTTATCCTAGTCGTTGATACGTACTTTTATGCAGTTTATTTTGTTAGAAAACAAAAGGCGTTAATTTCTTCAACTATTTTATTCTAGATCAGTTTTATGATCCATACTCACTAGTGTTTAGCCATCTTGATATTTAGGATTCAATCTCAATTATACTATAAAATCGACTTCATCACTTACGATTTATCATACCCGGTTTTATAAAAATTCACAAACTAACCAATTTTTTTTAGAGAGATAAGAAGAGACATAGAGAGACAATGGTTATTTTGTGGATTATAATTTTTTTTCTTCTGCTTATTGATTTTAAATATCCCAAAAATAAAAACTTTTTATAGGCCAAACGGCCCAAACCTATATACAAATTCGGCCCTCAATGTAAATAGGAACTCCACGGCGTCTTGTGAACAAATAAAACAGCACGAATTGTAAGAACAAAATACGAAAACGGCGATGGAGTCAGTCCGTTCAGGTCGATCATAATTCCGTCGAATTAAAAAGCGAAAAACAAATCTACGAAAATCTCCTCTTTTTGGGAGATGCAGATTGAAGAAGAAGAAGAAGAAGAAGAAGAAGAATCATAATAAAAGAGCTTTCATTATTTTCCGCTTTGCTCCACCGTCGCTCCTCTGCTTCCATATAGATCCGTCCGGAAGCAGCAACGTTATTCAATTGCTGGATTGATACATAAACAGAGGTGGAAAGATGTTTAAGTTCCTGAAGGGAGTAGTGGCTGGATCTGGGACGGGACTCAAGGATCTGCCTTACAACATCGGTGATCCTTATCCTTCTGCCTGGGGCTCCTGGAATCACTTTCGTGGTACCTCCAAGGTTATTCTCCAATCTTCGTTTCTCTCTGTGTACGTTCGGATGTTTGTAATTTATGCGTTGTTTGCTTTGATCTCAGCTCTTAATTCGAATTTTGGTCTTCGTAAGTGTTACTCTAGTGTCAAACGGTGTTGGTACTATTCAACGTGATTGATTTCTATGTAACGTGATTTTTCTATGTTTCTCGTATATGAGTCTAATGACCATTCGAATTGCTATTGTTCTTGGTTTGAGTTTCAAGTTTTTGCATTGCTTTCGCTCATAATAGCAACCTTGTGTCTTTGGATAAGGTGTTTCTAGCTCATGTGATGACTATATTGTTACTTTGTTTGGTCAAGTCTCGCAAGTCCTCGTTCTGTTCATATAAAGTTATGTCTTTTTCTATGTGTCTGCTTTAATGGATTTACTTCTGAATACTGTAAGTTATGATATTGTCTCATATTATGTACTGTTGGTTTCTTCAGGATGATGGATCTCCAGTTTCAATATTTGCTCTTTCTGGGAACAGTGCTCAAGATGGACATTTGGCTGCTGGGAGAAATGGTGTCAAGCGCCTTCGTACAGTAAGCTCTCATAGATTTATAATATGGTTTAGGCCTCGATTCGTACAGACAAGATATTTTTACATACATGTGCTCAATTGATTTTATCTGAATGTTGGACTAAGTGGATTTCTTTCTCCTCTTCTCAGTATCATTGGCATCGTTCTGTTAGATGATCATCTACTATTTCCTTTCGCAGGTGAGACATCCAAATATACTTTCGTTTCTTCATAGCACGGAGGTTGAAACGCATGACGGTTCTACTTCCAAGGTTACGATCTACATTGTCACAGAGCCTGTTATGCCGCTGTCCGAAAAGATAAAGGAGCTAGGCTTGAAAGCCACACAGAGGTATGAACTCTTCTTATGAGTATCAGAAGATAGGCAGAGGATATAGTTTGCCGCAACGTTTTAATCTGATTCAACAAATCATGTCACAGTATCATCTGTCTTTGTCCTAATATTGGTTTTGTCGCTTGACCTGGTAAATTTGATCACGCAGGGATGAGTATTTTGCACTGGGGCTACACCAGATAGCTAAAGCTGTGAGCTTCCTGAACAATGACTGCAAACTTGTAAGTATTTGCTTATAACATTATAAATCAGTTATTAGAAAATATACTAGATTTTCTCCTCGGGTATTGTACATATCATCTTGAATTTATGATGGCAAACTATATATGTTTTTTTTGTTGGTCTTCTTCGTCCCACGCTATTTCAGTTAACATTCCTAAGTTGTATTGTCTCAACAGGTGCATGGAAATGTCTGTCTGGCGAGTGTTGTTGTTACACCTACTTTGGACTGGAAACTCCATGCTCTTGATGTTCTATCAGAGTTTGATGGGAGCAATGAATCTGCAAGTGGACCTATGCTGGTACTCTTCATTCACTATCGTATTTATCGGAGTTTTTCGCTTTTATAATTTGTTAATTTTATAGCCATTTGTTTCATTTTTTTGTCTGCCTTGTAATCTTTGAACTTGCTCTGATTTGTATGTTTGTTCTATAACTTCATTTTTATAATATTCGTGGTAAAACATACCCTGTTCAAGAGGTTTTAGTCCTTGTTCGTGTCCATTGTAGGAATACTCCCCGAGTTTGTTGCTACCTTTTCATCCTTTTCTAAACTTATTTTCTTGTTTCAGCCATTTGAATGGTTAGTGGGGACACAGTACAAGCCAATGGAAATGGTGAAATCTGATTGGGTTGCTATTAGAAAATCTCCACCGTGGGCCATAGATTCATGGGGATTAGGTAAGATCCTGAGTCCAAATTTTTAATCGCAATTATACGTGCTACAATTCTTTCTTACGAGGTTCTCCATAAATTTAAAATGTAAAATTTAGTTGGCCAGCTTGAGTGCAATTCTTTCGTTGAAACCCTTTACTTCCTTTTTTGAAGGTTGTCTTATTTATGAACTCTTCTCGGGCTCTAAGCTGGGGAAAACAGAGGAGCTGCGTAACACTGTCGGCATTCCAAAGGTTTGGTTCCCATCCCATTCTTTCCTTGAGTTACTGAATATATGTTATGTTCCTGAATATAAGTTTGCGTATCGTTCGGCTTCTTTTTTGCTTCAACATGTTTTATGGATTTAACTCCACTGTATTGGGAACTTAAAATACTGGCGATGTTTTTTTTCCTCAAAAGGCTTCGTGTTTTAACCCAAGGTTTTGATGTGTTGCTGTTTATCAGTTTGTATGACTTTAATTTTTAAGAGCTGGCTTTCATTTTCGTTGAATGTTTCTTTTCTCACAGTCTCTGCTTCCAGATTATCAGCGACTCCTAAGTTCCCTGCCATCTCGCAGATTGAACACCTCAAAACTTTTAGAAAATGGCGGTAATCTTCCTGTCTTGGTTACAAATTTTGTTACTTAAATAGTTTATTTTTGTTTCTCGGCTTGGTTTTTTTCTCTGTATGTTTACTTTTGGTCCTTCCCTCTGGTTTTAAAAAATGTTTGTAACGTTATTGTATCGCTCATTGTTATCTTTGACCATCCCTCACCTCTTGATTCTTATTTTTGACATTTGGCAGAGTATTTCCAAAATAAGCTGGTGGACACCATACATTTTATGGATATTCTTAACTTGAAAGACAGTGTTGAAAAAGATACTTTCTTCCGCAAACTTCCAAATGTTGCTGAACAGCTTCCTCGGGAGATCGTGCTTAAGAAGGTGTGTATCTGAATTATTGGGAGTCAACAATTTGCCTTTCGAGTTGAATGCTTTGCGTCTTGTTATTTGACTTAACCTTCTGGTTGATGCAGCTTCTTCCTTTATTAGCGTCTTCCCTTGAATATGGTTCAGCTGTTGCCCCTGCTTTAACTGCCTTACTTAAGATGGGTTCATGGTTATCAACTGAAGATTTCAGTGTCAAGGTTGTTCAGTCATTCTATCTCTCTGTTAAAATGCTCTAATTGGTAAATATGTGCACGTGCATATGAATATATTTCAGTCATTTTCTGAAGTTACTCCCCTCTATGGCTTTAGGTACTGCCAACAATAGTCAAGCTTTTTGCTTCTAATGATCGAGCTATTAGAGTGTCTCTTTTGCAACATGTTGATCAATTTGGAGAATCAATGTCAGGTCAAATTGTTGATGAGCAAGTAAGTTTACTTTCCTTTTTTTGACCTAAAAAGTGTTTGGCTGTGGGATGTTCGGTAGCAGCGCGGTCTAGTTGCATACATTTAACATTAACAATGGGCTGTGTTTTTATTAGGTATACCCTCATGTTGCTACGGGATTTGCGGACACATCTGCTTTTCTACGAGAGCTGACTCTTAAATCGATGCTCGTTTTAGCTCCAAAGGTATCGGCTCCTAACCCATTTTAAGACGCAAATTTTGCTTGTCATTATTATCCTTGACATTTTGTTTTTGTCAAAATTTAGTTGTATCTAATATATATATCTGTTATTTTATTGGGGCTACAGCTTTCTCAGCGTACACTTTCCGGATCCCTCTTAAAATACCTTTCCAAATTACAGGTTTGCATCTGTCACCTCAATAGCTTTGACCGATTTCTTTCCCATTGTTCCAATAAAGTATTACCGTCTTTTTGTGACTTTGTTGATGGAAATCATTTGGCTATTATTTAGCTAGACTTAAGAGGCCATTGTGGTTTAAATTTTATTTATATCCTCAGGTGGATGAAGAGCCTGCAATCAGAACCAATACCACTATATTACTCGGGAACATTGCCACCTACCTTAATGAAGGGGTTAGTCTCCACTACCTCCGTTGTTCTTTTGATTCTTTTGTTAACTTTTTTGATCTATTGTTTTTGTTTGTGCCTAATCATGAAAAAAATGATGCAGACAAGGAAAAGAGTTTTGATTAATGCTTTTACAGTGCGTGCTCTGCGTGATACATTTCCACCTGCTCGAGGGGCAGGTATGTGAATGCCTAGTATAACTGGATCCTAGTATTACTTAATTTGTAGGATCTTTTGATCTGACAAATCATTTCTCTTTCATTCATTCTGGGATATTCCTGCTGTTGTCTTGTTTCCCGCTCTCACCATCTCACTAGATTTTACTTAACGCAGGTATTGTTGCATTATGTGCCACGAGTTCTACTTATGACGACACTGAGATAGCAACTAGGATTCTTCCAAACATTGTTGTGCTAACCATTGATCAAGACAGGTTACTTATTTATTTAATTGCATGTCAATCCCTTCTATTGTCTAGTATTTCCGCTTCGACAAAATGTAAAGCATTTTCTCTCATTGTCCTTAATAGTGAGGTTCGAGCGAAGGCATTTCAAGCTGTAGAACAGTTTCTTCAGATACTGAAACAGAACTATGAGAAGGTATGCATAATGGCTCTACCAAACTCTTTCCCTGAGCTGTTTTTATGTTCAAAGTCTTATTGACATTTGGGCATGGAAGACAACTGAATTTTTTTGGGTGCTAATAGACAAACGCTGGAGAGACTGGAGCCACAGGAGGAGCCTCAGCCATACCTGAAACTGCCGGTCTGATCGGGTGAGTATAGTCGAATCAGCTATTCCTGAAACTGCTGGTATGACCATTTGTCATAGTGGCCGGTATACTAACTGGACTAATTTATCTATTCTTATAGATGGGCTATGAGTTCTTTGACCCTCAAGGGTAAGCCATTAGAGCAAGCGCCTCTTGCTTCTTCTTCTTCAGCACCATCCCTAGCCTCTGCAGCCTCAAATGCTGCAAGCAGCACAGGTACACTTTAGTTTGTATGCCCAATTGATCTGATATAGTCGATCACTGTGCTTATGGCTAGTCAATACAGTGGTCAATACTTTTTCATTTCCCTAAACTATTTTGTTTATTTCTTGAAAAATTTCTCAGCAACAGAGGCGCCAAGTGTCAAAGCCAGTCATCACACACGTTCCAACTCGGACTTCACAGATCAACCCGCACCACCATCCCCAACATCAACAGATGGTTGGGGAGATGTCGAGAATGGCATAAGCGAAGGTCATGATAGCGACAAAGACGGTTGGGATCTCGAACCTCTCGATGAACCAAAACCTTCCCCAGCTCTCTCAAACATTCAAGCAGCTCAAAAACGACCTGTGTCTCAGCCCTCTAGACCTGCAGGTACCAATCTTCAGCTGAAATCATTTCGCCTCCTGAAATTTGATATGGTTTATGTGTTAATTTTCATCGCTCTTTATAGCTGCAAGCTCAAGACCAAAGATTAGCACGGTGAAATCAGCAGCGAAATCCGAAGACGATGATTTGTGGGGATCCATAGCTGCTCCTCCGCCTGCAACGTCTTCAAGACCGTTGAACTTGAAGAAGACAGTGCAATCTGATGATGAAGACCCTTGGGCTGCCATCGCTGCTCCTATACCAACCACCAGGGCAAAACCTTTGTCTTCTGGTCGTGGCCGAGCAGCCAAACCTGCAGCTCCCAAACTTGGTGCCCAACGCATTAACCGAACCTCGTCTGGAATGTGATGAACAACACCAGAGGAAGAATATAAACAGCACACAATGTACATTTTTTTGAAAGCATCTCCAGATGAGTTCGAACCAAGCAACCAACGAATTATTTGATTTGTAATATCATTCATTTTAAATCCCAAGACAAGAGAGTCTATTTTTACATTACATTGAGAGTTTCTAATGTGTTGGTTCCTCAGAAATAGAAATGATGCAAAGACAACATCATCAATTCGGATTGTTCTCTTGTTCAAGTGTACTTATTTTCATCTCTCATGTCACTCTTTAAGCTATTCAATACATTGAATATCTCAGCCGCCATTAGAGAAGACGAACCTCCTGAATAGAAAACATGAGTGATATCGCTTACTTCAATCCGGCTACAACCTGGCTTTTTCTGCAGGCCTTTCTCCTTCATCTCACTCAACAACTTTGCTGCGTCGTTCTTCAATCCAGCTTCCATGTAAAGATTAATCAGCTGAACGTAGCTACCTCCTCTTTCCGGTTCCATTCTCAGCAACTTCTCAGCAGACAATATCCCAAGCTTCACATTATGATAAGTTCTTGAAGCAGATAAGAGGCAGAGCCATATGCTACTGTCTGGTTCAATAGGCATTGCTTTTACGAAACTGCAAGCTTCCTCTAGGTGACCTGCACGTCCTAGAAGATCCACCATATTTGCATAATGCTCCATTTTTGGTTCGATTCCATAGTCTTGTTTCATCATCTGAAAAATGTTTTTGCCCTCCTGCACAAAACCGGAATGATTGCAGGCTGAAATCAGAGACAGGAATGTCACATCATCAGGCGATTCTCCTGCCTTCTTCATTTCATCGAACAGACTCAATGCCCTAGAACAATCTCCATGAGATCCATACCCATGTATCATCAGGTTCCAAGTGATCAGGCTTTTATACTGCATCTTCCCGAAGATATGCTCTGCATACTTCGAAATCCCGCACTTTGCATACATATCAATCAAAGCGTTTTGCAGGTGAGTATCAGAAGGAATGTCGAGTCTTAATGTATAGCCATGTAGACTCTTCCCTTTAAGCAAGCTTGCAGTTGAAGAGACTGCTACAAGGACACTTGTGATGGATACTGAATCTGGAAACACACCGTGGTTGAGCATCAGGTTGAAAAGTTCTAACGATAGTTCTGGAAGATTGTTTCGGCTGTAGCAAGATATCATTGCATTCCAGGCGAAAATGTTGTCAGGTCTCATGGTAGAGAAAACTTTTAGGGCCATTTCTGGTAAGCCACATTTAGAATACAGATCGATAAGGGAGCTGCCGACAAAACCATCCATCACCTGTCCAGTTTTAATCATTACGCCATGAACCTGAAGGCCAAAACTGAGAGCCTCTAATCCAGCACACGCATTTATAACACTGGTCATCATATCAGAATCAGGTCTCAAGCTATCGTCATCATCATCTTTCATGGACCCGAAAACTTCCAATACCTCTTTGAATTTCCCATTCTTGCAAAGTCCTGAGATCAAGGAACCCCATGCAATCATATCTTTCTCTTCCATTGATTTGAAGACTAAATAAGCGTCAGTATCACATCCGCATTTAGAGTACAGAGTGAGTAAAGCACTCTCTATTGCAGGCGTACGTTGTATCGGTCTTTTAAAGAGTTCCGCGTGGACTGATTTTCCATAGCCAAACAATCCCAACGTGCTGCAACAGGCTATAACATTCGAGATGGTAAAAGAATCAGGCATAACAACACTATTCTGCCTCATGAAACCGAACAACTCCAAAGCAGAGTATCCATAGTCATTGTCTGCATAAGCTGCAATCATCGTGTTCCACATTTCAAGTCTTTTATCTATAACGCAACTGAAGACAGTTTCTGCCTCACCAACCATACCGCACTTTGAATACATTGACAGTAGTGACGTACAAACATACGGGTCATTGTCAAGTCCCACCTTCACAACGTCGCAATGGATCTGTCTCCCGAAACCAAAATCCTCACCACGACCACATGCACCAAGAGCTCCGGTGAAAGAAGTGGAAACAAGCTTGACACTGTTATTCTTTGCAAGCGTATACAACTCCAAGCTAAATTCACAGAGCCCACTATCAACAAACCCAACAATCATCACATTCCACAGTACAACATTAGATTTATCCTCAATCTCCAAGAACACACGCCATGCATCTGTCGCTAAACCAAACTTGAAATACATATCAATCAAAGCAGTTCTCAAGAAAGAATCACCAGCTAAAGAATTCCTTAACATATACCCATGAATCTGTCTCCCCTCTTCCCGCCTCAATTTTCCTTCTTTACACAAAACACTTACAACGATGGTTAACGAGAAAGCATCAGGTCTTACTCCCAACACCAGCATTCGCCGAAAACGACCAATCCCTTGCTTAAATTTGCGAAATTTGAAATACCCATCAATCAAAGAGTTCCAAACTGTGACATCCCCAGCAGAAACTCCACTCTGAGACCAATCGTCGAACACTTGGACGGCGTGATCTAAAGATCCACATTTTACATACATATTGACAAGCGAGGTTGCAATGAAAGGATCGTATCGCCGACCCAACACGATGACCGAAGCATGAATGGTTTTGCCATAGCATAGGTTCGTAAGAAAAGAGCAAGCTTTAAGGAGAGAAGGAAATGTGAAAACAGAAGTGCACAAGGGAGAAGAACCATCATGGTTAGAGTATAAATGCAGAGCTTGTAGATACTCTCCTCTCTGAACTAAGTCTCTGATTCCAGAACAAAGTGAAGTCGGAGTAACGTAAGAGTCAGCTAAACAAGAAATTCCACGGCGAAGGTGAACGTCGTGAAGCTTGAAACGCATATCAGCATCGTCGTCTTCACCGTAAAATTGATTTTCCTCTTAACAGACTTGGCTGGATTTTGCTGGTAAGCATTTGTTATTAATCGTAACTTTTAAAATAAATAAAAGTTTTGAGCTTTTCTGGTTAATACTACTAAAATTCGTAATATCATGATAAAAAAGTACCGAACTTTTTAGATATTTCAAAATTTTCGATGAACAAAAATGCTCATTCATTACAAAACTTAAAGCCATGCTTTAATGGTGGCGGAAACAGATTTTGATCAAGTGTTTGGTGTACTTCTACTGCCGCCACTCATCTTCTTTCTCTTGCTTTTGTGTTGGCCTTTTTGGCGTTCGTCTCTCTTCCTCTTCATTGTTTCCTTATGGTGCGATTTTCCAACCAACGAAGGTTGCTCTTTCAGCGCAAAGCTCTTGGCGACATGACCCAAGTGAAGCTTCTTCACCACAAAGATGCTCTTGAGCTCTCCCTTGTGAGCTGCATATCCCCTAACCCAAGACACAAACGCATTCTTCGCCAGGTTCTTCATCTTCGGCTGCAAAATAACCGCCACAAACAGAGAGAAATTTGTTTCACACCAAGCTGGAGAAGAAAAGAGAGGAGACAGGGAATCCATTGAAGAGAAACCATACCTCGGCGTAAGTAAAGAATTCAAGGGCTCTCTGCAGAGAGATGACCCACGGATGCGATTCTAGGGATAGGACCTTTTTGATACGAGGCATGTTGCCGAGTAGAGGAAACTTATCGAGAACTTTTAGAAGAGGGTACTCTGCAAGAGTTGCACCATGTTTCTTAAGGTCCTTGAGATAGTCTATTTCAACAGGCTGTAGAAACAGCAAGGCTTCTCCTTTTTCACCAATACGAGCTGTTCTACCAACTCTGCAAAACCATGAATCCCAAACTCATTAGCTCAGTAATTTCAAGGTACTATGTGTGGAAGAAACGTCAAGTGTTTTTTTGGCATTCCGAAATCTTTTTACCTATGCACATACTCTGTAGCTTCCCCGGGACAGTCATATTGTATGATACATCTTACTTTTGGGAAATCCAAGCCTCTAGCAGCAACATCTGTACTCAAGAGAAGGGCCTGTTTCTCTGCTTTGAAGGTCCCAAACGCAGATCTTCTATCCTCCTGCTCCATACTTCCATGTAACCGAAACGTTTTGCACTTGAGAAACAACTGTTTCGTCTCCTCCTCTTCTTCTGACTCGGATTTTGGTGGCCACTGGAATTCACTAAGAAGTGAGTAATGAAAATCTACGGCATCACGTGTCGAGAAGAATACGACCACCTGTAAGAAAAGAGCCACACAAAAACCTCAATAAACCGAGAATTGGGAAACAAAACAGAGTGTTATATGACAGGAACAGAGTGTTTACCTTTTGAGATGCTTCTCTCTCAAAAAGGTTCTTGAGAACAGAAAGAAGTGCCACAAGCCGTGCACCACATGGCACTGCATATAATAGGTATTTGTTACGCAGAGTAGAAACATCGAACAATTCAAAATAGACTTTAGTGAAGATAAATGTACCTTTAACATATTTCTGCACAAGCTGCGATGGGATTCCATAGTCCTCAGATGAAGGGTTTGCAGATTTGTTTACATGAATTACCAAATCATCCTCATCAGAATCAGGAGACTCTAGTGGTAGGCTTTGCTGCAATTTGCTGCTTTCAAGACCAATCATCACCGGATCGTCCAAACTAAGTTTGGCAAGGTGGTTCACTTTATCATTCAACGTTGCTGACAATAACAAGTGCTGCTTCTGAGCTCCCATCGGAACAACATCATCCGTTTCCTCTGGCTCGTTTTGTCTAGAACCTAGAAGCTTAATTATCATTTCTATCGCCTTTCCATATCCCATTTCGAGAATGCTGCCAAAATTCAAAAGGAAGAGCTAAATAAAGGAAGCACAGGATCCAGGAAGGGATATTAGCTTTCAGATACAGAAACCGTACCAATCAGCTTCGTCGAAGACGACCCAACGCAGATTCTTGTGCACAAATGAAGCTGTGTTCTGCAAATGATCAAGGAGGCGTCCAGGGGTTGCAATTAGAATTGATATCCCTGAAACAAAACGATTAGGTTGGAATCAAAGCGATCATCACATTAAAGTAAACACAGTATAAAAACTGAAGCTTTTAAACGATCAAAAGAAAAAGAAGGTACCTTTCCTTAACCTGGCCTTTTCTTTAGCCTTTTTCTCGCCTCCCATCACATAACCAGGGACAATCCAATGGAAACGATGCAGCAGCTTCTCCAAGGTTTCGTACACCTGAAGACACAGTTCCTGTGTCGGCACAATCACCAAAGCTGGCACAACACAACTCCAAAGTATCAAAAATCATCACTAAACCTCTCCCAACGAATCCTAAATTGTAGCAAGACATATAGATAGGCACATACCAAAAGTTCCATGAGAACGATCAACCTTGGGAGAATGACCCTGCAAGTGATGGACGATTGGTGCCAAATACGCTATCGTTTTCCCAGTTCCGGTTGGGGCATTTACAAGTCTATGTACATTTATATCACATGTTAACGGAAACAAACGTGACTACGAATATAATTCATAATTCACACAGAAAGTATATCGAAATTGGTATTGAAAGGATACACATCTCGACCGGAGAGGATAACAGGAATAGCTTGAGCTTGTACAAGCGTAGGAGCCTCAAAACCCATCCTTTCTGTTAAATTGACAACAAAAACAACTTCTTATAAGCTCACTAAACATATATATAGTATGTATATGCACACAAAAAAAAAAGCCAGAGACAAGGAGAGGGAACCTTTGAGCTGGTCAGACAGCTTAGGATCAAGGCCAAGCGAAGAGAAGGAACAGGAAGCGAACAAACCGCTCTTTGCTTTGCTTCCATCTTTAACTTCTTGCTTTGTCTCTCTCGCCGATTTTTGGGTTCTATTCACCATCGTCTTCTTCGTCTAAACAAACTAGTTCGCTGCTTCTTTTTCCGTCCTCGTCTTCGACAACTCAACGACACTGCAACTGCAAGGGTTTTGCCTCCTACACGACGTCGGTTCATATTTGGGCCTATGAAATATTTGGGCCTATTAACATTTTACATTTAATTGTTTGATCGGCTCTTTGCGGTTACATTAACTAGTAATTGGCTCTGGAACCACAATGTTCGTAACATTCAAATTCAATGATCACATGAGTCGCACTTTAGTCAAGAAACCGAAAACATCATTTTTATAGGTATGAGAAAAATTTACAAAGATTTTGTAAAATGTTTATGAACAATTCACATTCATGAGATTTCAAGCCTAAAATCGTTTACAAAACTCATTTTCCAATCATCTCTGCCATTAGCTATCTCTAAACAAATGCAAAGATCTCGCCGCGTTAAAGCCACACCTCTGTGAATATATGATCTTCAAAACGATTGTTCCATCTCATACTTCCTCAACCTGCAAAACCAGGAATATATAGAAATGAGTAAAAATTAAACCAGAACAAGTAGACCAGTTGAAATTCGAATCTAGGAGGGAACTTGGAATCAACCTGAGGAAGGTTCATGAGCTCGAGAACAGCTTTAGTCGGGGTCAGTTCGTTATCAATGATCTTAGCCACGGCTGTCAAAACGGGCAGCTTCACATTGTATTTCTGTGCTAATGCTATAACTGCCCCTGCCGTTGCTACACCTTCAGCAACCTGTTCACCCGTAGTTACTGATTCAACCAACGTTTGGTTTCACTATAAGGTAAGCGAGACCAATGAGATTGTGAGAAACACACCTGATTCATGGAGCTAAGTATGTCATCTAGTGTCTCCCCTGACCCTAATCTGACTCCAACTGTTCGGTTTCTTGAAAGGTTCACAAAACACGTGAGCATTATGTCCCCAGTTCCTGATAAACCCGTTATGGTTGTTGGCTTTGCACCCATCTTCATACAAACAAGAAAGCAATACTCAGAAATATGCAGTAACCACAGGCTTCAGTAATCATTGTGGTGAGTTTCTTGGATAAAAACCACTTTCTATGAAGCTATTGCAGAGACATATATATTGAATTTACTACCTTTGTGGCTAGCCATCTTATCTCTGAACAACCTTGTGATACAAGAGCTGCCATAGAGTTGTTACCGAGTTTCATGCCATCAACGATTCCTGCTGCTATTGCCAGAACATTCTTCAGGGCACCGGCAATTTCAACGCCTGTAACATCACTGGAATGATCAGAGGTTACAAGCTGAGTGCACAAAACTCCTCCAAGAAATAAGAAAATCAGCCACTAGAGTTGCTCATTCAAGCACAAAGGCAATTGGATCCACAAGTCATTTGATTCAATGGAGTCTGGTTTTGAAATCTTGTACCTGGAAGTGTTTATTCTCAAGTAACTAGAAGCCAGAAGCTGCTGAACGGCATTGGCCAGTTTCTTATCTTTCGAGGCAACCACCATTGCTGTACCAAAAGGAACATTCAGCACTAGAAACCAATACATTATGCTGTTTGTATTACACCAAAGAAGAAATGTGAATCGAACCAGTGGGCAAATTGTTCATCAACTCCAGAGCAAATGATGGGCCAGAAAGCGCAACGAAAGGCTGCCGAGGATTCTTTAGCGCAGTGGGAATGATCTGAGACATCATCCTAAGAGTATTAAGCTCAAGACCTTTGCTAAGAGATATAAAAGGCAACCCTGGATCAACATAACCGGAGATTCCCTCTAGAAACGATGAGCTGAACTGCAACAACAAAGCCGCATCAATCAGCAGAGAAGAACATAGAAGAAGCCAATCAACCAAATCAAAAAAATCCACGAGCTTAAACCTGCACAGGTACGGCATGGAGGCAATAGTCAGCATCAAGCAACGCAGCTCTCGCATCAGTTGTGGCAATCACATTCTCAGGTAGCTTATGCTCAGGAAAATACTTGCTATATAATTCGAAAAGAAAATTCAAATTCATCTCCGTGAATTCCTTCAAGCATTATGATGAATTGTGTTGGATAAGATTAGCTCTACAAAAGTACCAATTATGGTGGTTCTCGTTGATAGACTGGCAAACAAAAGAGTCGCGCACAAGCATATTAACCTCTAATCCTTCTTTCCTTCTAGCTACATGCGCAGCCATTGCCGTACCAAACGAACCTCCACCGAGAACAACAACCTAAAAGACCCAGATTCTTTCAGAAATTTCTTTAAACGCCAAAACGAATTTAACAAGAGACTGGAGATAATTGATAACGAAACCTTGCGAGTGCGCTCGAGAACATCTGTTTTGGCTTTGGCGCGCCAAGAGCGGGACCATCGGACGAGCTTCTCCCACGCGATACGAACCACTTTGCGCTGGTCCTTGCTCATATTGAGGTCAGGCGGGTCAGTGAGGGAGTCTGGTTCCGGAAAATTCGACGGAGAAGAAACGCAGCGGACGAAGAAAGCGTTGTGTTTAAGCAGCGGCGGATGCTTCCCGGAGAAGTGGAGGTCTAAGCATGCAGGTTGAACCGAAGCCGCCATTTTCGCAGACTTTTGAGAAGACGAACCAAAGAGGAAACCCAACCAACCAACCGGAGAGATTGAGAGCGAGCGAGCGAGAGAGAATGAGAGTGAACAAAATTTTGTTTGTCTGTTTCTTGGCCCATAACGATATTTTGAGCCTGTCAAAATTATATTGGGCCTTATCTTATTTGGGCCAGATATTGAAACGCTTTCGCCTTCTGTAACCGTTTTATATAACCGTTTATCTTGGCTTTTTTAAGGATTTATTATACAAGTTTCGGTTTGATCATTTTAAGTTTTCTAAAAATGAAAATCAAATTAAGAAATTTATTCATTTCAGATTAGATTGGTTTAGTTTATTCAAAATGATCACGTCAACTATATTCAGTTTTGCAAACACAAGTTAGGTCACACTTTGGTGAACATCGAATTCTCCTAATCATTATCCAAAATCTTCGATACGTGATCAGCTCAATCAGCACCGCTAATTCCTACTTTTGCAATAAGATAACTTGTATGAAAATCATGATTATTTTCCAGAAATATTTAAACTACTGTACGAATCGTGCGATACACAAATGAAAACCGAAAAGAGAAAAAGAAACATATGAAAAAATATACATAAAAATTAGTTTGGTAGGTCGGATAAAGTAATTAGGAGAATTAAGACATTGAGGAAGGACACGTCTCATGATGTTGAAAACTCCCATAGAGACGTACAAGGATATTCTTGACGACAATTTCTTCGCTGCGTTTCGATTTTCAACTATTGTCTGTCCCTCTCGAAGAAAAGATAGATTCATCATATATTTTTCTTCTATCTCCCATCAATCTTCCTGGCAAACATTTTCCAGGATGTTCATAAGATTCCGGTGAATCTTCCCGCATCAAATTAACGAGGTACGTAAACCAACGGAAAAAAGAAGAAGAAGATTCATATTGCATGAGCCTCATCGTGATTCAATTGAATTCTCTGGTTCTGTTTCTCGTATTTGAAACCTAGACCTTTTCTTGCAGCATAAGATTCCACAGATTCTCTTATCCTTTCTCAACGATGACAATCTTGTGCAACAGTGGCCTCAAAAGAAACAAAAGGAGAAGAAAAGAGAAACCAAAAACGAAAGAAGATAATCATCATCATCATCATCAACGTTTATGTTATTGCGTGTGGCCTCCATTTTCAATGGTCAGAGGAATAAAGAGATGTTTATTCATCTCGTGTTATCCTTTAATTCGCTGTTTAGGGTTGGAAGAGAGAAGGCATCGTCACCATCTTCATCATCACAATCACTTTCTATGATTCCTTACACCTTTTTTTTGTGTGTGTGTGTTTTTGTATGCTTGAGAGATTATTACTATAGCTAGGTGTCATGAAAACATTTCTTGATTTTCGTAACAAACAAAAAATGTAAATAATCAAATATGGAATCAAGACAATAAAATGTTTATAAGTTAGGAATACATTTTAAACTCTCATGGTCAGCTTCTGCAGTTCATGAGATGAGATTTAAGTTTCTCAACATCTGCTAGTTTCAGAGGCTTCTGCATAAACATTTGAGCTCCACTCGCTAGACATCTGCGTTATTTTTGATGTTCGTTAGTTACTTCCACAGTAACAAAACAGAGAACAATGTCTTAATCATATCTCAGCTGTTCTTACTTGTTTATGCGAGTAGGAATGTTTTCTGAAGACATTATCACAACAGGAACCTCTTTCAGATTTGATGACTCCTGCTACACAACACACATAGATGATTGTTAACTAATTGATAATAAACCAATCAAATCTCTGGAATTCGATTCTGATTGTCCAGAGACTTCGTTATATATTCATACCTTCACTTTCTTGAGAAGCTCGAAACCAGTCATTCCTGGCATACAGTAATCTGTGATGATTAGATTCACCTTCATAACCTGGAAAATCCATACATTTTGAGTTATTTTTATTGACCTAAATATCAAAATGCGTCCTAAGAAACATAGATCTGGAAGATTTATATGTTTTAATTTGCTTACGTTATTGGTTAATGAATCCATATGCTGATTTTGATCTCCTAAACCCAAATACTCCAATGCTCTAATCGCATTCTCTGCTGTTGTCACTGCAAAAAAAGTTCACATTTTATAGACAAAGATTACAAAAAAAAAGGAATGAATTTTTAATCAGAAAGGTAATAAATAATATGAAAACCTTTGCAAGAAGAGATCTTGAGCAATTTCTCTACGAGTTTACGGTCAATAAGATTATCATCTACAGCTAGAACATGAAGCTCTTCATGACCATGATGATGATGATGATCATAATCCACCTCCATTGAAGACGAACAAGAACCACCGTTCATCTCGTTTTGTTCCTTATATGTCAAGTAACTGAGAAAGAAAACAACTTATCAAGCAAAGCAAAGAAGCGAGAAAGGGCTCTGGCATCAATGCAAACACCTTGGAGACATTGCTTTTAATTCTCCAATAAAAAAAATAAATACAAAGAATCAAAAAGACAAAGCATACATGTAGAAGAAAGTGACAGATTCAGAAGTGTATAGTATGAATCATGTGAATCTGGTGATGGTATTTATGATGGTTTCTTCGATTCTGGTGGGTGAAGAATTTTCCATTATTATTATTTTATTTACCAACTATTTAATTCCTCGTAATTAAAAAAGAACAAATAAAAACAGAGAGCATGGGGGAAGAGATTGCATCAAAGAATATCACGGATATTTCGTGATTTCTTATTTTATGGGTTTTTAGTTTCAGTATCAGTCATTATACATATAAAGTTGGGTTCCATGTATTTGTCTTTTTGTATGGAGTTACTTGTTAGGACATGTTCATGGAATCGTGTGGGGTTTTTTTTTTTGGACCACTTTCAATTACAAAATCGTTGATACATTTTGTATAGAACTGGATTATGATATGCAAAAGAGATTTATTCGGTGAGAAATCCCCTATTTGATATGATTTGGAATCCAAAAAAAATCATAATTTCTGTTTTCTTACAAATAAAAAGATTTTGTGGTGTTTAATTTAAGAAAGAAGTTGTGTGTTTTGCTGTGGAGGACTGATTCTTTCAGAAACTGAATAAAGAAACTTATCTGGGTCAGTGACCGTCGTACGGATCTGCTGCAGATTTTATAAGCTAAATCTTTTAGATATAATAATAATACAACTTTTTATTTATTTTTTTCCAAATTATTTTTGGGTTCGAATCCTTTGAATACTGTAAATGAAAACAGAAAATATCATAATCATATTTTTTTCTAGTCGCAAGTGGATCATCACCAATCTCTTATGAGATTACAAGTGAATCCCATGTCTAAGATTCTTTTTCCTCAAGAATCACAAAAAATGAGATATGTTTCAAATATTTAAGATAAAAAAAAAAAAAGTTGAATATGGTTGGTTTGATCATCAAGACATTCTTACGGTGTTCATCAACCAACATTGTACTTCTGTTTCAATTCAGGTTACTTTTTGGTTTTTCAATTTTCGGTTTTAGAAGAAGAGTTAGCAAATCTAAGGCCCAATTCATAGTGGAAAGTACAGTTTGGTTTTCGGAAATTGAAACAATGTCGTTTGCCAAAAACGGTTAATAGCAACAAAGTTAGAGAAAGAAGTTGTATGTTGACGGATCTGCTGAGGATCTTATAAGCTCATGAGAGATAAATCTTAAATGATTTATTTATTTTTGTCGCAAATGGGTCACTGATTCAATAAAATGTAGTATTACATGCCATTATCAGAGAATGAGCGAAGTTTGAGGGTCAAAGTCGGAATAACCAACGTCGAATAGACAGAGACCTTCAGATGGAGCAGGAGGAGCTGTGGCTCGTCTGCATGAAGCTTCCATCAGATTTAACAATGCATCGTTTTCCGCACCAGCAGCAGCTTCTCTGATTGATGTTGCCACAAGAACTCGAACCATCTGTCAAGTTACAAAGACATGCTCTGTATTATACGACCAACCGATGAGGAAATAAGCAGAACAACACTTGAGGGGAAAAAACGAACAAGGAAAGCAAATTTTGAAGCTAATATTAGGCTTGAAGTAAACACCTTGCGGAGAAATCTGTTAGAAACAAGCTCAACGCACATAACCCTTTTTCCTTCCACAGACTCCTGCTACAATGAACCAGAGCTCGTGAGAAGGTTTATTCGAAAACCACGATGCAATTTACATTTTTGTTTCTGTCAAGTCTCATATTGTCTATTACTAGAGTGATCATGATCATCTGCCAAGTAAAAAAAATAACATCTAAAGAGAGAATAGAATCCCAACAACTTACAGAACAGGGCAATCTAATTTCGGCTGCTCGTGCATGGTACATGAAACATTCTGTAGGTGGACCTCTGCAACGTTAAGATAACCAAAGTTAAGACTACAAATTTATGCACCTTTTCAAATATAACTAGAATAAGAGATGACGGTAAGAAAGTGGTCTAGAACTTGTTGTGATGCTAAAATGCAACACCAATGCCTCTTGTGTGAGCTCTCACTCGTTTCTTGCAGCTTTTGTATCACGCGCAAACATCTTGTAGGATAATACTTTTCCTTGAAGCTGCTGTAAAAGTTGATCAACTTTGCTTACACTGAAGTCACTTGGTTTTTCTACTACTTCAAGCCCATTCACCTTTCTCGTTTCCTCAGTTTCAAGCTCATCATCCTCGCTCAAAATTCCTCCTTCTGTACTCTCTTCACTTAAGAGCCCATTTGTTGTCTTTCCGTGGCTCTCATCATTCTCACTATTCTTGCCACTCTCGCACAATGGCTCAGCATTATCCAAGGGAAAGATATACAAGTAGCGTCTCCATTTTGCAGAGAAATTTGGGTGAAATGCTCGCGAAACCTGCAGATTAAAACATCCTGGTGTCCTTACACATACTTTTGCCAGAAAAAAAACCACAAAAGGGAAACAAAAACATCCTGAGTGGAAAGTATACCTTAGAGATTGACAATACCCTAAGTTTCCCAGAAGCATCTTTATTGATAGCATCTTCAATATCAACGGGTTCAATGTCTTTTCTCCAGGTATCTAAGAGAAAATAGACAATCTTACGATTAATCAAGTTAACTAGCTGGAACAAGCATGCCCTTTACCTCGTCTAAGTTTAGATTAAACAAACAAACAAAAATACAATCTCCTAATGATTTATTGCTAACTGGAGTAAGAACCTACTCTCACGAGTAAACATTATGAGTAGTCATATGCAGAACAAAGAAAAGAGATTTATTAGGAATATGAAATTAACGTACAGAAAGAACAAACTTGATTAAGAGCAGAGACTCCTTTGTCGGTTCTTCCAGCAACAAGTACACGGCCTTCTAATGGTTTACATTTTTTCTTGAGCAGTTGGGCTTTCCTTTCATCAACAAACCCCCCGAGAGACTTCTCTACTACACTTTAAAAACCCACAAAAACGCTCCGAACAATTCATTTTCACTTGAAAACAGCAGATACCAAAAGTGAACAAAAGGCTGTAAGAATAAAAAGGCCTTACCTTTGAACAGTGTGTAGGTCAGGCTGTTTCTGCCATCCATCAAAAGAAGCTCCATTGTAAGAAAGAACTATCTTAAAATTGACTCTTTCCCACCTCCCCGTCCTCCCGTCTTTTCTAGCAGAAATCTCCAATTCGGTCTCAAGCGGCTTCCCTTGGGTTTTGCCATCATCATGGACCAAAGATTTCTGAAGGAATAAAAGAAAAAAAATTGATACTTTGATACACATACAATACAAGCCATTGTGTGAACAAGTGGTGCTAAAAAAGATACTAACTTTGGGCTCAAACAAATGTAGGACTGAAAGCTTTCCTTCCACTGCATTTGAGTAGAAATCAAGGACATGTTGCCAAGGTCTATCATACATAAACCGAAAGGTTTCTCTGCACATGAAAACAATACACCACAAGAGTCACTTCTCGAGATCACTATCAACTATACAATAACCAAAAGCCCCCAAACTAAAACTATTCACAATCAATCTCCATAGATCAAACCTGGCGTTCCAGCGAGCTTTGCTGCAGGCGTCGGCATGGTGGTAGTGAACGTAGGCTCTGCTCGCCATCGTGCGGTAGCTCTTTGGGAGGATCGGTGGTGTTAGCGGCTAGTGTTCTAAACAATCGGCGACGGTGAACCGCGGCAATTAGGTTAATGGATAAAATCGGGAGTTGATACGGTTTAAATCTCTGGTCTGGTTGAATTCGGATTATTATTTCTTTTTCAAAAATCAATTATATATATATCCTTATATTTCCCCCAAAAAATATAAAATCAAAATATAAGATTATTATTTCTTTTTCAAAAGTCAATTATATATATCCTTATTATCTCTTGACTTGCATAGCTTTGATTATCTAAACGAAAAAGAAAATGGAACTACGTAAGATCAAAATCCAGTAGCTGAAATCAAAACGAAAAATGGAACAATGTTGTTTGGTGAAAAGAACTCAAAGAAAAAGAGTCAAATAAGAACAAAGTTAATAGTCTTATACTGTATAAGTATTAATTCGAATTGTCACAAACAAAAAAACAACTTTTCTTTTTTTTCCAACAGAGTTTGTGGAATATCAAAGAAAAATGCAAGACAAGGCAAGAATGAGTCTAAAGTTTACTACTTGACGGTAGCCTTGGGGATTTTTGAAGTGCAAGGTCCTGCAGAGGTCATAAATGGTATGCCTTTGTATGTGGCTACGCCATTTTCATCAGTGTAGAGATGCTGCAAAAAAATTTGTGATTAACCAAAGTGACAGTGAGATTGAATGTTTATGTATAAAATGCAAACACAGTACTCGCATGTTTGGTTTCTTTAAAGTTCGGAACCTAAAAAAATGGCCTGCAGGTACATACCGGTGTTATCTTCTCTAGTTGCTTCTTTTTCGGGTTCAGTACATCTTCTGGCTTTCCTTCGATCCTATATGAGAATTACGACAAAAAGGGTTCTTGAGTTTGCAAGAAAAGCGTGTTTCCGAAGCAATCAAAGAAGTTTGATGTTAAGTAATTAACATTAATATACCCTGAAAATGAAATACGCTCTCCCGGTTTAGCTCCAGCAGGTGGTAGCAATGGTTCTACCACCGAGTGATCTTCACTTGAAGCACACAGAACCTGTAGCGAAGAAAGCAACAACGCAGAAGAAGATCAAGCATGAGAGATTCGCAAAATTTTGATCGTTGATGAACTGGATTGACGCAGACAGAAGGAAGTCTTACCAGTCCTTCTGACATTACATCTCGTAGCTTTCCAGGTTTGACATTTGTGATGAGAGCAACAAGGCGGTTCTTCATCATCATAATGCAGCAATCAAGAAACCATAGATAAGTAAGCTTTAAATTTCAAGAACCCGGCGATTATATGGATTGGTTTAACCAAAATCATACGCATACTAACAAATTTTATTTGTATAAAAGATATCACTATACCGCTAAATCATCGGGACTGCAGAATTTTGCTAAGCCACTAACGACTTGCCTCACTTTACCCTCCCCGACATCTATTTCTTCCACAAGCAAACTGCATTGTCAATGCATAAGACAAGTTTTTAAGCATATTAGCAGATGCACAGTGAAATCCTTTACCAGAGCCATAAGATTGAAGTGTTTTGACCACAAACCTGTCTGCCGATGGGTGCTTCCATGCTTTGCGAATTAGACCGACCTGAATATTTAGCAAACTGACACTAAGCTCTGCCTCTTTCTTAGCTGGTTCTGGTTCAGCAGGTTTCTTCTTTTCTTTCTTTGCATCCTTCTCTTTTGTAGCCGTTTTCTTTGGTTCCTAGACAAACAAAAAAAAATTGGAACCATCACATTTTTTACAATATGAATAGACTCATAAATCAAAAATCCAACTTCAAAGTTGAAATCAGTACCTCAGGCTCAGTTTTCTTTGTGATTGGCTTCGCGTCTGACTTGTCAACAGGCTTTACAGTTTCTGCAGCTTTTTTTGTATTAGGGTTCGCGTCCACCTTGATGGCACTTTTTGGTACCTGCGTTCAGAATAAAGGAAGAACATCAGAAACCCATTTGCTCATTGCGTGTGAAAGGAGAGGTACACTGTCATATATATAGAAAGTCAAATATTATATGTTATTATCAAATGTAAAATGAGAGTTAGGTAAGATTCACCTCGAAGTCAAACTGTGGTAACTTCACAGGAATTGGTGCAAATAATGTCGACAACTCTTCTTTATTCTGTAAACGTAATAGCAACAAGTAATTACAAACACAGCAGATGGTATTTCCTCTATGGATTTACAGACAACCTTGACAAAAATCGTAACGAGAATTTTAAACGTTGATCCTACCTGAATGTAGTTAACCCATCTCATGACGTGTGGCACTTTCTCCTTGTCAGAGTCTGAGAGTTCAAGCTGAGAACAGCAAGTCAACATATAACAGTTAATCTTCAAAGAAAAATCTTCTTTAGACCATAGTATTTAAAAAACAAGAAGATTAAAGTAAGTGATACAGGAACAAAACAGATAGCAAGAAACATCATAAGAAGAGCCATACATACCACTGAAGAATGCAAAGCTGAAAACACAGCAACATCAGCTGCGGATGGCGTCAATCCATTTCCCAAGAGCACCGACTTGACGGCTAACTCTACATTCAACTTTTCAAGAGCCCCAAAGCAATCCTTTGGGTTTCCTGGGAGACCTCCCGCATATTCAAGCCACTTCAAAACCTGGAATTGGTAAAATGTGAAAATCCGATGATGGCATTGAGCTAACCAAAGCCAAAAGAATATAAGACATTGCATATTCAAAAAAAAAAACAAGTTACCTCCTCGTTGTTTTGTGCAGACACTTCCTTTCCAGATGCCTTCAAAACATTAGAGTAGAGCGTCTTGACATCGCTTTCTCCCACAAATGGTGCCTAAGCAGAAAATCAATTTTCAGAATTAGAACCAAAACCAGTAAATCATCAAATTAAGTGGAAACCCAATTCAAGGAAACTTTCATTGTTCGTAACGAGATTGATGCATGCAACAATGCAAGTGTTAACACTGATAAGCCTATTATGGAATACAATCTTGATAAATCAATTCAGCACCCAATTAGAACCAAAAACCAGCAAGCAGCTCTCTAACTTTTTTCCGACGAATTAAAAAGAAAAAAAGGAAAAGGTGAAGCTTTTGTAACGACATCTTATTAACTTACAGGATCCAAGGAGAAGTGTTTACAGAGAGCTGATACGATCATCTCCTTCGTCTTCTGATCCATTTTCAACTTCTTCTATTTCTCTATCTTCCTTTGTTTTTTTTCTTCCTCTTCTTCTTCTTTTGGGGCTCTTCGCTGAAAGCAGACACTCCTGCAGATTTCTTCGATAGGGTTTTTGCCTTGAACTAACGGTCTTCACGGACTTCCAACTAACGGCGTTATCTTAAATTCTCATGGCCTGATAAATCGTTATGGGCTTTACTACTTGAATCATAAAACTCATTTGATCCAAATTCGACCATAGAATAAAATAAAATATTGATTTTTCAGATTTTGTTGCAACTCGCATTCTCCAAAGCCCTAGTATCTTCGTCTCCTGCCTCGGCAGATTCGTGGAAGCACGCCGGTACCACTGAAACAGCGTCGTCTAATCGGAGCTATACCGGCGAACAGTCGGTTCCCGATTTTCAGCCGGCGATAATGGCGAACAGAACGGATCCGTTGGCTAAGAACATAAGAGGGACGAACCCGCAGAATCTGGTGGAGAAGATCGTGCGGACGAAAATCTACCAGCACACTTTTTGGAAGGAGCAATGTTTCGGTCTCACGGCGGAGACGCTGGTCGACAAGGCTATGGAGCTCGACCACATTGGTGGAACATTTGGTGGTAACCGCAAGCCCACTCCGTTCCTTTGCCTCATATTGAAGATGCTTCAAATCCAGCCTGAGAAAGAAATCGTCGTGGAGTTCATAAAGAACGATGATTACAAGTATGATCTCTAACCAAAGCTCTTGTATTCGATACAGTTGTAGTCTAGATTGGATACTGCAGTTCGCTGTTTCTCAAGCATTTATGTATAGTGTAATCCAAATCTGGGAATGTGGGTGTATTGCAGCTATAGGTTTCTTTGAAGTTTTGGTCTAATTATCTTCAAGTTGATAGTTCTGCGACTGCCTTGGTTGTTTCCCAAATTTTTAGATGTTATAAAGGTTTATTACTGAGAAGATTTTCTCTCTTGGTTTCTGCAGATATGTTCGTATTCTTGGTGCGTTCTATCTCCGTCTCACTGGGTCTGATGTTGATGTCTATCGATACCTCGAACCTCTCTACAATGACTACCGAAAAGTTAGGCAAAAGCTAGCTGATGGACGTAAGTTTTCATTTTCTTTCAATGGTCCTTTGTATTAGACTTTTGATTGATGTTTTCCCTAACCAAGTTTTATTTCCTTGGGTTGGAATAGGTTTTTCCTTGAGTCACGTGGACGAAGTCATTGAGGAACTTCTAACCAAGGATTATTCTTGTGATATTGCAATGCCACGCTTGAAGAAAAGGTGTGTTCTTTTGCATTTAAGTATAGCTGGATCTTAGCTTATGGTTTCTGCAGTTTTGTTAGCTGGTGAATCTGTCACTGTGATGATAGGTGGACGCTGGAACAGAATGGTTCTTTAGAGCCAAGGAAGAGTGTTTTGGAAGACGACTTTGAAGAAGAAGAAGAAAAGGAGGAGAATGAAGGGATTGCGGATGGATCTGAAGATGAGAAGGTCACTGCTTTCGTTCTGAAATAGTTTGTATTTGTTCTGTTTTCTGTTTCTACTTAGTAGCTCTATGTTGATACCATCTTCCTCCTCTTTTACAGGATCATCACCGTAAGAGTCCTGAGAGAGAAAGAGACAGAGACAAAGACAGGAGACGCGACAGTCATAGACACAGGTATCTGAATCCGTGCCCTTTGCAGGATACCATCTCTAAAAAAATTCTTTCTTGTGATTTGTTTGTTGCTTGTGATCGTGGAAGCTGTTTGATCTGGCTAATGCTCACGCATCATGTCTAGTATTCTCTCTTTTGAATGTCTGTTTCCTCTGTGGCATCTCAAGCCATCAGCGGTTGCATACAGCTTCCGAAATTGAAATTGTGGAGATCCTACCAGGTTTCACTGTACTGACAGTGTACAGTGAGAAGTATGATGGATCAGACATTCTTACAATCACTTACCCTGATAGATCGCAATTGGTCATTGTGTTATTATGATAACGATCTTTAGATCACAAAGCATTTTCCGTTCTATCTATCTGTTTTTTTTTAGCTCATAGGAGATTTTTAGTTGGTTGTTGCATGAATTATAATTTGACCGTTGCTTTGTGATTGGCAGGGATCGTGATTATGATAGAGACTATGATATGGATCGAGATTATGACAGGGACTATGAAAGAGAACGTGGGCGTGGTCGAGACCGAGATAGGGAGAGAGACAGAGATCACTATAGAGACCGGGACAGGGAGAGGGAACGAGGCAGAGATAGAGAACGAGACAGAAGAGACAGGACACGTCGTAGAAGTAGAAGCAGAAGTAGGGATCGTAAGAGACACGAGACAGATGATGTCCGGGATAGGGAGGAACCAAAGAAAAAGAAGAAGATGAGGGAAGATGGAACTGATCATCCAGATCCTGAAATTGCAGAAGCTAACAAACTGAGAGCATCTCTGGGATTGAAACCTTTGAAATAAGCAGCAGCAGCAGCAGCAGAAGAAGAGTCTTCCTATCAAACTGGGACTTGGTTCATATATCCAGCTAAACCGGTTACTACTATGTGATCCAACTAACTTTCGTTTGAGTTTTCGAGTTTGTTTGTTACGGAGGTTGCGAGTGTTTTTGCACAATTATAGAATCTCTGATGTAAAAAACAAAATGCAGTGTTCAGGAAATTGTATGTTGTGCTAAACCGGATAAGAATGCTCAATAGATTGTGTGATATACTAAACCGGATGCTTTTCCCCAATAATGGCAAATATGGGTGGCAATATCACATGAATGATAGTGGGACCCACCATAAACATTCCGGTTACATAATCATTAACCATCACGACGCGCGTGCTTCTCATGTCCCACCCACGACGCCGTTTTTAGTTCCCTCTGTACTACTCTTCTTACCTTTTATCACTGCTTCCTCCGTCTCCACCGGCTTCCGAATTTCCCGGCGGTAAAGCAATGTCCGTTAACGATAGTATCGATCCTCGGTTCCTATTCCATGTGGAAGATGACTCTATGCGGTTCCGTTTCAGTGAGTCCGGTACCAAGAGCCGGGAGCTCGAAACCGTCGGCGATCGCCGTTTCGGAATATCCGGAATCCGGCAAGGTTTCTGCGGGAATAGAAATGAGAAGGATGAAAGGAGATATTCCGATGGTGATGATCACGAGGAAAACGTTTGTCTCGGAAAGCGCGGCTCTCTAGCTCAGCCTGGTATTGATTCCAGTAATAATCGTACTTCTGTAGCTGGAGAAACCAACAGAGAAAGTGTAAAGCAAGGTACATAAACATTAGCTCTCAAAATCTCTTAAGCCCCTCTCTCTTTAGCGGATCGAATCATCTGCTAATTCCTGGTTTTACTCATGTTTCAGCTGGTTGGGAACTGGTTGTGAGAGAAGACGAGGAGGAGAAATCATCGATTGATCGCCATGAGATGGATTTAAAGGTGATGATGATCACTAATACAAATGGTAACGTATCTGATTCACACGGCAACACGCACACGCAGGGAAAGCGAGATTTTGCTTCTGTGGAGAAAGAGAGAGTCACTAGTAGTGTCAGCTCATGGGAGTCTCTCAAGGCCATCCTCTCTGATCCCGTCACGTAAGTGTTCGTTAGCTCTGCTGCTTGTGAATTGGCTACTTCTTGTTAACATTCTTAAAAAAATGATTTTATCTATCTGTGTTGCTTTGCTTTCGATAGCGGAGCCTTGATGAGTGATGCTACAATACTGCCTTGTGGACATTCTTTTGGAGCCGGAGGATTAAAAGAAGTTCAAAGAATGGTAAATGATTCTGACCCCAATCCCTTGAAGATCTCTTGTCTTTTGTCAAATGTGAATCTTGAATAATCCAAGGGTTTTGACGATTTTTGTTGTCAGAAAGCGTGTTTTACATGTTCACAGCCTACTTCGGAAGGATCAGAAAAGCCAAATCTTTGTGAGTTTAACGACACTACTAGTTTCACCGAAGTCTCTTTAAGATCAACTTCTTTTTTTCCTGATCAAGCTTATGGGGTTTGTTTCAGCTCTCAGAATTGTAGTTCGTGCTTTCCGCCGAGAAGAAGAATCAGATCATGTTCACTCACTGAAACGAAGGAAAGAAAGGTCGGAGCAGGTTTGTTTTCTTTACACATGTAAACATTGTAACCTCGTTTACAAACGAGAATCCGGATAAGCAGAGTTTCTTCCTTCCTGTGACCTGCAGCACAAGAGAACTTTCTGTATTCCAAACATCACAGAAACTCCCAAGAGTAGTAGTAGAGGCATACAGTTTCCTTTCTCCATTGGAGATCGAATCATCATAGAGGTCTGAGATCTTCCATCACACCAACGTCACTTTATAACAATCTAGAATTATACTACTTTCATGTTTTCAACAAACAAAAGTTCATATGGCTTTTTAGGGAAACAAAAGGACGCCTCCACGGTTTGTGGGACGCAAGGCAGTTATAATGACACACTGCTTAAATGGATGGTTTAAGTCATTTTCCCTCTCGCTAAATCTCTACACTCATTTTTCATCCATTAGATGCTAAAGCTCTTGCAACAAATTGAATTTTCTATTTCAGGTATGTTGTGAAGACAGTGGACAATGCAGAGTCTATCAAGTTGCAGCATTGCTCACTTGCCAAGGTTTCCGACAATTCTCCTTCTAAGGTAACAGTGGCTGAAGTGGCACCGTCTTGGCTATCTAGCTCATAGAATTCATCACCGAGACAACAATTCTCTGTATTTAAAATTCCAGTGTTTTATTAAACTTTGCATTCCTGGAACAGACACGTATGCCAACTTCGTAGCATTGATAACAAAAGATCTCTCTTCTAATGTGTTTTTACATGTACGAATGACAAAAACATCAATCGCCTGTTATTTACACTATAGTCTATAGATAATAACAATCAAAAGTGCTAACACAGAAGACGATATAGGCGGAGGGATTAGTGGAGTCCCCGGTTAACCATAACTAAAAAAAGAAAGGATCAAGAACTGGTAGGCGGCGGCTTCATCATTGACAGAAGAAAGCTGCAGGTCGAAAAAATGGAAGCTGCAGCCGCCTGAACCGCCATGCTAGTCTCCATATTGCTCCCATCTTTCCCAAAACTGCAGACGAAAGCCAGAAACTTGGTTAAACCGGTCTTTTTTTTATGCCTCTACGGGTCTGCTTGATCTAATTTCCTCACCTTGAATCTGATGACTGGGAACTGAAAGGCGAGTACTCGTCCATTTGCCGTAGACCTTCGTTGCATCTTGACTGCATTTCCTTCACTTGGTTTAACGAACGTTCCTGCGAATTTCAAATCCATAGTATATCAGTACATTAAACACCACCTCGAGCTTAAGAACCCTGGATATAATCGTTCTGACTTGATAAGTACGCACCAGATCTTTCTCTTCATCATACAGAGATTTGTTAATCTGATCAAATTTTGCAGACCACTTTATCTGATGCGTCTCTGTAACTGTTTTATCCGAAGGAGCATCACCAGAAGTATTCGTAGTATCCGTCATCTGAAGAGTGTTGTTATCTTGGTTAGAAGAAGATTCTCTTGATGAGACGAGAAGCGGCAACTCGGTAGCCAGAATACTTTGAACTCTGTTCCTACTATCCTGCACAGCTGCAACAACATCATAAGATCTCACTTAGCAATCAATTAAACACCGAGAAGCCTTCTCTGTGGTATGTCTGCAGATAAGTAGTTACTCACCTGAAAGCCGTCCGGTGAGGTCTTGGTGAAGAAACTCCAACCATTGGGAAGCTACGGTAGCAGCTAAAAAGCAAACAAACATTTTTTTTTTCCTTTTAAGGATTTCTTTCCCTTTCCACTTCTGCAATGAATTACTCATCATGCACCAAGAACTAACATTTATCCTTCACCCATTTCTACACTTACTTAACCTAAACCGTTTATTCACAAAAGTCTTCATTTTTTCGGCATAAGACTTAAACCACTTATTACTTGAGACATATTATGAAGATCTGAAACATGATAAAAGTCACTACTAACCTTCAACAGCAAGAGACGTGGCTTGTTCCGGGTTTGTAGTATTGGCATGATCAGGTACTCCCGTAGATGGTAACTTAAAGGCTAATGCCTTATCTTCTCTGACTGAATCTGAACATCCACGACAAACAGAGTGATCAAGTCTGAATTCGCTAACATGACATCTTAACAGGGAAAATGGGATTGATAGATACCTCTTACATTCAAATTGGCATTTCTTTCCACCACGGTAGCATCATCAGTAGCATTTCGAATCAAAGCTTCAATAATTGAGCAGACCTGTTTCTTAGTCCTGACATGGTTAATGATTCCCGGGTTCAGTTCCGTCAGCAACCCACTTGGCGCGGTGACATTCGAGAACCTATCTACCTGCTGCTGTTCCTTCTTAGGGAGGACCTCGTTTCTCTTCTTGAAAGAATCGCCTCTCCTCTTGTTCTTCTGCTGCTTTTGCGCGGCGGGGATTTCAACAGGAGGAGTCGATACTGTAGAACTCGGAGCTGAGACTCCACCCAAAGGGCCTGAGAGAAAACCATTCTTCTTCATTTCCATCCATCTCCGCATCGAATCTGACTTCTCCAATGGACCCGCTCCACTACACATCTCGCTATTAGGATTCGGAAGCGAAGGATCTCGTCGTAGTGAATTCGACTCTGCTGCTCCGCGTGGACTTGCAACGGGTTCAGAAGTCTCCTTCGGTTTCAAGACGCTGACATTCTTTGAAACGCCATCATCAACAGAGTCGCTATCATGTTTCACAGTGTGATTCTCAAGCAAACCTTGTTTTCCAGAACTAGCAACGCATCTATCACCATCTGTAGAAATTGACTTAGCTTTAGGTAAACATGTGCTCGCCTTAAGAACTTTAGCCAAAGCTTCTTTTTCTCTCATTACCCTTCCTAAACCTTCAGCATCAGGAATCACAAGCTTCTCAGATACTCCAGAAATCTCTTCACTGCTAAGATTCGGTTGCTGAACAATTCTAATGTCTTTATCAGGTTGCAGATTACTGGTTTTGGTATCTGCAGAACAAATCATCCAAAAGTTCAGTGATAAGATCATTTCTAATAATATGAATTTGAAGCATATTCGCTCTACGATTTCAACAAAATCTGAAGAATTACCAGAACCCAGATCTCGCACTTTCACACGTTTAGAGCCTAATCCATCTTTCTCTGTGAATCCATTTCCGTTACGCTTCTCGCCCGAAAACTGAGAAATTGGAAAAACCCAGAGACCAAGAGCAAAACCCATAAACAAATTGCAATAATAAACAGGAGAATCTAACAAAAAAAAGTCATCGGAGAAGCTAAAAAAGAGCCAAACCCCAGAATTCGATGCCGGTTCCGACGAAACCCCAGAGGAAATCCCTCTATGTTCCTCCATTTTCCACACCAGAAGAAGATCTCTTTCCAAAAACCCAGATGCCTAATTACGCAGAAAGAGTCCACCCAGAACGAAAACGAAGGGTTTCTTCAAATACGGGTAACAAATAGGGATTGGGAGTGAACCAGAGAGAGAGAGAGTGGGATTCGAAGAAATGATTTGGGTGTGGAATCGTGTGTTGAGTGAGTGAGATGCAGATAATTTTTGAGGATAAATCGATGGAGGACGGAAGAAAAGAAAAAGATTTTGAATTCAAAATGGAAGTGAAAGGTTTTTGTTATAAAGGAGAGCTTCCTCGCGTTTTCCGCCGCTCAACCTTGGAGCCTTTTATATTCTCGAAACACCAAAGTAGGGCTCTATCGTGTAAACCCGTATTAGCAAATAACCATTTCAGCTAATCCTCTAATTACTAGTAAAGTGTGTTTATCTTTCTCCACCAAACTCCATTGCTGCAGCAACATATCCACATTTGCAACTGTAACATCGTTTCAATTTACTACATCTAAAGTTCACAAATGATCTCTGTATACAGAAACAGTATCATTATATAACAAATTTAGTGAGTATTACTAAAAATGCTAAGAAGTGAATTATTTCAAATTTTGATTCAATCATATTTTTTACTCTTTTTTCCTACATCAGTTTGATTCATTGAACAACACAATGGTTACAGTACGACAAATCTTATTTATTTTTTAATGTCACTTTAGATATTTAAAAACAAATTTAGAGTGATCTCAATTTTAATATGAGAAAGGTTTTATTTTTATATGAAATTCTATTTAACTAAGTGTAAAATCTTATGTTATTTGTAGATAGATTGTTTATCATCCTTTTCGTAACAATAACGACAACATACATTATTAGTATGTTAAATGTTACATGTGTTAGTTTAAGTTTTATGTATGCAAATAGATTGATTGAATCTGGCTATAAAAATGGGTTAAATTAAGTACATCTATTACTCATGAAAGACAAAACCCGTGGTTATACAATTTATTTAAACCAAATGCAAGTATATACTGTATATGTAATGCGGTATGACTTACAAAATGTGTGGGTATATTGAACGAAGAAATACAAGTAAGTTAACTTTAAAAATGGTTGGTAGTCTAATTCAGAGATAGAACAAATTTGATTTGTCGCATCTAACATTTATTGTGCCAGCTTGTTGAAAACTGCTAGTCTGATTTTTATTAGTTAGTAGAATGTTTGTCACATGGTCTATATTATCTCTGTAGGCCTCTTATCTTATAGATTATAGCATACGATTCATGTCTAAGTGCATTTGTGCCATCGTATTCTCCAGGTTCATGACTTGTGATCCACACAATTCCTCCTGTTTTAATTTCTTTGGCTACTTCTCTTAGTGTGGAGTTACTAAATTATGGGAGATGCCTCAAGTTGCAAACAAGATTGATTGTCTTGAAGGATCTCAAAGAAGGGTGCAACTGATGTGGTGTTAGATGATTGTCTAGCGACTGCGTCTGCATGCATGCTGATCCAACTGCTAATGGAACAGTCGCACAAACTTTTGAAGGTCTTGCACGTGCCATACCTTAGAAAAAGCAAAGCTTAGGAGAGCAACGCTGCTTTTGCAACAAGGTCACAGTCGCAGTAGCGTCTACGGAATTTCACATGAGCAGCTTCTTCTGTGCGTGATTCAGGTTTGGGATCAAGCATCAAGTATCTCTACGCAAACATTTCTGATCAGTAAACACAACCCAATACTTGTCTCTACATAATAAGATTGCATGGTTCCATAGCAACATAAGAAATACATTCGGTTAACCATAAGAACTTGGCATCACATATCATATGAATAGATGAAAAGCTCATCAAACTGAACCAATCCGCTGACAAGAAACCATTGACGCAAACACAAAACACGAACAAAAGCATTAGATAGAGAGAGGAACACACAGGCCTGTTTTTGATAAGTGTTCTCAGGCCTCCTGACCATCATCAAACATCTTGACAACCCGCCGTCGAATTCTTCTCCTTGGAGACTCACGCAAGATCTCTGCCATCAAGAGGACAGCCCTAGCGTTTGCGGACCTCGAAGTCCTCCTCTTCACCTTCGGTCTCCTGCGATTTGAGCCTCTCCGCCGCTGGCTGCTGCACATTCGCCGTATCTCCATCATTTGTGTCCGTCGAATTCTTCTCCTTAGACTCACGCATGGCCTCAGCCCTTGAGATGATAGCCCTAGCGTTGCGCACCTTCCATCGTATTATCCACCTTGGATGCCATCGAGATGGGATTCGATTACGATTGGAATATTAGATCGGCAATGAGAGATAATCAAAATATTAAGAACAAAATATTGGAAAGAGCGTAAATTTGCAAGTAGTACCGTTTTTTTTAGATACATAAATTAGGATGTAGTTGAAGACTTTGTCTGATTTAACTCCCTTTATTTAGGTATGTAATCTGCACCAAGTAAATTCTCAAGAACGATGAGAGAAATTATAATTTAGTTGATATCAACCAAAAATATTATAAATTATAGTATAGTTTAAACTGAAAATGATAGTTTTGTTGTGCTTCATTTTGTACGGTTCCATTTTGTCGAGTTGTGTATGATTAACATGCATAGAAACATACAAATTACAGCTTCATTTAATTTTAATTAATTACTTCAAAAGACAAGAGACAATAGTTTGCTTAGACGAAACCCTCGAGGGTTAAAAAAAAATCAATTAAAGTGAGGCGCAAGCAAACGACGCCGTTGGGAGCCTGTTTTGGAGCGTGTGTTTTTTTTTTTTTTGGGCCATCACTTAGGGACAGAAAACGTGAAATCTGAATCTCTCTCTCTTTCGCTGTCCGATTCCGACAGATAGACAAGGGAGAGAGAGAGAGAGAGAGAGAGAGAGGGCGCGAAACAGAGAGAGAGAAGGACGACCCACGATAATGGATGATCCTTCGAACGCGAAATCTAGCCAATGCCCGCCTATGGCCAACCTAGCTCCGACGTCGGCGCCGTTTCGAGGTCCGTTCCATCGGCGAGCGCATTCGGAGGTTCAATTCCGCCTCCCTGAAGATCTAGATCTCTCCGAACCCTTCGGAGGATTCGACGAGCTTGGATCCGAAGATGACATCTTCTGCTCATACATGGACATTGAGAAACTCGGATCCGGATCCGGATCCGCTTCCGATTCGGCTGGACCATCCGCTCCCAGGTCGGATAACCCGTTCTCCGCTGAAAATGGAGGCGAGGCTGGGAATTCGAGACCTAGGCATAGGCACAGCCTCTCCGTTGATGGGTCTTCGACTCTGGAATCAATCGAGGCCAAGAAAGCCATGGCTCCTGATAAGCTCGCCGAGCTCTGGGTCGTCGACCCCAAGAGAGCTAAAAGGTTTCATCTTTCACCCCAAATCTCGAGAATTTTTGAGTCTTCGTTTCTTGCAATTGTTAAGAACAGTTTACTACGCCTTGTTTTACAATTCGCGGGAAAAAAAGGCTGTTTCTTTATGAATTATGACCTTTTCTTTTTGCTGCTGTTATCTTTTGATGTTGATGTGATGCATTTTAGGTGTTCTTTTTGAGATAATTTTTTTTCCTTGGTTACGTATAACAATTACTTTTGTTTGACTCTGATCTCGAATACCTTTGATAACTGAATTTTAACTGAAAATTTTAGTTACTATGCTGCTTTTCTAGACCATGAGGGACCCATATAAGTATGCTATTCTTTTTGTGTGTTTAAATCCCTTGTCGAATTTCTGTGGCAATGCGTCTCTTTCATGTTGATGTGATGGCCCTCAACTTTTTTTTATTGGGACTAGCTTTTTGTTTGATTGGTCGGTTCAAGCTTGTTGTTCACAACCTTGTTTGGTTTAAGATCCTATCTTGCACTGCCTTTATTTTTGTGTGTGGTACTTCTCGTATAGCTTGAATAAGTTTCTAAAGTCTTTTAACATTTAAACTTTCGAGATGATCCCTTTTTCACATTCCCTCTTAGTAGTCAACTGTTTGGAATTGAAAGTCATGGTTTCAAAATGGATTTGGTTCGGAAAATTTTGGGAATTAGCTTTGTGGTATTGGTCACTTGCGTGGACTGTTTAGAGAACTCTTCAACATAAATTGGTGACATTCTCTATAAAAATTGATGCACTAGTTGTATAATCCTGTCTCGTGCACACTCTATGCAGGATAATTGCTAATCGACAATCTGCTGCTCGTTCGAAAGAGAGGAAGGCTCGGTACATCTTGGAGCTGGAGAGGAAAGTTCAGACCTTGCAAACCGAAGCTACTACCCTTTCAGCACAACTATCTTTGTTCCAGGTTTGTTTATTTTACAAACTTCAACACTACATTTGCAGTAACATTCTTCTTTCTTTCCACTATTTGCAGTTTCCGAAATTAGCACACTCATCTACTGCCTAATAAACTTGCTTCTTACAGAGAGACACATCTGGCTTGTCATCTGAGAATACAGAGCTCAAGCTTCGTTTGCAGGTCATGGAACAACAAGCTAAGTTGCGAGATGGTATGTAAATCCATCCCCCTCCCTCCTCTTTATATGATTGATTGTTTCGGTCTTTAAGGTCGTTTATTGATGAATCTTCTTCCCCTACGCAGCACTGAACGACCAGCTGAAAAAGGAAGTCGAGAGGCTGAAATTCGCAACGGGAGAAGTCTCTGCCGCTGATGCCTACAACCTCGGAATGGCACACATGCAGTACTCTCAACAGCAGCAACCACAACAGTCCTTCTTTCAACAACATCATCATCAGCAACAGCAAACCGATGCTCAGAACCTGCAACAGATGACTCATCAGTTTCATCTCTTCCAGCCCAACAACAACAACAACCAAAACCGGAACATGACGTCTTCATCCTCTCGCCAAAACCCTCCCACCGGTCATCAGCTTATGCATCATCATCACGCTACTTCTAATGCATCGGCTCAGTCCCATTCCTATTCAGGGGCAATGCACGAAGACCCTCTTGGCCGGTTACAGGGGCTTGACATTAGCAGCTGTGGCAGAGGCTCAAACTTTGGTAGGTCTGACACCGTCAGTGAAAGCAGCAGCACCATGTGACAGGTTGCCTTTTTACGGATTCCGCTTTGTCGATAAAAACCTTATTCTTTTGCTCTCCTTTGAAATCTTTAGCTGAAAGGGTAACATCTTCGTCACCGTCTGATTCATTGTTTATTGTGTAAAACTGGTTTCTTTTTGGGGGGTTTTCAATTTAGAGACCACAGGTGTTTTAACTTGTCTGATTTCTCTGTTTCCAAATTCATTTTGTTCTTCTGGGGAGCTACCAAAGTCGAACCAGATATATTTTTTTATGTTTCTTTATGTTGTTCTCTTGCTTTCCCTAGTTGCTTCTTCAATCATCCTTGTAAATGGTGATTGGATATTGGATTTTGGCTTTGCCTTAAAACTAGACAAGAAATTGTGGTTCTTTTGCAGGTCTCTCACATCACTTTCTGCTCTTTTGGTGTTTCGGTAAATTTAAATTGTAAGAACTTCTTGTTTGTTGGCTAATTTCACAGTTTCCATTGCTTCAAGCACAAGTTTTTATTAGGACTCTCACGAGAACCCTAATGTTTGAAATTACTTTTTCGTTTTCACTTTTCTTAAAACCGCATTAGGATTCAGCTATTACAGACTAACATGATATCATCAGAATATATAAAGATTTTGAAAAGTCTCACTTAAGCTTAGAAACTATAGTAAGGTTACGTGTTAAACCGAGCCAAGACACAAATTACGTGAACCGAACGAGTCATGTTGAGGCCACTTAAACGGTACCCTAACTACCAAACAAAAAATTAAATTCTCACATGAGAATCTCTTAACTATATCTTCAGAAAAGCTTAACATGACTTAAGTTCATCTTGTGTCGGCTCAGAAGTTGGGGTCATTGAAATGACGTTCTCTTTGGACAGTGACTACTCTTCAGGCACGGAGTTATGACCAGTCCCAACAGTTTTGGGGCAACTAAGTGACAAACGCCTTGTGATGGTTACTTAAAGTGTGGTCCCTTTTGTTTTCTTTTGGATAGATCTCACGTGACTTTTTCGTGGATACAATTCAATAGTTTTCTTTATGTTCTTGTTTCAATCAAATTATTGCTCTTATCCAGCTTCATTATAGCCGAGTGTCTAATTAGCAATGAATTTAATCGAAATTTTAATTTACCATTAACGCTGATGTTGTTTCGTAGATAATATGTCTTCTCTTAGTAACAAAACCTGATAAAACTTAAGAAATCTAACAATCATTCGATAAATAGTAGCTAAACGTGTAACACTGAGAGTGGCTCAAAAACGTCTATTACCTAACAGCATGTACAAACCTAATTTCAATGTACAAAAACATATAACTAATTAAAATAAACGAACTCAACTACTTAAGATTCTTTGTCAAGAACATCTTACCCAAAAGCGGCGGTAGTTTTCAAAAGTAAAGCTAATCCCATTATCTACCTAAACTAGTGTATACTATATCATACATGTACCAGCTCGTGTTGAGTGTTGACTAATCACATAATCTTTTCTTGTTGGAACTTTATTTTTAAATATACTGACACCCATGGCCACTTATTCCAAACAGAGCATTTTCCGTTATTAAATTAATACTGTCATAAGTTTGGATTTATGATTCACGATCATGTATTCATGTTGCATGCAAATTAACATTTTTTGCATATTTGATTATTTCGAATAAAATAACATTTCTAACTACTCGGTTGAATGAAAACAAAACTCAATAAATAATTGGTGATCCTAATCGGTGGAGAAGTATTTACAAAAAAAAAAAAAAACCATTAACAAATCCTATCTAAATGACTAAGAATTATACGGGTTAAACAAAGAAACCTTACAATGTATACGACGTATTATGGAGAAACAGAAAAAACCTATCTTATAACATACTAAACTCTGTTAGCAAGTTGGAGAAAGTTATAGAATGGAACCCCGTCATCTTTACCAACTAAGAACAATGCATCTCATGTACAATCTACATGTTTTATGGTGTGAGTTACTGAGTATCCGTAATTTTGCTATCTTTTTAGACAATCTTTGTAAACAAGCTTGAATTTGCCACACCATCTAATTTTCTCGTAAAATAACCATCCATTTGTTTACACTCTTGTTTTTTTCTGCCGAATATCAAAATACCTTTTTCTACATTTATAGGAGGAGTCATGAAGTAACCTGGTTAAAACCAAACTCTATATGGCTATGTTAAGTTGATTGCATTTTAAAGGGGCCGCGAAAAGGACGTATCATAAAAATGCATGAGAGGAGCGTCACACGTCGAGGGCCTCTTGCATGTGCTTGTAACATGGTAGGACCATCTACTGACCTACTTACTAAGAAAAATAATATTCGTAATCAACCAGAGAAATAACAAAAAGGTTATTATAAAAATATAAAACAAAACATAAGATAATCTAATTTTGGTGTTAACTGTTGCTGGAAATAATTCTAATTATTTCTAACTTGATTGAGACTGATGTTATTAAAATTTTATTCACGCATCAATAACAACAAGAATAATACAACATAAAATATCTTGATCTACTAATATTTTAGAAGTTATTCAGAAAAAAACGTATATTTTTGTTAACCTTCCACATAAATAAGAGATGAGATCATATGACCAACTTAAAACGAAGGAAGAGACAAAATAATAAAGACTTGTGTATTGAAGCATGTGCAAGTAAGGGCCACTTGATTAGGAGTTGCAGTTGGTCTAACCGCAACATTTGCATGTGGCCACAACCTTCAAAGTCCCCCCTGATCTTATAATATCATAAATACATACATTTTTCTTTTTATTTCTCTAACTGCTTAATTTGTTGTCCACAAATATTATATTATACAATACAATTCTAAATTTGGCCACAACAATTTTTTGTTGTAAAAAATATAATAAAATCTTGACTCTAGTACTCAAGATTAACGGTGGCATACATTGTTGACTTTACTGCTAGTTATCCAAACAAGTTAGCCATCTTGAAACTTATGCTCGATTGATTTGTTACAAGGAAACTAGACGTATATTACTGTATGAATACCATAAATTGACAAGGAGATGCATTGGGATTTAACGAGAAATAATAGGCACAAATCTCTCGCAAAATGACCAGAAGACATTTGAATAATATACTATATGAATGCTCAAAAAGGTGAAAGAAGAGACACACCAATATATATATATATATATATATAATCTAAAATATATATATTTACTAATATATATATATATAAGTAAATATATATATTTTAGATTATCTCTTGGCTCTTGCCACTATTATAAAGTCCAAAACTCCTATATATACTCAATCCCACCACACTTGATTCCATATCAGTCTCACGATTCTCACCAAATCAAATCCGATACTCAAAACTGAATTAACCACCTTCCACAAAACAAAACAAAAATGGATATCACATCATACTCTAAATACTCTACGATCTCAATGCTATCTATATTCAGCTTATTATTCTTCCTCCATGGAGCTCAGGGAGACGACGGAGGTTGGCAAGGTGCTCACGCCACATTCTACGGTGGCGGCGATGCTTCCGGCACCATGGGTACGTATGACCAATAACAATAAATCCCCATGTTAGCTAGTTTAACCTCTCTATACATGCGTATGTTAGCTAACACGTGGCAAACCTAACTATTCAGGTGGAGCTTGTGGCTATGGAAATCTGTATAGCCAAGGTTACGGGACGAACACGGCGGCTCTAAGTACTGCTCTGTTCAACAACGGACTCACGTGCGGCGCGTGCTACGAGATGAAGTGCAACGATGACCCGAGATGGTGTCTCGGTTCCACTATCACCGTCACAGCTACTAACTTTTGCCCACCGAACCCTGGCCTCTCCAACGATAATGGTGGATGGTGCAACCCTCCTCTTCAGCATTTCGACCTCGCCGAGCCAGCTTTTCTCCAAATCGCTCAGTACCGAGCAGGCATTGTCCCCGTCTCTTTTCGAAGGTCCGTTTACTTTTTCTTAATACCTGGGACGCAAGTAATAAGGTTCCGATTGTTTCAAACCCTAATTTCTGCATTTGCGTTTAAAACAAGGATCCACAGTCTTCATAGTAATATATTTTCAGTTTGTAAATTATGTGAACTCCAAACACAATCTGAGTTTGTCCTTCCTTTTGCATACGTAAATTAAGTATTTATGTTTACAATTAACGTATAAACTTTGCTTTAAATACTAAAAAGATTGATGGATTTTGTTAGAACAAAACCAAATGCAACAACCAATCATAACTAATGAGTTATGTAATTATGTTGTGTGTGATTGCAGAGTACCGTGTATGAAGAAAGGAGGGATAAGGTTCACGATAAACGGACATTCATACTTCAACCTGGTTCTGATCTCGAACGTAGGAGGAGCAGGAGACGTCCACGCCGTCTCGATCAGAGGCTCAAAATCAGGGTCATGGCAAGCAATGTCAAGGAACTGGGGACAGAACTGGCAAAGCAACTCTTACCTCAACGACCAAAGCCTCTCCTTCCAGGTCACCACCAGCGATGGTCGCACCGTCGTTAGCAATGACGTGGCTCCTTCTAATTGGCAGTTCGGACAAACCTTCCAAGGCGGTCAATTCTGAGTCCATCCATACATTACATCATCCTCTCTCTCTCTGTTTTGGGTGCTGACGTGGCTGCATATTGCTGAGGTGGCTCGTAAACACCCGCCATAACTTAGCCTTGTTCCATTTTTTTTTTCTTCATATTTCTTTCCTCTTATATACGAATTGTAGCTTCCATGATTGCCTACAAAGAGCAAGGCTTGTCATTTGTTTCTTTTACATGTTTATTGAATTTAGCCTTTTGGCATACCTTTTTACTTTGTTTTTGTTGTAATCCAAAATCGCTTAGCTATATAAATCGAATTAATATTAGCAACAAAAGTGCATTTTGACTTTTGAGTCAACGGTGGCGACAAGTCAATAACCGCGTGAAGAAAGAATCGTGCTTTCGTCTCTGTTTTCACAAACGGCAATTTTCTCTCCGGGCCAATTCCAGTGATGATGGTGAGTGACGGCAAAGAAGTTGCGTTCAAGTTATCTGATTCATGCGTTCTTAAGATCGTTCAAGGCGACATCACCAATTGGTCTGTCGATGGCTCCGCCGATGCTATTGTCAGTCTTCTCTCTTTCTTTCCACCTCCGTTATACTCAAAATTTATAGAGTTACAATCATATATATAGGATTACAGCACTTCTGGGTCTTTTCTTCCATTTCACAACATAAAGCTATTATATTTTGAAAGTTTTGTATAAAGGCGTACTCTGTTTCTGTGCCGACTAAAGCCTAAGTGCTCGCTTGAGAAAACAGAGTCCTAATACCAATTTGATTGTGATTAGAGTAGTCGGAATCAGAGAAAGCTGATTCCTTTTGACGCCATGATGCTTTTTTATTTATTTTAAGTATGAACTTGAGATGAGAATGAGGAAACTTGTGACTGCTTCAGGCTAATCCAGCAAACGAGCGCATGTTAGGCGGTAATGGTGCAGATGGAGGTACTTCGTACTTCAAATATTCTATTAGTTTAGTATCTATTTTTGTTCTCCTTTTTAAAAAAAAATCTCATTTTTGGAAAGCCATTCATGACGCTGCTGGGGCCCAGCTGAGAGCAGCATGTTATCAAGTCCCCGAAGTTCTTCCCGGAGTCCGTTGTCCCACCGGAGAAGCAAGAATCACGCCGTGGGTTTCACTTTCCCGTCTCTCCCCTCTTTTGTATTTTATAAAATGTTCTTACAAAGTTATTGGAAATGGAGTAGGGGTTTCAACTTGTCTGCGTCTCATGTGATTCACACGGTCGGGCCCATTCATAATGCCGAAAAGAATCCTAAGAAACTCCTACAAAGTGCTTACAGGTAAGCAAGAAAATGCATCTTTGTGTATCCTGTATAGTGGTCACGCTTCACTTATGCTTCCTCAGTGGATTGTGTATCTCATTGTTGGATTTTTTGGTAACAGAAACAGTCTGAGAGTAGCTAAGGAAAACAACATTCGGCACATTGCATTTACTGCAATATCTTGTGGTATTTTCAGGTAAAGTTATAAAGGACATAAACTTGATATGGAACTCTCAAGTTGGTAGATGATTTCAAATATTTCTACCCATGTATTAAATTATCTTTTAAGAATAATATTCCACAAAATATGTGGAACCCTTTTGTTTTCCATCAAACTGGTTAGGTATCCTTTGGATGAAGCTGCTTCTATAGCTATCTCCACGGTTAAGGAGTTTGGTAAAGACTTTAAAGAGGTAAGTTTAATTGCCTTTTAACTACATTTAGTCTCTCAATTACCAAGAAATGCTCTTTTGACAAGTGTTGTAATGTTTCTCAGGTCCATTTTGTTATGTTCAGCGATGATACGTACACAATGTGGGTGAACAAGGCAAAGGATTTGCTACCTCCACCACAAGGCCGAAACTTATCCCTCTCGGAGAAAACCATCAAAACAGCATTCTTCAGTAAACTCAACTGTTTTCTATAAATGGTTTTTTGTTTTTTTGATGCACCCCGCCAAAAATAGGCACTGTCTCAGATCATTATCATGTAGTACAAGAACTTGTATTTGTCTCATCACTATAAGGACAACAACAAGCTTTGAAACAAACGTGTATGATGATCTTTCTTGAAGTCTTTCATCGAAACGTGTATGATGATCTTTCTTGAAGTCTTTCATCGAATATGTTTCTCATCTAATCAGGCCCATTAACATGTCTATTGCACCATCATTAGCAATAATGGGCCAACAAACTCTGTGCGAGAGAGAATTGGGTGAGGACTCAATTCTCGAATATGATCTTTCTTGAAGTCTTTCATCGAATATGCTTTCTCATCTCATCAGGCCCATAACCAGGCCCAGTTTCATGTCTATTGCACCATCGTTAGCACTAATGGGCCAATAACCTCTGTGGAAAAGAGAATTTGATGAGGAGGACTCAAATGAGACGACTATGGTTGACCTGTGCGGTGGGAAGCTTGAGTCTCCTCCCTAGATTACACTCGAGCTCGATCCTTCGACCACCTTCTGCTTCGCCGGGAGCTACTCTGATCTCCGCCACTTTCGCCGTCAAAACTTTCCACACTGCCGCGTTACAGTTTCGCAGCGAACTGTCTTCGTCTATTCTCTCTTCCCGAGTGGTTTCTGTCTCATCCATGGCTTCTGGAGACGAAGAAGCTGTTTTCAATTTGTCTGATTCTAGTCTCCTTAAGATCCTTAAAGGCGACATCACCAAATGGTCCGTCGATGCATCTTCCGATGCTATTGTAAGCCTCTCTTTCTCGATCAATTTCAAATTTCTAGGGATGGCAATGGATAGATTTTTCTCAAATTAGATGAAACTTGATTAGTTCGTGATGAACATGATTGATAGACTCTTGTATCATTCCCGTAAAACACATTTGAATTAGGTCTCTCTCTCCATTGCTTCATCATTCAGGTGAATCCAGCAAATGAGCGAATGCTAGGTGGTGGTGGTGCCGATGGAGGTGATTTCATTCAATTTGTTCTCTCCAAATCCATTGCCATTTCTGCGATTGTGTTGGTATAATGAACTGTGACTATTCTGAAACCTTAATGCAAATCTGATTATGTTATGTGACCAGCAATACATAGAGCTGCTGGGCCACAGCTCAGAGCAGCGTGCTATGAGGTTCCTGAAGTTCGTCCTGGAGTCCGTTGTCCCATCGGTGAAGCGAGAATTACTCCGTGCGTTACTCTTTTTCTTCTTCTCATTGAAATTAAGACTCTTGATAAATGAATTGGATTTTGAAAAATTATGGAACAGGGGTTTCAACTTGCCTGCATCCCGAGTGATTCACACTGTTGGACCAATCTATGACTCAGATGTGAACCCTAAAGAATCCCTCACAAAGTCTTACAGGTAAGCGTTAACGCAGATTCTTCTTGTTTACTCTGCTTAGACATGTTTTCATTGTAAACAAAGATTTCATCTTTCTGTTTTTTGCTACAGAAATAGTCTGAGAGTGGCAAAGGAAAACAACATCAAGTACATTGCTTTTCCTGCCATATCTTGTGGGATTTACGGGTAAAGTTTTCACAACCAGAGACTTAAGTCGTCTATATGTTGTTACATTACCTATTCTGTTCATTGAATTCCTGGAAACTTATGTGAAAAGTGAAAGAGAAATCTTATGCCCTCAGAGTATTGTTTTTTTTTTTTGTTAGATATCCTTTTGATGAAGCTGCTGTGATCGGTATATCAACGATCAAAGAGTTCTCCAGTGACTTTAAAGAGGTAATGGTTGCTTCACTCGTCCATATTGTTATCAATTCCATGGATTCAATCAAGTAACTGACATTTTTTTTTTTACAATCTGGTATTGTCATTAGGTGCATTTTGTTTTGTTCGCGGACGATATTCATGGCGTATGGGTAAACAAAGCAAAAGAGGTACTACAAAAAGCTTAATATCATCCCCTCTGCATCCTAAATAGGCCGTAAGAAAATCCTAAAACTCCACACTTACCAAGCATTTTGGTATTTGTGTAATGTGATGAAAGCCTTGTGGTGGTCCGTAATGGTTATGTTTGGTAATAAAGACTGTGTTTTTTAACGATCCAACATTGTCTTTTGCTGTTATTCAATCAAGAAACAGTGCAACGAGGGAAATAACCTAGTGATTTAAAAATATGAAAAAATCAGTTCTAAGATAGAGAAATATTCTTGTAAAGGTTTGACTCGGGTGGTGTAGTGTGTCGTATTAGCAGATAAAAATCAAGAAGTTTAAGAAAATAATAACTTGTATTAAGATGGTATAGTAAAATCAATTGAATATCCAAATTTGTATTTTCAATTATATTTTAACCGAATTTGGGTTTTCAAGTAGATTTTTAAGAAAACAGAAAGGAAATAATAAGTATTAAGATGGTTTAGGAAAATCAATTGAATATTCTACGCGTTTTTAGTAGAGAGTAAGAAGATCAATTTTGATTTCATTAACTAGATAAAGTTAATAAAAAATATATTGGATTGTGAGTTAAACTAATTTTAATTTCAACAAAAAAAAAGGAAACCAGATAAGAAACAACAAAAAGGAAATTAAACATGATAGAAAAAAGGAAATAGTGAACAAGATCGCTCTGGATTACAAAACAAAATAGAAATCACCGACTTACACTATCTTTCTTATAAATAGAGAGAGTGTCAGACTCTCGATATCATTGATTCGATTTCTTATTTCTCAACCACAACAAAAGAAAAACAGAACTCGAAGCAAAAACCTAAAAGAATATGGAGAAGATGATGATTAGAGACAGAGAAGCTCTGAATGTTGTTGACGAATCCTCGCTAACGTTTGTCTCTTTACTTGGCCGAGGGGGTTTCGGTTCCGTCTCTCTCATGAGGGATCACAACTTCCGATTATACGCAGAGAAGTCGTCGCCGCTCGATTACCTGAGGAATCTGGAGAAAGAGCACAGGATCATGCTTCGTTTCCGCAACCATCCTCGCATCGTCCAGACCTCAAGCCCTAATCTTCACATAGGCACCAACCCCGAACGATGCTTCATCTACATGGAGTTTGCCTCCAAAGGTACTCTCCAGAAGATGATCTCCGAGTTCCGTGGGAGACCAATGCCTGAATCTGTGATCGGACACGCCGCTCTTATGATCCTACAAGGAATCGAGGCTCTGCACTCACACGGCTACGTTCACTGCGACATAAAGCCAGACAACGTTCTCGTCTTCCCTTCCAAGACTGTTGGGGAGCCGTGGGATCTCAAGCTCGCTGATTTCGGTTTATCCAAGGAGCCCGGTCAGGATTCGAGGTCGCTGTACGGTGGCACGAAGCAGTACATGCCTCCGGAGTCTTGTGGACCCAACCGAGTGATTGGACCGGCCGTTGATATATGGTCTCTAGGGTGTGTGGTTCTTCAGATGTCCGGAGGCTGTCCAGAGAGGATGGGAGATTGTTACACGTGGAGGCTTTCCAGACTTGTCTCGCCTATGGCCAGCGACTTCTTGAGGCGGTGCTTGGATCTGCAGCCGTCGCGTAGAGCCACCGCAGCGGAGCTATTGAACCACCCGTTTGTTAAGCAAAGAGTGATTAGTGTTCCACCACGGCCAACGATGCTTCCGTGTCTTTCTCCTCTCAGGTTTGCTTCTGTCGCAAGGAACAATGTGATGGAGGGATATTCTACAAGACAAGGAAGACCGGTGATGATGATGGTTCCAAGACCCAACAATTTGATCTGCTGAGATCAACGGTGGAGATGAGGCCAAGAAGAAAAAGAAAGGAGTTTTCCTTCCATTCAAGGCGGCTGTTTTTTATGTTTTGGTTGCTTTATGTTTCGGTTGTTAAGAGTCATATAGCTTGTTGCAGAAGTTATAGTGTATAAGCAAGTTTCTATTAAGAGTTTAAGCTTCAGACACTTATTTTCTAATATGTTCATCGAATATAATGTCCAGTTTTAGACTTTTAGTATATAAATATCATCTTAATTATTCGTATGTCTTTGGAACAAACAAAACAAAAGTTATTGGTATATTTAGGATATTGAAAGCAAGTAAGAAAACAAAGAGTAAATAAAGCCCAAGCCCACTAAATTTCAAAGCCCTAGAAGTAGCAACAAATAAATCATCTTTCAAGTTTATAAAATGATAAATTTTTGAAATATTGACAATATTATTAAAAGAAGTTTTACTGCAGTTTTTAAATTAATCCGAATTACATTTTAAATAAATAAAAATAAGCCCAAGCCCACTAAACTTCAAAGCCCCTAGAAGTAGCAAAATATAAATTATTTTTCACTTGTATGCCGTGTCCGATGAAATCGACGAGAAGAGAGTAAGCCCTAGCAAGCACAGTAGCTCCGTCGAGAGGAGAAGCCGCGTCTACAAGATGGTAATGTATCTCTCTTCGTTTGCTTAGATTTACAGAAGAATCGGGAATCGAATCGTTGACCATCGTCTCCGTTGTTGTGTTGCAGACTGTCAAACGCAGGAACGGTGGCAGGAACAAGCAAAACCGAGGCCACGTCAACCCAATCAGATGCTCCAACTGCGGCAAATGCTGCCCAAAGGTAATTCAAAGTAATTCAAGATTCTGTAAAGAGTTTGATTTGGGTTTTGGTTAACCTGTGTGTGTGTGGAATCATTGGATAGGATAAGGCCATTAAGAGGTTCATCGTGAGGAACATTGTGGAGCAAGCTGCCATTAGAGATGTTCAGGAAGCCAGCGTCTACGATGGTATCTTTGATTCGTCTCTTTGCTGACTCTTTTGCATTGTTAATGTTACATGTACAATAACATCAAAAGTTTGGATTTTTATCGATTTTTTTTCTGGAATCTTGGAATATTGAGATTTGGTCTTTGTGTGGATTCGTAGGGTACGTATTGCCGAAGCTATATGCGAAGACGCAATACTGTGTCTCCTGTGCGATCCACTCTCACGTCGTCAGAGTCCGATCCCGTACCAACCGCAGGGTTCGTACTCCTCCGCCGCGTTTTGCCAGACGCAAGGTAATCGGATCACTCAGTTCCATGATCTTAAGATACAAGTCCCCTTCTTCGAGTTTCAGTTTTTACCTACTTGTGTATGCTTCGTTTGTGTTTGTCGATCTCATCACGTGATGCAACTTTGTTTCTGAATACTAGTTTCTGTTTAATATGAAGATAGTTTGAAGTAAAAAGCTGAATACTTTGGCTTGTAACAATTCTCGAGATGTCTGCTACCTTTTGAATAGTTGTTTCAGAATAGCCTTTGTGGCTTCAAGAAGTAGACTTTTGAGATGGATTTAAGAATGCTAGTAAACCTTCACTGGATTTACGACAGAGCTGCTTTCAATTAGACTATTCTGTTCTGTCTTTTGTTGTTTATGTGATTTACTGAAATGGGTTTTCGGCATTATGATCATCAGGAGGATGCCCCAAAGCCTGGACAACCAGGGCAGGCCCCTCGTCCTGCTGGAACTGGAGCTGGAGCTGCACCGCGTGTCTGAAGAGCCATCAAGCAGCTTTCTCTTGATTCTTTTGCCATGTGGATTTTGAATGCTGTCAAAGTATTTCAGTAGTTGGTTCAACTTTCTATCTAGTTTTGGGCTCAAATGATCTTACATTGCAATTCAGCATCTTTAAACTAGTGATTGCTGTTTTCCAAAGTATTGATTGTTCTAATCTTCATGTAATGTTGGCGAAAAGCTGCTTGTTGAATTTGAGAGCCAGATTTTCACTGGATTTGCTATGTAACAGAAGTTCTTATTTTTTTGAATCAGACCGGATCAGTGTCCGCTGTATATAATGCAATCATTAAACTTGAATCATAATAATCAACGCGATCAAAATGACTAAACACATATCAATCTTGTTCATCTACTCGATCTCTGATTCTAGCATAGTAAGCACAATGACGATCAAGAACAAGATCACTAACCATGTCAAACAACCGGATCGATCATATCTTGGGATATGGTTGAAGAGAATCCCACAAAGAACTTACGTGTGTGGGTTGCTAACAGAGAGGCAATGGTCAATTCCTCTCCCATTCGACGGGATATCCGTTGTAGACCATGGTCAATCTGGAGATTCTGCTGTTATTCACAAAACAGAGAGTTAAGTAACAAACAAATATATACAAAATCACTTATAAATTTATCGTCCGAAGTCACAGAAATCATCAGGTAATTCACGATTTTCTCAATACTGAAGTTAAAGCGGTACAATCTTGGATTTGTGAGATGTTGGAAATTTTACAATACTAAAACAGAGCATTGAATAGATGAAGAACAAGACAGGAGGTTTAATAAACAGTTTGAAAAATTGTATGTGATAATCGGTTTTTTAAATATAACAAAGTCGTAACATATATATATTTTTTTTCTTTTTGACAGCAGTTGAAACAACTATATTAATAAACAGCTTTTGAGATTCACATAATCACATGAGATAAAGAATTTAACATGCCGTGCGTATGATTAACAATTGTGTTCAGTATTAAAGTTTTCTGTTATAAGATTATTTATTTCCGTGTGCATTTAGGTAAAATCTACTGTAAAAATAAGGAATTGAAATAAATGTTGTAGTATAGAATATGTGAAGTGAGAAATAAAATCTAATAATTTAGTGTTACTGATTCAAATGTAGTTGAAATTACAATCGTTTTGTTTTTAGTGAAAAATAATGTATTTATGATTTGTTATGTAATATAAGTCACTTAAAAAAAGTTAAAAACAGAAAATCCGTTCAAAATTGATTTTTTTAGGTATATATATTATATGTAGCTACCAAATTATCATTAAATCTGGTATTAAATCTGATATTGGTTTTGGTATATTTTATAATTAATAAGCTAAATGTTTTGATTTCAAAAATAAAATAAAATCCAAAAATATTTTATTTAAAAATAGAAAGTGGATATCATTATAACATCAAAGAAATCAAGATTATAGTAGATTTTTAATGTTTCATAAGATTTACATAGAGTTTGGAAATTAATTTATATTGTAATATATAAATGAAAACATATGATGATGATTATTTTAATTTTTTTTTGAAATTTTGTGAATAAGTTTATCATGTGTTTGGCAATTAGAATTAAAGTAATCTAAATATGTAATATCTAAAAATAAATATGTTTGGCATAAATATATAAGAATTAAATAAAGAAAAAAGAAAAAAAGAAAAAAGAAAAAAAACCAAAATTTATTGCATATAAAATCAAATGACATTAATCTTAATGAACATATAAAATTAAAGTAATTCAAATAAATAATATTTGAAAGAAAAAGTAATATTTGAAAATAAATATATTTGGTAGTAAAATCAATTGTATATAAATCAAATGACATAATTAACCTTAATAAATCTTTAGGAAATTAATGAATATCTGATGACATACAGTGTAATATGACATCATTAAAAGTTAACCAATGAAGGATTCTCTTTTTGATATAAAGATTGATGGAAAACGTGTTATCAAAGAAACTTATCTGAAACATTGATAAACAAGGGAAATGTTGAGTTCGTATTTCCTAATCAGAGATGAAATAGGAGTGAGAGTGGTCGCCGACAAATGAAGTTATAAATAGAGATCAAATTGCTCTCTAGAGCTCTGTAAACGAAACGAGAAGAAACCCTAAAGAGAGAGAGAGATTAAGATATGAGAGAACCTTTGTATGTAGATGTAAGTTCGCTGAACCATGTCCGTGTTCTTGGCCGTGGAGCTTACGGCTCTGTCTCTCTGGAGGAGCATCCCCGCTACGGATTCTACGCCAAGAAGAAATCTTCCATGCATCACCGGGAGAATCTCGAGAAGGAGCTCAGGATCATGCTTCGCTTCCGCAACCATCCTCGCATCGTTCAAGCCGCAGACGATTGCCTTCACTTAGGAACCGAGTCCCAAGGATGCTTCATCTATATGGAGTACGCCTTCGAAGGCACTCTCCACAACATCATCTCCCGTTTCCGTGGAGAATCCATGCCTGAGTATGTGATCCAACGCGCCTCTCGTATGATCCTACAAGGACTTCAGATGCTTCACTCACGCGGTTACGTTCACTGCGACCTCAAGCCATCCAACGTCCTCGTCTTCCCTTCCACCACTCAAGGAGAGCCATGGGATCTCAAAATCTCTGATTTCGGTTCATGCAAAGAACCTAACACGGATCATGCACCGTTCTGTGGCGGCACGCCTAAATACATGTCACCGGAGTCTTTTTGGTATGGGCCAAAGGGACAGATCCATCCGGCTTTTGATATATGGTCTTTAGGGTGTGTCGTTTATGAGATGTTTGGAGGTAAAGCCAAGCAGGAGTATCTAGAAGAGTATTACGAGTGGAAGTTGTTTAAAGATATCTCTCCGGCGGCTAATGACTTTTTGAAGCTGTGCCATGGTTGGCATCCATCAAACAGGGATACGGCTGAGCGACTTAACCAGCCGGTAAGGGCCACGGCGGCTGAGCTCTTGAACCATCCTTTTGTTACGCAACGTCTCGATGTTCCACATTGCCGATGCCAACCACAAGACAAGATTGGCCAAAACTTCCAGATTTTCTCTGGTGGTAGGTGTTTGATCTAGTCAAGGCGTGTGTGTGTTCAGGGTTGGGTAGTTAAGAGTCATGTTTTGTGTTTACGTTGAGTTCGTGTCTTGCCTTAGCGCACAAGTTAAAAAAAAGGAGAAACAAAAAACAGTTTTATATATGCAAAGTGATCAAGTTTAATTTCTATTATGACTTTGTTCATTTATTTATTTAGAAGTTTCTTCTCCATTCTTGGTTGTAAGTTGTAACTAAATTTTCCCTATGGGCTGTGCAATAATAGTATTGTTTTTCCAGCTTGTACGTACTTTAATCACATAGCTCATATTTTTCAAGTGAAGTCAAAACCAGAAACCTAGCTTGTATCATTTAAATAAAATTCAACTCTTGAACCATCCTTTTGATATACAAAGAGTAGTTCTATTGCAAATCACAACTCCTTCTCATAATTTTTTTAAAAAAAACAATACCTAAAACGTCCTATAAGACAAAAAGAACTGAAATATCAATCAACGGTGGAGAAGATCGATGACAATATTGAATCACATTGTTTGTGTCATTGAGAGGTTTATTTATAACCCGGTTGCTTTTTAGGTTTAATCGTCAGTATACGTAAAACGTTTACATTCTTACTCTATTTGTTGCAACAAATACACTTATATGGAAGTTGATTTGTTATAATGCCGTATTTGTTGTCACGTATTAATCATTTGACATTTTTTTCTGGTTATAACGCTAATTAATCTGGGTTGAAAATGTTGCAAATTTCGATTGGTTGCTAGGAAGCATCATCACGTTTATGTTGAAACACACAAAAATCTTAGAAGATGCACAAAAATACTTATTATTGTTGCCCTCCACACCAAGATTGATCACATACCACAATCCTCTCTCGTTTAACAGGATTTGCTCTCTGGTTCTTGTGTTTGCATCTACCTGAGCAATGTTGGTTCCTGGAAATGCGTCAGGGGATAGTTCCCGGATTTGGAACAGAATCGAAATCCGGGATTCGAATTACCGATTGTGAATAGTGGAAAATTCAGATAAATGTTTTTGATAAATTTCATTTAGTTTCCGAAAAAATTTTACGATGTTTCCCTAAGTAAAAAAGGAGTGGGAGAATCAACCTGCATATATCTATCTCATATATATATATATATATATATATATATTTTAATGAAAATGAAAATAAAAACTAAACCATTCATATATCTTATCAACATCCAAAACGAATATTTTACACACGTGTTATTAACAGAAGATTATATGGATAAAACGTGTTATCATATTCAGTTATCCGAAAATCAAGGAAACTGTTGAGTATGTCTAATCTGAGATGATTTAGGACTGATAGTGGTCACCGACAAATGAAGTTATAAATAGAGATCAAATAGCTACCTCTGTAATCCTCTGCAAACAAAACGTAAGCACCTTAAGGAAAGAAAGAGATAGAGAGAGAGAGAGGGATAGTGAGTGAGTCGAGAAGGAGCTCAGGATAACTATGGCGACTCGGATTTATCCGGATGGTTCACGTTTGGTTCCAACCGATGTGGGGTTGGTGAATCATTATCTTCGCAACATGGTGGAGCACAAGGACGGAAAATTCATAACAACTTTGGACGTGTACAAAGATGAACCGTGGCTTCATGATCACGTAGAGAACGCTAAGTTTAAAAGAAACGAGTGGTACTACTTTGTTCCGAGGATTAAAAGAGGTGGCAAGACACCGATGCGGACCGTACCGGGAAGAGGAGAAAGCGAAGGCGGCACATGGAAAAGCACCGGTTTAAAAACAGCCATCATCAATCCAAAAACCAAAGAGGTGGTGGGTTACAAGCAGAGTCTCGTGTACAACAAGAAAGTGAATGGTGTTCCAAAGAAAACTGATTGGCTCATGACCGAATATTCTCTTCACAACGATGTTCACGACGACTTGGTCTTGTGTTGGATTCGGGACAACACCGAGAGGAAGTTCGAACCTGGTTTTTCTGATCAGGTGGACAACAAAATCTTATCTAATCATGTGCAAGAAGAAGAAGAAGAAGACGTCACTCAGCAGCGACAACCGACTTTTCCTCCTCTTCTTCAAGGTCATGACTCAGGCTTTGAAACGATGATGATGACGACGCAGAGCAATGACAACAACGGCGTAATGATGACGATGACGCAGAGCAACGAAGCCATGATGATGACGACGACGCATAGCAACGACAACAACTACGCCATGATGATGACGACGACGCAGAGCAACGACAACAACGACGCTATGATGATGACGACGACGCAGAGCAACGACAACAACGCCTTAATGATGACGACGACGCAGAGCAACGACAACAACGCCGTAATGATGACGACGACGCAGAGCAACGACAACAACGACGCTATGATGATGCCGTACCAAGAACCATATCAGTGGGATGATTTTGATTTTGATTTCAGTGGCTCGGAGAATTTGATACTCAACCTCGATGAACTCATGAATTTCGGTGACATCAGTCTAAAAGAAGAAGCGCAATGACACCGATTCCTCAAGCTCAAGTTCTAGGAATATTTGCGTGTCAATATATGCTTACTTCAAATTAAAGTTTGTGTCTCGGTGTGTAGTGTGCTCTGTTAGGCACTCGTCTTATGTTTTAAATTGAGTTTATTTCTAAGGTTTATCAAATTAAGTTTGTGTCTCAATTTGTTTCTCCATTGCTAATAACAAATTTAAGAGTGATAATTGTAGGTTATCGGTTGAGTTTTTTCTGTTTACTTGATACGCAAGAAATCATCGGGTGTGTTAGTCTCATTCATACTTCAAATTAAGTTTGTGTCTCAGCTTTGATGTGCTTGAATTGGTCAACTCACTTACTACTTTTGGTATCCCCTAATTCTCGTTGTGCAATCATAAACTTACACTCGTTATTAAAATACATCTTTATTTAGGTTATATGGGTTGAGTATTTTGTTTCTTCGTTGCACAAGTAACAACTATGAGATCAATAAACATGAGAACAAAAGTCTTGCTTCTAACTTTGTGACGAGCTAAGTTTTAGCTAAAGAGAATCATTATCCACGTCTCACGTATGAACCTGTTATTGTTAATGAAAACAATCTAATTCGACCCTGATTTTTGTTTTTGGTAAAATAATTTCCCAAATCACTCAAAAGCAAAATACATTCTTATGAATAAATTAGATAGGAAACGATTGTTCTTCTTAATCATAACTCAGTGGAGATTACAATAACCAAACAATCTAGAAACCATAATCTTAACTTAATCGTTTCTTTAACCAAGAAGAGGCGGTTTTACTTGAGCCTCTCCTTTCTGAGCCTTTCTAGTTCCAACACCATTTGCCAGTGCTCCTGTGAAAGCGTAGTCTCACCATAGCTCACAGACATCATGCGAGCCATTGTCAACAATCTGCAGAACCAATCCAAAAAAAAGTTGAGAATTTTTCCCATATTTGATGAGAATAAATACTAAGAAAGGCTTTAAGTACCTGCTCAAGTCTTGGCTACCTAAGCTACGATCCGTTTGCCTTGCTGCAACCAAATCATTCTCCACTACCTGCAACAAAATTTTGCAGGAAAAAAAAATTGAATTTAGACTCAAAAAAGTCTGATAACAATGGGTTTCTTTAGAAACACAATATTCAAACATTATTGCCGTAGATTGTAACACAAGACCTCACCTGTTGCAGTTCTTGCCCAATGGAGTGAGATAACGATTTGCAAGTAGCTAAGTAACACCTCCAAGCTTCTGCTGTTTCTGGTGTGATGACTTGTAGTGAACTCACTTGCGAAGGTTGAAAAGGCAGAACCAAATCAGCGGGCATTATGTTTGATTTTCCCTCAGAGAAGATGAGCATTTGAGCATCAGTAGCCATTTCCATTTTATAATACTGGAAATCATACTCCACCTGAAATAGCAGCAGATTCCACAATTCATTTTCTGAATCTGATTGAAGTATGATGAATAAATGATCATGGTTTACCTTTTGACATTCCGTGAGGTTTTTAAGCAGCTCTGCATTCTCAACTCCAGCAGAGTTCAAGGTGCCAGGTTGCAACTCTGTTTCGTCCAATATCAAGTGCGTACCATCAGCAATTTGTAGAACTCCAGGCACCAATCTGGGTCATAAACAACGAATTATCAAACGTCTCTCAAGAGAAGAATGATAAAAAGCCTTATTAAGATCGTAGAGACGGATTGTCACCTGTTAATTCCATAATCTTTCTTGGGACCGAGGGAAGTAGTGTTCAGATACTCAATAGTAAGTGGAATGGACTGTGTGAATGGTAGGAGGCTTTTGAGGGCATTGCTGAGCTGAGTACCGAAGATGGACATGCTTTCTTTATTAAGGTGTATGAGGTTCAGTGAAAGCTTCCCGACAGCAACATTATCTACTCTTCCATGCACCTACAGAGGAAGACAAACATGTGAAATGTAACTAGCTGAAATAGCCGACAAGAAAGAATAAGTGATCCACTTTTAACTTAAGTTACCTTTGAGAGTAGATGCAATAACAGGAACTGTGCTGCAATGTGATCATTCCCAAGTAGATCCGTAAGGTACTTCATCAAACCCTCTCTTATCTCTTTGAATATTTGAGGGGATTTAAGCTGCCAGATAAAAAAAGGTAACAAGAGAGTCAAAATCAATATGACACCAAGAATAGATATGAGAGCTATAATTTTTTTCACTGATGGGTGCTTGCCTCTGTTAAAAAGGAAGAACCATGTAGGAAATGTTGTGTTTCAAGCTTCCTGTGGATAAGACAATGGAGGCGTGGAACCTTCCCAGAGGGCATCTGAACAGATTCAGCTTCAGAGAGATCATCAGAGTTTTCATCAAGTGAATCCATATCCATCGTAGTAACCGGATCAAAAGTCAACACTCCGAGGAATTCAACCACATCATTCAGCTTCAATTCTGACTCTGGAGAATCATAAATCTGCACGGCCGCATATGAACTTTTGTCAACAAACTACTCTTTGCAGCTTAGCTATATATATACATGTTTTCCGGATAATAAAATGATAAATGAAGAAGCAAAGATCTACCTTCACAAGACAAGTTAGAGAATCTTGACTAGTAGCAGGCGGAATAACGGAACTTTGTGGAGCACCATTAGTCCGAGGAACCTGAGATTCCGAAGCTGATGAGGTAGCTTCCCCCGCTTTCTGATATAAATATAAAAGCCGAAATAATCGAAGATATTTCATCAGCCAAAATCTAGTGCCAGTAATAGTAAGCAAATGTTCTCTAATTTGTGGTTTTTCCACAACGGAGAGACTAAATCCTTACCAATTTCTTGAAAGGAGAGCCGTTAAGCCCAGCTTCTGAAGTCTGAAATGGTGATTAACATAAGTGTTACTGACCAATAATTCCAACAGGTATTGATACGGCAGAATCAGAAAAGATGAGAGACTAAATTACATTTGTCGCCATGGAATCAGTCATTTCTTCATCCACCCTCACACGCTTTTCTCTGTTTTGGCCAGTGAGATTGAAAAACCGGTTCTTTAGCTCCTCAGAAGAACATTCAGTCCATTGGTTTTGTCCCGGAACCTAAATTGCAGTCAAGTGTTATCATGTTTAATCATCCATGAGACCCAAAAACAAACAAAAAATATAGATCAAACATTTAGAGAAAAGTAACATACTGGAACACAGTATAGTAATCGACGCTCCCAAACTTGCATTTCAGAGGAAGAAGAACCTTCAGGAAACTGTGAGACATCACTGTACTTATTGGTTCTCCATGTTGAACCATCCTTTAGCAAAATAAAAAAGTTATTGACAATAGAGAGGTTCAACGGCTCTTTAGTAGAAAACATTAAAAGTTAAAGTGAATATATAAATATACCTTGTAAGCACCAGCATAGAATTCATTTCCAAGCATGTCCTGTATCATTCCACGGTATCGGACAAGAGTCTTGGGCTGTATCCACTTGATACTTGACGAATCAAGTATTGGAACCTGCAGTAGACACACACACACACACACATAAAAAAAAACAATTTTGCTAATGAAGAAAAAAAAAACTGATACCAGATCCTTTGAAACCCAAATAGACCACAACCTCAAAGAAGCAACTTTAGTCAAAACACAGCCAAATTACACGAAAATTTCCATCTTTTTATGCCGAAATTTGATAAACACGAATTGGGTAGTAATTAAATCAAATCATTTTGTAAATCGACAATCAAAGGCAGCGACTTTGTAAGCGGAGTAAGAGTTGGTGAAGAATACCTGAGAGATGGCAGATTCGTCGGAGAAGTAGTGGCGGAACAAATCGACGACGCCCCAGTCTTTTCCGACGGACGAAGCCGGATCGTATCCCGAAGAAAGAGCATTTGAGAAGGAGAATCGGACGGCTCCGAAAGGGTTAGTCAGACAATCGTACGCTGGTCCTCCCATATCTCCCGATTCTCAACCAACCTTTTGCGAAGTTCTTCTATGAGCGAATCAGTAAAGGATAGAGTCTGCTCAAAGGGAATGTCAAGTGTGTATACTTGGGCCTTTCCCGCCATATCTGCTAGGTTTTTCCCGCCGTGATCCATGCCCACCCTCCAACTCCCAAACGCACCGTTTTCGGCCAAACGTACAATACGCTGTCGTTTTATGTGCTATTTCTTTACAAAGCCATTTCAACAAATTTTGGTGAGAGTATGAGTATGATCTTGATTATAGTTAATTCTCTGATGATTACTCAGATTTGTTTGTTTAAACATCATTTCAGAGAAGGATCTACTGAAAGTTTGACCATCTTTAGATTTGTCAAAAGTAACAACAAACACAGAGATTGGATCAAACACCACTCGAAAGAAGAAGAAGCTAAACATCACGAATTTACAAGAGTGACACAAATTAAGTTTTTATATATATCGTATTTTTAATTCAGACAACGTAAACCATGCCGACTTCTAGAAGAGAAACCGGCGGGACCTTAAGCGCCACGTCAGGTCCTCTACAGTTCCTCCTCAAGAAATTATAACCGAAATTTACGGCAAGTCTCTTCATCACCGATGATCCTTGTTTCGCTTTCACGTGTGAATGCCCCAATATAAACGCCGTCCCAGACTCTTGCGCCGCCACCAGATCCCTAAGCTCGCTCCTCAGCTCCGCCTCTGCCTCCGCATCCTCCTCGTAATTGTCTTCTTCGACCGCAAACCTCACCCGTCTTATGGTTGCGGTTGGCGCCGCCTCAGCCATTTCTATGACGTCTTCCATGCTCTCTACCGTGGTGAATCCAATCGAGACGCTCTCCGGTTGCAGATTCTCATCGATCTCGTAAGCGACGGTGCCGATCACAGCCAGTCTCGACTCGCTTGAGGACTCGTTAGACCGGACTGACCGAGCCGTATCGTCCTCTTGTGTTCTCTTGTGCCAGTCGTAACGGATGAAATCCGCAAGCTTGCTCACGAGCTCTGTTTCGAACGAGTCCACGTCTTGATGGACGTCCCGGTATCCGTACCGCACGATGCAGCGGTACGAGCGGTGGTCCACTGGACCTACACGGCCCACAAGGTATCTCTCGGCCGGCGGAACAAAAGGGACCGGGACGGATTTCACGCAGACGAAGACGAGAACACGGTGGAAAGCAGGGAGGTTTGTGACGAACCGGGAGAAATTGGCAGGGATTCCTGAGGTTAAATCCGTGAAGACTAAACCTATACCGGGGACTCGGGAGATTCCGAGGCTTGGACCTAACGCAAGAAGCCACTCAAGCGAGACTTTGTTCTGGAGATCAAACTCGTATTTCTTGATTGTGGTGTAATGCCAAACGAACATGATGATCATGAAGAACAGAGATAAGAGGATAGGAAGCCAAGCGCCTTCACGGAACTTGGTGAGTGAGGCCGAGAAGTAGAGAAGCTCTATTGAACCGAAAAAGAGAAGGAAGGCGAGAGCTAGAATCGGAGGCTTGTGCCAGCAGAGAACGATGACCAGTGACATAAGACACGTCGTCACTAGCATAACCGCCATTACAGCCAAACCTGCAACCAAAGGAACCAAAAAATATAATCTCAAAAGTTTTAAGAATCCGGAGTTATTGAGCTGGTAGAAAAAGAATCTGATACCTGATGCATTCCCCAGGTGTTTGACATCCCTGAACCCGATTGTAACAGCGATGCAGAGAACCATGAGCATCCAGTTAATCTCAGGTATGTAAATCTGACCATGAATCTTATCTGAGGTGTGAATGACTTTGACTCGAGGGAAGCACCCAAGAGACTGGCTTTGGTTTATGATTGAGAAAGTCCCACTGATGATCGCTTGGCTTCCCACAACAGAAGCAAGAATCGCTATCATAAGCACAGGCCAGTGCACACATTCTGATTCAAATAAAAAGCAAAGAATCAGGTTCTGTTCTCAATGATAAACAGATTTCAGTTCTTGAAACTAAGGCAAATTACTACTGACTTGGCACAGAGACGTAGAACCCAATCGCGTGAGCAGAGTGGTGATGCCGGGATAGGTAAGCAGCTTGTCCCATGTACGCCAATATCAGAGCCGGATAAACCAGGAAAGTAAAGGCAATCTACAACACACAAAAACATAGAATTACTGAAACCTGTGGCGATATAACATTATGCAAATCCTCCAAGATAAAAGTAGAAACTTGCCTGAATTGCCGCGTAGTTGAAGTGACCAAGATCAGCAAACATGGCCTCAGCACCTAAAAAAACAAAGACTCAGACGAGTTTAAGTTACCGACATTTTCATCTTATGGCGGCGTTAACAATATGAGAAGACCAAAATAACTCACCAGTTATACACAACAAGATCCCGCCTAGAGACATCCATCCACTTACTCTCGTCTTTCTCAAGAACATGAACATGTATTTAGGAGAAAGAGCTTTGTAAACATGAGGATTCCACTGTATTATATTGTACAGGCCAATACCGCTTATACAGAGCAGCCAAGTGAGGACAATAGGCGCAAAGACAAACCCAACACGATGCGTCCCAAAATGCTGAAGCGCGAAAAGGCAGACTAATATGACGCAGGTTATAGGAATCACTGCATCTGCGAGTTTGATAAACAGAGGAAGCCATATATCATTCATCATATCTCAAGGAGAAAAAAAACTGACATCAAAACAGAGTTTGTGTACTTACACTGGTGATGTTCTTTAGACATATTCATCTCAAGACCTGACACAGCAGAAAAAACTACATAACAACCAAAAAGAAAAAGATTAGAAAACTCTTTTAGCCAGCAATGAGCACAATAAGATACCTACACACACAGAATCAAAACATACCTGAGATAGCTGGAGTGAGAAGTCCATCTCCAATAACCATACAAGTCCCAAGAAGAACCAGAAGCAGCAAAGCAGTGTGTAACCACTTGTGCTTCTCCAGATATCTTTTCACACAAGAGTCATGGTTCTTCTCCGGCGGATGCTCCAGCTTATAAGTGGACAGTGCCTCGTCAGCTACTTGTCGGTTTGGGAGGAGGCTAACTTTGACATGACGGCATATCAGAGAGTACAAAGCAAAAGTTCCACCTGAGACAAATTTCAACATAACCACATAAGCAACGAGCAAACATAAATTTCAAGTTTTTAGATGATTTTTCTGGTCTTTGAGAGAGAGTCTTTCTCACCTTCTCCGTTATCATCAGCTCGAAGGACAATGAAGACATACTTGAGCAAAGGGACCAAAGTCAGAGTCCAGAAAACGAAAGACAGAACACCGAAGATCTCTTCGTTGGTCTCTGAGTGTCGAATGTCTTCAGCGAAAGTGCTCTTGAAGACGTACAGCGGAGAGATGCTCAAGTCTCCATAAACGACACCAAGACTCTGATAAGCAAGAAGCATAACCGACCTCCATGATTCCTTCTGCATAATTATTATTATAAACAAATCAAAAAGAAAAAAAACTTCAGAGATTCCAACAAATCTAAGGGGATTTTATAAAGAAAAAATCGACAAACCTTTTTAGAACCACAGCATTTTCCGAAATTGAGATCCATGGTATACTCCAATCTTCAGCCTAACACGCTATAAGAAGAACCTGGAAACCCAAAAAAAGAAGAAGATGATTTTCTGAATCTCAATCCAATGAACAAAAAATTGGGTAATTTGGCAAGAAATATGAAAAGTCTTGTCTAATACAGTGAAACCTACAAAGTAACAATAAATACGACAACCCAACTTTGTTCCCAAAATTAGAGGGAAGAAAACAAAGTAGGTCACATTCAACGCACATGCAAATTTCTCATTATCTGATTGATTCTCTTTAACCCGAAATTAGATAAACCCCCAGAAAGTAAACCTAAATCTCTGTAAATTTTGATCAAGGAGAAGGAGAAGCCCACCATTAATTGTATATAGAGAAACCCAGAAAATGAATTGACTTCACAAAGTGTGCCTAGTGTAAGCTTTAAGCCATAAATGAAGTAAAATCAATTATTAGCTTTTCACCCATACTCTGTCTCACAACGCCATCTGTAATTGTTTTCCACTTACAGAAAGAAAGAAAAAAAATTCAATTTTTCTGGGTGACGTGAAAGAGATTTATCTGCTTATCATTGAAAGAGAGAGAGAGAAGATAAGAAGAAGAACTCATAGGCTACACATGCTAGAAAGATTATAGAGAAAAAAAAATCTAATTTTTCTCGCGTTTTCTCGGGGAAAAGAAAAGGGCGTGAAAGAGCAAACGTGGCGAGAATATTTTACAGGTGAAGAGACAGAAACACGTGAGTGCCTCCGACAGTTCCATCTTTTGAAAAAAAGAAAGCTTTTTTCTTTTCTCTACTTACCAACAGAATTTCCGCCATTGATGCAGCTTGTACCATCAGAATTTGGTCATCGTCAACCCCACTCTCTCTCTCTCCCTAATCCTCTGTTTTCCTTCTTTTTTTTTTTTTTTGTTGCTGCAACAGTATTAATCGATAACTGTTTTTGTTCACAAGTTTCAATTTTTTTCAATAACAGCATAAAAACGGCTTTTTAAACAATCGTGTTGACCGAAAGAAAATAACAAAGGGAAAGCAGTATATCTACATTACTTGGTAACAAATTTCTTTTGTGTGTAAAGAAAACCGCGTATTCGTAACTAGAAAAAGCAATAAAGTAATTTGTTTCTATGACTTTAAAATTTTAAGATACTTTTTTGTTTCTTTTACTTAATAAACAAAATGCTAGATGTTAAGAAAAATATATGAATGGGTGAACAAAAAGATTCTTTTTTTTTTTTAAGAACAACAAGATATGTTGCATCTTTTTTACTTTCTTATATCATTAATAAATCAGATCTATATACAATTCCTAAAATGGTTTAATGGCATTATCCATTGTACTAAAAATATATCATATATATGGGTTGCATCTTTTTTTTTTGTATACTATCTTATTGCAATTTTTTCACGAATAAATGTTATCAAACTGTTATTATTTGAATGTGCATCTTCTTATAACTTTAGAGTTATATTCTTTTAATGAAACGTTTCACACAACTATATATTTGTAAACCTTTGGTCAAACAAAAATACTATATATATTTGTTCGTCAATTATTCTAGCGATCTTTGGACTCAGATGCAGAACCAAAAGGTCCACATCCTTGAACAGTAACTTCTAGTCTCTTCTCAACAGATTCGATTATAAGTTATTTACTAATATCCAAAATGATTTAGTCATATTTTCCCTTTTTTTTAAGTTGAACTGCAATCTAACGAATTCTTAAAAAATCAACAAATTTTAATCTATCGAAAGAACTGTATACTTTAAATCTATAGTTTACGAAACCTCCAAAAGAATTCTCGAACAGTATCTATAACAGAAGCACCAGTTGAAAAGCGTTTTTATTTTGTAAGAATGTCAAACTGAATTGTTAGTTTTTGGCGTAAATGAGTTGTTATAGTTTATAGAATTATCAATTTAAAAATATATAATATAAATACATTGGTTTTTAACAATATTTGATGTTTAAAGAACCAAAACTAGTGTTTGGGATAGTCGAATTTATAGTCACTGATTGGTGCTCCTTTTCTATACCCATCTTGTGATGCTTCTTTCGCTTTCACTCCTTTAATATGTTTCTTTCTCTCCATTTTGTTAGCTGTTGCCAAAGTACAGCCTTTATATATATTCTTGTTACTTAAAAATGAAAAGCGAGAGTTTTATATTTGTCGCCCACTTTCTCACTTTGCCATTATTGTAACCGAAAAATTACAAAACTGGATCCGAATCCAGTTCCTTTCTAATAGTATTCAGCTTGCTCTTCACAACAAATCTTTCTATAATTATATAATTCAAAACATCTACTCGACTGGTCGGTGGATTCAATGCATGCATAAAGGGACATTACACCAAGTCATATCATGTATTAATATTATATGCATGCGAATATACGATGCACGTCGACAAAATCACACACATTCACACTAACATGGATATTTCAAGTGCTTTTCAGTTTGTAGTATGCATCACCACCAAATGAGGTCTTTTCTACTTCCTTTTTTTTTCACGACTTACACTGCTGATACACTCAGTAACATATTTTACTTTGAATTATCAAAAGTAATTTTATCGCTTTAAATAAGAAAAAAGGCATATAGTGGTGATGCTGAATTCAGGTTTTCGGTCATTAGTAAACAATATTAAAGTAGAAAAGTCCTCATTTGGTGGATATTATATGCATGCGAATATACGATGCACGACAACAAATCACACACATTCACACTAACATGGATATTTTAAAGCAAAACACCAATTTGTATTTTATATGATATTAAGCTTCATACGTGATTTTTGGAGTGTAGGCACAAGTGCTTTTTCAGTTTGTAGTATGCATCACCATCAAGTGAGGACTATTTCTCCTTCCTTTTTTTTTCACGACTTATATACTCAGTAATGACGCAAACATAACATATTATACTTTGCGTTATCAAAAGTAAATTTATCTCTTTAACTAAGAAAAAAAAGGCATAGTGGTGATGTTGAACTCAGGTTTAGTGCGGTCATTAGTAACATTTTTAACCAATTTTAGCCAAAATAAATTCTCAAATGGTTACATAATATATATATGTGGATATCCAAGTGAACCACCCTTTTCCCAAGTAGGTCCTGCCCTTTTATGAGCTGTAGCCGAAGTTCAGCCTTTATAATCCAAGTGAACCTCCTCTTTTGGTATTCAAGATTTTTGTTTGGACCACTGTTTTATAGTAATAATCTGATCCTATCAAACCGCTGTCTTTTTATGTATTTTTTGTTGTTGTAAATGCTAGAACTAGTGACGAATATCTTTGGCATATTTTCTGCAAGTCATTTTCCTGATTGCCAAGAAAAACATGTGTTCGGGATTTTAAAGACTTTGCTTAATTCAGGCCCTTTAACCAAAAAAAAAAAAAAAGATTTTGCTTAATTCTCCAGATACAGCAGTCATTTATAGTGGTGACAAATAAATCCGATCAATTTTCGAAGTATTAAGATTTAGAAGTTCAAAATGTTAGTTTAATCGATATTTATAAGTGAATGTTGATGGAAATTGTTATAAAAAGATTTGGATTTTTATTTTATTTTTAAGAAGGCGTTTCTCTACTCAAACTTTCTCTCATCTGGTCTTGCACACAATTTTTCTAAATTTATTTTTGGGGATCAGTGGCAAAATATCAGAAATGATAAATTCAATAAATTTCATGATCTAATTTACTTTACATGTTTTGTTATTTGATTGTTATCTTATTTTAATGGAAGATTGCGTGTATATATTATACACACAAAATAACTTCACCCATGTGAAAGATTTAAATGTTTTTTTAATGCCAAAATCTGTATACTTGTTGTCATTTGTTATTATAATTTGTAAATTCAACTTGTCTAGGCGAATGGTTCAAGACTGTATAACTGACACAGTGTTCTTTTTGTTACAAACTGAGGAATGTTTCTTTGTTTTTTCCCTTTTTTATAATTATAATACTATTTTGGGAAACATGAGACTATATAATATATCAAAAAAATAATCAGATTACACCGGTTGAGTTTATGCTGTGATTATGCTGATTTAATTCATCAATTGTGTAGAATTGGATTTCTTTGAAGGTTGTCCGACGTTGTCATCTAAAGTAATTTAATCGCAATTTAATAATAACATATATAATAATAATAAAAAAGACGTAAGACAGGTTTTTATTAACCGAGAACATTTTTACAACAGAAAAAAATGCAGGTTTGTCTAATGAGTATTGTTACATACAATAAGCTCCCATCAATACGAGGAAATGAGACAATTCAATAGGTGAGGGAATCATTTATTATATAAAAGGACAGAATTAAAAAAAAAATATATATATATATATATCAAAATATCAAAAATGAAGAAAATACATATAAATGACCATATGGAGAAGATCTTTTAGGATAAAAACATATATAAACCGCATGTATGTATAAATATGTAACGCAAAATGTGTATGTATGTATGTGTGTGTATACACATGATATGTATGGTCAGTGGCCAATACCGGGGCTTGGGACATCACCTTGCCTTCTATAGATATCATCATAGTCAGGCACTGGTGGTGATGGTGGTGATGATGAGGCTCCATCATCATAATCACCTGAATAATCAACTTCCAAGTTTGTAACCATCAACTTCCTGTTCTTCATCGCTGGGAAGTCTCCGCCGTGAAATGCTTCCGGCTCCAATCCAGTAGTGCCTCTCATACTCAACCCAAGAATCGAAGGAACTTCGAAGATGAGTAAGAACGACAGTAATAAAACGTGAAGTTTAATCTTCCTTGCGTCCATTTCTAGTAGATATCTTCAAGAAAACAAGAGAATTCGTATATGTGGGATTTTTTCTTCTTCTTGATGTCTTTAGTGTCCAAGAAGAGATTTTGGTGGTGTTGTTGTTTATAATATCATTGCATATATATAAATAACTATATAAGAAAAGAAGAATTGAATTATTAAATTGGGAGGGCCAACTATGTTGAAATTGGCAAACAATGGTCATGATGGATTTATAACATGGCCATTTCTTACTTTTTTTTCTTCTTTTCTTTGAATTATTTATGTTATCTTCTTTTTATCGTAATGATCCATCATTGCATGCTTTGTTCTATGACAAGTCGTAAGTTTGTTGGAAAATTGATTAGACAATTTACATAGGTGGTGAGAATATCTTAATAATGGTGATTTAAATCAAAATATAGTTAATAAACTTTTGAAAAGATGCATTGACCACAAAGTTTATTTGATACGTTGGATTGTTTTTCATTTATCTGTTTCTTTAATTTTAATAATCATGGAAAACTAGTATTTTCTTGAAGAGTTTAAACTATTTGCTATCGTCTGTTAACGGAGACACGTCACACGTGCCATCATTGGTCAATGCAGACTGAAGAGGTAGCTCAAAGAGAGGGAAGCTCACTTTCAAAATTGTTCCATTTCTTATAAATTAAAGCATGTGGCTCGAACCTTCAAGTGTATAATTAACATTATTATTATTATATACTATGTTTTGTATATAATCAGAGGTATTCATGATATCTAACGACAACACAGAAGAAGTAAATAATTGCGTTTGCTTAACTTTTAAATGATCATGTCTCACTTAGAAATGCATTACAAGTTGATATATGTGTTACTGATTCTTAAGAATAGACACGTATGTGTATCATGGGGATCCGATCTCAATATAATAAGAAGTGATGAGGATGCAAAATGTGAAAGAAATTATCAACTTCATTAATTTAACAAATAAGATTAATTGATGTGTCACCATCCACATAATTATCTATCTTGGTGTATGCACTTAACTAGAAAAAGAAGGAAATTAGACAATAACCCAAAATTTCCAAATTTTATATCTGATCTTGCTTAGGTCTCTTTGATAATAAAAAACACTCAACCTAATTATTTCTGTAACTATAAAACTTAAAACTTAGGAGATTTTGGAGATGATAAAAATAGAATCAAAGATATTGATGGATGAGAGATGACATAATGCTTTGGAAGTATATCGTCATCATACATAGAAAATAGCAAATGAAAAAAAATGGATAAGAGTCATAAAAGATCTATCTGGTAGGGCCTCAACTCCACTGTTAAGTGACAGACAACAACCTCTCTATTAGATCAAACTTCAGTCTTCTTCTCAGACAGCGTCTGCGTCATCGCAATGTAATAATCTTACAATTTAGATATTGTCTCATATACTCTATTAAGAGCTAATCAGAATCATTGAAAATACTAATCAATAACATTGATATTTCTTTTGTCCAAAGAGATCTTTAAATGAATCATGGGGTCAAGAGATAAGTCAATTACAACCCGAATGAATCCTTAAAAGAAGCATTCTGCTTCAACCTTTGGAACTTCCAATTTAGCATCATAATTATAAAAAAAAGGAAAAAAAAAACTCTTAAAGTCATTGTTTTATGTTGATAAATATGAGAGAGAAAGCCTAAGTTATTAGGCAAAAGGTTTTGGCCTAAGAGACCAATTCAAGGATTCTTTTTGGAAGGTTGAGCCTGAGATGTTGAAGGTGATGAGTTCGATGTGCTTGGTTTGCTACTGAACCTGTCAGTGTAAGATTGCTGACTCTGCAATATAAAAAAAAAAAAACAAATCTGTTAGGATCATACAAAATCGAGAAACAGATTCTTCCAAATACGAGTGAAGGAGTTTGGTAATGAAATGTACCATTTCAGGAATATAAGTGCCTGTTCCTCTTGATTTCCGCACGTTCTGCACACAGGTTGATCCATTCATAGTCGTCCAATAGCAGACATTCTTTTGGGTGGCCATAAACCAACGCACAATGTCCCAATGCTTTGAGTCTTTACCCTGAGGGATCCAAAGCTGAGCCTCACCGTGAAAACATTTCGCGTATATAAGACATTTGAAGTATCTTTCGTAATCTCCTCTGAGTTTAGATAGCTCTGATCTCCCAGTGCCAAACGCAACGACAGGTTCCTCAACGTCTAGTCTCTGTCCCTTACCGTTCCTCTCCAATGTACTATCAAAGAACCTCTCCAGTTTCCAACCCATGATTTCTCCAGGTAGTGTAAGAATGTGTCTCAGCTGTCGAGCTCCAAGTGTAAAAGCGTGCTTTATGCGTTGCAGGTTTCCTGACAAGAATCACAAAAAAGACAGGCAATTTTTACTTGGAGAGACCGAATCATGAGTTTCAGTTTAGGTCTTGCGGCATTAAAAAAAAGTCCCTGATCAATGGAGTACCTTGTGTCACACTGCGTCCCAGGTTGTTACTGAGCTTCAGAGGATCCACTATGTTGAAATGCTTCACAGGGAAATAACTCCCATTTGCCCCCACAGGTTTCTTTGAAACCGCGTATAACTCCAAGCAGTCTTTGAAGAACTTCTCGTTCAGGACAACTTCTTGATCCCCGGTTCCTGGAAGAATAACATGAGAAAGCAAAAAAAAAGTGAAGTTTCCGTTTAAGGGAAACAGAAGAGAAAAGTGTCTCCTGGTTTCAGCATCCTTACCAGTAATATCTGGAAGAGAAGATATGGGGACCTGACCATGCACAGTGACACAGTAATTGTTCCAATCAAATGATGCATAGTATTCCAGAAACTTAAACAGCACCTGTTGATGATATCATATGTATGTTATTAATCTTAGAAGCAATGTCCAAGTAAGCAGAGATATTATTGTATATACTCACAGCTAAAGGGCCAGATACTGATGACTTAGATATGTTCATGATGTGCAGGACAAGTATGGCCAATGCATATGTTGAGATCAGCCCAGTGTTGGCACCGAGAATACGGCTCTCGTAATAGCACCAGGCCTTGATCAAAACGATGCTACGTTTGAACAGATGGTCCCTCCCAAAGATATGGTCAACCTAACAAAGCAACCAAATCAAATCAAATATATACCAAAATCAGTTAAGAGGATAGATGAATGATGGAAGAACTTAGTCATATACGCCGGAGATATTAAAGTGTTTACATGTTCCAGAAAACATAAAGCGCTGAGTCCTGCCATTTGATTGAAGGAGATATCCACAGAGATGTTCCTGACATTGCATTTTATGATCTTGACCTATCATCCAAAACGCCGATATAAGCATGAAACATCCACACATAATTCACAAAACCTCCAGAGGAACCAAAGCAAACCTGTGCTGGGATATACTGCACATTAGTTACACTGAAGTCAGATGATACTCCCACTTCAGCTTCAAGCACACTGCGCAATGCTGTGGCCAAGTCGTCCTCCATCTCATGAGGAGTTAAGATTGTCAGATCGATATCTCCATCAGGGAGATAGGTTTTTAGAGGCACCGAACCAAAGAAAAAGACCTGCTAAATACAATGCCGCATTAAAAGAGAATACGTCCTGACTCTGAATCTGATCATACAGCAAAAAGAACTTAAGCATTTCGCTAGTCGAAACTTCTTATGCAACATCGCAACAAGGCATCATCTTATACAGCATTGCTAACAAGTGGAGACTGAAGGAAAAGTTCATCAAACAAAATTTTCCACTAGTCAATTGAATCTAAGGCCCTAACAATAGATACAAACATAGGTTTACCTAATAAAGAAAAAACAGAAAGCCACCAGAGTTCTAACCTCAACTCCAAGACGATCCTTGACAAGGTTCTGTAAGTATTTGATGATCTCGTTCCTGCTTCTGTCTGAAATATAGACCGGCTGGATGGCGTCTAGTATCTCCAGAACCCTGTCCTCTCCAATCATCCACGCTTCTCCGGGTATTGGCATTGCTGGTGGTGACAGAGACGAAGATGACGAGGACGAAGACGAGGAGACTAACACTCGAAGACCAGCCATTTGAACAACAACACTTCAAACTAACTTCAGATTGAACAACAACACTTAGTTAAATGAAAGTGATATATCAAGACATCTACAAAAGCCTAGAACAAAGAGAAAATCACAACATGACATCAATACATTCCTAAATGATAAGAACTCTCACCAAAAGAAAATGAAGACAGGGTAGAAAACTGATTGTCCAATCAAATTGTTTCACCACAGAGATCAAAGAAAAACATGAAGGATGCTTAGTACTAAAAACAAAATCTTGGATTTGATTTTCTCGAATCCACCAATGAATGCTTCAGAACAATTCAAGCCCAAACAAGAGAGTAATTACATTCTAAGCATGACAATGATAAATTGATAGTAAATGCGAGGTTAGGTATCCCTACTTTTTCATAGCTTTCCTCAAAGCCAAACTCCAAAGAATAAAAATCAAAGCTTTAAAACACCCAACAATTAAAAAATCAACTAATAGATTCTAATCCCCTCGCTTCCATGTTAATGATCCACAACAGCTTAAACTAGATTCCCAAACCTCAAATTTCAGATTTTTTCTAAACTCAAAAACAAATCTTTGTCAACCTCGTAAATGCAGGATATATGTTTGAGTTGTGTAATTATCGGAAAAGTGCCTGTGCTTTTAGTCCATGTGTCAAAGGAGGTACCTTTTCAGCAAATCCGTTTAAACTCAAGTGACATTAACTCATCCTGCGACATACAAATTAAAAAAAAAAATCAAAAATCAAAATTCAGATGAAAAAAACTGAACAAAAGACCAACACTTATAAACAAATTTAGGGTTTTTGGATTGTGATTTTAACAGGCATTTGTATTTGACAGAGTAAAACAGGTAAAACCAATACTTCACGCGCAGAGAAAGAGCTTTTGCCTTTGTAATTATCAAACTGAACCCATCAAAGATAAAAGAGAGAGAGATTAGATTTAAGAGGCCAGATTGAAACATAAAAGCGAAAACTTTCACCAGAATCTATGGTGGTTCAATTAATTAACACAATGGTGATTAATATAAGATCAGACAGATAGTAAAGAGCTAAAGAGGAAAAAGAAAACCCCACTGAAATTCCGGCAGAAATAAGGCAGCTTGGTGTATAAACAGAAGAGGAGAAGAAGATATATATAACCAAGGAAAATGAAAATGAAACGATCGCTGGTGAAGAAGAAGGAAAAAAATAGTCAAATGAAATATATGGAAGGTCCTTAGAGTATGAGTGTCTATATGCAGTAGTAATTAGTAATAATGACCCCCAAAACTAATAAATCTGACTTTTCTTTTTGTAATTAAATTTCGGTTCAACTTGCCCTCACAAAATTAGTAAATAACATCCAGGAAAAAAAGTTGCTTTTAAGAAAAATATTAATTGCTGTTCTTCAATTTTTATGTATTAGTTGTCGTCTTGCTCCAGAGTCCCACAAGAAGACACATTCGTAACTTAAAAAGTAAACAAAAAGAAACAAAAACAAGAAAAAAAACGCATAAAGGGGAAAAGTACAAAATATAGTAAAAGCCTAATAGAAATAAGACGACAAAATAGATATCTACAATGTATAAATACTTTTACAAAAATGGATTATGAAATTTATTGTTTGGATATACGGTATACTAAATTTGAGAATACTAATTATCTTGTAGATTTCACCAATGAATGACAAAGTAAATTTTATCTTGTAAATTTGATGATACTGACTTTCTTGATTAAAGAATACTAATTTTTATCTTAAAATTATGATGATTTTTAGAAAACCTTATGAAAACAAGTTAAATATATTAATTTGTCAAAAAAAATGATAGATTCCCCCTCCCCCCCCCCCCCCCCCCAAAAAAATTGTAAGTTTTCTATCAAAACAAAAAAATAGATATAAAATTACATAAATTTTTTCAAATAATAATTTTGTTTATGACAATTAAGTAATGGATGAGTTAGGTAATTAGTAAAAATAGATTCAAAAATCTAAAAAACTGTTAATAAACATAATCTTTCGTTTTCACTCTGGTGTTAACCATAAATAGAACAAAAATGTCACTATAATTCGATCATCTAATTCGAATAATATTAATAAAAAATAGAATTATATACAGTAAAACTTTTATAAATTAATAATGTTAGATCTATAAAATTTTATTAATTTATAGATTTATTAAATTATTAATTTATCAATAAATTAATATCATATTAATTTATAGAGATAGTTTTTATTTGAATTTTTAAAATTTATCAAAAAAATAAAATCATTATTTTCAACAATGTAAAATTCATTCAAAAATATCATAATAATGAATTTAGAAGATATCAAACAAATTTTATAAACTTGAAACAAAAATATAATCGTAATTTACTATATTATATTATTAATATACGCTTAAATATATAATTATTAATTTATATTATTATTGAGACTATATTTTTATATAGAACTTTCAAAAAAAGTATTATCTTATAGAATTTTTTCAATTTTTACATTGATCCCACTTGGGACCAGCAAAAATTATTAATTTAGTATAATTATTAATTTATCGAATATTAATTTATAGAGGTTATACTGTAGTTTATAGCATCATATTAATTTATATGATATCATGACAAATTTATATATAATAAATTAAATTAAATGTGTTATCATGTTAAACCATTTATCGTATTGTATGTTAATATATTTTTATTTATGTATATATGATTTTAATTAAAAAAATATTAATCTTTTACACATAATTAACATGTTAACAAACATAATAATATGTTAAATAGAATGATACCATATTAACCATAGTGTCTAATATTGACGTAGTAGAATAGTAAAAAAAATATAGATATTTTTTATATTAACCTATAATTTATACCGAATTTTCATTGATAATTGTAACAAAATTAATATAATAATAAAATAAAAAAACAAAATATACAGAATCATATCGATGATAAAAAAAACAATAACAACGAGCTTCAGATATCATAAAAATTAGTAATCATGTCACATTTAATCCAGTCAAATAAGAAAACTAACTTATAACTTGAATAATATTTGTTAATTTCGTTTTTGTTTGTTGTAATCGAGAGTCTTCACTAGTATTTCCTTTTCTCTATCAAATACAATGGTGTGTTTTAGAGTAATAATTCATATAAATGGTTTTGAATTCAACAAGACTCTTTTGTCGTTGTTCGGTGATTGTTCTTAATCAATGATTAACATAACCAAAGTACCATTTTTTCATACCGGAATTCATCTAACCGAATTTATGGATTACAATCTAAATAGAATCCAATAATTCGGCATAAATCTCCGAGAACTCTAGCTACTATACGTTATAAAGTCATTTTTTACTTTACTTTTTTTGAAACCTTTTTTGAAGCGGCTGAACTTCGGATTTGATCCAAATTGACATCTCTAATCTAAGTACCACATGAAAGTCAGAAAACAAAATATATATTTCAAATCAGAAGAAATAAACTTACCAATGAGTAAATGTTATAACTATGTTTTGTACAACCAATGTACCCCGAGATATTTCTTATGTAGTTTCGATGGGTTGTGATTATTTAATTTAATCTGCTAGTGGTTGAGAGTATATTTAATTTATAGATTCAATTAAACAGGTTTGATAACTACAAGTATTGATTTATACATGAATAGACCGAATGGTGAAATCAGTACGGGTGGAAACTAATACCATAATATCCTTCTTTGGAATATGGAAAATTGCTGCATTTCCGCGAGATGTCCATCAGAGAGAGTTTACCATTACTTGGCCAGTGCGCTGCGGATCCAAGATTTCACAGGATTTGTGTATTTTTTTGGCTGCGTTGCAGGTTATCGCAGCATAACGGAAGAAACTGTCAAAGCTCTGAACAGTCAGAAGCGTACCTCTGTCAAAGTTCGGGATCATATTGAAAAAGAAATTTATGATATATGAATAAGAGCTTTCATGATATTGTGGTTGAGGCATCGCAATCGCAAGTCAACTTCCACCGCTAATATTACTTTTATTAGCGGTGATAGATGTAATAGCTTTCTACTCCACTAGCTTAAAGATCAAGGATATCACATAATTCAAAGTTATTCACCTAGTAACCATCATTTTTCTATGAGAAGCATTGCCAAAAATTTTATCAGCTGATCAGTAAGTTACCGTAATTCCATTTTTAACAGACATCACTACAACCATAGACTAAGCGAGAAAGACCTTTCACCATCATTCTCTTGGATAAACAACTTTCTAGCCATGGTTGATGAAGAATTTGTTAATGTTATTGACTATGAGCTTGCTAATTTCGAAGCGATAGCTCACCAAGAGCAAGCTGCTCAACTGCTTGCTACTGCCCAAGTTGCCTAAGAGATAGCTGTTGCACAAGCTGCCGCTCAACTGCTTGGTGCTGTCCAAGCTGCCCAAGCTGCACAAATCCAATAATGGAGTAGGGACACAGATTCTTTAGAACCGATTCTATCGGTTCTTAGAGAAAAACCAATTCTAAATTATTGATATGCCACATCACTTTTTTTCTTTTTTTTTCACTTAAGAACACTATAAATCTCTACAATACAGATGTTCTTAATTTCTTAAAGTATATTGACAGCCCACGGTTAACCACTAAACAAAAAAAAAAAGTGATGGATTTGGCGTGTTATGTCGAGCCAGTATTAAGGCTATAAAAGGAGGAAAATTTAGTAGGGGTTATTGGTTTTTGTATTTTGGTGGATTTATAAATCTTTTTTGGATTTGATAAATTTATTGATTTCAAAATCAGCAAAATAGAAAAAAATCAAATCCACTCAAATACCAAGGTTAGACCTTGTATTTGGGTCTTTGTATTTTAGTCATGAAAATCCTCTAAATCTATTCAAATTCAATTAAAACTCAAATCCTTATAATATTTAGATTCTAAAATGATAGAACCAATAACATTGTATTTCATTATGGATTTTAAAATCATAGAACCAATAACACTGTATTTCAATATAAATTTTAAAATACAAGAACCAATAACACTGAATTTAGTTTGGATTCTCAAATCTATTAAAATACAAGAACCAATAACACCTCCTTAATTTGGCCTTGTTTTGTATTTGAGTGCTTAGTAGTACCAAGAACAAAGTCATGGATTTGGATTTCTCAATTCCACCAATGAAACAATTCAAGCCAAGCCAGAGAGTAAATACATTCTAAGCAAGACATCAAAACCAAAACAGAGCATGGCATTGTGGCAATGATAAATGGATCATAAACCAAAACAATCCGTGATCAACAAAGTTGTGTTCTTTATTGTTCTTGTTCGTTTTTTTCTTCGTCGTCTCGTCGTCCCAAATGAAGTTTCAAAGTCGTCCGTTGACGAAGTCTACTCTTAGACACCCGCCATTTCTATTTCAGTGATCATCATCTGAAATGTTTTATGTAAATCATTCATTCCATTCCGGGAAAGTACTTACGACAACATAATCGAAAAAAAAAATGAATCATTGATATTCACCTTTTGATTTTTCTTCGTCACGACTCTCAAAACACATCCAATCGTTTATGTCTCCTTCTCTTCTTCCTCTCTGTTTATTCTGCACCGCAACCCCATTTCTTTCTTAAAATTCGATGAGATACACATACTACTCTGTTCATCCACTCCTCTGTTTCCGGATGAGAACAGGGTCTTTGACCATCTCAAGTAACGGACCGATTGTAATTTGTATCCCAAAGCTTGGATTCTCCAGTCTTGGAGATCGCTTGCACCAGAAGACCTACGTTTGGGTCGCTAACAGAGACGTTCCTCGACGGGAACATCCTTGTAGCTCACGGTCAATCTGATTCTCCGATTCTGAGTATTTTGCGATGATGGTTTCTCTCGAATCATATATCAAGAAAGTCAAGAGTGAAGAATTCAAGCTCAAACTGTCCGGTTGTTTGACATGGTTGGTGATCCTGTTCTTCTCGTGCTTACTATGCTGGAATCTAAGCCACCAGTAGATGAACAAGAATGATATGTATTTCGTCATTTTTATCGCATTGATTGTGATTCAAGTTTAATGGACATTGATCCCAGCTGATTCGAGTAAAGAAGAATTTTGATTTAGCAGTGATTTTCTTAACTATATATATTATGCATAGGAAATCTAGTGTAAATTTGGCTCACAATTCAACAGCAAGCTTTTCGCCAGACTTCAAGAGAAGCTTGAAAAGTACATTACGTGTAGATTAGAACCAAAATTATGGAAAATAGCACCCACTAGTTTTAAGGATGCTGAATTGCAATGTAAGATCATTTGAGCCTAGAATGCAAAATCAATGTTGAAGCAACTACTAAAATAGTTTGCCAGCATTCAGAAATAATCTGTAAAGTAGTAAGAGAAAGCTGCTTGATGGCTCTTCAGACACGCGGTGCAGCTCCAGCTCCAGTTCCAGCAGGACGAGGGGCCTGCCCTGGTTGTCCAGGCTTTGGGGCATCCTCCTGATGATCATAATGCCGAAAACCCATTTCAGTAAATCACATAAACAACAAAAGACAGAACAGAATAGTCTAATTGAAAGCAGCTCTGTCGTAAATCCAGTGAAGGTTTACTAGCATTCTTAAATCCATCTCAAAAGTCTACTTCTTGAAGCCACAAAGGCTATTCTGAAACAACTATTCAAAAGGTAGCAGACATCTCGAGAATTGTTACAAGCCAAAGTATTCAGCTTTTTACTTCAAACTATCTTCATATTAAACAGAAACTAGTATTCAGAAACAAAGTTGCATCACGTGATGAGATCGACAAACACAAACGAAGCATACACAAGTAGGTAAAAACTGAAACTCGAAGAAGGGGACTTGTATCTTAAGATCATGGAACTGAGTGATCCGATTACCTTGCGTCTGGCAAAACGCGGCGGAGGAGTACGAACCCTGCGGTTGGTACGGGATCGGACTCTGACGACGTGAGAGTGGATCGCACAGGAGACACAGTATTGCGTCTTCGCATATAGCTTCGGCAATACGTACCCTACGAATCCACACAAAGACCAAATCTCAATATTCCAAGATTCCAGAAAAAAAATCGATAAAAATCCAAACTTTTGATGTTATTGTACATGTAACATTAACAATGCAAAAGAGTCAGCAAAGAGACGAATCAAAGATACCATCGTAGACGCTGGCTTCCTGAACATCTCTAATGGCAGCTTGCTCCACAATGTTCCTCACGATGAACCTCTTAATGGCCTTATCCTATCCAATGATTCCACACACACACAGGTTAACCAAAACCCAAATCAAACTCTTTACAGAATCTTGAATTACTTTGAATTACCTTTGGGCAGCATTTGCCGCAGTTGGAGCATCTGATTGGGTTGACGTGGCCTCGGTTTTGCTTGTTCCTGCCACCGTTCCTGCGTTTGACAGTCTGCAACACAACAACGGAGACGATGGTCAACGATTCGATTCCCGATTCTTCTGTAAATCTAAGCAAACGAAGAGAGATACATTACCATCTTGTAGACGCGGCTTCTCCTCTCGACGGAGCTACTGTGCTTGCTAGGGCTTACTCTCTTCTCGTCGATTTCATCGGACACGGCATACAAGTGAAAAATAATTTATATTTTGCTACTTCTAGGGGCTTTGAAGTTTAGTGGGCTTGGGCTTATTTTTATTTATTTAAAATGTAATTCGGATTAATTTAAAAAACTGCAGTAAAACTTCTTTTAATAATATTGTCAATATTTCAAAAATTTATCATTTTATAAACTTGAAAGATGATTTATTTGTTGCTACTTCTAGGGCTTTGAAATTTAGTGGGCTTGGGCTTTATTTACTCTTTGTTTTCTTACTTGCTTTCAATATCCTAAATATACCAATAACTTTTGTTTTGTTTGTTCCAAAGACATACGAATAATTAAGATGATATTTATATACTAAAAGTCTAAAACTGGACATTATATTCGATGAACATATTAGAAAATAAGTGTCTGAAGCTTAAACTCTTAATAGAAACTTGCTTATACACTATAACTTCTGCAACAAGCTATATGACTCTTAACAACCGAAACATAAAGCAACCAAAACATAAAAAACAGCCGCCTTGAATGGAAGGAAAACTCCTTTCTTTTTCTTCTTGGCCTCATCTCCACCGTTGATCTCAGCAGATCAAATTGTTGGGTCTTGGAACCATCATCATCACCGGTCTTCCTTGTCTCTTGTAGAATATCCCTCCATCACATTGTTCCTTGCGACAGAAGCAAACCTGAGAGGAGAAAGACACGGAAGCATCGTTGGCCGTGGTGGAACACTAATCACTCTTTGCTTAACAAACGGGTGGTTCAATAGCTCCGCTGCGGTGGCTCTACGCGACGGCTGCAGATCCAAGCACCGCCTCAAGAAGTCGCTGGCCATAGGCGAGACAAGTCTGGAAAGCCTCCACGTGTAACAATCTCCCATCCTCTCTGGACAGCCTCCGGACATCTGAAGAACCACACACCCTAGAGACCATATATCAACGGCCGGTCCAATCACTCGGTTGGGTCCACAAGACTCCGGAGGCATGTACTGCTTCGTGCCACCGTACAGCGACCTCGAATCCTGACCGGGCTCCTTGGATAAACCGAAATCAGCGAGCTTGAGATCCCACGGCTCCCCAACAGTCTTGGAAGGGAAGACGAGAACGTTGTCTGGCTTTATGTCGCAGTGAACGTAGCCGTGTGAGTGCAGAGCCTCGATTCCTTGTAGGATCATAAGAGCGGCGTGTCCGATCACAGATTCAGGCATTGGTCTCCCACGGAACTCGGAGATCATCTTCTGGAGAGTACCTTTGGAGGCAAACTCCATGTAGATGAAGCATCGTTCGGGGTTGGTGCCTATGTGAAGATTAGGGCTTGAGGTCTGGACGATGCGAGGATGGTTGCGGAAACGAAGCATGATCCTGTGCTCTTTCTCCAGATTCCTCAGGTAATCGAGCGGCGACGACTTCTCTGCGTATAATCGGAAGTTGTGATCCCTCATGAGAGAGACGGAACCGAAACCCCCTCGGCCAAGTAAAGAGACAAACGTTAGCGAGGATTCGTCAACAACATTCAGAGCTTCTCTGTCTCTAATCATCATCTTCTCCATATTCTTTTAGGTTTTTGCTTCGAGTTCTGTTTTTCTTTTGTTGTGGTTGAGAAATAAGAAATCGAATCAATGATATCGAACACTCTCTCTATTTATAAGAAAGATAGATATAAGTCGGTGATTTCTATTTTGTTTTGTAATTGAGAGTGATCTGCTCAATGTTTCCTTTTTTCTATCATGTTTAATTTCCTTTTTGTTGTTTCTTATCTGGTTTCCTTTTTTTTGTTGAAATTAAAATTAGTTTAACTCACAATCCAATATATTTTTTATTAACTTTATCTAGTTAATGAAATCAAAATTGATCTTCTTACTCTCTACTAAAAACGCGTAGAATATTCAATTGATTTTCCTAAACCATCTTAATACTTATTATTTCCTTTCTGTTTTCTTAAAAATCTACTTGAAAAACCAAAATCGGTTAAAATATAATTGAAGCAATAGACCGAATGGTGAGATAAGTATCTACTAGTAGAAGAGCTGGTGGGAACTCATACTGTAATATCCTTCTATGGGATACAGAAAATTGCGGTATTCCCACGAGATGTCCATCGGAGAGAGTCTATGATTACTTGGTCAGTGCGCTGCAGATCCAAGGTTTCACTGGACCTGTGTATCTTTTTGGCTGTGTTGCAGATTATCATAGTATAATGGAAGAAACTGTCAAAGCTCTGAACAGTCAGACACGTACTTCTGTCAAAGTTCTGGAGCGGGTTGAGAAGGAATATGGATAAGAGCTTTCATGTGATTGTGGTTGAGGCAAGCCAACTTCCACTGCTAATATTACTCTTATTAGCGGTGATAGATGTAATAGCTTCCTACTCCACCTACTTAAGAATCATAGATATCGCATAATTCAAAGTTACTCACCTAATAGCCATCATTTTTCCATGAGAGGCATTGCCAAAATTTTTATCAGCTGATCAGTGAGTTACTGTAATTCCATTTTTAACAGGCCTCACTACAATTATAGACTAAGCGAGAAAGACCTTTCACCATCATTCTCTTGGATAAACAACTTTTTAGCCATAGTTTGATGAAGAATTTGCTAATGTTGTTGAATATGAGCTTGCTAATTTTGAAGCGATAGCTCACCAAGAGCAAACTGTTGCTCAACTGCTTACTACTGCCCAAGCTGCTGCACAAGCTGCCGCTCAACTGCTTGCTGCTGCACAAGCTGCCGCTCAATTGCTTGTTACTGCCCAAGCTGCACAAGAAATAGCTGCTGTCACTAGCCAAAAGCGCAGATACTCTTAGATGTTTTCCCAGGCTGAAGTAAAGCAACCGTGGAACTGAAGTATATATCACTCTCTTTTTTCCTTCACACTAACTGATGTTTTTTATTGTTATGTTTGTAACCATGCTGCTTTGTGCAGGTAAGGCCAGAGGATGAGCTGCGAAAAGCTCTTTCAATGGTGATCGAACGTGAGCGTTCACCACAGGATTATACCTCTATACGTGACAAACTTCAATCTATACTCAAAAGCCTCACAGTACAAGGGATACGCAATGACCTCACATCATGAATTAAATGTCTACAACATGTTGTATCTCAATTTTATAATTTTTTTTTTGCACAAGATGTGAACTGGTTCTCTTCTAATTAAATTAAAAAAACATTAATATGAAGTCTAATGAGATAACAAAATCCTGAAAGGTTAATCTTAGTTACAGGACATGTCACCGATTGAGCATGTTTCTGATGATTTCTTCTATCTATATTTTAGAAGAACTTGCTAGGCGGACTCTGGAAAAAATTGATTTATTTGCATTTAATCAGGTTAGATCTAATTCGGTATTGAAACAGAGAATTTTTTTACCCCAGCTATGCAGGGAATTTCATAGAAATAGATTAGTTGCAAACAAAATTGTGAATTTTGTTTTTTGTCATGTAGATTATCAGAAGGTAAGGAGGTTGAAGTTGTTCGACATGCTCTCTCAGTTGTTGCATGAGTAACATCAGATAACTTCGTGAAATTCTTCAGACTCTATGAGACTGCGCCAAAAATGAGTAGATGCTTCATGGGTATGAAACTCTTTTGAACTGCTAGGTATGTAAAGAAGAAGAAAAGTATATAATGAAATTATTTTCACTTTTTATGTGCAGGTCTCTATGTGGAGAACATGCGTTACAAGGCACTGACTTTTATGTCTCTTAGTTATCAGCCTACAATCCCGGTTTGATACTTGGTCAAAGTGTTGGGCTTTACTGGTGCTGAAATCGAGAATGGTGGTATGGAGGAGTGTTCTAGATGGCTAATATCCCACGGTGCAAGCCTCAAAGCTGACAGCAATGATATTATGCTGCTTGACACTAATGTAGGTCTTCTTTTAAATTCGCTTTACATTTGGTTGTTCAAAGCTAGACATGTACTTGTGTTATTCCTCGTGCAGTCGTCAAAAACGTCTCTTCACGCCTGATAACCGCCAAATAACCCTGAAGAAGAAGTAAATGCCAAAAGGAGACCTCCCTCGCATCGTCATCATATTTTGGCAGCAAACACTGTTTCTTTTTTGTGTAATAAGATCAGCGTTTTATATGATACAACAAAAAACAATAATGCTTTAGATATTTCATGGTTTTGCTGATTCTCGTAGTCGTAGAGAGACATTTTGGGAGATAAATGGTGTTTATAAACGGATTGACTGCATATATCCCCTTATAAAATTTGTTGTTTATGAATTTACCTTGAATTCATACATTTTAACAATTATCTATTTTAGACTGTTGACCGAAAAACCAGAAAATCATTGCTAAAAATAACTTTTAGATTAACTGGACAATATATATAATATCTAATTGACCAATTAAAGCAAGTGACAGAAAACTGATTTTGTAAATGTGTCTTTTTGGCACAAGTTCTAAGCTGAAACCAACTCAATTTTCTTAATTCTGTTCTGGAATATTAAATTTTGGTTTAAATCTCTAAATAAAGAAGAATTTCATGCATGGAAGAGTGATCAGAATCAGTAGAATGACAATACGACTATACCAATTTGTAATAACAATATGGACGAGTAAAGCAACCATTACCACGTTAGTCACTATTTTCTTCCATACGTAATATCCAAAACAAATTCGGTTAAAATACATTTTTAAAAGAAAAATAAAAATACACATCTCAAATATGAAAAGGATTGAAGCCGCAGTGAAGAACAAAGCATAATCTCTCTCTCTCTCTCTCTCTCTCTCTCTCTCTCTTTTTGTAATCTTAATATCTAATTCCTTGAGCAACTTCAAAGAAGTGTGCAACGTTCTCTTCAGGGGTTCCAACTTTAATACCATGCCCTAGATTCAGAATGTGTTTATCTCTCCCAGCTTTCTTCACAGTATCAAGAATCCGGCTTGTGATAAACTCTTTGGATCCGAATAGAACTCCCGGGTCCACGTTGCCTTGAACCGCTATGTTTCTTCCTAGCCGGTCCCTTCCTTCAGCCATGTCCACAGTCCAGTCCAAGCTCACCACATCCACACCGGTCCGAGCCAGTCTCTCCAGCAAACCTCCTGATCCACTCGCGTACAGTATCAGAGGTAGGTTCGGGTGAGTTTGTTTCACAGCTTCCACAATCTGTTTAAGGTAAGGTAGGCTAAACTGCTCAAAATCCACAGGGCTAAGCTCCGTAGCCCAAGAATCAAAGATTTGCACTGCTTGAGCTCCACTATCCGCTTGGTAGCGTATGTAAGTGATCATCGAGGTTGTGAACTTCTCGAGTAAAGCATGTAGAACCTGGGAGAAGAAGGAAAGAAATTAACTTTTAATATACCAGTTTTTAGCAAATTTTAAAGTTGTAACAGTGCTTTAAGTTTAGTAATCCACCTTGGGTTGTGAAAAGGCTAATTTTTTTATCTGTGTGAAGTTCTTAGATGAGCCACCTTCGATAACATATGAAGACAGAGTAAATGGAGCTCCAACGAAACCCAGAACAGCAGCTTCGTTTCCCACCTGAGACACATAAACATGTTCTTCAGATTACGAGCTTAAGAGCATTTGTTGCTTTAGTAATCACTATTGGTACCTCATTTCTTAATCTTTTGAGTGCTTCTCCAACGTATGGAACAGATTCCTCTGGTATGAATTCTCTAACTTGATCGACATCAGCTGCTGATTGCGGCGGGTTGAAGATGATGGGACCTTTTCCTTTAACAATGTCGAAAGGTATGTTCATTCCAGACAAAGGAGTGAGGATGTCTGAGAACAAAATCACCTTTTCATACATTTCAATTACAAAAACATGTCAACAATCTATGAGATAATACAAATATACAACAAAACTTGAAAAACTAATGGATAAGAAAGAAGAAGAACTCACCCCATCTGGCTTAAACACCTTCCACGGTTGCAGAGAAATCTCCACCACAAGATCAGCATTCTCCGATCTATCCCGGAAAGAAGGATATTTCTCACAGAGGGTTTGATAACTCTGTTCATTATATTAACTTAACACTCAGAGGTCACACAAATGTCCAAAGGAATAATCACACTGTTGAGTTTTGTAAACAAAATTTTATAATGGAAGCTTGCTTGCCTTCATGTACCTCCCAGCTTGCCTCATTAGCCAAACCGGAGGTCTGTCAACAACTTCACCTTTAACAGCTCTCAGAAGAAGAGGCTCGGTGGTTGCAGAGACTTTTCGCTCGGTCACAGTGGTTCCTACACAAAGATTCGGAATCCCATTAAGCACAAAGACGCTACTAATTACACACTCCATAAGCTTTTGCACATCCATGATCACACTGAATTAAGGGAAAACCAATATACAATTATTGAATCAAGCATACTTCGGAGAAGCAGGAAAGGTCGGATTGTAACAAGGACCATCACAGTATCATATATTATATACAGAACAAACTCGCAAATCCTAATTTCTACCACAGAGGTTACTTGTACACGAGAATCTGCAAACTTTGCTACAGATTACCATTGAAACTATCTATTAAATGAAGAATATGGTAACGAAAACTACCAATTCAAATATCACAAGAAAGACCCAATTAGCTTTCCCATTTGTCGAAAATGAGAAAACTTGTTGAGGGAATTTCGTAATTTACAGTATACCCAGATGGAAACTTACGAGACTACATCGAAATGAGTCAAAAACGACGAAACTGAGGGTTAGGAATGAGTACCCTCGACGGAACAGCGAACTATCCGGGAAGACTTTGGAGACGAGAGAGATTTCCGCGGAGAGATTGAGAGAATAGTAGAAGAGGAAGAAAGAGAAGAGCTCGAGAGCTGAAGGATCGACATTTTCCGATCGCCGGGAAAATCTGAGAGCTTTCTATAGCTGAGGTGTTGGGGTTATAATACTCTGCTTTGAGATCTTAGCATCTTCTCCTCTTCAACGCAGACGAAGAAGATGGGGTTAACGTCTTCGGCGAAGATAGAAAAGATTGATGATAAGAGATCTGCTTACGTGGATTCAACTTGCCTAGTCAGCTAAATGTCTGCCACGTCATATTAGCGGGTTTCGGTTTGGATTTTTAAAACTTTGATTTGTTCATATATTTTGTTTTGGTTTATCAGATTCAGCCATTTCAATTGTATTCTTGAATCTTGAGATTATTGATAGATACTGAATTGGTGGACCTAATAAGAACGACAAACGATGGTGTGACTAGATATGAAAACTATAGAATATACCATTTCCCACTTATTTAAGCTTGCACCTGGTATTGGCGGGAACCGATTATTCCCGGTATGACAATTGTGTCAGCCCTTTTTTCTGTGGTACGTAAAAGATTACACACATTCCTGATGGTCACTTAATGTTCCCAAACAGAAGACATATATATATATAATTGTATACTTAAAAGATATAGACATTGCATATTAGATGATACCTTCATGGTCGAAAAGTTTAAATGTTTCGTTGTTTATTATCGCATTTCTATAAAAGGATCTTGCGATCATCCTATGCAAACACCAATCAATATAATATCGTGTTTAGACCCTAATTTTTTTCCTATAAAAACACGATGTGTAATGTGCATGTGTAAACAATAAAAAGCTTAAAGAACTCTATCGAGAACTAGCAAACATCTGATGTTCAAATTTTCAATAGACCATTTAATGTCTACGAGACTACCATCAGGCTGGTCTTAGTGTATAAGTTCTCTTTGTTGGATAGTTTTCTCTAAACAAGGACGACTAGATACTTAAATAAAATCAATGAATTAATTTTTAATATTGAAAATAAATTAAATGTTATTTAAAATTTACATGAAATAATAGATAAATTAATAAAAGGTCTAATATAAGAAAGTATATAAATAAAAATGCTCTTTAAACTAGATGTTTGTTAAGTCCTCTTAGTCAATAGCTCATGAATATTTCTATACTATGAGGTGTAGATTTCAAGATTTTCTTTGAAAATGCGATTTCTGTAGGTTATTAATAGCAAATCAAATAAAGAAAAATTCTTGAACGTATGAGTAGAAGTATTTATGATGGGCCTGCAAATCTGTTGTGGATTTTTGTAGAATAGATAAATTACCCGTTAAATTAGATGTGATTAAGCTTTTTTCGCTTATGAATAAAAATATTTATGATGGGTTTGCAAATCTGTTATGGATATTTGTAGAATAGATAAATTATCCGTTAAACTGGATGCGTTATGGATCTTTGTAGAATAGATAAATTACCCGTTAAACTAGATGCGTTAATCCGTGCTTTTTCTGGCTTATGTGTGGGTCGGGCCAGGTATCTGCTCACGTCTTAGGGGTTCTCTTTGATTGTTAGTTTCCGTAAACAGGATCGAAGGTATATTGTATACCTCTCTAATCATGTTTTGTAAAGACCTATTCATGTTTTAACCTAATGATATACTCTTGGGTTCAAACAGCCGCCCCTGCGGCTTTGAATCCCATCGTCGAACCACCGTGTAAGAAGAGGAAACGAACGCCATCTCCTCCTCCTCCTCCTCCGTCGTTTTTGTCGCTTCCAGAAGATCTCATTCTAAGCTGCTTAGCCCGCGTACCTAAATCGTACTACCCCAAACTATCCCTAGTCTGCAAGACCTTTCGCTCTCTCATCTTATCCATCGGTCTCAGCCAAGCCCGATTTAACCACAAAACACAAGAATCATTCCTTCATGTCTGCTTACTGTTTCCCGACCGTCCTAATCCCTCCTGGTTCACCCTCTGGATCAATCCTGATCTAATCAACAAGGCGGAGAAGAAGAAGAAGTCTACCTTGGTACAAGTACCCTCTTACTATTACTCTCGTGCACCATTGTTATGTGTTACAGTCGGTTCAGATATCTATGCACTCAGACAATGTTATCCTCCGTCCCGCCACGTGTTGGTCCGCGATAAGGAGCGTTGCATATGGCGTGAGGCCCCCGACATGACTGTAGCTCGAGAGAATCCTGCTGCGTGCGTCCTCGATGGGAAAATATACGTCATGGGAGGTTGTGCGGCGAACGAATCCGTGAATTGTTGGGGTGAGGTTTTCGATCCAAATACTAAAACTTGGGAACCTTTACCTGACCCTGGAGCCGAGCTCCGCTTCTCGTTAGCCATCAGAAAATTAGAGATTATCCAAGGGAGGATTTACGTTAGGAGCCACGGTAATAAAGATTCTGTTTATGACCCGAGAGAAGGTAAATGGAACGTTGCAGCAAAAGCACGTGTGGGTCAGAGTAGCTGTATGGTTGGTAATAGATATTACGCTTGTCGGGAGAAATGTTGCTTGTGGTATGACGTGGAGCGTAAGGAGTGGATTCCGGTCAAGGGTTTGTCTTCACTGTATAAGGGTGGTCCTCTTTGTTTGATTGATACAGTTAGCTACGGTGGGAAACTCTTAATCTTGTGGGACAAGTTGGCCAAGTCTCGTGGGTATGATCAAGAGAAGAGTATTTGCTGTGCGTTGGTTGCACTTGAAAGGCGCAAAAGTGGTCAAGTTTGGGGAAAGGTTGAGTGGTCCAATGTTGTGCTGACGGTTCCGGATTCATACGCTTACTTGCGTTCTTCAGTGATACATGTTTGATCTATTGTCACCAACTCACCATGTCTTTCTGGTCTAAACTTATCTTTAAAAGCCCCACTGGTAATATCAACGAGGAATTGCATTCATATGGACTTGTTTCCTATCTCTGGTAAGTTTGTGGCTTTGCTTAATCTTTATTAAATAATTTGGTGTAACAGTATGCTGTACTTTTGTTTTGTGTGTGTTTGTTGTTTGATTGTTGAATGTTGAATGTAAAATTTGGTAGTGTACTGTTGAAGAATCTATGAATTTCTTGTTATACAGCCATGCACTATTTCAAAGTTAAATCGTTTTGCAATACTGTTCTTTTTTTCGTTGAAATTAATCGTTGAGAAAAGTGAAGAGAAACCACGACAATTTCAGAGAAAATGTCTTTTGGAAATTGATTTAAATCTCTCATCGAAGGAAATACAATTGGGTTTTTTTAATTTATACACACACACAGTATGTATATACTGTATGATAGCGGCACAGCACGTGGGAAAAGCAAATCAAATCTCCTTAACCACATGGGCTTATTTAAATAATTAAATTTCCCGAGCCCAAGATAACTTATGATATGATAAGTTTTATGCCCTAATCATGCTTTTAAGTTTAAACCCTAATTTACTGCCGCTATGAATCCCGAAGACGAACAACCGCCGAAAAAGAAGAAAACGTTGTGAAACTGCTTAACCAGCATATCGAGATCCCACTACCCGAAACTCTTCCTATTCTGCAAAGCCTTTCGCTCTCTCATCTTATCCCATAACCTTACTGTGGCGCGATCTCACCTCAGAACCTATGAAAACGTCCTTCATATCTGCTTCTTTCTATTTTTCTTGTGCGACAAGGTTCATCGTTAGGGTTAGTTCAGAACAATACGGACTCAGACAAAACAATGCTCTGTCCCCTGTCTTGTGGATCCCGTAATAAGGAGATTAATATGAAGTTTATTTTTTACTTACTAACTCTAAACCTGCTTGTCCTTCTGAAGATTTGGCTACATTAAAATGATTATTTAAATACTAATTGTATATTTATTGTTTGGAAAACAAATACAAAGACAGTAGGAGAAGCATTCACACACGTTACATCAAACCAATAAATAACAAAACCTATTACAAACAAACAATAAGGGACTAGAATAGAAAATACACTTTAAGGTGTTTTGTTTTATTAAAGGCTGGATTTTTTCTTACTCTGCTTCTGCATTGGAAGCGTAATGTGTATGAACCCAAACTTTCTCCTCTGAGTGACAAACTGTTTCTCCTCCTGCACCTCCTCTTTCTCGGCCCGTGACGAAAACTTAATATCCTGCTTCAGCTCCTTCAACATTTGGCTCAGATTCGCATTCCGCCTCGGGATTTGCCCTTCAAGGCTCTGTCTCTCGGGGACAACAACATCCTCCTTTGGAACTTGCTTACGCCTTAGAACATCACGCATTGAGACATTAGACTTTAACACAGGCTTTGGGAGATTGTCATGTGGTTCATGCTCCTTGTTCAGATGGCTGAAAAAGGAGCGTCGGGTTTGATTCAAAGGTGTAAAGTTATCGCCTTTACACGAGTCTTTAGTCCATCCGCGGAAAGCAGTTTCAGCTTCGAGTTGCTTCACATTAGCAATCTCTACTCGGTTCAACGCAGCTTCCAAAGCTTGTTTACTCTGTTTAACTCCTTGTGTAGCTTCCTCAAGCTTCTTCAAAATCCCTCTTCTCGAGCTGTTATTGGTGGAGACGTCATTATCGTTTCCTAGCCCTCTCGGTGTTATGGGAGATCTTGGAGGCTCTGGAAAGCAAAACTCAGAATCATCCTCGCTTTCACCGTTGGATGATGATAACATCGCTATTTCAGCAATGGCAAGTGCTTCCGCTGCTCTTGCAGCTTCTTCCATTTTTCTAGCAGCGACCAATCTCATCTCTGCAGTTCTCAGACAGTTCTTGTTCTGCTGGTTCAAACCCGTTTCATCGGTTTCGGCGACCATCTTAACCTGTTCCCTTGGTGGTTCATCTGGAACCTGTGGCTTTACCCTTATTCGTCTCAGCTCCTCAGCTAGAGAAACCGCTCCTCCAAACCCATATGTTAGCTTCGCTCGAGTCTTATCGAGGAAATCTTTCTCTTCTTTCATTTTCTTGTTCAGAGACTCAACAGAGGACTGGATCATCACGAGATCGTCCATGGTTTTACCAAGATTCATCTTGGCTTGCTTCAGTTCCATTAGTATCAGATCAGGAGATGAGATGGGGTTGTGATTGCAATGATGCTCGTCGTTCATCTCCTTGATGTCTGAACTGAGATTCTCAGCTGATCTCAAGGACTCTTGATGAAGCTGCCGCTTCAGATCTTCGACGATCCTTTTCGTCGATCCAAGTGCTTCGAGAACATCCAGAGTTTCCAGCTCTTTCACAATCAGATCCTTCTCAAGCTCTGCCGCATGCTCTTCCATTCTCTTTATGTCAAATTCCCCAACACCATTCTGAACAGTTGACAAAGCCAACAAATAATAAAAAATCACATCTCAACTCCTAATCCAGCTTCATAAACAATCATCACAGACATTAGATGATCAAATCTTCAAAAATCAAACAAAAGCAACATCCTTTAGCAACCTCAGTGCATGCATTTGACACACAACGATCAACACTTGATCATAGTGATGATCTCAGGGGCATTAACCAAACAGCCTAAAACGATGGACTTTAGATATATATTGCTATAAACTCGATAATCTAAAGATGTGAAAATGCTACTCAATTTCACTGATGAAATGCTACTCAATTGCACAGAAGTCATGAAAAATTCTACTCAATTTCACAAAAATTGACAGCATTCATGAAGTTATCTGCTCAACTTGAATTTTAAGAATTGTGACCATCAAAAGCATCATCATTCATCAACTCTTGGTGAACAATGCGTCTCATATCAATGGGGTTTCTATTGAACTGATCTGACATTGGAGATCAGATATTGGAAGAAGAAACTGGAAAAGCACAAAACTTACGTAATTGTCTTCGAGCTTGAAAGGAACCCAATATCCACGACCACCGAACCGGGTCACCGCCTCCTGAACCGACCCGAATGGCGGAGAAGTATCGATCTCAGCTCTCAAACCAACTCTCCTTATCCCGGGCACGTGAGAAACACCCGCCGGATCGACGCATAACCCGAAATTCTCGGACCCGGTTTGGATATTCACCTCGTGGATACCCGGAATCGCCTCTGCCACAGGATTCTGATGCTCCTCCTCTGCCATCGCCACCACCACAAAGAACCGAGAGACGATGGATTGTTGTGGAATTTAAAGTGGAGCACATTGCAGTAATCATGGTTATTATTGTACAGAGCGAAAAAAGAGAGAAAAGGCAAAAGGAGGGAGAGGTAAAAAAAAAAGAAAAAGAGCTTTTTGAAGGGAAACGAATCGCTATGATTCTGCTTTCTCGTTAGCGAGTCACACCAACACCACTCGGAAGAGAGTGATAGATGACAACGTGGCGATGTTTTATTGGTTGGTTGTTTAGATTGACCGGTGTTTGTAGAAAGGTTCACGTGAGAACGGTTGTATGGGATGGTTGACTGATTACTCAATTTGGGCCGTTGATTGCGGAGCTAACGGAAAGAGATATAGGGAATTGCAGTTTCCACTGTTTTAGTGTTTAGCTTTACGGAAAAGCAGAGTTGGGTCTAGGGACCAATAATCAAACGACGACGTTTTCGCTGCCGACGGCCGATACTTTATGGGCCCAAGCCCATACTTTTCCTCTATTAATTAACAGTTTAAACGAAATAATATGTTTTTTGACTGAATAATGCATGCATTGTGAAGGTTTAATATTTTAATCTTTAAACTCTCATATTTACACCTAAGTAAACACAAGAAAAGGAAAAAATAATATGTCATCCATCTTCACGAATTAAAAGAAATAGAAACATTTTCATGTTCTTTTCGTTTATTAATCATGTAATGTCATTATGTCAGTAATAGTATATTTCGTTTTATTGGTGTGGTTATCATTGATTGGTGAATAATGCTAGAAGAGATGAAAATTACATAAATATAAAACATAAAAGGGACATCCTCTGGCAATTGAACAGAATCATTGTTATATTGATTTTTTGGTACCGCACAATTATCAGTTTATCACAACCACCATATCTTTTTCTATGTTGTGTGATTTATTTTTATTTATTTTGTGTAGTCACTTTCGTAAATAGATTGGAACATTGCATCCATTATCTTATTTTGTCTGATCCTTATATCAAGATGAAAGTTTACCATTCGTCATCCACGATTAATGGCTGCAAGGCTGCAACCACGTCGAAACGAACTCATTGGTCGCACGAGAGTGAAGGTCCCTTTTCGTCTATCGTATAAACTTATAATTTGATTACAACACTTTAAGTCATTCCATTTTAATCTATGGTTTTAATCTATAGCCAACACTTTTATAACCGACTATTCTCTTGAATCTAGCCGTCTATAAAAATATAAAAACCGATTAAAAAATTCATAGAACTGCCTAGGCATATGTTTTTTCTTTTTTTCTTTTTGAACTGGCCTACACAATTATCTAGACCATTATTTATGATACAATACATCATGCATGTAACGTACTAACGTATATAGGTGGATGTACAAAATAAATAGAAGGAGATTCGCCTTATATTTTTCTAACTAACTTTGTCTTTATTTCTCTATCGAATTGAAGCAAAATCCCAGTACGGAAAAAGTGGACCACGAACGCATCTCCGGTTCATTAATACGGCTCAACTGTACATCCAACGGTCCACACTCATCCAGCTCGCCAACTGCTCTTTTGTATCCTACACGTTTTATGTATCATCTTCGACGAAATTTATTGCGACAACGGTTTTTCATTTTTATTTAGTAAATGAAAATTTCACAGGATATATTGTAGCTACCACAGAAGTTCACTTTATCTATAGGTTCAATCAATAGTAGAAAGAAATTTAGATCCCTTAAGACTAGCTAGGAGTATCATATGTCTATACTTATTTTTTCTAAGAAAAAATTCTTATATGATGTTTAGCTAAAGAAACAGGTAAAAATTAGGAAATTACAAAATAATATATTTTCTATGTTAAAATAAATTTATATAATATCTAAAACAGAATGTATGAAGTATATCAACTATATATAGATAAACCAAAAAAACCTTTCAAACATCTTATCAAATAGAACGAATAGAGTATGTATGTTTTTTTTCTTCATAAAATTTTATTTAAAAGCATTGTTAATAAAAATTGGTGTAAATAGTAATAACATTTAAGTCGCTTACACATTGAACAATCGATTGCCCCACTCATTTACTCTCTAACCATTTCTTGCCCTCTGCAATTATTATCAAGTATCTTATATATATAAGCCATATGGTCATCCATGTGAAATTTACTAGTAGAAAATTCCAAAATAATACAGATATAACAAAAAGAAAATAATATAAGCACATGTCATGACATGTGCTTTGCTTACACACTCCATGCAAATAGAGATCCTTTAATTCTTCCGCAAACTTCTCTTCCACTAACAAAGCATCACTTTTCCAAAAATAGATGCGCCTTCGTCTCTTACTCATCTCTCAAGAAGCTTCCTCGTCTTCGGATCTCGCATCTTTTTTTTCCTCTTTCCATTTTCGTAGTTTAATTCTGATTAAACCTGACTCACTCAAGACATATCCAGAGAGGGAGTTTTGCTAGCTCACGTCGAACACTATTACAAGCATTTAATGACAATGTCAGAAAGATCCGAAGACGACACAAACAAATCCAGATCCTCGAAGGTTATCGTAAAGGAGAGCTCGCAGGTCAATTCATCGTCAAGAATCTATTACTACGGCGGAGCTTCAGTGCCGTTTTTATGGGAGACACAGCCAGGCACACCAAAACATTCTCTTTTCTCCGAATCCTTTCGTCTTCCGCCATTAACGCCGCCTCCGTCGTTTTACTCCTCCTCATCTTCCTCCGGGAACAAACTGAGCAAAGTTAGAACGAAACAAACTCGATTCGTGAAGACTCTGTTCAACGGGAAGCATCACGTGTCGCGTCCTTCGTTTTCTTGGTCGTCTACAACGTCTTCATCTTCTTCTTCCTCTTCCTTCTCTTCCTCGTCCCCACGGTCTAAAGCAGAGCATCGTGCCAAAAAATGTTACCTTTCTTGCTCAAGATCGCACGTTAAGGACGACGACGAGGAAGAGATTGGGTCGTCGTCGTCGTCGCCGACGTCGACTTTGTGTTATAAAAGAGGGTTTAGTTCATCAATGGGGTGTATGAAGAGAGCTTTGTGTTCTGTTCTTAGCAATGGATCTAGTCGTAAAGATCTTAGATTGATTTAAATGGTTTTTCCATGTTGTTCTTATTCGGTTGTTTGTTAAAAAAAAAAATAGGATCTTGATTTTAAGATCCGTTTTTTTTTTATAATGTTTTGGCTTTTGCCTCTTTGAACACATATTAGTGTTTGATTGTGTTCAGTGTTTAAAAAACAACGTTAACATGTTTTGATCATATTTATGGTTGTTTGTTGTTGTGATTTTGTTAATTTTGTTGTTTCGAGTTTATGTAATTTGAATGAATCTTTTTTGGTACACTTAAAATGAAATTTATTTATATTGAACGTATATTTGATCGAAACGTTTAGGTTTGATTAGTCAACGAGACAAACTTTATCTAATCACGTGAAAAAAATGTGGGCGATTAATTGACCATGTGCCAGCATTTATGGGCTCTATTCATTTTCTTCTTCATTTGCTCTCATTTGTTCGTATTACTTGAATTTGAAAGAGAAAAAAACAAGAAAATGTTATTCACTCTCTCAGTTTAATCGGAACTCGGAAATGGGTACGAAGCTTAATGACAATTTTCAGTAAACCAAAGTAAAAAAAAAGCAGAATGTAAATTAAACAGATGATAACCGAATGTGTACGTATCTCTAATATCGCTTTCTTTGAGCCATTTTAAAAATGTTAAATTCAAAATTAATGTATATATATATATAAATATAGAGATCACATATATTAAATAGAGAGTGAAAAAAAAGTGTTAGTCTGAAATGTTTAATGTATTTACTAACTGTGGAGTACATTTTCTAAAAAGAAGATTTTCCTTAGAATATGCAACTTTTTTGGGTGTCAAAACATTAAATATTCTCTCCCCCAAATCTGCATGTAGCTTATATGTAATTAAAAGAAATAGGTGAGATTCCCAAGCTCACTAGGCAGGGTTTGTCCTTTCACCATAAAAGGAAAAGAAGGTTCGAATGTACGAAAACTGTTTGGTATAAAGATATTTGACACAACGATTTTATACTGTAAGGATTTAACGAGAAGAACAATTTAGTTAGGATTTAAAAGGCTGTCAAAGTCCTCGACCACTCGTGCACACACGTGGTATAAGTTTTAATCGATTTAATAAAACTGATGAAGTCTTAAATGGCATCATTCATTGAAGGAACAGAGAGTTGGTGGTAAAGAAACGTGGCAGAAAAAGTAGCAAGAAAAAAGAAAAAAGGCGGTAGAAGTAGGCTTGCATGTTGCTTTAACTTACTCTATTTATGATAACAGTTAACAGTTTTTATTTCTAAACTGTTAAAATGTTACCAAATAATTTTTATTTTATTTTTATAGACATTTTGTTATTGACGTAACAATAACTAGATATTTCAATTAGAGTTTGACGTCCATGGAATTAATGAAGATAATCATCAACTTCATGGAACGGGTTACGTTAAGATTACAGTTTCTTTTAAATAAAAAGACTAATTAAAATAACGGATGTTGGGAGTTAAACCTGCCGCATGCATGGAACTTCAACATGCTTTATATGATTATATCTAATTAAAAAAAAACATGCTTTATATCTAAAACAAACATAAAAGTATAAGTTTGTAAAGATATTTATAATACTTATTTTTAATTTAGTAAATTATGTTGACTCTAATTGAAATTTATTATATCATTATATATATGCTTTAATATGTATACAGTTTATCTTTTGATGGTTTAGAAGAAAAAAAGAAATGAAAACTTGAAGAGATAAAAGATCCACAATCCACAAAACCTACGTGACTACGTCTATATGAGACTATATAGAAGACGATATGTGTTAGGTTTAACATTTTTAAAACTGTGATCCTAAACATATACAATGAATAATGTTATATGCTTTAAACTTTTAATATCTCTAAAACCCTCGCTCAATTAAAGTTAACAATTAACATTGTACTAAAACGTATTGCTTAGTCAAAGCCTTTATATTTGTGAGGCAAGGCCTACGAAGTAACGACCCAACAAGGGCCCATGTTAGCTTATATAAGTTTGGAAAAATGTTTTGAAAGGTTTTGTGAAAGAAATATTTGTATTTCTAAAGGTGACCTTTATAAAGTAATTACTCTCATATTTTAACCCAATTTATTTTATTTTTTTATATATTTTGAAAGTGGACCCTTAAATTCTAGATATCTATTAATATATTATTTATCATTAAATAATATTCTCTGCTAACTTTTAAATCTTAACAGTTAACACTGCGTAATATAAGAATTTAAAATCAAATACAAAGAAGAGGAGAGAACAACGGAGAGACGATTTAGCCTACAAATGCGGGTCAAACAAGAATATGCACAAGTGCACAGTTTTCTTAGATTCTAAGCAATCTTCTTCTTTCTACTCGAATTTGCATTTGATATTGGAGACAACTGAATATACTAATTCTTCTAATGTATAATATAATATATATACATTTTGACATAATATCGCTATGCAACACGCTCACGTCCGAATTATAACAAGCTATTTCTAAATAAAGGGAAAAAAGAAGAGATATATAGTGATAGTTTATTTTTTATTTTGTTATCGGTGATTTTCTAATAAGATGTTGATAGGTTTACCCGTGAATTTCATATGATTCGTGTGTTCTTGGTTCAAGGTTTTAGTAGGCTATAACGAGGAGAAAAATTGGTACGCTTTTAATTTTTGGTCCATCTACTAACAGAGTCCTTGCTACATATGTTTAATAATACGTTTCACCAAAAATGGTATTTGTTAAGTTTTTTTTTTGGGGGGTATGATTGTTAAGTTTTTGTTTATTCTTTGACCAAGATTCTTTGCATCTCTCCTCTCCTACTTACGGAATTTTCAATACAAACAAAATGTACAAAATACAAACCTTATAATTATACGTACATGCATACGTACAATTAGTAGACTCGTACACATATATAAAACTTGGAATCATATATAATATATGTACACAAATATTATTAGTACCAAGTAGTATTATGCGTAATCCATTTTCAAAACAACTACTCATATATATGTATATAATGACAAAAAAAAACCATATATAGAACGACGAAGAGGTCTCTTGATTTTGACAAGGAACTAACATGCCAATTCTCGTTCCCTCTTGTACATCTAACAATATTTATTTCTAAATCCTTCACCAACTTTTTACTATTATAAACTTTTAAAGTTATTTAGCTATCGTTCAATCAAAACTGACCGGTGGTGTGTAGATATATATATGAATTCCACAAATGAAATAATTAGCTGTAAACTTGTAATCATAATATAAAACAGAAATTTGATTCCTAAAGAAATAAAGCAGGTGTGTGCTATAAATGTGAAGCAAAAGTCCACATGCGGCCATGGGAAAACAAAACCATTAAAAGTAGGCATTAAGCACGAAATCCATCTGTTGTTGCCTGACCGATGAATGAGTTGTTACATGATACATGATGTATGCAAGTATATATCTATGTGTGATCAGATTCTTAGAGTCAAAAATAAATTAAAAAAAAACAAACCCTCACGGCTCACGTGCTTAAGCAGTAAATACAGCTCTTCAGTCTTCACTAACTAGATATCTTCAATTGTTTTCATGTTAAAAGAGACTTTGTTCTGCTTCTCGAGCTACCAAACCCATCTCCAAAAGAATTTTCACAAGCCAGCTCAAGTATTGCTTAATTATATATATATATATATATATATATATATTGATCACTTATAAACACTCATACAATATATGTATCGTTATCACTGAATCTTATACTTAGTATTTTACTTGCCTTTAAAGCCTTCCTCGGCTATCTTCCTTCATAAGAGTCACTTGACTTTAGTATTTCTCTTTTTGTTTCTTTCTACTTTTCTCTCTTTTTCTTACGATCCGCTGAGAGCATGCCTGAATGTCAAGAGAAAGGTAAAAAGTGAACATCTCATAAGTGTGCCCCTTTTTCTCTTCACAATGATTTAGATTTTAGTCGCTCAAAATTGGTGGATATGGTTGATTTCTACCTTTTAGTCTTATATTCATGCTATTAATGAAAACTAAAGCTTTTCTAGAATACCTTGTGTATAGGGAGAGATTTGAAGAGATAGGGAAGAAGATCAAAAGAGAAGCAGATGCTTGGCCTCATCAGATGGCAGGAATCAGAAGACCAATGTCAGGTCCTCTCGGGACCCTCAACACCATTACTCCTTGTGCTGCTTGCAAGCTTCTGCGCCGAAGATGCGCTCAAGAATGTCCATTTTCACCGTATTTCTCCCCACATGAGCCTCATAAGTTCGCGTCAGTCCACAAAGTCTTTGGAGCTAGCAACGTCTCCAAGATGCTAATGGTAATAAACATTTCAAAACACACAAATATTTATCTTCTTCTTCTTCTTTTAAGCATGCAAAACACAAATATATTTTATAATATTTTTTTTATCAATGATCATCGCTTTGGTGATCTATGTCAGGGATTGATTAATTCTCACCAGATGCTTCTTCTCCTTACCAATAAATAATTCATAGTTTTTGGCAATATTAATCTCATAATGTGAAACAATTTAATGTGAAACAATTTAATACTAACCAGGAAGTACCTGAAAGCCAGAGAGCAGACGCGGCGAATAGCCTCGTGTATGAAGCAAACGTGAGGCTAAGAGATCCGGTGTACGGGTGCATGGGAGCAATCTCAGCTCTACAACAACAAGTTCAAGCTTTACAAGCCGAGCTCACGGCCGTACGATCCGAGATTCTCAAGTATAAGCAACGAGAAGCTGTGGTCACTTTGATTGTACCTTCCAACTCCCAAGTCGCCGGATTTCATAACTCCGGTGGCGTATCCGTCATTGCACCACCACCACAAAGACCGTCAACTCCACCACAGCCTACGGCGGCTCATCATCCTCCTCCTCCAGCTTCTTGTGTTTTCTCTCAACCAACCACAAGAGCCTTAGAATACGGCGACATTGAAAGTGAGAACAACTCGTACTTCGGTTAATATTTATTGGAATCATTCTACAAACACACACAAATACATATAATTTATTTTGATAATTAATTTGTGATTCGGTGATTAATTAAATTAAATAAATACAAGGGAGGAAGGTTGATGTTAAAAAGTCTGTCACACTGATCAAAAGTATGTTAATATTGTTTAGTTAAAAGTCAATTGATTGATTTATTTACTCACTGATAAGTTAAGAAGATAGATAACTAAACTCGACATTTCATTGATTAAGTCTTGATGAACTACACAAAACACTTATGATGCACTTGGGTAGTTTAAATTCAATTAATGAGTCCTGCATACTTAACCGAATTTCTTTATTTTCCTTTTGTTATTCTAGAATCCAAGCAATATAATGTTCCTTAACGCTATTAAAATAGCTACTTGCACCAAATTTTGTGTGATAGCTGGCTTTGGATCTGCGCATACGTTATACATACGTACATATATATAGTGTTTATTGGTTGGGTGAAGTGTCAGCTGTATATTATCAATCACTAATTCATTTAATTTGATTTAATTTATTTTTCTTTGGTTTCCTTAGCGTATCGAATTAATCAATACAGCATATTGCTGACCAGATTCATGCAAACAATGTTCGGCGGGAATGTGCTTTGCTTGGCAAAATAAAATTAATTAGATAAATTAGACAAAAATAACAAAAAGGTCGGACTCAAAAGTCAGATTGGAAAAATTCAATCGCCTAAACCTAAATTGTCATTTGAAGACCATTGACTAGGGCTTTTGTGGTTGGAAAGGCTTATCTGGCTTCAAAGATAGAATCCTTATAGGATGTGATGTTATAGGTTTGGTCCAATGTCACGGTTGCTTCATATAATGGCACTTAATAATCCCTTGTCCTAAGGGAACATACTATTCCACTTGGTACGATTCAAATCGTGTGCATTTTAATATTGATATGGAAAAAGTAAGACTAAACAATAATATTTAATAGTTAAAGTTTCAAAGTTTTAAAATTAACTTGCTTGATAGTTTAATATCGTTGGTTAAATCTAAAGGCAGAGACTCGTGAGTTCCAAATTAACTTAGGTAATAATCAACTAGCTTTTTCAAACCAGGATCTTGTAAATTCTCAATACGACCAATGAGAATCGATTTCTGTGTTACAACAACTAGAACAAGACCTTTGAACTTGAGAAACAACTTGGTTTTTCCATGTTTAATTCCTTGATTAGAATAAACACCAACGTTTTATTCATCATGTTAATTAGAATACAACAACTTACGAATTATCAAGAAAAACCATATATGTACACATCTCTCGTTGTCATAATTAGATAGTAAGAGGAGATGTGTCTAAGGCTTTGGCCTCCATTTGAACACATCCTCCACTAAACTCTTTGGTCTCATCACTCTTGTAAACATACTTGCTAGCCACCCACAAGAACAATCCCATGTTCACAATCGAAATCACCATCAGAAACCCGTAATAATAATCAAGCCTAGAATCATTCAAATTATCCCCAATCCAACTCTTCCCACCACCTTTACTCGTGATATCATCAATCATTGTCACCAAGAAGCTGTTCAAAAAGTTCCCAAGACCGATGCCACTCGTGAAAAATGTCGTCCCAAGGCTCTGCATCTCCTCAGGTGACTGATCGTAGAAAAACTCAAGCAAACCAATCGCGTTGAACACATCCGCAATGCCTAGAAGAGAGTACTGAGGGAGCAACCAGAAAATGCTCATAGGCACAACTTGTTTCGGGTTAGTTATGTGAAACTCCCTTATAACGCTCATCCTCTTGACCTCCACTGCCGAAGCAACCGCGATTGCAACAATTTGGATCACAAACCCTATCCCTAGCCTTTGGAGTATAGTGATCCCTCTAGGGTTTCCGGTTTTCTTGCGCATGAAGGGAACAAAGTATTGGTCATACATTGGCACGGAGAGAAGCATCGAGAGCGTAACAAAGCTTCCCAACGAAGCCGCAGGGATTTGGAAGCTGGATCCAAGTTTTCGGTCCAGAGTGGTTCCTTGTTTGACGAAGAGAGTATTTACTTGTGCCCATAAGGTGCTTGGGATTAGGGTGACAAGCCATATTGAGAAAAGCGCTAGCACACGCTTTGCCACTTCCACTTTTGTCACCGTACAAGGTAAATCTCTTGAACTTGTCTTAATGGCGGCTTTATCCAAGAACCTGTAATAGCAATTCCCATATTATTCATTTTATTCGTTCAAAATGACTTTATATATGTATCTTGTCTGGTGCAAAGTGTTCTAACCAGGAAATGTTGAGAAATAACCGTCGGTCTAATTAATAGGTAAACATTTCTACATGTAGATGTCATGTAATAGACTTATTTTAGTGGAAAAAAGTGTCTTCATAAAGGAATATGTCTTATCAGTTCTCAAATAATATTTCAAGAAAAAATTGTCAACAAGTAATGTTGGATTGATGTTTCATATATAGACATGCCAACGACTAAAGCTAGGCAAATAAATGGCTCGAATCAATATTTTTGGCATATCTTAAGTTTTCTATACTAAGTAGTTTTTGCAATGTGATTGATTCTGGCAATAAATTGTAGTGGGACGATATTGGAGAACCCATTAAAGTGGGAATTGGGGACCATTTTTAATAAAAGATTCTACAGAACAAGTACACTAAATTGGATATACATGTAACAACATTGTATATATTCCACGTCACAACCCATTAGAGACAAAGGAATAATTTGGGTAGATTTTTTTGGTCCAATGGTCCTATTATAATTTCCTGTCAAGGAATCAAACTAAACTCATCCTCTTTTTTTTTTTTGTCTTTTTATACATATATATATATTGGCAAGGGAAAAAAAAGACTATCCGTTTATATAGAATCATAACTTGAGAAGTTTTTTTTATCTGCAAATAACTTGAGAAGTTTTTAAATGACTCATTGATGAACACTGACCTGAAGATGGGAGTGTGATGAACTTGATGTTTACCAGTGCTTTTGTAATAATGGGAGTCAAGCTCATGAAGCTCCAAAAGGTTATCAGGACAGTGAAGCTTGCGGTTTTTGAATGCTGCAATAGGAACTTGAACCAGATCTTTTGCCAAATTATCAGTTTTGACGACTTTGTGCCTGTAGAATGGTGTTCCGATATAGAACACAATGAGAGAAACCAAGAGTCCTACCGTAGGAATGCCATAACCTAGACCCCACCCGAGATTCTCTTGGATGTAAACGAGTCCCAAAGTGGCGAATAACGCACCCAAGAAGGAGCTGAACATCCACCAATTGAAGAAGGAAACCTTTTGTTTCTTCTCTCGAATGCTATAGTTGTCGAATTGGTCCGCTCCAAATGTGGAAATGTTAGGTTTGGTTCCTCCGGCTCCAATGGCTATGGTATAGAGGGATATGTAGAAAAATGTTATTTGTAAGGAGGATGCCTTGTTGCATACTCCGTTTGCGCATGTCGGTCTTAGGGATTTTACCGTTACCGCCATTGTTAAGAGAATCATCCCCTGCAAACAAAAACATGATCTACTTCTCATACGTGTTATAATTAATGTTGTGCTTTATTCACATTTTCTTTAGTAAGGAATCATCTTCGATCGGTGTTTTGATCCAATATATACATTTTTTTTTAACATTAGATCCAAATTTTCTGGCAAACTGTATATGTAAATATAACAATTAGAATAATCTTCAAAATATAAAATAGTGTATTTTTAATACGTTTGGCGTTTCAAACATAAAGAAGACCTAGGATGTAAGTGCATTTTGAAGCTAGCTAGAAGACTTTTCATGGGTCATGTCTCTCGAGCAGAAAGAATCAAATGTACATCATTTTGACTAGGACAAACTTTTGACTGGTTATTTAGTCTTTTTTATGTATAAATGTGAGAGCTTTTTGCATATATAACTATATTGAGAGTTGAAATAAAGAATATAGCCATAATATATGGATAATTTACAAACTAACCATGATTCATTATCAATTGTCGAAAATATTCCTGTACTATACTATAATAGCTACTATACTATATCTCAATTTTATAGAATAGTATCGTTTGATATAGTATTTGCAAAAAATTAGAAGAAGAGAAGAAGGGAGGAGATAAACGAAGAAGGGAGAGAAGAAGACGGGAGAGAATAGGAGATGAGGGGAGGGGAAGAGAGAGGAATAGAGGGGAATATGAGGGAAAGAGAAGGGAAAAGGTGGGGCGATGAGAAGAGTAGAGGAAAAGATGACGGGAAAAATGAGCGATATTTTTGTATATATTGTATAATATATAGAGAATAACATAACACCTATTTTAATATGGTTAGATGATGAATTTAACTTACTAATATGGTTATAAGACCCAATTTCTCTAAATGTGATCTGTTGCGAAAAAAAAAATAAAAACGAAGATGTGATCTAACAAAAGTCATTTCTTGATTGAGTTTGATAAGTTTTGTTTTTAATTTATATGTAGATAAGAGATAGTGATAAGATATGTATTTTGTTTAATGCTAAACCAATGAAATCAAAGTAAAGTGGAAATCGTGGGTCCTCTTGAATATGTGTGGAAAACAATAAACCAAATGTCAAAATGAAATAAAATGGGGTTAGCTTTTGTTAACTGGTGGCTTCAATTCTGACACGTCACTACATTTTAGACGTAGTGGTTATTTTGCCAAATGATCAGAAAAGTATTATAGTTTGTATACAATAAATAAATTTGTTAATGTCTATTTCTACTTACAAGTCACAACAGATGAATATTTCTACTTTCAGTTTCATATATATATATATATATATATATCACATCAGTGCTGTCAAACAGCCGTCAAGGTGATGTAAAAAAAATCCATTTGCTATATCATTTTCGTGAAGAAAAACAAACTTTTCCCTACGTTCAGTTCCAAACAAAATTTAAATTTATATATAGTACGACATTATATATATATGATATATAGAAACATTAAAAGATACATTATAAAAATATATATTTTATTTATGAAAAAGTGGAATTACTTTTTCGTATTTCTTAAATTAAGTTTTTCATATATATGGAAAATTTTAATCCTTTTAATTAAGATTATCTATCCTCTTATATGTATATCTATCCTCAAGTATATAAACAGTGGAACAAAAGATGCAAATAATATTTTTTGTGGCAGTGTCTTCTTTGGATATATGTGTTCACGGACCATATCTGATCGTACGTCCAAAACGCGACAAACACACACATCGCTATTCATTTATCATGAGAAACCCAATAAAATAGTTAAGTATATATAAATATTGGTAGTAAATATCAGATCAATCATACCCTTATGAAGATAAAATCTGTCGTAAAAAACGAAAAAAAAATACAAAATTAGCAAGTACAAAAAAAAAAAAAATCAAAGAACACACCACTAATAGTAGTAAGAAGTTCTTTAAAACAAAATAGATTGTAAAAGTGCGTTTATAACTTTATTATTTGTTTTCATTGTTAAAATTTAATTAGTTGTTTGGTTCTGTTAGTTTTCTAAATTGAATCTTTTCGTAAGTTATAAAAACACTATTATCTAATTTAGTTAAAATGATTCGCACTTTAAACAATAAGCTAGAAAAAAGAGAAAGAGCCTGTAAAGAAATACCAGGACGTAGATGAGAGAGGAGGCAGTGAAAGTCCAGAATCGGCCGATGTATGAGTCGGCGATGTAAGCTCCGGCTATTGGAGTGATCCAAACGGCACCGGACCAATTATTCACATTTCTAACCGAAGAGATCGTATCTTCGTGAAGTCTTGTGGTCAAATAATTCACCAAGTTCGACGCTATTCCATAAAACGCCATCCTCTCAAACGCTTCATACCCTTCTCACACACACACACAAAAGACTATATCAAGATTGTGAATTAATAAAGCAGAAGCAATTAATATATGCTTTTTATTCCATTAAACTGAATTTCAATTGCTATGATTAGATGCAGATAATGACTTGAGATTACGAAAATACCAAGAAGGAACGAGCAAGCTCTCCAACGGCCGGTCCTGGACGCGAGAACGGGACGGCCTTGGAGGTCGACGGTGCCATCTTGTGTATAAACTTTTGTAGCCTCCATTAAAAAAAAATTATATGTTAAAATAAAATTTGATGTTTTTGTGGGCGTATATTTTTGTGAGAGGTCAGGTCTGTGAAGAGCGACTAAAGGGAAGTAGTTTTAAGGTTGCATGGTTTTTTTTTTTTTTTTTTTAATTGGGATTTGAAAAAATAAATTGAACAATATGGTCTTAAAGATTAGCTTAGCTTTGTCTTACTCTTCAGTCTTCGCAAGATCAAGTATGTGATATATATAACGCCACCGCAAGATTTTTTGTTTCGTTTTCATTAATGTCGTCATCATCATCACCTTGGTCATGTAACCACCACCATCATCATCATCATTATTAGCATTTTTGATGGTATCTACAATTTTTAATTGGTCCGTATTTAATCATTTAAATATGGTAGAATATTCTGAAAAGGTCGTATATATATATATATATTTGAGCCAAAAATTCCTGGTCAGCAACAGGTAGCGATGATGATAGTATTTGGTTTCAATGAAAATATATCATAAAAAAAAATCGTCGTACATTGTTTATAAATTTTAGTTTTTTCCACGTTTTTCAAACATGGTTTCTACATATCGATGCTACTAACTAATGCCCATTTAAAAAGCTTTATGAGTACTAAAAAGTGAAAGAAATAAACAAAATCAGAACGCAACTATTTTTTCTACAAACTGAAGATGAATGGAATGAGATTACAATATTTAATGAACAGTTAATTTTTCATTCATATTCATTGAATTCGTGTACGTAGAAAGAACTGTTTTTTTCTCTCTCACTAAACTAGATTTTAAAAGTAAATGATGCTAAATTGGTGGAATACAGCAAGATTCCACATTCATGCGAGTTAGAGAGTCTACATGCTCAGCCTCATCAGATCTTCTTCAGTCCGAGTTGCTTAAGTTTCCAAATTCTATAACTATATATAAGCTTCTTCAGCCTCATCAGAAATATGGCCAACCATATTACTATATACCGCACGTGCACTATCTAATAAGACGCACATGGAAAAGATACATGCACAGATGCACAATTGGGTTGGATTCATTTGTACGAACACACAAATTAAAGTGGATATATGTATATATTATTATTTTATAATGAATCTAATAAAAAGGAATGTTGAAAGAATACAATCAGGATTCAAGTTATGTTTGATACTAGCTAGAGTCTTCAAACTGTTTTCTAAGAATCAAAACCAAATATCCGGATATGCTCGTCATACTATATTCGACATTTTTTAACTTGCCGACTTTCAATTTCCGACAAATCAAATATCTTAGATCGGAAGTAAATTTTCTGAGACATTCCATTGTGGTCGAAGCATGAACAACGAAACTTGCAGTGAAAATCAAAAGCGATTGTGTGGTCCAAAGACGCGTTTGATGCATCCAGTAAAACTGGAACGGTGGAGAGAAACAACAGTGGTCCAAAAAGCTTTTGACGATATCTTGCCCCCACCTTAAGATTTAAGCCTTAATGGCCATTTGTCTTTACAAAGAGAGAAAGGGAAACATGCATGGAACTTGATGATGCATTCTTCATAAATGCATCCAACACCTTGATACTAAAGCTATTCTATATCTTATGGAGTATTTGTGTAATTGTAAAAAATGATTCGCTTATGCTAAAGACACTGTTTACATTTACTCACGTTTCACAAAAACAAATTAGTTGTATACTGTAGTTAATTAGTTTTCCCCAAAAAGTCATTATAAAATTTCAAAGCAAATTTTATTTACCAATTATATACCTAAATATTCAAATAATTTCGTAACCTGTAGAAAATGCTAAAACGGAAATTAATGAAACGAATCAAATATTTATTTGCGCTGGCTCATCCATAGCGAAAAACTTCCAAAAATTGTTTGCAAAATGACGAAAATTGTTTGGTTATTTGATGAGCTCATATGTTATGGAGCGTGAGATGCTGAGAACAACACGTAACAAACATAACCAAAGAAGGAATGAAAAACAAATGGTTCCAACCATTTTCGAAATTTGACTTTACCCTAAAAGACTACTCTATACAACGACCTTGTGTCCAAAATCCAAATAATGATACCACGTGTTTTTTCGATGCGAGAACTTTACTTTACTTTTTTTTTCCTCGATGGTATATCATTATATTATTTGGGTTGTAAAACTTATGAAAGACAATCTATATATATTGAAATGGACACTAAATTTAGCAATAGTGCTGTGTGAGAAACACCAGAAAAAAACCCAAGAGGGCTTGGCTGCATCTGATCAAGAGTCTGTGATAATAGAGAGAAGAGTACAATAGAAGAGTAAATGATCAAAAAAAGAAGTGCACGAGGGTTAAGGATACGATTGAAAACGATTTGACAGGCTTGCTTGTTGGCTTCACATTGCAACTTGCAGTGAGTTGAAACATGAGCGTGAGGTAACTTAATTACACTTAGCAATTAAGATATCCCTGAGAAGGACACTGAGAGAAATATTTAAGGGTCAAACATATAACCACTAATAGGAAAAGATTCTTTCTCAATTTCATAATACTCTTTATATCTCTTGACCACAATACAGTCAGTGCTAAAGTGGTACGTACTGTTTAACAGTTAAAGATAATGTTTCTTACTGATTACTCGACTCGACAAGACCTTACTGGTTCCTAAGCTTTCTATTATGGCTCTGCTTATGCCTTTTCATGTCTATCTACGATCATATACACAAAGGTGGATATGTGTGTACTAATGGGCCAATGAAACAGAGCCTATCACGAAACTTTGCTTGTGGACCACTCTAGTCTAGGTCACTACTAGATATATAGTACTTAATTACTCTAGTCTAGATCGCTACTAGATGTTACCTCATCATCTTGTTGCAGCTCATATCCATCAACCTCTTTGAAGTAAAGCTCTTTTCTGTTTGCTTACGCCTTTGCTTCATCTGAAATATCAAAAATCAACACTCTCATTTGTTGCAATAGTCAAACAACTTGTACCTATTTTTAGTGTCCGTGGGAAAATGTTGTCATGCATTATCGGAGTATAGAGAGATTTCAGTGAAGGCAATGATGGTAGATGCAAATTGCTTATCTCATCATACAGCAATATACTAGAATTTCACATGAGAAATTTCTGATGTTCACAACATTATTAGAGACTCGAGTGTATCAGAGAGATTTCAGTAAAGTTTTGGGCTTGAGCCAATAAATGATAATTGGACATTGGCCCAATAGGTGATATGGATCATTGGCCCAATAAGTGAAAATTGGATAATTGGCCCAAGAATTAAAACCCTACAAGCGTGACAGAGCCGTCTACGCGGCTAAAATCGATCAGTCGTTGTTTTTCTATTGGGAGTCAGAAGAGAGAAGTAACTTTCTCCTCAATTGTTCTGGTGATTCCACTTTTTCCTCAATTCTCAGGCATTACTTACTTGTATTTGCATGTTTATTATTTTTTCTTTGGTTAGTTAAATTTTAGTTTATACAAATTTGTTTTCAAATCATGATTATATATATATATATATATATATATCCACGTCTTTAAACATTATCTCTCGCTTTGAGCTTCGTTTGGGATTTCTTTCCACTCTTTTAGAGTATCAATTTATGTGTGATGGATATGCTTATTTTTTATTTGAATATATGAAGAAATAATATCAATTTATATGTATAGATATGCTTATTTTTTATTTGAATATATGAAGAAGTTCCTTAACATGGTTTACCAAATCACAGCCAGGTTTATACATATTTGGTTTGCAATGGCATCACAGAGAAGCAACAAAGAGATTTTCTTGGGTGGATTAACAAAACTCTTTGAAGAACAATGGCAAGCCGATGTACTCCTCAAGGGAGGAAACAGTGATGATGGCGCAGCTATCTCCGCACACAAACTTGTTCTGGTTCTCTCTTACTTCTTCTTCTTCTTCTTCCTTTCTATATATTCCTCGTCAACCTAAGATGGAATTTTGGAGGCAGGAAGATCGGTGGTGTTTAAGAAGATGTTGGAGTCAGACGAGGTCAAGGCTTCACCTAAAGCTAGAGACAGTGACTCTCTCTGAGATGAAACACGAAGAAGTTGAGGCTTTAGTTGAGTTCATGTACAGCGTTGACGGCTCCATTCCTATTGAAGTTCTCAAGAAACATGTTCGGTCGCTTTATCTTGCAGCCGACAAATATGAGATCCCGCATTTACGGGATTTATGCAGAAACGAGCTCATATCATCTCTTAACTCGTCGAATGCTCTTAACGTCCTTGAGCTTGCCCAAATCCCTTTTGACACAGCCCTCTACAATGCGGCCTTCACAGCTATCAGAACCAGTTTAAAAACGATTGCTAGCTCTGCTGAGTTCAAGTTGTTTGTCGTCAAAAATCCAAATCTTACCGTGGAGATAATGAAGGATTCTTTTACTTGGTCGGGTGGCACAAATCTTACTCGAGGGGGTTACAGAAAATGTTCTAGCTGTGGTAATCAATGTCGTTACTGCGGCTAGAAAAATAAGAGTGTAGCTTTGGTTTTTTTCACTTTGACAAACCACAAATCGGTTTTTATCATTATTATGGGATCGGACTTCTTCGTATTTCCAAAATCTGACCAATCTTCATACACTAAACGCCATGCATGGACCATGGTACTAGTAGAGTGGAATGTGTTAATTTCTTTGTCAAGAGATATCTGTGGGACATTTGAAAATGAGTTTATAAACTTTCTCAATATGTCAAATGCTCTCTTGACATCTTTATCTTTCCAATATTCCTTTTAAGTACGATATTTCTGTTTCTAATGAGTTTTCTGTAACATCTGTTTTGTTTCGTAAAGAGAACTTAGCAGTTATGATTGTCTCCACGAAGTTTGACCGTCATTTTGACTGCGTGCCGTGAGTACTGTCTCTTGGTTTTCTATATAACCCTAACATCTTAGTCCAAAAGGTAAACCTAAAAGTTATTCTGTTTATGCTTAGTTAAGATCAAAGCTACAATTATATATGCCATATGGCAACACAAGCCAGTAAAGACCTTTTCTTCGGTGGATTCGCAAAAGACTTGAAAGAAAAATGGCATACCGATCTACGACTTAAGGCAGGAAACAGTGACCATCGTCCACCTATCTCCGCCCACAAACTTGTTCTTGTATCTCTTCCTCTCTTGTTTATCATCTTTAGATTCATGAAAACTAAAGCACTAGAGACACTAACTTTTAACTATGACATGCTTTTTTTTCAATGTTTATAGGCGGCAAGATCTGAGGTATTCAAGAGGATGCTTGATTCAGACGTGATGAAAGCTTCTTCCGGCCCTGAAACGATAACTTTCTCGGAGATGAGACATGAAGAGTTAGAGACTCTAGTTGAGTTCATGTACAGCAATGGCGGATCGATTGCAAAACTGAAGGAACATGTTCGGTCTCTTTATTTAGCAGCTGATAAGTACGAAATCCCGTATCTAAGGGCCCTGTGTAGAAAAGAGCTTATATCGTCTCTGAATCGGTCGAATGCTCTTGACGTACTTGAGCTCTCCCAGATTCATTTGGACAGATCTCTCCAAGATGCTGCGTTAAGTTTTATCGCAAGGAATATAAATACAATCGTGGATTCTGGTGTGTTCAGGTTGTTTGTGGCCAGAAACCCAAATCTTGCCGTAGAGATAACAAAGGCTTTCATGAATCCTATTATGAAACCATGCGAAGATGAGTCGGAAATGTCGGATGATGAGTCTGGCGATGAGTTTGATGACTCTGACGATTATTAGGACTCGGATAGGCTACGGAAAAACATTTGATGAGTCTGAAGTAAAATGTTTTCTGTCCTTATATTTTTCTTCCTATGTTAATAAAGGTAACTAGAACGTTTGTACGTTGTAACGAGATCTCAGCAATCTAAAATTAATCTTACAAGCTGAATGAAAATAAGGAGTTAGTTTGCATGCATGTGTTTAGACCCGACTTCCAAATCACAAAAGATTTTTTTTTCCTTCAAGAAATAGAATATAAATCCAAATTGTAACACCAAAAAAATGACCTCATCCAGTCATTTGGATTAAAACGGTTAACCTCACAATCTCTCTATGATTTGGACAATATAAGTCCAAATACTTTTCACTAGTGAATGTTGTCATTTTGTTGTTAGTAACCAATTGAATGTGGATGTATTAGTGTATTTGGACTTTATATACATATATAAGTATGAATCAGTGTATTTAATTACTCTAATGGAGTAACTATTTGTGATTTAATTTTAAGGGTGCTATATTGTAGATGAATTTTTAAGAAACCACTATAAAAAAAAATTCATTGTGAAATGATGTTTATTTCAAACAACTTGAAAATATTTAAAACACTTAAAATAATTACAAAATTAACACAAACACGTATACAAAATAAAATAAAATTGTTTCCAAAGCTTAACTATGTTGTCAAAAGTTCTTATCAAAACTTTACCAGACTTCCCACATATTGGAATCGGTAGTCCATTTACCAACCAACTTATTTTGTTTCAAAAATACTTCTGATTGGTCCTTTGCCTGTACATAACATCCATTTCGGTTTCCATCTATAATTCGGAATTCCAAGAGAACTTGGGACTTCTAGTAATTATTACCATTAATTAATATCTCTCATCCATTTTTCCAACGTCTTGGAAAACGAAGAAAGTAAAGTGACATTTTTGACTGCCGTGTATAGGGGTTCTCTCTATATAAATCACCATTGTTTACGTAATCAGCTTCAAGTTAACAGTTATGGCAGCGCAGAGCAACCTAGAAATTTACATGGGTGGATTTGCAAAGGTCCTTAACGAACAATGGCAAGTCGATCTACGGCTCAAAGCTGGGGGCAGTAAAAAGGGTGCAGCTATCTCCGCCCACAAACTTGTTCTGGTCTCTAATGTTTTTCCTCTCTTATCTCTTGTTCATTCATCATTCGACCTAAGAAACAATTTCGGAATAATGCATGTAGTTAACAAAGTGTTGGGTCTTAATTAGTTAGAAAATGCTTTTCACTGTTACTGATATTACCTCAAAATCTTAACAGGCGGCACGATCAGAAGTGTTTAAGAAGATGCTGGAACCAGTAACTCTCTCTGAGATGAAACAAAAAGAGTTAGAGGCGTTCGTCGAGTTCATCTACAGCAACCGATCCGTGCTTTCTGCAAACGAGAAGAAACATGTTCAATCACTTTATCTAGCAGCGGACAAATATCAGATCCCGCATTTACGGGATCTATGCAGAAACGAGCTTATATCATCTCTTAACTCGTCGACTGCTCTTAACGTCTTGGAGCTTTCCTTGATTCCTATCGACAAAGCCCTCAACGACCCTGCTGCCAAATTTATCGTGAGGAATCTGAAGACGATCTGTAACTCTGTTGAGTTCAAGTTGTTCGTTGGCAGGAATCCCGATCTTAGCGTTGAGATAATGAAGGCTTCTCTGGCTAGGTTCTGGAATGGTCATCGTGTCTAGCTTCTTGAAGAACCATATTGTATCTTTCGTTGTTTCACTGTTATGTCTCGGATTCTCTGATTTTAGGACTATGTATCGCTTGTATATATCAAATTGGTTGCTGAGAAAATTCAAAAACTCAGAAAATCAAGACTTAGGTTAGATTTCTTGCTTTGCAAGAAAAAGCTTATCTGCCGCAAATAAAGAGGAACGGACCGGTCGATCGGGCCGCCTAACTTGCGGCTCCGCCACTAATCAGGCCCATGTCCAATGCTGAAACCCGCTGTTTAGAAGGGAACAAAAAAGAGGAAAAATCAGCGAGTGGCGGTTCAAGAGAACCTTCTAAGACACATATATGTCTTGCCTTTACTTTAATTCAATATTCGTTTTAGTTTTAAAACTTTGCTCAACTTCTTCTCACACGGCCGCAGCATTCGTCTCCTCCAATCAATCGCAAACCAGTCTCCACAAACTCGAAATCTGTCTGTACGTCGTCTCGTGACTATCCTCTCTTCAATATCAGTCATCACGAAATTATTGCCTTTTTCTTTTGTCGAAAGAAAACAAGTTTACCGTATTAGGTGATGATGTAAAACTTGCGATTCTGAGGACACTTACTGTTTAAGAACTCGCTTTTACTTCCGTCTTTCATATCCTTCGATTCCTCTGCATCTTCTCCGGTTTGAAAATACTTTTCTGCTGCGTTGGTTTGTTAAACTTCTTACTGGTTTGATCAGCTAGATTCCGTCGCTGCTATTAGGTGAATAGTTTATAGCCAGCGCAAAGCAGAGACTTGGATTTAAGAATTTGTGAACTCTGTTCTAGTGGATGCATTGTGCTAAAAGATGATATTCTGTTTTTCAGAATATGGCGAAAAAACTGCAAACAAGATGGAATTCTTTGAGGGGCTTATGAACGCCTTTAAAGAACAAAGGCAAGTCGATATATGGCTCAAGTCAGGAGACCAAACCGATGCAATCCCCGCCCACAAACTTATTTTGGTATATTTGTTTCTTCTTCTATTATTCGCTTTTAGAATTGCGTATTGATTGTGTTTTTACTTCTTCTAACTATTGAGATTTTCTGAAAATATAATATGATATATAGGCGGCAAGATCGAAGGTGTTTAGGAACATATTGATAGATGATTGCAAAGGTTTGTCGATGTCGAAGGAGACAGTCACTCTTTCAGAGATGACACATGATGAGCTAAAGACGTTTCTTGAGTTCTTGTACAACGGTTTGCTTCCTGATACAAAACTGGCGCAGCACGTCCATAAACTCTACCTAGCTGCAGATAAATATGAGATTCCATACCTCCAAGATCTCTGCAGAGATGAGCTCATCACCTCCATGAACTCATCAAATGTATTTGATAACCTCGAGCTTGCAAAGATTTACTCGGACAAGATCCTAGAAGATGCCGTCTCTGAGTTTATCGCTTCAAACATGGAAGAGATTGCGTCCTCGAGTAAGTTCATGTCGTTTGTGGAGAATAATCCGGCTCTTACTGTTCAATCGATAAGGGGTCATGTGAAGAAACTCGAGAATGGTTACCCCCCAAAGGCACGTAGAAAAATATATTAAATTTTGCTTAAGAATTCTTTCTATTATTAGTTAAGTTGGTTGGGCTGCCCCTTTTGTTTTTGAATTAATGAGCACCGTTTCAGCAATCTCAATATTTTCTTGTTATTTTTTTTTGTCATCTGATAATATTAATATTCAAAAGAGGGATACGATGGTGGAATATACAAATACCGATGGAAAACAGGATTTCCTCAAAGATAAATCTGACTGAATATGAAATTTCCCGGAACCAAAACCCTAAAATCAGAAAAATATAACAACACCTTTTTCTTGTTCTATTTATATATTTTTTCCTATTTATTTCAGTTGTCCTTTTATTTCTTGCATGTTCCCTTTCTCTCACCATTCTCTTCAAAATAAAACAGATTAATGATTTACCTTTTCTTTGCAATAATTTATTTGTTTATAATTACAGTAATAAATTTCAGCCTCCTTTTTAAACCACAAAGCAGAAACTACGAAATGTTTCATTGCAACGTAATTGTAACATTTACTGATTTCGCGGATCTAGTAATACTTCATATCTACGGAGATCAGCCTACAATAAAATCTACAGACAAAATAATCAAAATAATAAAATTTATACTTAACCAGAAATAAATAATAAAAATAAAAAATTTACTAGTTAAAAAATAGTTTAAGACTTTAAGCATTGTTTTTTTTTAATTTTTATAAATAAATTTAATAAACATTTATTAAATCGGTATTATGAAAATGCACATAAAACAACAAAACTTTTGAAAAATATTATTCCTAAAAAAATGTCATGCCAAAAACTCAATTCCATAGTTTTATGTGTAGTATATATAACATAATTAGGGTTTAAAAAAATTATTTCAAAGTTTTGATCCACTGTAGATTCAATTTCAGCTTGAATTCTATTATCGAATTAAACAATTTAAATCATATTACGATTTATTCTATTCCAAATCAATTTCTTTATTTTATTTGGATAAAAATCATAAAATTAGTTCGCTATCCAGATTGAGCAGAACTAATCTAATATTTTTTCTTAACATAAACGTTGCCTTCTTAATTATCTCATGCTAATGTAAATCAAATTATCACAATTTTGTTTTTGTCAATCATCGGATTATCATACTTAGCAAAAAAGAACAGTCAGAATTATCAGACCTACTTATGATTAAGTGAAGTATTTTGGGTTATGAATTTGTACGTTTTATTTTCCAGGTTTTCTGGAGTTATTTTGCTCACGTGAACAAAAATGTTTGTCTTCTTCTGTGGTAGAAAATAAGTTTTCTATATCATCTGATCAAATCCGAAATAATAGTAAACTTTTGGTCTAGTAAATTCAGAAACAAAGCCGAGTCAATTTTCTGATAACCAAATTTTTAAAAGGAAAAAAAATTAATACACAGAGGAAAAATAACAAATTTTCAACTGTCCCGATTGATATGTATACTTTGAAAACATATTTTATATTGCTTATGTGAAATAAGTAGAAACATACAATTAATTTTTTTTCATTGTCCCTTTTTTGGGGAAAACTATGGGCTACAAGATGGACATAATAAAAAAAAAGCGGAATTACTATAGAAACTGTGTTATTATATTTTTTGTATAATAAGAAATAAATAAAGGAAATTAAAGAAAAGTGGGTCAATCTAGCTCTGTGGATCATTGCTTTCACCCCAGCTCCTGATTGCATCTGTCACTGCCTGTTTCACTGCTTCAGCATCCATACTTTCTCCATCTTCATTCTGCATTTTATTATATTATTAAAAGTGACGTAATCGTTAAATAATTTATATATGCCAACACACACACACATATAGAGACATAGACAACACATGTTTATATTTTGTATCCGTGTGTGCGTGTGTGTCGAGATTGCCACCTTTATTTTATATTTTACTATGATTTTAGAATTCTCATCAGCAAAAGCACAAGCATTGATTTCAACATATATTTGTAAGTGAAAGCAGATAAGAATTCATAAAAACATATGATGATACCAATCACCGTCCCAATATCAGCTCATTTGTATTGAGAATTTCATATAAAACTGTCCGAGACGTAACATACATATAGGCAACTGATAAAATGATTATAACTAGGATATATTCATATAGAGTTAATGTATAGATATGTGATTATGTGATGATTTGCTAAGTACCTCGACTCCCATGGCATGCAAGCTAAAGGAATCGATACATGAAACCCTAGCTTCAAGAACGTTAAGCCCAATCTCCTCAAAGGATTCTAATACCGAAACAAGCATGCCTGGCTGATTCTTCCCTGAGAACACGTTTATCATAAAACCCTTTTCTAGGGTTTCCACTGTTACCTATAAATAAAAAGTTCCCAATCAAAACCTGTTTAATGAATCTCTCACATTCACATGCATATACGTATTTGAATATAATGGATCCACAGCATATGTTTGTGATTGGATATATACCATTGGTGTGGTGGGATCTGTGGGCTCGCTTGAAGATTGCTCTGCAGTAGTGTCTTCGTTGAATCTTTCGACTTTCTTCTTAAGCTTTTGGATATATTTCGATGCATCCATTATGATCGAAGTTTCGTTTTCCTGTCATCAAAACACGTGTGCAAACACACATATTAGTAACATATACACCATCCTAAATTTCGTCTTCATATTCATCGATCATGATTGCCATATAATAATATGTTCTTCTCAATGCTTCGAAGAGGATCAAAGTGGTTTACAAAAATAAATAAAAAGTACGAGTTGATATAGAAGATCCAAATGGATTCAAGTACCCCTAAGTGATAGAAAATGATCCAAAGGGGACGAAATTATGATTAAGCGAAACGAAAACAAAGCTATATATATACTCGAGTAAGATTGGCTGCGTGTGTGCGCGCATGTGCGTGTTCAAAGCAAGATTTATATACGTATTCAGAATATGATTACGTTTATCTCCATATAAATAAATAAATAATAAAGAGAGGATTATGTAATAATTACAGCATGAGAATTAGTGATTGAACGAAGCAAATGAAACTTCTCTTGCAAAGAACCTCTCTTCTGTTCCCTCGAAACCATTCGTTTCTATGCTTTGGCCAGCCTCTTCCTTCGTATTGAGATTTCTTGATTGATTTCTACTCGCGAGTTTATAGAGGAACTATGTGTGTATATGCAATATATATATATGAGAAGGAGGAAGCAGAGAGATCTTAGATTAAATTGTTTATAGGATCCTCTCCTCTCTCACATGTCTGCCTTAGTCTCTCTTGATCGCTACAAAATATAATATACGGACAACTCCGATTTGTATCTCGTGAATTACTTGCTTGCCTCTATGTCTCAATATACGATATTCTATTTAATATTCGACCCAATTTTTATTTTGTTTTCTTTTATAGATACATATCGTAGTATATTGATTAATTTACAATATATAGTCATATCATATAAACACGTATAAAAATATACATATACGTGTCTATATTCTTACCTACCAACTTGAATAATTAATCACTACGTTTTATTGACGGTAACTCACGCTGTAATGAGAGAATACTCTTAATTACCTTTGCCATCATGTTATAATACTCTTCAAACTATTTATCTGATTTATCTTCCTCTTTGTCTCCATGCTATTCTAACGCTCCCAAAGCAAAGTCACGATAGTTGATAACAACAACTATAGCCAGCTTTATATTTTTGGAAGCCGATAAAGAAATATAATTACAAAACTCCATTTATATACTTAATGATATGATATAATCTTTCAAATCGGTGTAATTACTAATGCATTAACAGATGTCAGAAAAATATATGTTAGCTAGTCATTCAGCTATATATGTATCCCTCTTTTCGGATGCAATGTCTATTCAATCGCAAATTATATGGAGATGCAAGTACCATTTACTTCCAATTCGTTATGATCATTGCAACAACAAGATAAAATCATTTGAAATTTGGGTTGACTAGATTCCGGTTATTATATATATATATATATATGTTATAATATACTTGAATAATGTTTATAGGATACTTGAAGAAAGAGTGAAAAAAATTTGGACGAGAAAGCGAATGATGAGCTCGTGATATATGGGGGAAGAATTAAAATTTTGTGAATACAAAATTAAAAAATAAAACATTTGGGAGCATCGAAAGAAGTGAAGGAGAGGATAAAAGCAAACAAAAGAATGTTAGTTGTGATTTTGGAATGCCTCCAAACACTCCTCACGGGGATCTTTATGAACACAAACCCACACGTATATCCTCCTCTCTCTTCACCTATTCCTCATCTCTCCTTGTCCTCTCTATCGAGTTCTCTCTGTTTCTTTCTCTCTCTATAGTTATATATATCTACGTATATGTATATGCATGCCGTATACACCACGTATATGTACATCTTTTTTTTTGTTTCTTGTTTTTGTTTAATGTGCATCAATGAATATAGAGATCCCATTTTTGAACAAACACCAATGTAAAGTCACGTCTTTCAAAACAAATAACATATATAGTTTGATGCCTAATAATTTCCCTTCCCATTACATATAGAATGATTTGATGGATCAATCTCCAAAACTTAAAAACGCATCTTTTTACGTTACATCAGTTTGCTCCACACACTAATGTATCAATACGAAATAGTGCGTATATGTAAGCGTATAGATACATATAAGTTTGGATAGGTTAGCATTGGTATTGATATAGAAGATTGTCGATATTGGAGACGGACAAACAAACGTACCCACCAATTCACATGTGTGCCATTTAATCATCACAACAAAACAACACTCTACACACAAGTCCCGTTGCTTCATCAAGCCCTTTTCCTCTCACGTCTATAGCTTAATTCATTTAGACATTCTACTGTTTTCTCTCATCTTCCCTCCTCTACACTCTCTGTTTCTTTCCTTTTTCTATATTTTAGGGTTTGGTGCGAAATGCACCCATGATTTACCTCTCGTCTACTCCAGGATCCATGTGTTTAGTTGCATATACTTAATATCGAAGGTACTCTGGGAAGTATATATACGTATGAATTAAAGCGAATGATAGAGATTAGTACTCAAATGTACGTAAGGTCCAAGATGCCTCAGCATGTCAGATTATGTATAGTAGTATCCCCATATATTATTTGCGAAGTCATTAGAGAGAAATTTTGCTTTTAAGAAATATAAGTATATAACATTTGTTATGTATAACATATTAATACAACTGTCATTGTAAAAATAAAGAAATAAGACTACGTAAAAAAAGGAATTTATTTCAAGGACACTGTAGATATTTAGCATTTCCGACAATCGTGAAATTGGTTTTTTTTTTTGTTATAAAATATATGTATTGGGAAATTTAAACATATGTGGGATCAATATATGAGTTACATTTATATAAGACTATATATATATATATATATATTAGAGAGAGAGAGAGAGAGAGTCGCTATCTACATCTGAATTATAATGGCTACAAAGAGTTACCTTGTCATCGTTTCACTTCTAAAAGTTTTTGGCGTGGAAATTATCATTTTAGCAAGACAAGTAAAATAGTTTTTCCCTATTCCATATTATCTCTTTGTTTATTTAAATATAAGTATTAAAAAGTTGTAAAAGAGTCTCGTGTTTGTGACAGCTATACCTCTCTTGTCTTCTCCCCCATATGAATTATATTTTCTTGGCGGAACAAGTGATTTTAGTATCATTTCGTTTTTACAATATGCACATAAAATCATGTTATAAGCAAAAAATAATGAAATCCAATATTCATAGAGTAGTTCCACTTGGAAAATGGTCATTGGTTTGTTTCCTACGAATTAGGAAAATGATTCTCTTTGTACTTGTAGATTTTACACGTCCGAATTTTGAACCACCATTATGAGACACTAGTTATTATCAGCTTATAAGCACAATGTACTCTATAAATTTCAATCAATTTGCTGAAAAATAATATATTTAAGTTACTTTTGTACTGAACAATATCACCAAAAATCTTATGCATATGCATCAAAAATCTTACCCTTTAATTATTATTATGGAGTTTATACAAAGACAATTAAGGTTAACATAAATACCTAATAATCTAGACCATACTGGTTACTTCCTTCGTGATCTTCGGGTAACAATTTGGCATTAATAAAAGTTCCAAAAAACAAACAATTTGGCATTAATTTAAGCCTTATTTATTATGAATTAGCATTTTGGATTTTTCGTAATAGAAGAAGCTGAAAATAAATAAAAAAACTAAAAAGAGTGATTTTCTCTAAAAAATGGAACTCATCAAATACTTTTTTTTTAAAGTATAACTTATATATATATATAGTTTTTTTGGGGGACAAAATGTAACTTATAAGCACATCAAAAAAAGCAAAGAAGAGATTTTACAACAAATATAAACAATAAAAGTGGGTTGCATAAATTCGGAAACGGTATGCAAAAAAAAAAAGCGTTTGGAAAGACCAAACTGTTTTTTTTTAATCCGATCCCATGGACGATGTGCGAAAAATGAATCGCTTGTGAAATTGCGTCGTCTAAAACGGATGTGGTCTTCTTCATAAATAATCAAGCCCATATATAATGAATCTGCCACAAACTCATCGAAGCGGCAGTGACAACGTTGTTTATTGATGAGTTCGACTGGATTATTGCTTCCATGGATAGATCTCTAAGTCGAAGTTAAAAAATGATGTCAAATGCTCTCTATACATATGTTTTTTTCTTCCAATGTTGGAGTTTTTTTCTTTTGAATAATGCAAAACAATTGTTATACTGAGTATTTACCGAAGAAAAAATGGTAACTTTTTTTTTGGACAACAAATGGTAACTTTTTTAAAAATAACAGTTTTATTTATTTGAATCGTTAGAATATGTTAGAGATATTAAAATGACAACTTTTTGTCACATATAACAAGATAAATAGGTAATTATGTAATAATTTTCTAGGTGAAAATGTTATATGTTTTGCAACTTTCTTTTAAGTATTGTTATAGTCTTAGATTATATGTTGAATTCTTCTCTTTTTCGGCAAACTACTTTGATCGAGTCACATGTTTCTACATCATGCTAATTTGATCCAGTCACATGTTTTTCGCATCATTTTAATATTAAAAGATTTGATTCAGTCACATGTTAATTTTAACGTCCATTTTTACAGTAACTTTCTTATGTTAATGATTTATTTACCATAAACTCAAAAACTTCAAAATATTTATTAAAATCCTATGTTTTAACATCATTTTATTAAACCAGTTGTTTATCATATAAGTTAGATGGTACTACCTTTTAACAAAAAAAATACAAGTTCACTAAGCTGAGAACAGATATCAGTTAAAAACTTTTACATCTTAAACATATCATTTTGAAAAACTGAATAGTCGATAAAGTAATCTATGAAATCCAATTAGTTAGCAAAATGGGATACTCGCTGTTTTGTTTATCTGTTTTTTTGACCTTTGTTATACGTTAGATTGTATACTTCTTAAGCTTTTAATAAGAATTTCCCACTACTTTAGTGATACAATTATGATGTAAAATAGAAAATACTTTATCATGATCCTAAATCTACGTCGCATCAAGAGTGTTTATTGATTATCATCATATTATATCATACAAATATCTATCTCTCGTTGTTTCTTCTCCATGTTGGCACATCAATGTTAAGGACGAATCATTAATTAAACTCCAAGATATAACATATTGGATGGACCATACGTGGTATTTAGAATAGACCAAAAGGACAAAATAATATTGAACATATCTTAAGAATTTACAATAATATGCTGTAGTCAGGGTTTAGCAATTTGATCTACCCCACTCTCCTCTTGAATGTGACAAAAGAATCAAATGAGAATTAGGTCACGGGGGCGGCTTTGTGCTATCAAACATCACTCATTTGTTTCGAATTTTTTTGTATAGTATTTGATCAAATAATAGACATTACTCAATCATTTACATCCTCATATTTATATATCAGAATACTGTAGAAACAGATACGTATAACATTAAATTTATGACTACGTACATATCCTTACATATATATGCGTGACGTGTGCATATCTCTAGTTGTAAACTAACTATATTTAAGCTTTGCACAAACTTCTTTGTTTAAATCCCGACAAAATGGGAGAGTGAAGAGAACACACGTTAACAAAACATATGATATAATTTTTTATATAAAAAACATATGATATAAGTTATAATTTATAATAAACATGGACAATAGCTTTTGAGTATATTGACTATTTTCTAAACATAAATTAAAGATATATAATATATCAAATGAGACGGTATGATGAAATTCCAGATACCATGATAATAAATCTTGCCGACTAAATTAGAAAGAAAACTTTCTATTATTTTTATTTATTTGTTTGGTTCGAAATGTATTCATTTCTTCGAATATACATTAAAAAAAAGAGAATAATATTAAAATACGATTCAGTTTCCAAATCATTATTTTATTATTTCTGTTGAAACGGATCGGATTATGGGAATTGGACAACCCTAAGAACTAGGAATCAAAATCCAAATTGGATGTTTAAAAATAGAGAAAAGTCTGATTATTATGGGCCCATTAGAGCTACATAAGGCCCATTATGTTTCTTTCTAAGCCCTACCCCTAGTGTGTCCTCTTCTCCATACTAGCTCCTTTCTTCTTCTTCGAGCAAAAAATCTTCGCGCCGCCGAGAGAAACAGCCAGAGAGAGAGCGAGATGGGGAAGAAATCGAAGACTTCAAGGAAAGGGAAAAAAGCATGGAGAGCTAACATAAGCACCGAAGACATTGAAGATTTCTTCGAGAAAACCACCAAAGACGCTCTCTCCGGTGGCAATCTCTCCGCCGCTCCAAGCGAGGACCTCTTCCGCGTCGATAAATCTCATGGTTTTCCTCTTACCCCTCTCATTTTTTCCCCTAATTTTAAAGTTTTAGTTTGGGTCTCGCATCTCCATTGATACTATTTATTCAGCTGCTTGATAAGACTTATTGTGAGCTATTTAGAATGTTCATCTTTATAGGTTATAGAAGGCAAAAAAGTATTACTATATTTTAAAAGAAGACTATTAATTCCGATTATGGTTTTATTTTTTCATAAATCAGACCTTCCGGTGAAACGAAAGATTGAGAAACATAGAGAGAGATTGCTTCGTTGCGACAGTGTTTTGAAGAAAAACCCATTTGTCCAGTCAGTGTCGTCTTCGAAGCCAAAGTCAAAGATTAGTAAGAAGACGATCGTTGCAGATAGCAAAACACCTAAACAAGCCTCAAAGGTGAGTTATTTGATCGATCATATGATTCTAACTAGACGTTAAGCTGTATTGTCTCTAAAATTCTTCTCCTGGGAAAGCTTATTTCATATGAATTTTTCTCCCTTCTCTGCAGAATGTTGGTGACGATTCTGTAATGGTGGACTTGTGGGGTGATGATAGTGAAGGTTGGTTTGATGAAAATAACTCTACTTTATTCTCAGTTCTTTTGGGTAAAATGTGAAGATTCATCGTTTTCTTTTGTCAAAAACTTGCAGGAGAACGTGAGAGCAAACCTAGAAAGGTAATGTGTCCTCTGTAATGAACATGGTTTATTTTCGTTGTTCTTGTATTGGAAAAAATGTTATGGTTCTAGACCGGGACTCAGTTAATTTTTCTTGGTGTGTGTACAGGTTTCGAAAATGACTTCGACTATTCCCGCAGTAGAAGTTGATCATGAAGGTTGCTCATACAACCCAACTCCTGAAAGTCACGAGGTGGAAAAGTCTATATCATGGATCAAGTTTCACTGATTTGAGCTAGTCTTATACATGTGGATATTTTTGTATTGACTATACCCTCATTTTTATATATTGCAGGATATGTTGGCTGCAGCCGTTGCTCAAGAAATGCAGAAAGTTTACAAAACTGAGTTAGGGCCTGAGCCAGTTCCTTTGACTATTGACAGCGACGCAATCATTGAAGACGAGGCGGGTCTTTTGAGTGTGTGTAATAGAATAATTAATGGAAAGACGACTTACTTTCTTGGAGTGGACAATGCTAGTGAAGGCGAAGACGACGCAGACGTTGAAAATGAAGGGTCTGAGGCTGGAAATAAGTAAGCTCTCTTTATTTTTCCAGTCAACATGAAAGAAGAGTCCATTTTTATTGTTCTGTTTGGCGAAGATTTGGATTTTCATGTTTTTTTTTTGTAATATTTCTGCTGCAGAATCGCAAGAACAACAAAGAGGGTAACACGCGTGATAATGAATAAGCGTTCCAGACAAAAGGCACTGCGAAAGAAGGAGATAAAGGAGAAGTATGAACAGAAGCTATCAACCGAAATTGACAGGTATTTTTTGTGATTATTTTAATGTATGTTGATGCATGTTTGCTTAAAATACCATAGTACCTAGTACAAAATCTCATTCTTGCTGTTCTTGTTGTGTATTATTTCCCGTAGCCTGCCCAACATCTTAGAAGAAATAGCCAAAGAAGATGAGGAAAAAATGAACAAACGCATACGACGGACTATCGCTAAGCATGATGTGCTGAAGATACGTCCTCCTCGTTTGGGAAAGCACAAGTACGATTCGAAATCCTTCTTTGCACCTATGTTATATCTCTCTGGCTCACTGATTCTCATTTCCTATCAGTTATGTTTCTCATAGTTCTGAAAAATTGTCTCGTGTTTTATTTCAGATTTGAGGCAGCTCCTGTTCAAGTCCTCTTGAAAGAAGAGAAAGAAGAGATTAATGGGTCGCTTCGTAAGCTAAAGGTATACTCTTGATTTCCTCTGGTTCTTGTGAATTTTCTTGGTATACCTAAAAAAAAATACTGAAGAAGTGATCCTATTTATTTTTGGAAAGGCTTGTTGCACGCTTGCAAGAGATCGATTCAAGAGCCTCGAGAAGCGAGGAATACTTGTTCCGACAAAGCACATTACAAGGTTAGTTTTTACAGCAATGGCTCTCGTACAGAGTGAACAAAGTTGGTTACGTTGAGTTCTTACTATGATCATGATTATTTGTGCAGGAACTAAAGAACTCTTCTCACTTTGTCTGCGGAAAAAAAACAGCTGATAACTGTCTCAATCGACTCATATATGTTGTGTTCAAACTTTATGTTGGTTTTAATGTTTATCAATTTTGAAAAAGAAAACAAACAAAAGATGTTTCTACCAATTTCTTTACTTCTAATGATAAATCTCTTTGATGAAATACTGGTTTGACCCTAATTATTAAGAAATGGTTCCAGTTAAGGGCTTGATAAATAATTAACAAATCAGTAATGGTATATAGATATATTGTCTTGTTTCTTTTTTTCCCAATCAGTAACACTACACTCATTCCAAACGTATTTTACATTGATATGAACAAATGCAACACAAACCCCTACCATTGTACAAATTCTTGATTTCTCTTATGTTTCTTCTGTTCTTGTGAAACTGTATATATTTGTCGAAATGGCGATGATACTTGTGGCAACAGCAAGAGCAAGCATTACTGAAGCTACAATCTTCTCTCTTAGGGTCGAGATACCATTCACATTCCTGCCAATTTTCCAAAAGCACCCAAAAATCACCAAACCAAATTATAAGAGTGGAACTTGATTCAATCAGAGTTCATACAGAAGATGAATATTTAAATTTAAAAAGGGTTACATTACGTACCTTAGGACGATTGCAGCAGGAAAGATGAATGCTATCGAGACTGTAGAAGTTGATCCCAAGAACTGAAAGAAGTACCAAATGTCCGGTACAGCAATGGCAGCCAAGAAACAAGATATCAGCAAAGGAAAAGTGAGTGCGAAGAATCTTTTGTTGTCGTTCACTAAAGAAAGCTCCATAGGGAACAAGAGTTCGTCGAGGCTGGCTCTAAGCGAGAAGTTGAGCAGAGGAAACACAAGCATGAGGTGAACCGCGTAGCTGAGCCTAACGATGTCGTTTAGTAACGAACCTATCGAAGAATCGGAGCTCTGATCAAAGTTCATCAGCACATCTGTCATGGTGGAATCCCCAAACAGAAGGTAGCAGAAGAGACCAGTGGCTGAGTAGATGGAAGCGCAGAGAATTACAGAGATCCTTGTCGCTGAAAGCACCTCTAATGGATCTTTGAGTTCGAATCCCACTGGATGTACTGCAGAGTATTTTACAACAAACCACGATTTCAGAACCAGGAACAGAGAACAGAGAACAGAGAACAGTATAAATGATTTAGAGTAAAAGATTGTGTTTTTTTTTCGGTTCTCACGATTGAAATGAAATGTGAAGGCAGTTACAATAACAGGGGAAGCAGTGAAGAGGTTGAAGAATGATTCTCCTCCATTGTTGAGCTCTGGGAAGAGTCTTGGAGTCTTTGTTTTCCCTTGCACGAGTGCGATGATGGCCAACACAGAACTTATGACAACGAAGAGTAGCGCAAGCAGAAACGAGACTGCAGAACTTAACGCTAATCTATCTACAGAAACATGAACATACGAAATCATCATCAGACCAACATGCATTGAGAGATTCAGGCAAAAAGATAGATTTTTGGTTCAAGAAAACGTACCCACGCGTCTGCATAAGACTAAGGGAAACAAGAGGAAGACGTAGACGAACAACAAGCCGAAGAATCTCGTGTTCCACCAATGAGAACCAAACCATTCTTGAAGAAGACCCAAATGTACAAATCCGCCATTTTCATTACCCGAAAGAACATCACCTGAGAGGGAAGAGCAACAGAGTACGATGGATCAAAATTTCAAGGGTTTATTTTTTTTGTGAGAATTTCAGATATTTTGAGACAAAAAATTTCCACCTATGATAATTGAGAAAATAATCATAGCCCCAAGAGTCACAACCATTGAAACAATCTGAACAGCGACGGAGCCAGGTTTCCCAAACGATTCCTTCATTACGCCGGCGTAAGTCGTGGATTCTCCGGCGAGCGTGGATTTCATCAGAAACCCAGCTGATATATTGGAGAGCCAAGCTATGATCGCGATGATCGACAGAGATGGGATAACGCCCAGAACTTTGAACGCCGCGGGAATCGACATTATCCCGGCTCCGACTATGCTCGTCGAGACGTTGAAGACAGCTCCGGCGAATGAGCCATGCCTCTCCTCCTCCGATGATGATGATGAAGGCTCTTGGTTCGGCAACAGAGGCGCTTTAATCGCCGGTGACATTTCCTTCAACTAACGGAGAGACAGACTTAACAGAACTTTTTTTTTCCTCCGGCGATGATTTGATTTGTTGGAGCGCGTGAGATATATCCTCTTGATGCTAACGTCGAAAATATACGTGGCATTGTGATCATATACTGTATATAGCCACTGTCGTGTACTACACTTGAAAGTCGTTTTCTCCTTTGGTGGGGTCTCTTACATTATTAAGAAAAATATCAAACCAAAGGAAATTATAATTAATGGCAATGTGGTCATATATAAGCAAATCTTGATTAGCTTAAGTTAAACACAATAATTGAATTTCAATCATATAAAAACAAACTCGACTAATTCAAACACAGATTCACAGTTTTAGAGATTAAGACCATTCAGAATCTTTATCCGATCCAAATAGTCCAATGCTATGATTATAGTGGTGGCCCAACACTTTTGGGCTCCAAAACTAAGCCGAATTATTAAAGGCCCACATAAATCAGCTAAAAGAGTCTTCTTAATGCTGATGACTAGTGACATTTGGACAAATCCCACACTATCAAAATTCATCCAACCATATTAATTTGACACAAACAAAGATAACAAAATGATAGACGCAGCTTTAATTTGCCTGTTTGTCTTTATTTATCTTAACATTAAAAACCAAGACTAGAAAATAAGCAAAACACACAAACCATTATTAAACATATCAAAAGCCTTAAAGAGAAGAACAAACACCCCATGGGCCATGTCTTCTACGACTTGTTCATAGTGCCTCCTCAAAAGCTCTTTTTAAGTCTTCCTTCTCTTCTTCACCGGGTTGATCTTCTTCAGTCTTGATGTTCCTAAAGTTTCCCTTCTATGTTTTACCATCAACGGAAGTCGGTAAATCCAAAATGATGATATCTATTGATACAAAAGAATATTTAGAAGCAGAGAGATGCTTACATAATATGGATGTTGAGATGCGTGGTGAAATCTTCAAAGCTTTGGCCAGCAAAATCGCATTCTGCGCAAGACCAAGGAGATTCACCCGTTTCACTGCACTTGTCCTCAAGAACAAGTCTTGTTGTCTTATCTGCAGACCCTGGATCCATTTCACCTCCCTCCAGCAAGCTTTTCCAGAGCCACTCTTGTTGAACAAAAACCACAAGGCTTTTCCAGAGCCAGTCTGGAGCAGGATCTCGTTGAAGATATGCCAGAATAATTGTGTATCCCTCAAAGTCTAGACGCTAAAGTGCAGGAACTAAGCATTCCAGTTGACAAGGACCGGCTATGAGCATTATAGTACCCGGATATGGATTACGATCGGCCCAATCATACAAATCCTCGTCAACTTCTGTATCAATAAAAGGAAAGCATCGTCGCTGAATCTAAACCCTAATTAAAAAAAAAAAAAAATACAAAAAATGCTTGTACTTAAAAAGTTAAAGAAAGAGATGATAGAGGATTGACCTAGGGAATGTTTAAGAGCGATTCCAGTGGAAGAGAGCTCTCGCAGGACGTTGTAGCCCCTAATTTTTTTTATACAAAAATCAATTACTTGTACTAAAAACTATAGGAAAAGAGAGATGAAAGAAGATTAACCAGTGGAATGTTCAAGAGCGATTCCAGTGGAAGAAAGCTCTCCCAGGACATTGTCGCCACTGTGTCTCTCTTAGGTCGCCAATGGCGGTGATGGTGAGAGGACCATGGCGAGAGAAGCCTGAATTCTTCAAGGCCGATTCTATTCTCCGACCGACAAGACGAGGATCATAGTCATCGGGAATCGGACAGCCGTTGATGTCCCACACCACCAATGTTTTCACCTCCCGCTGCGTCGCCTTGTTGTGCATCATCCCGTATCTATTTATAACCCATCAGATTCAGTAATTACTATTCTTCAACCTTAAAAAAACCAATCAGATTCAGTAATCCCTTTTAATCTAGAACGTAATCAAACAAACATCACATAAGCATTCGTGATCAAAAACACCGACCTCGTTTATTGTGGAATCTCCCACAGAGAACAAAGATGGAGCGACGGAGAAAGAGGAGCTAGGTTTAGGTCGAATCTCTCGTCTTACTTGTGGTTGCTTTATACGGGGCAGATTCGCGTGGCCCATTTACTCACACACCGACGATCTTAGAAAAAAAAAATTCTTAATGCTTAGGGTAAGAAAAAATCTTAGGGTTAGTGCTTAGATGGCTGCGGTTTGGTGACAAGCCCGACATAAAGAAGGCAGAGGAAGCTGTAAGATCCAGACAGATGGAAGGAGTGGTTTGGGAAACATGTAAGTTGATGCATTTCTTACATGTCTTTTTTTATATATCCGACCGATTTTACAGTATCGTCTGTCGATTTTTTACAGCAAAAATTGTCAACGTTGGCTATGAATTCAAGTATTTGCGGACAATATACACCATTGTTGACGACCGTTTGTGTCTAAGCACTGTTATCCGAACATGGTTGCTTTTGGTTCTGTAATGTGAAGATTTTTGTTGCTATCTCTCAATGATTATGATGTTTTATCATCATCGACCTCTTTGTTGCTCTTACGAGTTATGAATGAATACAGTTTGAGTATTAGAGATAACAACAAAACTTACCCAACAGTGTTCAGAAACTTTGAAAGATAATAACGAACCAGTATTTTCTTTAAAACTTTTAAACAAAGTTAATTTCTTGCGATAAGTGTATGTTGTTACATGTATCATGAAATTTCCTAAAACTTGATTGCTCGAATTATTATAATGTGTTTCTTGTAGCATCAGTTCCGCAAGAATTCGAGAAAATCAGTTTTGGTCTGAGTCGTCTGACTACACTGTCTACACAATACTTGTAGCGTAAAACTCAACAAACAGAGTGATCAAATGGTAGCTTCTTATACACGCTTCCTTTCAAAACCTTAATATTGCAAGATGTATCGTCATCATAAGCCCACTAAAATTTTATCAAGCAGGTTTGTATCGGCCCATAAGCCCACTACAACTTTTGGTCTAAACCCATCGCTAAAAGCCCAGAGTAACTTTAATCTGATCGAACAAAGGAGACAGGTTTTTTTTTTTCCTCGTCAAAAAGGAGACAGATAGGTTAAGAAAAAAGAAAACAAAGAGACCGAGAAAGGCGCAAAATGAGGAATATACAGAGAAAGCAGCAACTACGTTCTTCCTCGTTCACCGCCTCGAGCTCCTTCCATCTTCCTCAGTGTTATTATTTTGTTTCTAAACTTAAACTTTCCTTTATTAAATATGACCTTGTTTGTTTTGAACTGAAAGTGTTGATAGAGATTGATCAAGTTGTGAATTGTAATGCACGTCTCTTAGAACATTTTGCTTCGAGTTAGGAATCGAAGTTTACTGTGTTGATTCGATCTCCTGTATCTCTGTTTTATATCAGTGAAAAAAGTTGGAGCTTCATAAAAAAAATGGCGGCTTTCCTCAATGTCAACTCTGATGCGGGATTGAAGAAGCTTGACGAGCATCTTCTCACTCGCTATTACATTACAAGGTTAGTTTTTAACGTTTTGAATCTTTTGATGTATCCGATAGAGCACCACCAAAGATGTTTGGATCTGAAGCTGCTTGCTTTTTAAAGCTTCTGATGAAGAGAGAGCAGCTTCTTTGACAGCAAACACAGAGAAGAAAGTATGTAAGTTTCGGTTTTTATATGGTCCATAGATAAATGGGATCACATAATTAAAAGAAACATTCAATAATCATAAATCTCAATAGTTAAAGACACATTTTACAATACAATTTGATTGGGATCACATAATTAAAAGAAACATTCAATAATCATAAATCTCAATTTTTTTTACTGTTTTCTGCGTTTTTGTTCATCCTAATGAATGTCTACACACGCCTATTCTTTCTCCAGTCCCATGGCTTCTCTGGATTTGAAGAAGCCCACAACCCAATACGCTTCTGCCTTGCCTCCTTTTCCCACTGATTTCAACATAAAAAGAACAATTAATATCAAGAAATACAATGCATAAGAGACATTTAAATGGTAGTGTTTTAACACATCACAAGTTTTACTGATCTTGCCTTTGCAAGAACCATGCGCTTGTCATAAGCTACGTAATGCCAAGCAAGACCTTTTTTTAACATTGCCTCCTACACACAAAAAAACCAATAATCAATTTAGAAAAAAAAGTATTCGAAGTTATATCATGCACACCAAAAAAAAGAAAAATGTATTACCTGAACAAAAATCCCATTGCAGTAAATATCTCCTACACATCGTCCATATTGATCTTCTCCATAAACTAACACTTTCAAGCTTTTCCATTGAACAATCTTAAGGAGTTCTTTTTGTGCCTCTTTCCCAAACGGCATTTGACTCTCTGGTGCATCTATTCCCCTATTTCCTTTTCCATCACCAAAGAGCTTTCCATCAAACAAAGACACTACAAGCAGATCTAACTGAGGAAAAAAAGTGATTTTTTACCTTAGTCTAATTCTGAACTTACGAGCAAGAACTTCCTCGTTTTGTATATTTAGCACTCTGTAGCCAGAATCAATGATCTTTTGGTGAAGTTCATCTGCTTTTGTGTAATCCTTCTTTTCTCTTGCTTTTGCTCTTTGAACCACTGCAACATTTACTTCCCTTGGGATAGATGATGACACGATGGGGTCTGAAGAACTGACATAAACTGTGATGGTGTCTCCATCTGCCACAGCTTTTGGATCCACCTTAATTTTCATTAGACAAGTTTGGTCATCAGCATTATCAATAATATTCCAAAAACGACTTTTTATATTTATTTTGAATCTGTGCTTTGTAGTTTTTCTAACCGGAAGAGTTTGGAATTCGAAGAGAACGCCTTCAGGCAAAGACACAGGAGCTTCAGTAGAGAACTCAACCAGAGTGTGAGGCAAAGGGAGTCCATAGAAAGACAAAAGTCCCTGTCATTCATAAACAACACAATCACTTAGATGTCTTCCAACTTCAAAACACTGTGTTTTTTTGCTACTCATTCATACCTCAACATCAGCTTTCTCATGCCTTTTCAAGATCTCCATAACAAGCCTAGAAGCTTCCTCTGCCGTTTGTGGTGGAGGTTTTGCTTGCTTCCATGCCTCAAGTATTTTTCTATACCTTCACAATGTTTGGAATATAGACATGAGAGGAAAAATTGCACAACAAAGCTCACATGTTTATTATACTAGGAGAAACATGTAAGAAACTGTTTGTGTTCTTTACCATTTTGCTTGAGCTTTTCTTGACGACCCAACGTATCTCCCAAGCCCTTCAGGAACCTAGAAGTAATCATTTTCTAATTTAAATCATTTTCTAATGGATCAATTTTAGTAAAGTCTCAATATCTAGAAACCACCCTAAATTACTAAAACATCTTCTTATAGACGAAATTCTCAGTTAGGAGATCAAAAGAAAGTTAGAAGCGAAGATGAAAGTGAAGAGACCTGGGAAGTGATCTCGAAGTTGAAGAGATCGTGAGCGAGAGCTGAAACACCAACGGTGGCGGCGGAGACGCCGTGAGGCCCGAGAGACTCGTCGTCCGTCGTGGGTTTGCAGCATTTTCCGTAGAGAAATGTAAGCGCGTTACCCATCTTTGATCCAATTCCAGGAAGTAGAAAAAGTTTCGATCTTTCCTGAAACCAGAGCAGAGAATCCTACAGAGGAGGAAGGACGAGCAGAAATATCTTGGAGGAAACTATGATTGACTCCAAAAAGAACTTTAATAATTTAGGAGAGAATCTTTGAAGACGAAGAAAAGATCAATAAAAAAAAAATTGAATAAGTTTAATTTTCCCTAGGGACCCGAAGTTGTAAAATGATCCAAAAAATACAGCGTTACTACATTTTCTGAATTTTCTTGTTAATTTCGATTGGGATATTTTAACTGTATCATATAGTAAGGGTATTTAAAATGACAAAAAAGTGGTTGGTAAACGTACACTACATGGACCACAGATAAGTTAACAAAAGGATTGAAATGATCACGTGTGGTCATCATCATGAGGCACTGAAACAGAACCTTGATCTAATCTTGTTTGACAGAAATATTTTCTTTTTTAAAACAATTTCTTCAGTATTATTTACTTTTGTTTTGGAATGTGTTTGGTAAGAAGCATGGGGTCCAGTAGATCTAACCGGAACGGGTACCATTTGGTACAGAAACAGGCAAAAACTCCTGCTACGTGTTTCTATACGAGCAAAAACACTCATGCTACTTGTTTTCTTTTATGAGCAAAACCTTTCAAAGTCGCGAGTCATTGAGCCATTGAAACCCCTTCAAATCATAAAACACATCTCTCTCTCTATGGACACTCCACAAGAAGAAGAAGACAAAATCTCACCACCAGAAGCGAAGTGGTGGGTCGATGGTCAACGCTTTAGATACAAAGGCTTCTGGTTCAAACAAGAGTTCATCACTGCCTCGGAAGCCATTAGAGAACACTACACACCTCTTCCTTCCGACATAATCCTCGCCTCTTTCCCTAAAACCGGCACCACTTGGCTCAAAGCTCTAACCTCCTCCATTCTCCGCCACAGCTCAACCATACACGACCACCATCTGGATCATCTCAACCCGCACGAGGTCGTGCCATTTTTGGAGATCGAGCTGTTTGGAGAAAACCCATCAAAGGACATAACAGAGATCTCTTCTCCTAGAGTTTTCAACACTCATCTTCCTCTCTCGTTTTTGCCGGAGACTGTCAAGACCTCAGGATGCAGAGTCATTTACATAACTCGCCACCCGGCAGACACTTTTGTCTCCCTCTGGCATCTCTACAACAACAAGTTTGGGACAGAGATCTCGATCCGAGAAGCCTTTCATGACTTCTGCAAAGGGCTTGTCCCGGCCGGTCCGTACTTCGAACACGTCCTTGAGTTCTGGGAAGCAAGAGACCGTGTGTTGTTCGTCACTTACGAAGATCTGAAAGCAGAGCCAGAAGAAAACGTGAAGAAGATCGCCGAGTTCTTGGGGTGCAAGACGATGGTGGAGAAGATCGTGAAAGAGTGTAGCTTCGAGAATCTGAGGAATTCAAGTAAAGAGAGAGGAGAAGGAGTTCACTGGAGTGGGACTAAGTATGAGATGTTCTTCAGGAAAGGTGTGGTTGGAGACTGGAAGAATCATCTGACGCAAGAGATGATGAAGGAGCTCGACGACATCGCTGACCTGAAATGGAGAGGATCTGGTTTGGATCTCAACATTTTTAACAATTGTGCTTCACAATGATCATATAGTTTATGTCGTTGAGTGGCCATGAGTCCGCTACCTCTTTTTACCTGTATCTCAGAGTAGCTGCTTAGTTTCCTGACCAACAAGGAAATGCCAAATGTACCAGGCACAAATTGTATTGGAATATTCAGAAACTTGTGTTCAGCTTACTTTGAAGACTAACCTTTGGCTGCTGCATCGAATAGGGTCTCAAAATGCTAGAAAAGACAGACCAAAAGCTTGACACGAATAGCATCGCAATATCAGAAATTGACAGAAATAACCACAAAAGATCTGAAGCACCTTTCAGTTGATACCTCTACTCAACATATCTACGCATGCAGATTCCAGAATCTGACTATCAGTTAGAAAGTTTCCTATGGCAAAAGCAAGCAAGTGGTATGCCATAGCCAACTTCAGTGTGTTCTTGTATTTACATGTCATATATCCAAAAACTCAAAAATATCTGATGCCTCTGTTGCAATTGAAAAGCACTGCAGATTGCCTTACAAAATGTCAGAGAAACCCTATTAAAAAAAATATCACCTCAGGAACCAAGTTCTTCAATTTACTAATTCGTCATCCTATTCTTACCGACTTCAAAAGGTATTGTAGACTTAAAAAGTTTATGGCCCTCAGCTATATACAGTAGTTCAATACAATTACATATGCCATCTGAGAAACCATTTCCCGTTTTTTTCAAGATGTTCGAATTGTACATTTGATTGATAATTTGCAAAGAGGGGCGAAAGAAAAAAAACTCATGTATCCACTAAGGGCAATGATTGCAGATCAGCAAGGGTAATTTGAAAAAATTATATTTAAGAATCATTATTTCCCAGAAGCTAAGATACAAAAACACAACTCAAACGAAGATATATTTCCCTCCAATACGATCAAAAGCTTTTATAAACATTTACCAGTTGATACCTAAGTAGAATAGCCGCATAAAAATCACTGATTCTTGAGATCATCAACGTTTGCCTCTTCGATAGTAGTGTATTCCACTGTAGGTTGGCTCAAAGCCTCTGGGATTTGGTTGGAAGCTGGGACACTTTTCTGAGTTTGCAAACCCGTAGAGCGCGCAAGATCAATCCATTGCTGCATTTGTATGAAAAAAAGTTGGAATGAAATTACCCAAAAAAGAATATGATATGTTTAGCTTGAAGGAAAAAGCAGATAAAGAAGTCAAGAAGAGATGATAGTACAGGCCTAATTCTGACCTGAGTTCCATAGTAGGAATTGGCTACTCTGACAACAAATGAAATCATGTTTACAAGTAGAGGTTGAGAAGAAAGCTCGTCAGAAATGCGATGCTCTATTAGCCCAGCAATTATCTGCAATCCAAGACAAAATTGTTTTTAGACGCATTAATTCAAAGCATACAGCACTTCATCAAAAGGCCTTCCTTGGCTAAGATGCAGAAGCATAACACATTCCCATTGAGTAACTTTCTTTGATACCTGATAACGGATATTTGATGATGTTCCCAGATAACCACCATATACAGCGGCCGTCTTCAGCATAGGAGACCTCTTTGCTTTCTCAGAAACAGCCAACTCTGGCTTAATGAGCTTTCGTATTGCATACAAAGCATTCGAAGATCCCACAGCTGCAAAACTGGAAACAACTCCAACACCAGCAAGCTTCAAGCCACCGACAATAACTGAAGCAATCCTAAGATTCAGGCTCCACTCTTTTCCACCAAGGCTTTTTTGAAATGCATTGTCAGGTATGGATCCTAGGAGTCCTCTTAGAGCGTCTATGCTGTTTGGCCTCGCTGTCTCATCAGCATACGAGAGAAACGACAAGGTTGGTGCAGGCAGCCAAACTGTGAAGAAATCGACGACTGATGCTCTTACGCTATCAGTTATAACATAGTCGAGTTCTTCAAAGAAGTTTTCTTTCCTCTTCTCATATTGAGCTACAAGTGTCGTTGTTATCGATATAGCCTCTTCAATGGCTAATCTGTTTAGGAATTTGGGATCTGCCAGTAGCCTTTCTCGGAAACCCTGTAAACGTAACACAGAGGATCATCATAAGTGGGATGGTTTTACTAACCAGTTGAAACCATTATTTAACTCTCCATAGAGAAGATAAATACAGGACAAGGCAATGTACCATAGTAAATTTAGCGAAATAGCATAATATTCAAAAGACAAAATCAATGGATGTACCTGAAACCGTTGTGTAAGCTCCGCAATAAGAGGATACTGCTCCAGATCAAAGAAATTCTGTAGAATCTCAGGTGACACCAGACCAAGGTCTAATCCTTTTTGAATGTCCTGGAAACAATAAAAAAAGCTCAATCATCATGAACAAATGACACAAAAGCAAATGAAAAAAGGGACAGGATATACTCAGTATACTAAAAAGATAGATCAGTTTGGAACTAATTTTAAACTGTCAGATGCAGTAACACAGAGAGCCAGTCTCATTAAAGCAACCTGTGGAAGAGCATCGCGTCTCCTACCAGCAGCATTCATGACCCGAGCGATTTCCGCTCGGTCAAAGCAGTTTCTGCTGCATGGTCTGGCCGCAGAGTACCACAGGAAATCAGCAACCGGAGACTCTCCTTCTTTCCTCAAGAACTGTCTTTCAGGATCAAGCAATACAACAAGCTGACTTTTCTTCGGAATCTTCCTTGAGACTCTCGCCGGCAATCCTGTTCCTCTCGAACCATACTCAACATGGTTCGCGCCAGCCACTACCAACAGTAGACCAGTCCCACCTCCATCCGCAACAGCTTGTAATATGACTTGTGACATCGTATGGTCTTCAACGACTCTAGCTTGCGCCGACAAGTAAGAGCTCGGTCCAAACGGAACAATCTGTGTGAGGGGGTTCATATTGAGTGACGAACTACGTGAGAAGGAAGTAAACCCTGAGATAAACCCGGAACCCGCAGGAGGAGTGTTTAGTCTACGCTCAGACTCTGAAAGACCACGTATACCTTCAGCTTGAACAGTTCTCAAAACCTGCACCAAATTTTAAGCAATGTCCATCAAAAGTCGCACATATTCTAGAATCAAATAGCTAAGACAAACCAAAGATATAGAGTAGTATAAGGCTTACCTTGAGCGGAGTGCCACAGGCAATGAGTTTAACTGCGTTATCACGACAGTAACTCAAAAGAGGCTCATACTCTTGCCAGCGTTGAGCTGGCCAATGTGACACATACGACTTCAGTGTCTCTCCGTCCATCCTGAAACCAATCCAAGAACCATTTTTGGAACCAGTTTGTAAATTGAAGGTGATGTTATACAGTAACGTAAGCAAGCAAAATCTGGCTCGAGCAAGGGAACTTAGACGCAAACCTCTTATCGATGTATTGATTTAGCTGTTCCTGCAAATCAAGAGGGAATGCTTCCAATGCCAGAGATAACTGACGCTCGCTCTCGACGCATCGGTTTCTCAGGTTCCTCACGATTTCGAGCTCCAAGTCTTTGTCGTCTCTTGTAGGCACCTGCTCCGCCTCGCCGAGGTACACGATCCTCGCGTTCAGAAGCTTCTCCCACACTCTCTTCTTGTCTTTCCCGACAGCCATCGGCTCACCGAGCGCCGTCGCGTCGTAGATTCTAGAGGTAATCGCATCTTCCTTCGCTACAGATACAGGCGGCGGAGGAGGAGCAGTGGCGACGGGAGGAGGAGGAGGAGCCACTGATTCCGCCGAAACCTCCGCCACGGCGGCTGAAGAAATAGACGGCCAAAACGAAGCGGCGGCGAGGAGGAGCGGTGGTGCGACGAGAATTGCGCGGCGGGAGCAGGAGACTCTGGAGGAGGAAACATCTGAATCATCGGGATTGAGAGAGAGAGTCACGACGTTTGGATTCTTCTTCTTCAGCTTGGCAGTGAAGGTAATCGGAAGTTGGCCGCGGAATCTCGGAAACGAGAAGGAGGATGATTGAGAAGCAAAGAGCCCATCGGTGGTGGGCTTCATTTTGAGTACACGTCAGCTCCTACAGCTAATTGCATCACACTAGAGCGAGAGAGGAATAGAGACTAGAGAGACTTTGATTTGTCAATCTCGCGTAGAAATACGTGGCTCTTGTTTTTTCATCATATTAAAAAAAAAATATTTCGCGCTTCAGTCAATCATTCTAATTTTTCTTTAATATAAAACTTTTTGCTAGATCCACCAAAAATTAAACGAATAATAACTTTATATAATTTTAATTTGAAAAAAGAAAGTGTGTCGCTGCTGGGATTCGAGCCCAGGTCTCTACGGCCACAACGTGGAATTCTTACCACTAAACTATGGAATATATATATGTCAGGTTATCATTCTTTTATTCACACCAGTATATATCTTTAATATATAACTTTATTATTTCTTTTATTTTTTTATACCAAGATTTCTTAATCTTTAAGTTCAGTAAATTCATGTGGTGTTAATATCTAAAAATGTGGTTCCGTGTGAGACGAAAATGAAACACAAAAATACAGCTTTATGTGAAGATAAAGATAGCCACGTAATTTATGCATTTACAAACTTCTTCTAAAGACAATGATCTTATAAGCTGCCCTTTTATATCTCTAAAAAAATATCGAAAAGATTATTAATAAGGAGATGATTTATGAAAAGTTCGAAAATCATTAACAAAATAATATATATGCCCTTTTATTAATAAACTTAAAAAGCAACAAAATGATTCACTACAGTGTTTTTTAAGTTTATTAATAAAAGAAACACCAAACTAAAAGAAAAGCAACAAAATAGTGAATCTAAGTAGATAATTTATGAAAAGTTCTAAGGAAGATTAAGGTAAAGCATCTCCTTAAACTCCAACTTTCTAGTATCGCTATAAAAAGTATGATGCTTATTAGGCCAATAAGTCAACCAAACGCAACCTTTAACTTCAAACTCCATAACTTTCCCCATAGCCCTTTTATCAACTTTCCACAAAACGCTTTGCCCATAACTATCTCCTGCAAACACAACTCCTCCTTGCTTCGTGAACGGTCTAAACGCGTTCGAGTACCGGTTCTTGAACCAAGCTCGATGGTTCATCATCGAAACCTTCGATGGTTTAGAGGAAGAAACTTCTCTTCCATCATCAGCGTCGTGTAGAAACCAAGTGAGGTTGGCGCTATAACCATGAACCCATTCCTCGAATTTCCACGGTTTCATGCTTTTCGTTGTGGTCTCGTTGGCTGAGACTTTGAGTCCAAAGAAAGTGTTTGGTGGCTCTATCGTTGCCTCTATGCCTCTCTCAAATTCGAATTCTCTTAATGGGTTTTCTGATGATTTTTGTACGGATACCATTAGAATGCTTGACTGAGTTGTTGGAGTTAGTTGCAATGATATTCGTGACGGAAAATGTTTTTCCTCTGTTCCCATGCCGCGTTCTGATAAAAGTGTCTCGTTCACAAGCCTAATTATGTCGCACCTAATTATAAAGAAAATTTAATTAGAGAGAATATGAAAAACAAATCTGTATAAAAATCTACTTATCATCATTAGTAGCCTTGATTCCACACAAATTTACATATCTACTATTGGTTTATTTATCTGTTAGTATCAATACTTTGGTTAAAACAAGAAATGTTTTCTTATCATAAACTTTGGTTGGTAATTAATATAATATATCTACTATAAAGTTCAAGAAAAAAAAATTAATAATTACTACCTGACGTTGTCAATATTGACTGCGATGTTAAACCACTTTTCACGAACGTAAATCCTGTGGTTGAATTGGATCACACTTTCAAGTTGATGATAGTTCAGCGAGAAGAACAATCTTTCGTCGCTTAAAGCACCATTTACGTTCTCCATAACCATTGCTATCACAGGGCAGTATAAATGAACTTTCCACAAACCTTGAGTTGAGAAAGCATATGAAAACAAAGGAGAAGGCGACTTGAGATGCTGACACGCTTTGATCTCGATGATCCAATTGGTTATCGCGAGATTGAGGGATCTCATCCATTGTTCTTCAAGGTTAGAGCCTAGTTGCACCATGAGCAACTTAGAACCCTGCCTTGACCTACAAGTAACCAGCTGATCTTTCACCGTTTTGAGACAGGTTGTTCGTAGGCCCGTGGGCGCTTCGTAGATGCAGATTAGGAACACGAAAGTGAAGAAAGCGAGGTTGAAAACGTCTTTGAGATTTGAAGTGGAGCCTAGATTCTGGATTTGGATTGAACTATTGCTTCTTTTGACGTTATAGTTGAGCACTACGTCGACAAATCCCATCAATAGAGTAGAGATGACACTTTCAGTAAGGAACTTAGCTGAATTGGAGCCAATGATTCTGAGAGGCTTTGATAAAAAGAGAGATATGGGAATCTTGAAATTGGCTACTATAGAGAAGGTGAATATGTTTGGAGATTGAGAGCTACGAGTAAGAGAGAAGTTCAAAGATGGATGTGATGAATTTGGAGAGCAAATGCACATGGACATCGAGTTAGTCTTCCATTGAGAGAGAGGAGGAAGATTTTGAAGCCATGAGAATGCATCAGGTGTGTCACAAGAAGCCATTGGAGCAATGATCTTGAAGGTCTAGCTGTCTTTTTAGATGTGTGATACAAGACTATATTTATCATGTTTATATAGAGAGAACATTTTAATGAGTGGAAGAAAAGAAAAGGAAAAAGAATAGAAATATTCTCTTATTTTTTCAAAAGGTTAGACTAATTGGATCTGAAAAAGAATGATTGCATTCGTCAAACGAGTGTACAAATCGTTCAATACAAAAGCATTGATTGTTTTATTTATATAGAGTAATTAACACGAATTCGTCTTTTTAATAACCAATGGAAATGCAATAGTCCTGAAAAACCCATTGGATAACGTACAAGGAAGACGTTTTTAGATGCTAATTAGACTAGTTAAGACCACTGAAAAGGGAGATATAATTAGTTTGTTGAATTGATAAAGTACGTGCTTGATCAAGATTCTGCGTTATGTGGAAATCAACCCGAATTTTCAGTAAAATATTCTTGATTAGGCACAAGAATATTGTTATTCGATGCCCCTATTCTCTACTCTAATGTTCTCTTCGTCTTTATCTAGTTGGGTATCAAATAACCAACATCCCTACTTTGCTTCATATAGTCATAGACGTAGATAAAATTTGAGATTTACGTATTGGCCATGTAACTATTTTAGAACGAGGAGTTTTGTTTGGTAATTTTTGGGTAATTTGTGTAGCTAATCAGATTTCTTCATACTAAAAGCAGACGAATGCAACAAAACCTGAGTTGGCTCTATTATTTAATAAGAGACTTGAGTGGAAAGGCACACACTACAAACCAGAATATAAAACTAACCACAAGATAAGAAGGCAGAAGTTTTGTTGAAAATACGAAATTCTTTGACAGAAAAACAAACCTAACATCCATTATCAAACACAACGACTCTTTGGTAAAATTTCAAGTCTCTCTTGTGGAACATAACATGATCAACTCAAGATCGATGAAGACTTCAAGCAACGAGCATGTTTGAAGATGAAACTCAAGAAATCTCTCTCTTCTGCGTTTCCCTTGTACCCTGCAAACTCGAAAGTTTCAAGACTTTTCAACAAACACTTAGGAATCGAACTCTGCTCAATGCTCCAGCTAATCGGTTCACTCTGGATAAAACCTTCCTGAGAGTAAAAGAAAGAAGAAAAATATAGTAAGATTACAGGCTTTTTAAACCGGAAAATAATCTTCCAAGAAACTTACATGGAGCGAGAGATTGAGGGTTCGCAGTTTAGGAGAATTCTTGAGCAACCGTACAAGTAACTTTGACCAATAATCGTCGCATCTAATTAGGTTCAGCTGTTCAAGCTGGTCGAAGACAACACCAGAACGGTACATAGACTGCACACAAGTGACCAAGTGAATAATATGAATGAAATCATACGATAGATAAGTTGCAAGTAATGGGATGGAAAACAGATTATCTCTTTTTTATTGTTTGAAAGCACTTCCACTGAGAGACGTTTCACAGATGTGATTGCCTTGACAAACTGTTGGACGCCTTCGAAAACAAAGATCTCTGCCTCTTCCAGCTGTGGCATGTGCTTAGTCGAATAGGTGAAACTGTCTCTAATGTCCTCAACTCTGAAATACTTCAAAGACGGTGTATCTATCACCACAATTCCAAGACCAGAACATTGATCCTCTGTCAGTAACGATAACCTCTGCAAGGACGGGTGAATAACAACCAACACTTCCAAAGTGTCACCCTCTTCTCGTGCAATAGCCAGATCTTCCAGAACAGGGCAGCAAGGCAGAAGCGATCCAAGAGGATCTTCATCCCAGTATGTCACTCTTTCAAGCTTCAAGGTTTTCAAGGAAGGGAGACAAACCCTTGGAGGAACATTCACGACAACATGTAACCCTTCAAGCTTTAAAGTCTCGAGTGATTCGGAGGTATATAAACTACTCGGCAATGATAATTCGAGTTCGCTATAGGAAGGTTCGAGTTCGCCATAGGAAGGGCCACAGTGAATAATTAGCTCTCGTACGCAGCGAGAGATTGCAATTTCAATCCACAGTTTGATATCCTCAGGTCGAAACAACGGATAATCAAAACCAAGGCTCAAGCTTTCGATGACGGGAGCTCTGTGTAAAGGCAGCTTCTTGTGAATGAAATCTCGATACCTTAGTAATGAAGACACTGAAACGTTATCACTAAAGTCTTTGTGATCAATGTACTCGAGCTTAGGCACCCACATCCAAAGATACTCCCATCGCTTAGACAGAACGCTAGTGGATACTGCGACTTTCGTCGGAACATACGGCAATATCTTGATCAACAATTCATCAGCCAACACACTGATCCTGTCCATGTCTTTACAACTGTAGCGAATCCAACAAAAACAAATTGTAGTACCACCAAGTAAACAAACAAAGCCACACACAAAGACATCGAAAATGCTGGAAAAGGGACAAAAAAACCTGTCAAGTTCAGTGGAGGAGGCTCGATTTCTTCACCGGAACCAGAATCAGAAACGATCGGAGAACTACGAAGCATTTGTCGACAACGATGTTCCCATTTCGCTTCTGAATTGTCTAAGCAAAAGACCCGATCATCAGAAGAAATTATCGGAGTCGAGCTTGAACTTGGGCCTGGGCCTGAGCCTGGAGAATATTAATCACCTAAAATCTATTGTTATTAAAATATTAAGGGCCCATAAAGTTTAGGCCTTTTTAAGAGTTTGGAGAATATCTACTTTCCTAACGCGGTTTAGCCGCAACTTCAGTTTCCACTAAAGTCAAAACCTCCACACTCTCTCGGCCAAATCCGCCGCACGCACACACTCACCACACCAATGTCTTCTCCGGCGACTCTCCCCGTCACGAACCAGCAAGCTTCTCAGTCACAGCCTCCGATCAACACTCACGCCTTCCGTACATTCCTCTCGCGCCTCTCCTCCTCTCTCCGCGATGGCCTCTCGCAGCGCCGTCCGTGGATGGAGCTCGTCGATCGGAGCTCCTTCGCCAGACCCGACTCCCTCACCGATTCCTTTTCCCGGATCCGTAAGAATCTCGCCTACTTCAAGGTCAACTACGCCTCAATCGTCTCCCTCGTCCTCGCGTTCTCCCTCCTCTCCCATCCTTTCTCCCTCCTCGTCCTCCTCTCTCTCCTTGGATCCTGGATGTTCCTCTACCTCTTCAGATCCTCAGATCAGCCTCTGGTTCTCTTCGGCCGGACTTTCTCCGATCGGGAGACGTTGCTCGCTCTTGTTCTGACTACGATTATAGTCGTGTTTATGACGAGTGTTGGGTCCTTGCTAACCTCTGCTCTCACTGTTGGAGTCGCGATTGTTTGCTTGCACGGTGCGTTTAGGGTTCCTGATGATCTGTTCTTGGACGAGCAAGAGCCTGCCAACGCCGGATTACTCTCGTTCATCGGTAATTCCGCTGCTACTTCGGCTGCTGCTTCCGTTGTCGCGGGACGAGTTTGAGAGATGGGTTTAGATGATTTCGGATCCCTGGTGGATTCGTAGTGGTGAACTCTGTGTCTGTCTCTGGGTTTAGGGGTTTTGGTTATGATTTTGAGTATAGATTCGATATACGAAAGCTCTGTAAGATCTAAAGATGCGTCATTGTTATGTTGTATTCATCATCTACGTTACAGTTTCTGAAAATTGGAGCTGAATCCTTCTCAATTACTTCCACATTATAAGATCATCCCATTTACCTTTAATCAGTTTGATCTCTTGTTGTTGCCTTCATGTTTTGAGTTCTTTTGCATTTGAAGTTTGTCCAAATGAATTTAGGATAGAAGATATTAAGAGAAAGGGGACTTGTAGATTCGAAATTGTTGCATAGTGTACTCATACACATTGTACGATTACTTGTTCTTGCTTCATCATAATGGTTTCTAAAGGATATGCATTGGTGTAAAAGAATAATAAATTCTCTCTCTCAGATTTCTGGGAACTAAGTGGGGGTTATTGGTTCTTGTATTTTGATGGATTTATAAATCTTCTTTGGATTTGATAAATTTATTGATTTCAAAATCAGCAAAATAGAATAAAATCAAATCCACTCAAATACCAATGTTAGATCTTGTATTTGGATATTTGTATTTTAGTCATGAAAATCCTTTCAAATCCATTTAAATTCAATTAAAACTCAAATCCTTATAATATTTAGATTTTAAAATGATAGAACCAATAACATTGTATTTCATTATGAATTTTAAAATCATAGAACCAATAACACTGTATTTCTATATAGATTTTAAAATACAAGAACCAATAACACTGAATTTGGTTTGAATTCTCAAATATATTAAAATAGAAGAACCAATAACACCTCCTAATTTGCACTGAATCTGATACATTCTAGTACATTGGATATGGTGTTATGTTCCATATCAAGCTTTGTTTTTTTTCTCTCTTCTCTTCTTTACATTAGATTTTGATGGCCTGGTATTTAAACTATTTGTGTTTGCTTTTAAAACATTTTAAGACATTTCAAACTATTAGCAAGTGATTAAACCTTGAAAGAGTTGCTCTTTCGTCTCTAACAAGTAACAAATTTGGGAAAACCAGACATGAGAATTGTTGAAACGCGGATCTAGGTTTTGCGGAGTACGATGCTTTTTATGCCCACTTCAATTTAAAGATGTTACTATCAAGTTAAAAGTTTCTCGAGATCAGGACTTGGTCCAGATTCTCATATATATGAAATCTTTAGAGCTTGGATGGGTATTGCTCTAATATTCACTTGCAATACTCGATCAACATCAGTAAGATAACTGTATGTGCTATTTGATCTCAGAGTATTACAAAAACATAACGTTGCATACTTTCATTTCTCTGAAAGTAATCCCTATCATTTGCTGAAAATTCGTATCTAGAAACCATGATATCACCACCTTGTTAAAATAAAATAAGATCCTATATGACTGGTTATTATTATATCATGAAACTTATACTAAATCAAAGCAGAAAAGTTATAAATTGTAATATCTTGTTCTTCAACGTTTTGCGTCTGTAAATATTCTAAGTAGTTACATGTTCTGTCTCTCGACCTATAATCCATTATTTGATTCTTCCACAAGTTTTGTCTGACTTGAAACTTGAAAGGATAATTCAACTATTATTTTCTCCGGATTTGATTGTCCTAGTAGGATCACATCATGCTAATTGAAGATCCGAACTGTTTTGGGGGTCAAAGTCACTGAATTGTCTTCTTTCTTAGATATCTTATACGTAACCTGCTTTCATGTCTTCATTACATGAGATATGTTTTCGTGGAATGAATTTGTATTTTGAAATTTTTTCCGCGAATTCTAATTATTGGAGAGACAAGAAAAAAAAAAGGTGTTAACCATTAAACCAAAAGAAAATAAGTTTTCCCTTTTTGTGTAAAAAAGATTATCCCAAGAGGTTAGACAATTTGACAAAACAAAATGTGAACCTAGTTAGGGTTCATACCCACTTTTGACTAATGAACGTAAGATATGAAGGAAACCAAACATCAAACAAAGTCTCATGCTATTAGTATAATTAATCAAGAAACTTTTCAAAGTGTTCATGCTTTCATCATTTATCAAATACGATTTCATTTCAAATAATATTATTTCTTTTAACCAAAAAAAAACATTCTTTCTATAAGTTCTTCTCAGAAGGATAATTAAACGTGTAAACGAAATGTTTTTTTATCTTCTCAAACAATATAGTAATAGTACTGTCTTAAAAAGGAAGAAGATACTTTGTATACTGGTAAAACAAACTATTGAAAACGTTTTTAAAAATTGGTATAATCAGAGAAGCACAAAATCGAGACAAGTAAAGCAAGTTGACTTTGAACTTAATTGCTGATGCGGGGTCAATTTCACTTTGTTAACTACATGCGATGTCATTTTCAGAGATTTAGCACATAGAGATTAGAGATACTAAATAAGAGGACACTAACTAACTCCACCAAACATAATTACTAATTTCTTGTTCACCAATCAATGTCCCCAATATTCTTCTCATGTACTTCTTCCTTTCTTAACAACTTGATGTTTACTTTTTCCATTTTTATTACATTTCGGATTGTTATTGGCTTATTGCTAAATATATTTACCTAAGGATACACGTGTTACACTATTCAAATAAAAACTAGCATTTAACTCGTTTAAGATGAAGTTATCACAAACTGAAAATTTCTTGATAATATGTTGACTTAAATTTGTTTTTCTTTGTTTTATTGAATCAGAATGTAGACTAGTCGCCATGCTGGAGTCGCGTTTTGTTATATAAAAAAAAAGGAAAATCTTTACAACATGTAGGTGAAGAGCTAGCTAGATATGGTTAAGAAAAGGTGATAATATTGTTAGGGGTTGAAACAAATGGGATATTAGGCGGTTAACCTCAAATCATTTTCACTTTTTCAACATTAATAGAAGACATCATTTTTACTTAAGCTTCAAGCCAGTCTTTTTGTTTTCAGTTTTAAAACCAGTTCTTATTTTTGGCTTTGTAGAAATAATAATTCTATTAATCTTTTTACGCAATGATATTTCGGTTGATTCATAACTCATATGTTTTTTTTCTTCATATAAGCCTTTGTATTTTCTTAATATAAATTAACACTTGCATGCTTTATTCCTCTTTATTTGTTCGTCCCCGCCCCCTCCAAAAATTACTTTTATATTTGATTTTTCTCCACGATTAATTTATTTGTTCAGCAAACCTTAAAAGGAGGCTAAGTGTGGCATCGAAAGTTGACATTATGTTGTGTCTCAAGTTTTGTATTTGTGTAAGTATGAAAACAACAATGAGATTGTGCAAATTTAAATGGGAGGAGGGTCAAAAGACTCAAAATTGTTACGGATAGCCACATAAACCCTAAAATTTACCATATTTTCCGCATTGCTTGGCTGCCTTTAACACTAAATATAATATGATTAATATGATTAAACATACATCCATTGCTATTGCTCTTAAACATAGAGGGTATAATTGGTTAAGCAATTTTGATATATGAACATCATAAAATACCATTAAAATAAGTTTATGTTCTGACCATTTTTCAAAAACTTTGTGTAATTCAAAACTTGAAACAAAAAGTTGATGTAGCCAGATAAAAAGAACTACATAAGTCTGGAAGCTCCAATAAAGAATATCATAATTTAATATTACATTTGACGATAAGTCGATAACCATAAACTAAAACTATAAATTCTTCTCAACAAACATAACCTTAAACTCAACCTTAATTCTGCTAACATAATATATATGTCGATTTCATCAGCTATATCAGTTGTATTAACTGTATTTGAATTAGATTAAAAGAACGAAAAGGCTGTCATAAAATATGTGAAATGATAGAACAGAGTAAAATACAGCGACATGCGCTTAATTCGTCTTTGTCTAGAAATGATACTGTTGAATGTAGGTGACCACATCAAGATTAAAGAAATACGACTTCTAGAATAATATTCTACTTATACACGTTTTCCTTTCTTTGAATTATATAAAATCAACATTTTGGGATCATATTTGCAAGCGGGATAGTGGTATAAAAGTAAGAAGCAAAATCAAAAGTGTAACATTTAGTCCATTTGCAATGATTTTTTTTTTTTTTTTTTTTTTGCGACAGATACATCCACCCAAATGAAGCAATATATTAGAGTCACGACAATACATTTATCGACATATTCGTGTAACGATGATATAATATATTGTTACAACATGTGAAAATTAACGAGAAATTAACGGAGGTTGCATAAAAATAAATTACAAATTTGTCAGTAAAATAACGAATAATTTCCATTAGATTTTTGTGTAATGATGGATCATTATTGTCATCGGTAAATTGTCGCAAACTGTCGTGACAGATTATCATTACTTAAATTAAAACAAAAACTCAACCGATCATGAACGCTTTTCGATTTTGGTTTCATTTACTCATGACTTTTTGTATCCATGCAAATACCAAACAACCCAAACTAGAAAACAAACCAAATCATAAAGAAACAAACTACCATAATTGGCTTTTTTTCGACCAGAAACCAAAAAAAATGGCCATTATTTGGATACATGATGTGAAAACATCGTACCAAATAACCAATAAGTCAATACAACGATATATAAATTGATTTTATTGTCAGAATTATCCGAGCCTAAGACCCACCACCATCTCAGCCTTATATATTAGGACAATGCAAAAAAAGTCATATATATCTTGGAGAATGAATTCAAGATAAAATGTAGTAATAAATACTGGTATACATTCAAGATAATTGTATGAGCACGAAATGATCTTCACATATTGTGTGTACATATTCCAATAATGTTATTTGGTTTTATTATCCCAAGACCGAACAATCCAAACCGGATCAAGATCCAATTAATTAGCGAAAACTAATGACTAGCATAATTACTAATTAGCCATCATCACCCATAAGATCTCCAACAATCCAAAGCCTTACGTAGTAGAATTTAGGATAATGCCAATGTAAAATGTCCAATCTTGCTGAATATACATATATATACACAAATTTAATTACAACACTACATATATATTGGTGTACATGCATGCAGGGCAATTGCATAAGGCTGATGAAGTGACGAGTTTGATCATTAGATAGAGATCGCAACATTGCGTACTTAAATTTTGTTGGGAACCCATTGTACACATCTCCAGATATATTCTCATAGATTTAGTGGCTCAAAACAAAAATGTTTAATATGATTCATTTGTACTATGTTTGTGGCAATTATGGTATATTACATCCAAAGTCAATAGAAAAAGCGTGTTAACCAAGAATTCAAGAGACGTAATCACCTTTCCAAATTTTTTTTTTTATTCGGTTATTATTTTTTCAACTAGGCCCCAGTGGGTGCAACTACTCTTCTAGTTTTGAACCAAGTTTTGGCCTTCAATAAATCAAAACCTAATCCTCCAACCGCATAAACAACATATTTTATTTTTATTCTGTCGTAAATTCATTTAGTACAAAACCAAAAAAAAACAATAAACTAAAGAAACTATCCACCAAGTTCGAAAATGTATTGTCTTTGTCTTCCTATATAAACTCCATTCTAATTCCCAACACAACACATTCTTTCTTCTTCCATACACTTCATCTCTAAACCTTCTGTCTCTCACAGAAGTGTATAAAAATATCTCTTCAATGGAGATCATCAAGAGCTTCCTCTGTTTCATCTCTCTCGTGGCCCTTCTCTTCACGTCTATGGCAGAAGCTAACAAAGCACACCACCACGAGTTCATCGTACGATCGCATTTGACTTATTAAAACGCTTTTAGTTAAACTAAAATAATTTAGATGAAGATGTATGCTTACATATTTAATCATATGTATATTTGCATGCAGATACAAGCGACGAAGGTGAAGAGACTATGTGAAACACACAACAGCATTACGGTCAACGGAATGTTTCCCGGTCCAACACTTGTAGTCAACAACGGTGATACTCTCGTTGTCAAAGTCATTAACCGGGCCCGGTACAACGTCACAATCCACTGGTAAAATACGATTAAACCAAAATCACGTGCTGTAATTAATTAACGCTTCGTCGCTTTTTTACTGGATATTAAACGGTTGTTTTATGTACCTACAGGCACGGTGTGAGGCAAATGCGAACCGGTTGGGCTGACGGACCGGAATTTGTTACTCAATGTCCAATCAGACCGGGATCAAGCTACACGTACCGGTTTACAATTCAAGGACAAGAAGGTACACTTTGGTGGCATGCTCATAGTTCGTGGCTTAGAGCCACGGTCTATGGTTCACTTCTCGTCCTACCTCCGGCTGGTTCGTCTTATCCATTCCCAAACCCTCACCGCAACGTCCCACTCCTTCTCGGTAAAATTATTTAAATTTTAAACATGTTTAATCAGTAATTTTTAATGTTGACATATAATTGATTTGATTTTGGCAAATTATGATTCTTTAAGGTGAATGGTGGGACGCAAATCCGGTTGATGTATTGAGAGAATCTACACGAACCGGAGCTGCTCCGAATATCTCCGACGCTTACACCATCAATGGTCAACCTGGCGATCTTTATAAATGCTCTTCTAAAGGTTTTAGTTTTACACCTTTTTTCATTTACTTGAAATTAATTTTAATTATATCTGTCCACACATTCACATTTCTTTTCCGTTTTTTTTTTCCCAACTGTCATAACTGAATTTGGTATATTTTTGTTCCAATAATATTTTCAAGGACAAAGCAAAAGCATGACGCCAGAAAAGACCCAAATAAATATTATTAATTATTATTTTTATAATATTTTTTGTTACAGATACGACAATAGTACCCATCAATGTTGGTGAGACCATACTACTACGAGTAATAAACTCCGCACTGAACCAGCCGCTATTTTTCACGGTGGCTAACCACAAGTTCACGGTGGTCGGAGCTGACGCGTCATACCTAAAACCCTTCACAACCAACGTCGTGGTTCTTGGCCCCGGCCAAACCACCGATGTACTCATAACTGGTGACCAACCACCTAACCGCTATTACATGGCCGCAAGAGCTTACCAAAGCGCTCAAAACGCACCGTTTGGCAACACAACCACAACCGCAATCCTGCAATACAAATCCGCCCCTTGCTGCAGCGGCGGAGGCGGCGGGATCAATAAGGGTATTTCCGTCAAACCAATTATGCCGCTCCTCCCTGCTTACAACGACACAAACACAGTCACTCGCTTCAGTCAAAGCTTCCGATCACTAAAACGAGCTGAGGTTCCGACAGAAATCGACGAGAATCTCTTCGTAACCATCGGACTCGGTCTCAACAACTGTCCTAAGAATTTCAGATCAAGAAGATGTCAAGGTCCTAACGGCACACGCTTCACTGCATCCATGAACAACGTTTCGTTTGCTCTCCCAAGTAACTACTCTCTCCTTCAAGCTCACCACCATAATATCCCCGGAGTCTTCACAACCGATTTTCCGGCGAAACCTCCGGTAAAATTCGATTACACTGGTAGCAACATAAGCCGATCTCTTTACCAACCTGTGAGAGGGACTAAGCTGTACAAGCTCAAGTATGGATCAAAGGTTCAGATTGTTCTTCAAGACACCGGTATAGTAACTCCTGAAAATCATCCCATTCATCTTCACGGCTATGATTTTTACATTGTGGCCGAGGGTTTCGGTAACTTCAACCCCAAGAAAGATACTGCAAAGTTCAATCTTGAGGATCCTCCTCTTAGAAACACCGTCGGTGTACCTGTTAACGGTTGGGCCGTCATCAGATTCGTCGCAGACAATCCAGGTAAAGCTAAAATCAAGTTACAATATAATATTTCTCTAAAGTTTTACAATAGAAGTGTTCATCATGATTGATTAAATTGTACAAATGATTGAAACACAGGGGTTTGGATAATGCATTGTCATCTAGATGCACACATATCATGGGGACTAGCAATGGCTTTCTTGGTTGAGAACGGAAAAGGACTATTAGAGACAATGGAGGAGCCTCCGGCTGATTTGCCCGTATGTTAGGATCTTGAAGATCTTTGTAACATAATAGTTTTCATGTTATAATTCAATTGTTTTTCCTTATTTTTTTTTGGTTATAGATTAACCGGCTCTACATCCTGATAGACCGGACCACGCAGCTTCTTTTTTCGCAATTATTGATGTATTCTTTTGACATCATAGTACCAAATCAGTGGTATCATGAAATTTGATATTTTTGTGTCTCTCTTAATGCTTGAGTTGTATCTTTTTCTTCGATCCGGTAAGTTGTGTTTGACCAAGGGAATGAATTCGATTTATCGGATGGTTGTTGAGCTAAAATTATATTTTTTTCCATAAATCAGCCTGGAATTTAAGTGATGATAAACAAAAGCTTTGTGGCGTAAATATAGACTTAGTCAACTCGAGGGTTCAACCACATGAGGAATATTGATGTCCCTAAAAGAAAAAACTTTGGTAGCCTAATTCGATATATGGTCTTTTGATCCGATTACTTTATTGATTTTTACGTAAAAGTTGTATATGTTTGAACTTGAGATGAGATATCAGATTTACTTGAGATTCTAATTGGATTAAACTCGTATCTCGATCGAAAGAAATAAATGAATTGAAAAAGTTAAGTGAAATGAAAGGGAATAAAGAAAAAATATCGTGAAATTCCAAATTTAGCTGAGCAGAAAAGTGGACGACAAAGTGAATTTTTGACATTACCTGAAGAAACAAAAGTTATCATAACTTTGTTAATTTTTGATTATATTTATAAAACTCTAACAAATATAATCATTCTTCTGCATTGCATGTTACTACTACTCATGAATCTATCGGATTGGTTCAGATTTTCTTTAAAATTAAAACTTAATTATATGAAAATACTAATTTTTTTTGTTGGTGTTGAGAAACTTTTTTTGGGGTTCTCTATATGCTCTAATTTTTTCTTATAATAAATTGCAAATGTATATATATGATCTAGCCACTTTTTTCTTTCCTTTTTGGTTTCAGTGTGTATCTACATCCTTTCTTTTAGACGTTAACTTAGGGGTGACTAATTTACACCTTAACGCAATTATAACCAAGAGTTTTATCACATCCTCTTAATTAATGCACCCATAATCGCTGAGGTTAAAAATAAAAATGATTTGGACAAAGCTCATTTCTTAAACTCACTGAACAACAACGGTCATACATAACAAAGAACTCAAGCGAAAGAAACAAATTAACGCACATAACAGTACTTATCAAGCCTGATAAAAGAGAAAAGCATTGTTAAGCACACAGGCTTTTGAGATACGACCATATACACTACTTATTATATAGTCTTTTGATGATATATATGGTCATGGACAAAGGAAGTGACAGGCGCATTGGTGGAGTTGCGGTAACCCAACACAGGCACCAACTCCTGTTTCGTATGCTTGTTTGCTCGTGCTGTTACTCGTCGCAGTTTTTGACAGACATATAAACCGTACATGTGGAGACACTGGAGTATAGTGGTCCTAAAAGACAAATAACAAAGCGAGTTTTTATTTGTCTTTCATTGTTTAAACTAAAATAAAATGATTAATACATGAAAAACTTAATTATTAGTGGAAGAAAACGAGAGGTCTTTCTTTGCCTACCTCTTTCTACTGACAAGATAGACTGCTAACCAGCAACTTGTTCCTCGCTCCAAATAGATTTCGAATACAGTATGTTTCCTATTGACCATATATGGAAACGGTTATAGAATGTTTAGGTAAGTTCTATGGCCAAACTATTAGTAAGTCTTAGTAAGTACCAGTGACTACTGTGACGATGATGGCAAAGAGAAGAGTAAAAATGTAAGCAGATCTCACAAATGTGTTAGTCATCCTCTGTCTTCTTCTTCTTCTTCTTTTGTCTTTTTAGTTCGATCTGGAGAAGAATGAGTATAACTCTGGACGCTTAGCGAGTGTTTTATAGTGGAATGTCCATGTTTTTAGGGTCAAATAAGTTTTCATAAAATATGTAGAGGACTACCAAATCAAGCAAAATTATGATTGTAGATCTCAAGATGGCCACTAATAAACAAATTTATACAATATATAATACTCTAACGTGTAATATATTAAATTGTATAAATAAACCTACTTCGACCCATTTTCACAATAACTATACCCTCGAATTTTAAAGTAAGAGAAGCTCATAACGCCACGTCCTAGATAGAGAACTTTCCCACATAAGACGAGCTTCTTTCTTTTTGATATCAATATAGAAAACGAATCCTGCAAATAAACCGAAATACATTGTTACAGTCTTACAGAGATAAACCGGCTCTACTCCTGAGTTCTTCCTTCGTTTTTTCGTGAAGAAGTTGTGTTTGACCAAGGGAGTGCATTGGATATGTTTTGAATGTTTTGAGCTAAAATTATATTTGTTTCCATAAATAAACCTGATCATAAACAAAAGATGTTTTGGTGTACTATATATATATAGGCTGAGTCAAGTCGAAGGTTCAATATAACTCCATTCATTTTACTAAAAAGTTTACAAATGCAAAGAAAAATATCTCTATGCAATTTTGAAGAATGAAATGGCACAAAATAATTCTTTTATTTTTTATATCCGGCTTTTTTACATTCTATTCATATTTGTTACTCTTGAGAACCAAATTAAAACCGAGACGTCAGGCGGGAATATCTTAACGTCAGACACATACACATCTTGAGAGCACACAGAAAGATGTATAGAGTGATGTGTCGAATTTTGGGTGGTATCACGTGTGTCACATGCAAAGCCCACATTGGGCAAAAACACAACTTTGTGTTTTCTTGCATGGTCTTACTTTCTTTTTCTCAAATTCCGAAGTTTTACGTATGTATGAACTAACCAGTTATATACCAAAGAAAAGCCAACACTAACCAATTAGAATTCTGTTTCAGAAATAACCAATTAGAAACTGAATAAATATTCTTCTTTTTATTCAAAAGATCGTTTAACTTTCCGGATTTTTTTCCTCCTAGTTTGGTTTATATATCCAGCAAATCTTAATACTTTATAGACATATCTAACAATGCAATACTACTTTGTTAAATTATTTTTGGTTTAAACCGGTTCAAGTCCCAAACTGTTTGAAGATCACGAAAATTATTACTTGTGAATTTTCTTATATTATATACGCAATTGATCTTAGATTGTTAGTGATGGAAACTTTAACAGTAATACATTTCTTAAACCTAATAAACAATAGTCAGTAAAATAATAATCATACTATTGGACCAAAGCTCCTGATTTCAAAAATACATTGACTTGATTTTTGATTAGTCAAAGAGAATACTTATCCAAAAAGTACAATAAATGGATATAACTTAGGCCCAAAGTAAAAAAGAAAGGCCGAAATCAGAATCCGGAAAGTTCGAGCGACACGTCATCACCAAAATATCCGAAATATTAGAAGACTTATAATAATAAATAAAAGTCCTTTTCTCTTTCTCTGCTTACAGAAAATCAAAATCAATCCGTCTTTGCTACTACTAATCTACTGTCTCTTTTACATTCAATCCCCTCCTGCTTCGGGTTTTTGTTCGACGGAAGTTTAATCGGAATCCTCTCTTCTTCTACCTTTTTTCTTTTTCGTTTCAGCACTTTCTTACATGCCGTCGAAGATTGTTGACAGGTTTGTTTCAAACACACTTCACGATTTAATCCTGTGTATTCGTTCTATATCGGTTCTTGTTTCCGTTTTAATCTCTATGTAAATGTGATTATCGAGTGTTGGGATTTAAGATTTTGATCTCTTTTTGTTTTTGTGCGCATCGCCATGTTTGTCTTGTAATATGTTCAATTTAGGATTTCTGTGTTCTTCGTAAGCAAAACAAAAAAGCTTGGAACTTCTCTCATTGGATTGAGGTCTGTGCAAATAGCTGCTTCGTTTATGATTAGGAGCTGAAAAAATTCGTCAAAGTTTGGTGTCTTCCCTGAAATAGAACTTAGTTTATGTCAGGTTATTTGAGAACTGTTCTTTAGTAATGTTCTGATTTACGAATCTCTGGTTCTGAGTTTGCTCGGTTCTAATTTTGCTCGTGATGAAGTTTCTTTTTCTTGGTCGCTGTCATGCTGTAGATTTTGAAACTTCTACTTCGATGTGATTACACTCAGGAGGTTAAAAATTGTGATTTTGATTTCAAAGTGTAGTCAAGTGTGTTGCTTTAACTTTGTCAAGAGTGGAAATAGACAAAAAATGGGAGCTCTCGAGCAGGTTTTGCTAATCTTGCTTCTATGCCTTTTTGATTCTCCCAGGAAAAGGAAGCCACAAGATGGTAACAACAATGTAGCTTCGAGACTCAAGAGATGGAGAGAGTACAACGAGCAGGCCGAGGCTGCTTCTTACGACGGTGATGGTGGTCTCAAGCCGATCCGAAAGGCTCCTGCGAGGGGTTCTAAGAAAGGTTGTATGAAAGGCAAAGGAGGACCTGAGAATGGGATTTGTGACTACAGAGGAGTTAGACAGAGGACATGGGGCAAATGGGTCGCTGAGATCCGTGAGCCAGGTCGAGGCTCTAGGTTATGGCTCGGCACTTTCCCTACTGCGTATGAAGCTGCGTTGGCTTATGACGAGGCTGCCAAAGCTATGTACGGTCGGTCTGCCCGGCTCAATCTTCCCGAGGTCACGAACGGCTCTTCTTCGACTGCTGCAACTGTGTCTGGCTCGGTTACTACATTGTCAGGCGAATCCGAAGTTTGTGCACTTGAGGACACAAATGTGAGATCTTGTTTTCGTCAGGTGAAACTAGAGGATGGTAGCGACGAGCATGTTTCCTTGAATGGCTCTCAGTGTATCAAAGAGGAGATGGAAGTAACAGAGGAAAGGAGTGTTCCCTTGAGTAGCTTTAAGCGTGTTAAAGAGGAAACGAGGGAACTTAACTCAGGCGATGATTTTTTAACTGGACTGGACCCGAGAAAGGAGACGTTAGATGAGTGGCTAATGGGAAATGACAACGAGCATGAACCATGGGACTTTGGTGTGAACGAAGTGTTTGATGTTGAGGAGCTGTTGGGTTTATTAGACGATGTCAATGTGTCTGGTCAAGTTGATAGACCTTACCAGATGCAGTTTCCAGATGCTAACTTGCTTGGGAGCCTCGACCACCACACGGAGATTGCTCATCCTGGAGTTGGTTTCGGATATCCTATCGTGCAGCCGAGTGAAATGGAGAACAATGGCATGGATTTAGACCGTCCTCGGTTCCAGGATCTTGACATACAGGACATGGAGTTTGATGGAGGAGAAAAAGATGCTCAAGGTGCCAAATAAGATCTCAGATTCATAGGACTGGCCTAAGTTTGTGCTTCTGCTCCGAGGCGGTCTAGCCATTTCTAGCTAGAAGCTGACTTTCTTTGAAGCTACTGATACTTGACTGATGTTAATGGTTTGAGGCATATAGTAAATGTGGTTAGGTAATGTAGGACATGCTCGAACATGATTCCTTCTTTCTTTTTTCTTGTGAATATTTTACAAAGAAGTTTCAGACTTTGGATTTACAGTTTCTAACGTTTGGATATGTGTAGAAAGTTTTCGACTTTGGATGCATATAAATAATCAAGTTTTGATATTTGAAATTTGAAATGGTTGGTTCCGTATGTGTTATCTTAGGGAGTGGATATGGATTAATGCAAATATTGCGTAGTGAGTTTATTGACTTTGCAAGTTTTTGATATTTCAAAAAGTTAGATCTCTCCGTGCTTAATTAATTGTTGTCTTATAAAATTGGATAAATCAAGAGTGGAGTTTGTGGTCTGCAGAATTTCCTCAGGTTGTCTTATAGAAGATTACATAAGCAATGAGGTAAGAAAATAAAGCGAGATATATGAATATATCTATCTGTACATTCTACAAAAAAAAAAAAAAAAAAAAAAAAGCAAATTGGATATCTGAAAGTGCAAATGGGGCGTATTTATATATTGTTGAAAGTGAGAATAATTACTATTAATTATTCTCTTTTGGTCTCCAAAATCGTGTTTCTTGCTCGAATCTTGAAGATCTTTTAAAAGCCTGTTGAAAAATGAAGTAAACAAGTTGGCAAACTGTTAATTAAACTATCCAAACAATTGGTCGGTATGGGATTTTTGGCAAATGTCTCCCTTTTGACAATGTGTACTCTTCTTCTGCATAAGAATGAGATGCAGCTCTTTTAGACAATTTCTCTTCTTCTTTTTTAATCAAAATTCGATCTACATTTTTCGTTGTTGTCTTGTATTATATATATCTCATTGTAATATGATTCACTCAAAAATGTCTTCAGAAAGTTAAGTTTACCGTTTGGTATTTATTTCCAGTTGTGTAATAAGTGCATTTCATATATAATTGTAGTTGGAGACTTTTATAATTTCGTAAGTGGAATAATAATAGAAAATAATATTTTATGTAGTTGGGGTTATTTTTCTACAAATCAAATTTTCACAAACAAACAAACGGCCGGCTTTAACTAAGAAATATCTAAAATTAATGTCTAATCCATGACAAACTGAAACGTGGACATTAATGTGATTTTTTTGTTTGATTCTAAAATCACTTTAGTTTTTATCCAAAACAAAAATGAAAAACTACAAACGATTGCAACTATGAAAACTGAAAAGTTATTGCTAACTATTTTTAAGAATTTAAAGATTATGTGAATGATTTCAACTTAATGTTTTTTTTGTTGGCAGAACGGGAACGATTAACAAATAGCAGTGTTTTTTTTTCAATATCTTCAGCTTAAATATTGAAATCACTCAAACCAGTGTGAAAACAAATTGTTGTATATATTACATATATTATAGCGAAATTGTAGATTATCTATGGTAGCACCACATAACCTGAACATGATTCTGATGTTCATTGTTGAAACTTACTATATTTTCATCAGAGACAAGTATAAGAAAAATTCGTTGTAAGTTTGTATCTTCAAGCTTAATCCAACCAAAACAAACTTCCGGCTTTTCTAGTTATGCGTTACGTTCGAGTAAGGAATTTATTGGAAATTCTATGAAAAAAAAAATCGTTGTACGTTTGTTTTTATAATATATATACACAATGATCTCATAATAACTAAAATGACATAAAACTCCAATCAAATCTTTAATTTTAATAATATGAAATACTAGTTCAATAATCGGATCTTTCATTCACAATACTAAAAATACACCATATATCTCCTTGCATGAATGTATCAACATAATTAAAGTCTCCTACCATAATGCTAGAGGAGAAGCAATTCTCGAGTTTTGTTAAATACATCAACATATCTATTCGTAATGTACGTGCTGAATTTAAATAGCACAAGATACGTTTCGTTTCTTTCATTTGCTATTGATTGGAGAACCCAAATTTTATCTTCGTAATATCAGAATCATAACTGTTTTTTTTTGCTTCATGACCTTCTTTTAAAACACTCATCATTATACCATCTCGACTCTATTCAGCAAAGAAAACTTAATTTTGGTACCATCTTGTAAAATGACGAATAACAGACAAGAAAGTGGGGAAACTTGAATTTGTATCTCTGAATCTTTAATTTATAATATTTGGTTTTTACAAAGTTGATTTGCATGAATGTATATACACAACGGTCGCATAAATCGACAGAAAGAATACATTTTCCACGTCAACTTGTGATCATAATCTTCTTTATCTAATCAACTTGTGATGAGTGACGACTATGATCAGGGTTATTACTTTTACAAATGTGCTCAGTAATATGTGTGTATATTATTGGCGAGAGATTATGTCACCTAACCCGAAAGCTTACAAGATGAGCAATCTATACATCGAGGACTGTGCAAAAAACTGCAAATTGTAATCTTATTCTATAAAATGTTGGATTCAATTAGTAATGCAAATTGCTCTCTTATTCGTATTAATCTAACAAGTAGGACTAGTTGAGAATATGTATAGTTGTATAGTTGTTGGAAAATCTAGTGCATTAAGTAACCCTTTATTATTTTTTCCCAATTGTTTGCTTTTTTTTTTCGTTATAATTACGCCCACCACTCAAATTTTAAGAGTCCAATATTCATAGATTTGATTTGAATATACGTTTGTGGAAGGAAACACACCAAAGAAATATTGTCCAATTCGAAAATTGTCCTGACTTTATGTTGATTACTTTTAGCTAGCAAACTGCTTAGTTGATTTTCATCTAACTCCTCTAGTATTCTGTTATTTTCTTTGTCGAAAAGGAATTTGATTATTACTTTCGTAATAGTTAATTAGTACTATCAAAACGCTCAAGTTGATAACAAGATGAGGAAAGATAATTATGATGGACCCATGACATGCTATCTTCACCAACTTAAGAATATTCAAAGTTCTCTATAGTTATTTTTGGCAAGGTAAAATTTTTACCGGTACACATGCAGAAGGTTCCAATGAATTCCAAAATCCACCAAGAAGACATCCGATAATTGTACCAAAAATAGGTAGAAGCTTAACCAACTCGACCCATAGTGATCAACTGATCATGTTCTAGTGTGTAGCATCCTCATTACAAAGTAAATTTTGGTCTTTCAAAAAAGTAAAGGTAATACAAACACACAATCTTTAAACTCATTATATCAAATAAAGACACACATGGAAGAAGAAAATCTATATTTCCATTCAAGTTCTATAATGCTTGTGAGTTGTGTGCTTTACGAAAAGAAAAATTGTTGCGTTTATTGAATAAGTAGATAACCAAAAACAAAACAAAACCCAAATAAATAACCGGTTATACTATCGAGAACCAATCCATAGATTTTGTGTGGGGAACCGGGCTGGTCCTTGATGTAAAGAGAGAAGAGTTTCTTCTGTGAAAATACAAACTCCAAACTAATCCCAAGTGGACAACGGACGAACCCACACAAACTAAGTTCTCTCTCTCTCTCTTTTCTTCATCTAACTATTGTCCACATATACTTGCATTTTTATACTATTTTTCACACCCTCCTCCTCATATATATATATATATACATATCTACATATAAATAAATATCTCTCATTACAACATCCCAAAGGACCTCAAGAAGCAAACCATTTCTCTAATTATTTTTTTGAGAGAGAGACAGAGCCAGAGAATAGTAGGAGAGAGGATAGAAAGACGATTGCTTTTTTACACATCGATTCAAAAATGCCAACGTCGATTCAGTTTCAGAGATCTTCCACCGCCGCAGGAGCGGCTAACGCCACCGTCAGCACCCATCACCACCACCACCACAAGCAGCTTCAGAAAGTGAGCCTCACGCGCGGTATGGCTGATGTGCCGGAGCACGTGGAGCTTGCCCACACGCACGTGGTGGATCCCTCTCAGTGCTTCTCCGTCATGGTGCAGGACGTGGAGGCTCCGGCTTCCGTCGTATGGTCGATCCTCAGCCGCTTCGAACACCCTCAAGCGTACAAACACTTCGTTAAGAGCTGCCACGTGGCTCTCGGAGACGGTCGAGAGGTTGGTTCGGTGAGAGAGGTCCGAGTCGTCTCGGGTCTACCCGCCGCGTTCAGCTTAGAGAGGCTTGAGATCATGGACGATGATCGCCACGTCATCAGTTTCAGCGTCGTGGGTGGGGACCACAGACTTCAGAACTACAGGTCGGTGACGACGGTGCACGAGTCGTCGTCGTCATCGGACGGTAAGGAGATGACACGTGTCGTGGAGTCATACGTCGTTGACGTACCGGCAGGTAACGATAAGGAAGAGACTTGCAGCTTTGCTGATACCATTGTACGTTGCAACTTGCAATCGCTGGCTAAACTCGCCGAGAACCCGCCTAAATCCTCGTAATTACATTTTTTTTTTTTTACTTTTATTTTATTTATTCTCTCTTTCAAAATTTATCCCTTTTTAGATTCTCGAGGTGGGTTTGGGTTCTAGATTATTTTAACTATCGTCAAAAGAAGATGGTTTTGGTTTTTCGAAGTTAGGGTTTTAGGGTTTGTTAAATGTTCGTTTCGACGATACATTAGTTTACCCTTAAGATCATTTCTTCTTGAACTCTTTTGTATAGTCTCTCGTAGCTTTTTTAATAAACAAAAACATTTGATTGTTAATTTAGTTGTGTTCTCTCATCGTAATATTCTGATCTTGCCTAGTTTACTTTACATATGTATGATCTTTGCTGAATATATGAAACAATATAATGATTCAGCTAATGAGTATTATGTCACATTTCCGAGATTATGATCACTGGTTTGAGTTTGATAAATTTTAACGTACATAGTAATGTATTACCCAACAATTTGATTAATACAGTCACTTGCATAATTACGAATGTACATTCAATATGAAGAGAACTGAACATTTGTGGGCAATCATAAAACCCATGTGCTGATTCGTATGATCCGCTTTGTCCTTTATATCGGGAGAAATAAGTATTACAATGTGCCTATACGGCTATACATCATTTGCATTCTCTTAAAATGTACAAACGATATAATTACAGTACTTGGTCTTTTTAATTAAACTGATCATGATCAGTTATATAATCAGAACGTTCAATCCTTGATGGAGCAACATCTATTCACCATAAACTCGAACCATTGTGTAATTTTTATATATTGAGTTCGATATATATATATATATGTATTTTTTAAGGAAATCTAATTATGGTATATACATAAATATAATTCTAGGCCAAGATAAATGGTGACAGGTAATACTGAAATTGGGCAGGAAGAAAATATTTATTTTCCAAATTTCGAAACTAAAATTTCAAATTATTTGTCATTTCATTAACCAACTTTTCATTAGTACATAAATGATGATTTTGTTTTTGTTCAGTAAAAAGTAAATTAAAACTATAACCCTGCTTTTTATTCACCAAAGTGATAATATTCCGTGGCCCCTTTTTTATTTTTGGGATGCGTGAGCCGTTACAATAATTCAAATGTGAAAATTATTACTTTTTCGGATTGCCTTTGTTTCAATTTTTTTATCTAATGAATTAAAATCTAAATTATCAGAATAAGAACTAATTTTAAAATATTATATCGTTGTTTAATATAAGAATCCAATGAACAAGATGAAAGGACTTCATTCTTTCAAAGTTTCCAAAAGTAAGTTACTTTTGTATTTAACTAATACGATTTCGAGACTTGTGAAATCAAGCTCAACATTGAATACATATATAGAAATGCATATGATCGTACGTAAAATGCAAGTTGGGGTGTAATAAAACCCAACTTGTTATAGAAAAAACAAAGCATGCAAGTTGCAAGAAAAAAAAAAGTCGCTACTATTCTTTAACACCTTTAGATAGATATTCCAGAAATAAATATATGCTTAGAAAAAAACAAATTGATTAAAAATAATTATTAATTTAGAATCATAATGAGTACGAAATATATGTAAACATTGTCGTGGAAGGAAGGAATTGCAAGTTGAGGTGCAAGTTGGCAAGGAGGCTATTAATGTTTTCTCTCTTTTGGTCGTTTGTAAAATGACATTTAAACCCACCCACCTTTCTTAGTTTTTTTTTTGTGTCTTCCCTATTTTGTAATTTGCATCACTATTTTACTAATATTTTCTTTCGCCTTTTTAATATTTATAAACTCACAAGTTTTTTTTCTTTCATAATTGTTATTTTTCGTATGCATTTCCATGAAATTCTGACCAATCCAAGAGTGATACACTTTTTGGGGGTTTGTATATTCCAATGTGGCATGTTGCATATAAAGTATTAGTATTTAACTATTTTCTTTATATTCAAATCTATATAAACATGCATAAAAGATTGTGATAACGTACATAGCTGTGATATATTTACAGACTTTTAAAAAAAGCAATGGAGATGGTTCATATATTCATCATACATTACATTCCTAGCTGGACTATCTAAAACACTTTAACTCATTAAAATAAAAAAACAATCTTTAAAATAGAGTGTAACTATGTCTTTAGTCATTTCTTTTTCAGCCAATTATCCAGTTGAGTGTGTCTGAGAAAGACAAACCAAATTCAATATATATAACACGAAGAATACCCCTTCCCCTAACGATAATTAGGGATTAAAAAAATTAGCCTCTAATGCAACGCTAGAACCGGAGCTAATGTGAGAACCGCTTTGCTAGCTCTCTGTTTTATTTTTACTTGCTTTCGATTTTACTCCTAAGCTCTCAGATATATCAAAACGAAAATCTATCCTTAATAAGTTATAGTGTTACGAGACGATATTATATTGTTTTTCTTTCCGTACGTTACACCATAATTATCAGTATACTATTTTTGATTACATTCTATTACAAATGATGATCTAACCAATATCGAATCTATATCTTTTCTGGAATTTGGATTTATAGTAAATGGTTTCACAAATGATTCCATAACATATGTATTTCTATCCACACCACAAAAAATCCACAGTAAAAAGCTTTCTCTAATATAAAAGAATATGACAAACGGATTTACCTGCAAGAAAATCTTCGAAAAACTTACATACATTAAAAGCCACATTTCATCTTCGCTTTGTCAAACTCTTTAAGTCTTATAAACACAAAAGACTTTTCTTTTTCGACGACAAAATCATTTCAGTGACTACATTTTTACAGTTTCTCGACAAGGCTTTCTTCCAAGCTCAAAAAAGGACAAAACGGTGTCGTTTTTCCTTAATGGGGGTGAATGGTTTCTTTCTTTCTTTCTCAAGGGTAGAATAGTTTAGCAAAGAGAAGCTCATTCCAAGTATCTTGAAGGCCAGGCAAGCACCAATGTACACAATCCGCATAGCTCGTCGGATTCTTCAGCTGCTCCGCCGTGAGTGGGCTCCACTGCTTCTTGTATATCGACGTGTGCGCATCTTTCCGATAGTTGGACATTTGCGTTATGTTTAGTAACGTGATCGGTGTTTTCGATCTCCCAAACACTTCACCAATCACTTTCATTATGCTCTTCCGAGAATCTGATCCCCAGTAGTTTGGATCTTCTATCATTTTTGTCTGATTATAGCAGTTCTCACCCGGCTCACCTCCCCAATCTACGCCCCTGAAACAGCCATAGAAAAACAAAAATCAGCAAAAAACCCTAATTATGTAGTTTCTTGCTACGAAAGAAACAATCATTTTGTTACTTTAGCAAGTAGAATGTAAGCAATTTTGGTGCTTATGACTGAACGTATTGTACAATAAGGCTGGATTATCAATATAATCTATCTATTTATGAGCTAAATTTCTGGATCAAATTGGTCAAAGTCACTAACTTGGCATGAGTTGGAGACATGCTTGTGAAGAAAACCCTAGTTTTCTTACGATCCATATTGTTCTTCACCCATCTCAACATACTCTTCATACCCATCCGGTACGCATCTTCAGTGGAAACCTCCACGATAGACTTCTCTTTGTCATCAAACGATCCTTGCCTATACATGTGCCCCCAACGAAACAATATCAGAAACCATTGTTGTAATGTGATTGTTTATTATGAATTGTTCTGATTTCAAGTTAAGAAAATTTGGTTACAAGATGTTCATCTTCAATCCAGTCATCCACCATAGATAAGTGTTGAAGACGATAATATCAACGCCTTTCCAGTGACGACCATGTTTGTTGATTGAACCCTTTCTTACAACTCTATCTGATATTCTATGGACAATTGCATCGTCTGAATTCGATTCTAGAAGAAACGGTGCCCAATAGAACTCTATCGTCGCGTTATACTCCTGCGCATAGAGAGAGAGAGAGAGAGAGAGAGAGAGAGAGAGAGAGAGAGAGCAAGCCCTTAATGACGTGAAATATTGTAGTGCAGAGACCTCAAAAAGAGTAGATAGATTTACCTTGGCAGTGAAGACTGTGAGGGAACCAGAGGTTTTAATGGATTTCTGATCATCAGGGATAAGACGATGAAGAAGACATATCATCGACACAAACATTCCACGATTTAACGAGTCTCCTACATACATCATTCTCTTCCCTCTCAATGTCTCAAGCATCAGCGTCGCGTTGAATCTGTGAAACAGAGAAAACAGAGTTGCACACTGAAACAGAGAGAAACAGAGGAAACAGAGTGAATAGATAGTATGAGCTTACGAGGGAAGATCGCAGTGATTGGGTTGCCACCGCCAGAATTGGTAATCTTTGTCGGGACGGCCGTGTTCTTGACACGTAAGCTGAGGTTGAATGTACGGACACTCCCATTCCTCGTACGGTGGTCGGGAGATTTCGTCTCTCACCCACTTCCCACTGAATAGATCACAATTTTCCTCTGTTTTACCAATAGCGAACGCAGTCTTCTCCACTTTCTTGTTCTTCTCTTTAAAAACCCAAAAAATTCAAAAGGAAACTACAATCTCAATGTCTCATTTCCAACAAGAATTCAAACAAGTGTTTTGGTGAATAAATTGTTACCGGGTGTTCGAGAAGGCGGAAGGACAAAATTTGGCTCGAGCTGGCCAAAGATGCACATGAAATCTTCTCCATAGAGAACAGAGACGAATAGGATGAAGATTAGGAGTGTGAAGAGGTAAGGAGAGAGACGGGTTTTTCTTGGAAGTGAAGGAGGAAGAGGAGAAGAAGTGAAGGAAATTGGTGATGAAGGTTTCATGTTTAGAATTGAGAAAGAGAGACAAGAATGAGTGTCACAAATGTGATTCAAAATTTTATAACTAGTATTAAGAAAGAGAAGATAAAATTAAGAAATGAACACTTTGAATTCTTGATGATCTCATTTTCCTCAAACCTGAAAATAATATGTGGCAGGATGAAGCCAAATGAACTTAGTTTGGAATTGCTTCAAGAAATAGTAAAGAAGTGTATTGTACAACGATTAGGTAATTTATAATATGGTTATGATTATATTTAGTGATGAATTTTTGTGAAATTAGCATAACAATAATACTTAAGGTGATCAGTAGGTAAATGTTGACGCAACAGAGTGGTTGTCTCCTAACTAATAATTATTTTCGTAAGATATAATTAATTTAACTGTTAATGACAAATTGTGTTCGTGTTTTAAGTTCATGTTTGTATCCTCGAACCGACAGAAAAGTATATTTTCTGTTTGGTTTTTAGTATTGAGGTTCCTAAACCAAAATTTACACTTGTTTTCTGTTTGGTTCTTTACTTCACTATTAGACTATATGTAAAAGCTTTGTGTTTATGAATAATACTCTTTCTAAAATTTGTCATCATAGTTTTTATTTTTTTAAATAATTTTCTTAGGCATTTATATGTGGCTCCTATTAAAAAAAATATGAGATGATGATTGATGAAGGTGAGGACTAAAACTTCACTTGACTTCGAAGCTAAGTGTCCTTGAGGTGTGTTCATACATTTGATCGACTCTGTAAAGATGACATATCATTGTCTTCACTTTTGTTCTACGGATTATTGCTCTTACTTAGAAAACAATATAAAACAAAGTATATGGTTAACGTTTATTAAAATTAATTATATACAATAAAAATCTGTAATGAGTTGCATAGAATACAAACGTTATCATATAGAGACCGAATAAATGTGACATGAAAAACAATAGTATATATAAAATAAAGAGTGGAATTAGTTGAGAATTTGTTGGGCTTTCAAGCTCAAGTAGTTGGCTCTCACTGTTCTTCTTTGTACACAATCAAAACTCAAAAGTGTTTGTCTAAATCCTACAACACTCAAAACTCTTTCAAGACGCAAAGATGTTAATGCCGATTCTACACCGGTCAGTCGTAGAAGAACCGGCATGTCAAACCCAGTGGATCAATCCGCATTAGCTGTCTTAATACAAAGACAAATAGATAAAACATCTTTTGGTCCATTGCAACATCTCTACTCATCATTGACCACAACAAGCTTTATGTAGTATACAAGAATACTTTTGAAATCATCCTCAAGAAACCGCAACAACAATTTATAAAGAGCAATCAAAGATTGCAATGGCTTAACATTGTTTATATCAAATAAACAATTTTTTTTTTGCTTTTTTGAAGAGATCTACGACATACCAAGATGAAAAGGAGAGGCACATTCCTACAACTTGCAGTCATATAAGGGCAAAAAGTACTCAAGAGTATAATAATCTGGCGGCGTTTGTTTGCAATTGGGTTGAACGAGTCAAAGCAAGGTCGGGGATTTTTGTCTCTAAACCATGAATCAGAGAGGTTGATGTGATGTGACTGCTCAGAAGTTGACCTGAGAATATGAGGCTCGTTGACCATGACTAGACCCCCTGAATCTCTCAAGTAGTGAACCAAAACAGCTCTGCAAGATGAAGAGAAACAGTAAACTTGTTAAATTCAACTCTTAGATACAAATCCACCAGAAGAGTATATAGAAACACAGAACAAAATACCTGTGTTCTGTGAGGTACAGTGCCCCAGAAATCCGAATTTGGGATCACCTATAAAACAGAGTGTGTACATTTCAGTTGCGATTAGAATCAGTTAATGAGAAAACATTGCATATACAGTATGAAGGGAGTTAGTGAAACATACGTCTGTGCCACGAATCCCAAGGGAGAAATAACGATATAGTGCACCACCCAGTAGATAAGCTCCAAACAGGCACAAGATTCTGAAAAAGATCAGAACATTTCGCATCAAAATCCCACAACATTAAAACATATTCTAATAGCCGTCGAAAAAAAGGAGAATGATGTGCTCACATGATTAGTAAGGTGCTAAACCAGCCCCATCCACTACCATGGCCGGATATAGCCACTGCACAACCGGAAGGATGTCGCAGCTCAGTAGCCTGCCAGTGAAACAAGACCCCAGTTTTAAGTCCAATGAATGAGAGAGACAGTGCAAAATCTTCAGTTTTATAATTAAAACAACTCTTGAAGTGTGAAAAAGTTAAGTTAATGACTTGCCAGACAGAAATCAAGGTTTTAACTACTCATGCTGCAATTCAATAATATGAGTATAATACTCCTACAAAATCTACAATTCACTGTCCCTGACAATGCAGGTTAAGCATCGAACGCTCTCTTAGTTATGTCATATGTCCTTCCAATGGCTAGAACAATACCACAAAAATCAGCATTTCCATGACAAGCCAGAGTCCATACTTCTTAGAAATAAAGATATTGCAGGTGCTTATAAAACTCAAGATTTCCAGAGCATAGAAGAATGCAGTAATGGGTTTTTCAAGAACATGTTTGAGACAAAAGTAGTTCCATTTCTATCCTTCTCTAAATGCAGTAAGAGAACGGTGAAGCTTTTCATCAGCGTTTATGCCATTCCTAATGAGGACATGGTAGTTTAAAAGCTATAGGAAAAAGAGCAAATAGATGAGTTACTGAACACTCACATAACTACAGCTACCAGATTTCTCCAGCTTGAGTGGTCCCTGAGAAAATAAAAAAAGGTGAATGAGGTATTAAGATCCTAGAAACTGCTAAAATCAATTTCACTTTATAACCTCAAGTCCGACATACAAATCCTTACAGTAACTTTATTTTTCTGACAGATAACAGAAACTGAAAGTGAGCAATTTTGGTTACTACTTCCACTTGACATCTTAACAATGACGCCTTTGCCAGGATCCTCTTTATCTACAAGTATCCAAAACAAATATCTCTGAGACAACATTACCATATTATTATTGCATAAAAAATAGCGGGAACACAAAATAAAAAGCTTCTTCCCAACTTAGAACGCACATCAGTACAACCGACAAGAGAAAGTAGTCTCTATTTTCACACAAACGTACCAACGATATCAACTTTTGAGCTTGAGGGATGCCCTAGAGAACTGCAGACATCATATCCTGCGAATGATAGATTTTTAAAATGCTTTTTAAGTTTTTATCAGCTCACCGCACATAAAATGGCAACACTATGTGTAAAGCAGAAAATCAAAAAGCAACGCATTATATGCGTGCACCTTATCAGTTTTCCACTACGCTACATAAGATACATTAATGCCACATGCTGTAACGAGTGAGATTTTGTACCTCTTATATTTTCTGACAATAGTGCACTACAAGATGTTCCACAGTGTGATTGACCTCCGCAATCCTAAGCGAAGAAAAGTAAACCCACAGAGACTGATTGAGATTCTCAAAGTAAAAGAAACTCTCTCTTTCTGTTGAAGGCTAGTTCAAGACAATGGAAGTGGACAAAAATCTTACTTCGCAACCAACGCATCGAGGGGGATCGTGATTGAAAATCAACATGTCACAAAGCTGCTCCACATGACGGTTTACAGAAAAAGAAGAATAACAATCATTATTCACACTGGTCTACTGTGAAACATGAAGAGCACTATAAGTCTAATAACTATCTTTAACTCTAAAAGACTTTTCCTAAACAAAACGTGTCAAGCATTTGTTTCTTTCTTTCTTTTTAACAGTTCCATTGACCTATATATTCCTCTTCCTTGTGACCAGTTCGAGCAAACACGTATCATGATCAGTGTAACAGAGAAAAATGCAGAAACAAAGTGTAACCTGATGCAGAAGACAACCTGAAACCATAGCACGGTATTGTTTGCTTCCACTCTATAAAACCTGAAACACAAATGAAGTAACAGAGAATGAGCTACGAATATTTTAACCTAACACCTAAATCAAAACGATATCATCCACTACAGAATCACAACACCCAACTCGATACTATCACCCGGAGATCGAAAGGAGGGTAGAATCATAAATCGAGGCACCATAAACGCGCAATTCAAGGATAAGAAAAAAGGAATCTGAGAAAAAAAGGGAGAATAGAAAGTACCCATCTTCGCTGAGAGCGCCGTGAGGGAAATTCCGAATCGAAGATGCTAAGTTGAAATCAAAGACCTTGTTCCGTCGAGTGAAACTGAATTCACACTGAGAGTTAGCTCGTAGGCTAATAAGCGCGAGGGTGATGAGAAGAAATCTCGGAATCCAAAGTCTCCCAGACATTTTTTCTATCCTCCTCGCTCTTCGATTCCCGCTTTCAATTTCTCAATATTATATCTCCTAAGATCTCATAACCATGTCCGCAGATATCAACGGAGATGGCGATAGAGGGAAGAAGAGATGAGTGCTTGGCACGGCTGCAGTCGGATCGCTGTTCTTCGTTTTACATCCGCCGTCGATTCAACCGAGATTGCATCAGTACTCCTTAAACTTTTTAGTTCTTACGAATAAGCCACATAACTTTCAATGGGCTTATTTAATAAAAATCCAAATTTGCGAAAATAAACTCGCATAAAATTGTAGATTTATTATCTGTCGACTTTATGCCACCTACTAATTGCATTTTAACTTTGACAAAGATATATAATTAAAGGGAAAATCGCATTTTAAACCTTCAAAGCACAAATCACTAACACTTTAAACCTTGAGAGATTTACACTCTCATTTTTAACCATTAAACTAATAAAATTTACACTTAAAATCATCAAATGACTTATTAATTTTGCTCCACGCCTCCACCAAAAATATTATACGGTTAACTACGTTAACAAAATTATTAATTTTATATTTCAAAATCCATTTAAATTATTTATTTGTAATAATCTATTTACTATTTACAAAAATAGAAATAAAAAAAAAAAATCTTTTTTTTTCCTCTTCTTTCGTGTTCTTCATCCTGCTACAATAATGACAATTCTCCCTATTTTTTTTCACGATCTCAACAACCACATCCTTCAACAAGTCATCAAATTTTACAGATCCGCCGTATTTACTCTCAGTGATGTTTGCTAGTTTAAGTTTCACCGCCGCTAATAAATTCGCGATTGTCATTGAGATTTTTCTAATCTCAGGCCAACTCCGACGATTCGTTGCTAGAACGACACACGAAGATTGAGCCATCACCCATACGTTGAGCGGGAAGAACGACACATGCGTTTCCTTTTCCTGCATATCAATTCCTCACAGAGGACGCCATCTCAATTCGTTTATTAAAACACAATCTCATGTTTTTTTTTTTTGTGCAACACACACAATCTCGTGTTATTTCAGATGACTATCAAACTTAGAATTAGAGATTTAGGGCTTCAAAATAGGATAAGAGTGAATAAGACGTATATTTAAATCCGGTGTTCTGTGTTCATTGCCAGAGCTACTATACCTAATCTGATTCCTGCAGTATTGGGTTCAGTAATCCACACAGCTGAATCATTCTCTCTTTGATCTAGGTATAAGTTAAATATCTAAGAACCAAATTTCAAATTGAATTATAGAATTTCGAAAGAAACTGAAATTAGATCTGGAGAAATGAGCAATGGGGGAAGAAGGTAGCATCGTCAGAGGAAACGAGGAAAAAGAGATTTTTTTTGTTTTTGTTTTTAATTATTATAATAAATTAATGAATTAATGTTTTTTAATAATTATATAAAGATTTTTTAAAAAATTCTATTAATGGAGTTAACCATTCTGTTAACTTTTTCGGCATCACAAATTTAATAGTTAATTTGATGGTTTTAAGTGAAAGTTTTTTTAGTTTGATGGTTAAAAGTGAGAGTGCAAATCTCTCGAGGTTTAAAGTGTTAGTGATTTATTGTTTGAAGGTTCAAAATGTAATTTCTCCTATAAATAATGATAAAAAGAAAAAAAAAACAGATGTGTTTAATGTTTGTGTTGATTATCTTCTTCATATTTTAAAGGATATAAACTTATTCAATTTATTGTACCTAATTTTTAAATATAATTTTGAAACTTTATATGCAAGATTAATAAAATAAGGTGTTTGTTATTATCAACAACAAAATATAAATCATATACAAAATAAAAACAAAATAATTACAAATTAACAAAAAAATAGAAACATATACATATATCATACACCAATTAGGTATAAATATTAAAATATCAAATACAACATATGGTTATTGTACTAACCATTCAATCAATTCATACAATGCTGAGGAACCATCTTACCATAAGCAAAACCGTTAATATTCTTACACACCGCAGTGGAAGGACCAACTTCAGTTCCATTATGTTCTAGATTAATGTCAATTAGTTCGACATTCTCACATGGAAAGTTCTTACTACATTGTAGATTTACTGCCACTTTGTTTTTCGACGTCCCATATATATTCTTTAATTTAATGTCTTTTATTTGAACATGAGATTCTCCCTGCAAGAATAAAACACAAACTTTTTTATTTAGTTATGTGTTTTGTGTGATGAAATAAAAGAAACTAGACTATCTCTTGTGTAGAAAATAAACCTTCTTTTCACAAGGTGGGTAAGGACAATACTTCTGATCAATGTTGATTGGTTTTCCAACATTAATCATCTGAATATTCTCGAATACAAAGTTAGAAACAATGATCTTTGAAGCCGAAGATTCCCAAGTCTTGATCCGAATACCATCGCTTGTGCCATTAAAAATTGTGTCTCTTACCATTAATCCTGTAACATCCTTTTGCGTCTTTGTTCTTCCCTAAGCTTTCGACACTTATACCATGTCCGGGACCACACTTGACGTTGGAGATATCCATGTTAGTAGTTCCAGAAAGAATGGCGATACCGTCGTCTCCAATACCGATGAGTGTGTTAGAGATGTGAATGTTGCTAGAGAAACCAAACTTGATACCATCAGTGTTTGGGCTGTCGCCGGGGGCTGTTATAGTGACATCAGTAATGTTGAAATGATGAACGGAGAAGAAGTTGAAATGTCCCATTTTGCTGTTGAGTGATGTTATTCCATTGATTCTTGAATTGTTCACAAATGCAAATCCCATGGTTTACAAAAATATTCAAATTTATTACAAAATTACCATGACTTGAATATAATATATCATACAAACTTTATGTGGATAATTGCTTCCTTTAAAACTACTTCACATCAATAATTAATGTTTTGTATAATAAGAATTGAATCTAGAAGTTTACGGTGTTAACCAAAAGCATGATTGAATTATATATTTTTCATTGTATAAGGTTTTGTATTACGGTTTAATGCAAACAATAATCTTAATAAAGCAATGTGTAAAAAAATTAGGAAATGGTACCATAGCTAGTTTAGGACAATTGATGTTTTTGTGGCAATCATTGAGTGGCCATGACTGCTTCCCTTGACCATCGAGTGTACCAGTACCGGAAATATAAAGATCATTGATGTATCTAAAGTTGATCCATGTATCTTTTTTAATGTCCCTTGGGTTTGCAGGAGCCAATAAAGTTCCATCGATTACAAACTCAATTTGATTTTTGCATGGCCCTACAAACTCTACGCCACCAAAATAAAATGTTCCTTTAGGTACATATATCTTACTATTTCCACTTATCCTTCCACATGCATTTTTCCATACATTTAAGAACACCTAATATTAAACACGTTAAAAGAGATAAATTAATTATTATATAATACTTTCCAAATATAATAAAAATAAAAAACTATCTTTTTACTTTTATATTTGATATATACTTACATTTGCATTATCAGTTTTTCCATCAGATTTAGCACCATAACGTTGGACATTAAAAATCTTTGGCATGTTGGTCAGACGAGTACTTGCAACAACGAAGAACAAGAGCCACAGACACAAAGCCTTAAATACAGAAGTTATGCAAACCATCTTCTTATTTTGTTTAGGATATATGAAAATTAAAAATTGTGTGTGGGTTTATAAATACTTGTTCATAGATAGAATGAGAAGTGCTAACCCATTTTATTTGCTTATATAGAGTTAATATGTCTGAATTAACTGTTAGATTCTATATAAAAAGAACTTGAATTTTGTTACTAATTATTGGTTACAAATTAGGTTGTTTTTTTCTAATGCTTTTGATTGGTTATTTTTTGTTTGTTATCCATATTTTGGAATGTATATGATTTTATTTTGTTTTCTGTTTTAAAACATAATCTTATTTTTGGTGAAAAACCAATTAGGCTTACTAGTAAACAAACCTGTTTCGGTTAATGCTTTGTGTTGAAGTAATTACATTTAATATAATATATAAGCAATGATAAATTATATTTAAATATAAACAATAGTAAACTAAAACCACAGTGACAATTTCAATCAAAATAAAGATACTTGCTAATGTGTATGTCTTAAACACTTACGTTTTGATAAACAGTAATAAGTTTTTTTTTTCATCTCATGAAGTTTTAGTATCTTATGTACGTTAGTTAATAAAACATCTTTACTATGTCTGGATATATAGAATACTGGAATATAAAGACTTAATACACTTCTGCAAAGAGTAAGTCTATACATGTTATCTGTATATAAAACATACATAAGCATGTTAAGCTAATACTTCATTGATATGTCATTTGCTAAAAGTAACGCTCTAAACTTCATTGATATGTCATGTGCTAAAAGTAACGTAACGTAACAAATCATCATATCGCATATTGATGAATGATGATCATATATACAACCGTCCGTATCCTTCCAATTTTATCGCATACTGATGAATGATGATCATGATTCAATGATAAACGAAATTCCAGCTACGCAGTAGAACCACAAGCTTGCCACGCGCCTTGACCCATCTCTCAATCGTGTACGTCCACGTGTCTAACATCCGCAGCCTCATCATCAATCCATCACAATCTCGGTTTTTAGTATTCCTCTCCCTCGCCTCACAAAAAACCTTCTGCATCCTCCAACTTTCTCGCGAAGAAAACTTTCCACTGTTTTTCCATCTGAACAGCCAAAATGCTTCTCAAGACTGCTTCTTCTTCTTCTGCTTTCTCGCTTGTGAATTTCCATGGCGGCATCAAGGATGTTTCTCCTTTGTTATCCTCCGTTTCGTCTCCAATCGATTCCTCCTCGAATCTTCGAGTCTCTTCTGCAAAATCTGGAAACCTTTCCTTCTCTGTTCGTGCATCCAAGGGCTCAACCACCGAGGCTCTAAGCGGCGTCGTTTTCGAGCCGTTCGAGGAAGTGAAGAAGGAGCTCGATCTCGTCCCAACCAGCTCTCATCTCTCGCTCGCCCGTCAGAAATACTCAGACGAGTGCGAAGCCGCCATTAACGAGCAGATCAAGTAAGTTTTCTCTCTCACCTCCCATTCTTAAATAGGAATTGAGAGATTCGGATTTGTAATCTGGATTCTAGTAGCTTTAAGATTTGGTGATACTTGAACCTCATGTTGATTCTGCTTACGATTTGTCCTGTGGATGCTGAAATTCTTCAACGATCTTCAGTGTGGAATACAATCTTTCGTATGTGTATCACGCTATGTATGCTTACTTCGATCGGGATAACGTCGCGCTCAAAGGTTTTGCCAAGTGAGTCTCCGATTATTGAAGAGTGTTGGTTGTTACTATTTTCGGTGTTTTTTTGTTTATCCATTGTCAATTCTCTGTTTCTTGGTATCAGATTCTTTAAGGAATCGAGTGTGGAAGAAAGAGAGCACGCAGAGAAGTTAATGGAGTATCAGGTCATAAGAGAAACCATTTCCACTTTTTTTTTTCTCTGAAGTCATAAACCATATAATTTGGAGTTCAATAGGTTCTAATATGTTTTTTTGGGTTTTCCATGAATTGCAGAACAAACGTGGTGGGAGGGTTAAGTTACAGTCAATTGTACCGCCTCTCTCAGAGTTTGAACACGTTGATAAAGGAGATGCTCTGTATGGTAAGCTAAAAAGAAGTTGCTAGTACTTTGTATCTATTGATGCTTTATCCTTGTTTCTGAGTTTGTAACATGACAATCCCAAGTGAAAATCATCTTTGGTTTCCATATCTCTGCCACAGAGTCATAAAATTTGGAGAAAGTAGAAGTTGGCACCAATATTATGTTTATGAAAAGCATTTGAATGGAATGTACGAGTTCCTTTTGAGCTCTAAATAGAACACATCTGTTGTTGCAGGCATGGAGCTGGCTCTGTCACTTGAGAAACTAGTTAATGAGAAGCTCCTAAACCTCCACAGTGTAAAAACCATCTCTCTCTCTCTCCTTCAACCTATCCTTCAATCTAATTTTCACTTCTGCAAGAACTATTCTCAATCTTGTAATCATTTGTTTCAACAGGTTGCTTCCAAGAACGGAGATGTCCACTTGGCTGATTTTATTGAGAGCGAGTTTCTGAACGAGCAGGTAAAATCATTTTGGTGTTATATGTTAGTGCCAAAGACATGCTTTGGTTTCTAAGCTGTCAAAGAGAATCTTTGTAAAAAACAAATACATTTCGCAGGTGGAAGCAATAAAGAAGATCTCAGAATATGTAGCTCAGCTACGAAGACTTGGCAAAGGACACGGTACATAATAATCTCTCTCGTTTTGTTTAATCTATAATGATATATAAAGAAACAACATTTAATAAATCACTTGTAATCCACTTCGTGCTTTAATTTATTTATTGTGATGTTTGTGGTGATCTTCAGGAACATGGCATTTCAATCAGATGCTTTTGGAAGAGTAAGCTGCTTCGAGGGACCAAGGTCTTGTACTCTTGTGTGCTTGTGTTTAACTCTATGAAGCTCTCTAGTGATATATGGAACTAGTGTATGTTTAGTTCTGTAGCTTTTGCGATTTTGTGGGGTAGACTTTCTATATTCTAAGGGTCGAAGACATATATGACTTTAATTTCTGGTATGAGTTGTTCGAGCAGAAGTAGATCCTACATTTTAAAGTGTGATCCATTCCAAGTCTGAAAAAACATAAATATTATGATTCCGAAACTGGTCAGTATCAAAATTTTAGGATTACCAAATGTTGATTCGGCCCCAATTTCGGAACAAGAAAAAATAAAATAAAACGCTGATAATGACCAAACGAAAATCCGATCCAGTCAGCAATATGGGCCGTCGGATTCATGGCCCAATTGAAAACCTAGGATAGGAGGAGTTCTGCAAAAGTTGAAAAACGGTGCCGTTTAGCTTCGCATATTGCCATATTTGACGTTAGTCGCTAATTTCTTTCCTTTTTTTTGGGTAAAAATGTTACTAGTCCGCGCTAATATCTTTCGTTTTTTTATTTGAGTAAAAATGTTACTAGTCGGCTAATTTCCGTTCGTATATTATCCCTAGCCAAACAGCAAAGAGCACGAATCACCTTAATTGCTCCGTCGCTTAAAACCCTAAATCTCTTCGCCTCATAGCTTTGCGATTCAACAAATAGAGATTTCGCTTGACCTCTAGCTTTGTCGAAATCTTTCAATCATGGCGAGTCAGACACCGAATCTCGAGTGCCGGATGTACGAGGCGAAGTATCCAGAGGTGGACATGGCGGTGATGATTCAGGTGAAGAACATAGCCGATATGGGAGCCTATGTTTCACTGCTCGAGTACAACAACATCGAGGGAATGATCCTATTCTCCGAGCTCTCCCGCCGTCGGATCCGAAGTGTGAGCAGTTTGATTAAGGTGGGAAGAATCGAGCCTGTCATGGTTCTGCGTGTGGACAAGGAGAAGGGATACATTGATCTGAGCAAACGTAGGGTCAGCGAGGAGGATATTCAGACTTGTGAAGAGAGGTATAACAAGAGCAAGCTCGTCCATTCTATCATGCGCCACGTCGCCGAGACTCTGTCCATTGATTTGGAGGTAATATCTCCAAAATTAGTTAAAATCGAATTGGTGTTTTAGGATTGCCCGCTTGATTTGGTTTTGACGATTATTGTTCATCCGGGAATCTGGATTTGCTGGTTAGATACGTTTCGTAGACGATGATACACTTAAAAACTTTGAACCGTATATCTAGGAGTCGAATATGTGGCTTTTCGTTTAAGGTGTAGTGGAAGTACTCTTGGTCTGATGAGGAGTATGCTTTAAGATATTGATTACGCGAATCCTTTTGAATTTTCTTAAAAGCTTAGTAATGGAAATTTCTGGGCTGGAGCACTAATCTCATCTTGTTCTGGTAGATGCTGAGACTTTGAACCTGTTAGATTATTGGTTTTCTCATATATGATTAGAGAGTGAGTCTCTTAGTTTAGGTTCTATCATAGTTTAGTGATGTAATCTTTGATTATAAATTGATACAAGCTTTTCTATCGCAGGAGTTGTATGTGAACATTGGCTGGCCTTTGTATCGCAAACATGGTCATGCTTTTGAGGTAAGAATTTGTGAATTGAAAGCTATATTGTGTATTCTCGTAGATATTAGTATCTCCAATTCATTTTTTTTTTCTTATGCTCAGGCCTTTAAGATCCTAGTGGCTGATCCTGATTCTGTGTTGAGTTCCCTCACCCGTGAGATCAAAGAAGTTGGGCCTGATGGACAGGAGGTATTCTTTGTTCTCTGGTTTTGTTTTAATTGTTGGAAAAAAACTTTCTTTTGGTGCTAATATAACAAGTTTTGTATTTGCAGGTGACTAAGGTTGTACCTGCTGTTACGGAAGAAGTGAAAGATGCACTCGTGAAGAACATTAGGAGGAGAATGACACCACAGCCAATGAAAATCCGGGCTGATATCGAATTGAAATGTTTTCAGTTTGACGGAGTTGTTCATATCAAGGTACGTAAGTCTTTAGTGGATTATTATCTATACCTAACTTATGAATAACATACATTATAGTTTCATTTGGTTTCCTCACACATATTTTAACATTTTCAGGAGGCCATGAGAAAGGCTGAAGCCGCTGGAAACGACGACTGTCCTGTGAAGATTAAATTGGTTGCTCCACCTCTTTATGTCCTTACTACTCAGACACTTGACAAGGTTAGGCAATCTTCTATCTTGAATTATGATTTTACATGATTGACCTACATAAACCCTCGCCTCATTATTATATGTACATATTAGTACAATAGGTGAAACCATTTAGTTGTAAGGAAGGATAATGCTTAAGAAGATGCTAAGTTTGTCCCCAAAACTGATATTGCAACTTATTAGCCAATTATGTAGCTATGCAAATTTTTCTACACTTGAACCATCAATTGCTTTACTTACCTACTTAGCTAAATAATTACTTGCAAATGCTATGTGTATATCCCATTTTACCTAATCTTGTCAGTCTCCGTAACACATTGAACAGGACCAAGGGATTGAAATTCTAAACAAAGCCATAACAGCTTGCACTGAGACAATTGAGACGCACAAAGGCAAGCTCGTCGTTAAGGAAGGAGCTAGAGCTGTGAGTTTTTTTTTTTCCCTTTGTTTTCTATTGGACCGTCCCTAAGTTGCATTTCACAAGAATTAGCTTTCCTTTGTTTGAGAGTTTAATGTCTTATATCTATGCTTTGACAGGTGAGTGAACGAGATGATAAGATGCTCACAGAGCACATGGCTAAGCTACGAATGGACAATGAAGAGATTAGCGGCGATGAAGAAAGTGGAGAAGAAGAAGAGGACACAGGGATGGGCGAAGTGGATATCGACGGTGCCGGAATCATTGAGTAGGTTTTACGGTTTCCGACTAGTTTTCTCTCTATCTGATCCCTACCCCATTCTCTCAACACTTGAGTTCGTCTTTTGCTTTAAGTTTGACAAGCAGTAGAAACCTTCGAAAAGATTTTTTTGTGTGTGTGTTTTTTTTAGACATGTTTTTTTCACCCATCGACGGTGTTACATATCAATCATTACATTCATCATTTTATAAGATTGATTATTTTGCAATTAGACACTGTTGCTCCACCCACATATGACTTGCTTTGCCTTAGAAACTGTGGTAAAATTGCAAATCAGCTTTGCTGAGATGATACACTGTCTCCGTAGATATAACCGTAAAACAAATTAACTAATTTTTTCAATCGATACTTTGAGTCTTAACTTGATTCGATTTGGCGATGGGAAGTGTGGCAATCAATACACTAATATTCAATCAGACCATTATCGCTTTGAAGGTGCAGATTCATCAATTATGACTGACATCTTATATTTTGAAATGTGTATAGTTTATATCTGAAAAACTGTTTGATACAAATGACAACAAACATTTTTTTTTGTATTAGTCACTTAACACTTTGCCATCTCAACGAACCTCATTGAGAGAGTATCATCATTTACAAAAGTCAACACTAGTGAGATGGCATAGTTTTCATTTTCTGTTACTAGTAAAAAGAAAAAGAAAACAAAATTTTCGGACACAAATTCTTTTTAATCTGTCGGCGCGGTTAGTACTACTACTTTTACTGGTGACACTAATTTTAATATTATTTTTGGTCAGCAAAATCGTACAAATGTGAAAGCTCCGAGTTCTCGAGCTTCACCTTCTTCCTCCCCGAAACGCGTTCTCGTCTCTCATGATCCTTCCCCAATGGCGATTTCCGTACAGCACGTCGTCGTTTTACTCCTCTCCTCTCTCCTCGTCGCCATTACCATCTTCCTATTCACCTCCGATAACGCCAGGTTCCCATTCCCTTCTCTCACCGCCGATTACACACCAAACCCCAAATCACAAATCCCTCAAAACGTCGACGTTTCTTCCGATCAAACTCCACAGAAGATGAAGCTAAACGCTTCCGACGAGGATGAGGAGCTGAAATGGGATCTCTGCAAAGGCGCAGAATCTGTTGATTACATACCTTGCCTGGATAATTACCAAGCCATTAAGCAGCTCAAATCGAGGAGACATATGGAGCATCGTGAACGCCATTGCCCCGAACCAAGCCCGAAATGCCTCGTGCCCTTGCCGGATAACTATAAGCAGCCCGTTCCGTGGCCCAAGAGCCGGGATATGGTGAGAGACAGATCCTGTTTTTGTTTTTGGTAAGATGTTTGAAAAAAAATCTCAGCTTTTGATCAGCTTGATCTGAAGAAGATAGATCATTTTACTTTAGTCCTGCAAGTAACTCCATTTGAGTATATCTTCAGTTTAGTGTTTCTGTACAAGGAAAGGAGAGAGATCCGTCTTCAGAGTCTGATAGATTCAAAGTTTAAGGCTTTACCACCTAAAATGTAGAGAAGAAGTTGTATTAGTTCACATGAATTGGGCTACTGGAACATTTGTTTACTTGTTTCCTCTTTTGATTTGCAGATATGGTATGACAATGTTCCTCACCCCAAGCTTGTTGAATACAAGAAAGAACAAAACTGGGTTCAAAAAACAGGTGAGTTTCTAGTTTTTCCCGGAGGAGGTACTCAGTTTAAATTCGGAGTTACTCGTTACGTTGAGTTCATCGAAAAGGTCAGCACTTTTTTTTCCTTTTGTTGCTGTTTCCCCTGTTTGGTTTGAATCGAAAGCTTATATCTTTGTGTTAAACTCATCTCACGTTTTCACAGGCTTTACCGATTATCAAATGGGGGAAGAACATAAGGGTTGTGTTAGATGTTGGTTGTGGCGTCGCTAGCTTTGGCGGGTTTTTATTAGACAAAGATGTCATCACGATGTCGTTTGCACCTAAAGATGAACATGAAGCTCAGATTCAGTTTGCGTTAGAACGAGGAATACCTGCAACGCTTTCTGTAATTGGAACGCAACAGCTTACGTTCCCGAGCAATGCGTTTGATCTTATCCATTGTGCACGGTGCAGAGTCCATTGGGATGCTGATGGTATTTGCTTTGTTCTCCCCTTTTTTGTATCTTCTCTCTCTCTCTCTTAGAGCTTAAGCTTCGAGGTTTCATGATCCTTTTTGGTTTTTTTGATTTGTTAGGTGGGAAACCATTGTTGGAGCTCAATAGAGTACTCAGGCCAGGAGGTTTCTTCATATGGTCTGCAACGCCGGTCTATCGAGATAACGACAGAGACAGCAAAATATGGAACGGTGCGCAAAATATCATTATCTTGGTTTGGTTATTCAACCAACAGTGGTCTTGATCTTTGTGGTTTTAATTTAAAGATTTCTCTGCTTTTGCTTTGCAGCAATGGTTTCTCTGACTAAATCAATTTGCTGGAAGGTCGTGGCAAAGACGGTTGATTCCTCGGGAATCGGACTCGTGATCTATCAAAAGCCAACTTCAGAATCCTGCTATAGTAAACGCAGCACGCAAGATCCACCTCTTTGCGTTAAAGAGGAAGCAAATGCTTCATGGTATAAAACACTTAATACAGAATCACATTCACATAAAGTTTATGATCAACTCTTTTTGTATATGATTTCATTTCTCGATTAATTTTTTCTTAGGTATGCTCCTCTACGCCAATGCATTTCCAAAATACCGAGCGGTAATGTCCAGAGTTGGCCTGAACTATGGCCTAAACGGCTTGTGAGTGTTAAACCGCAGAGCATTTCGGTTGAAACATTCAAGAAAGATACAGAGAAATGGTCAGCGATTGTATCTGATGTCTATCTTGAACGTTTAGCTGTAAACTGGTCAAGCGTGCGGAATGTGATGGATATGAATGCCGGTTTTGGCGGGTAACTTTTACATTCTCTTTAACGTTTAACCAGATTCCGATTTATCGTAAACCGTAACTTGACACAGTTGTTGTTTTTATTCTGTGTTTTGCTTATAGATTTGCTGCTGCACTTATAAATCGACCTCTATGGGTGATGAATGTTATTCCTGTGGATAAACCTGACACTCTCTCCGTCGTTTTTGATCGAGGCTTGATCGGAGTTTACCACGATTGGTGCGAGTCCTTGAACACTTACCCTAGAACATACGATCTGCTACATTCCAGTTTTTTCCTTGGAGATCTCACACAAAGGTAAAACAACAGATCGAGTTTCGTTAGGTTTAGTTCGGTTTGAACAATTTCGGTCATATTAGCCTTCTAAGAACCGGTTCTGTTCCAAGAAACCGGTTTGATGCGGCGGTTAGTGTGGTTAAGCTAATACGCAAACCATTTGTTGTGTGTTTTTGGGGTCAATTTCAGGTGTGACATTGTACAAGTGGCAGCTGAGATTGATCGGATAGTGAGACCAAACGGATACCTTGTGGTACAAGACAACATGGAAACAATAAAGAAGCTTGAACACATACTTGGTTCGCTACATTGGTCAACCAAAATATACCAGGATCGGTTTTTGGTTGGTCGGAAGGGATTATGGCGTCCCGCTAAACCGGAGCTCTGATAGAGAGGAAAAAAAAACTAGCAAAGTTATTTCATTTTGTACACTATATATGACATACGTAACAAACATATGATATCAAAGTATTACCCATTAAACTGAAGGAACAACATTTTTAAAGGGGATTTTGTTTTGTATTTCTGAATTTGCATGTCTTCTCATATACAGTACTGTGAATTTTGGTGATCACAATTTTCCGGTATATTGCAAACTTTATGTCTGTCATGGGATATGATTTGAGGATTACAGTAATAGGAATATATGCTCATATGGTCATATATATATATATAGCATAAAAATCAAAGAATTCTAGACGATAAATATTAATGGTTATCATTTTCTCAAAAAAAAAAAAAAAACTACAACAGGGATATTTTAGTAAAGTTAATTTGGTATTATCAGAAAAGTTGATTGATTTGGTATGAGAATAAATTGAATCCATTTTGAGTAAGAAATATTTTATAATCTTATTTAGTTGGAGTTCTTATCTGTACATGTAATTTTTGGGCTTGTAATAATATAAAATTATCAATAAATAAATCTTATTCATTCCATTCTTTTGTAATTGTTTGATCTTTTTCATTTTTTTCTCTAGATTCCGGCAGCCAACTTCCGTTTTTGTTTTTTCCTTTTTGATGTTTCCGAATTGGTTTCAGCCGCGACGAAAGCATCACGGAACCTCATCGGACACGCCGAAATGGTCGAGACGTTTCTCATGTTCATCTTTCAAAGACATTCAAGATCTTCTCTTCGACGAGGATCCCTCGCCTGAACCCTATTCTCCGAGACCTCAAATCCTCCACCAGCCTCGGAGTCCAAGGATCCAATCTTGTGCCGCCTCACCTCCTAACCTCTTCTCGCCGCCGACGAAGACGCTCTACTCCGTCGTGGATATCCCGAACGCTAGTCACCGAGGCGTGGTTCTCTACTACACCAGCCTTCGAATCGTACGTAAGACATTCGAGGAATGCAGATCCGTCCGATCAATCCTCCACACACTGCGAGTCCCGATCGACGAGCGAGATTTGTCGATGGATTCGAAGTTTCACGATGAGTTACAAACGATCTTTGGGAAGAAGAGAGTGGTGTTGCCCAAGGTTTTCATCGGCGGGAGATTCATCGGAGGAGCAGACGTGATCAAGAAGTTACAGGAGAGTGACGAACTGAAGAAGCTGGTTGGAGAATTACCACCGTCGGATGAAAAATTCGGCGAGATCTGCGATTTGTGTAGAGGATGGAGATTCGTTCTGTGCGACAAGTGTAATGGTAGCCACAAGGTTTTCTCTGAGAAATCTGGTTTCACGAGCTGTACGGCTTGTAATGTGCAAGGCCTGGTTAGGTGTTCGTCTTGCTTTCCGGTGCACCGGCGACGGAACTCTGATATTTCTGGTGTGATGAAAAAGTAGTAAAAAAAAATATGTTTGGTAGTATAATTTTTTAGAAACCTTTGAAAGAAAGAAAGAAAATAAAGAGAAGGGTGAAATTTATTTTAGGAAGAGTAAACAATGTTTGACTAGCTTAATTTGTTAACAAATCCTAATGTTTTGATTAAGATTCACCCCCATGTATTTTCCCTTGAAGGAAATATAAAATAATTTTGTTTTCTTATTTTTTTACCAACAGTAGCATTACCCTTAATTCTGATTATTATAAAACATTTTGATTAGAAATGGACTCGGTAAAAATATCAAAAGTGTATATAATAATCGATTGGAAGTTTTCGGATGCATAAAGTTTTGGTTTCTATGGCCATATATTCAACTCCAATTCCCAAAACAAAAAAACTTGACCATCATTCTTTGATTTCCATTACTTCAACTATTAAACACAAAACACTGAGATCAACACACACAAATCAACACATATCTCACCATTCTCTCGAACACAACTTGTTGTTCATGGAATTTTTCAAAATTCCCAACCCTTTTTGGGGTTGTTGGATCAAAGCATTTTCTAGAAATTAAGCCCATAAGAATAACAAGTTGTTCATGTTAAGAAAAAAGTTTGAAGGGAAGCCCATTAAAGTGTTTAATATTAACGGAAAAGAAGAAGAATATGGAAATGTTGTCAAAAAAACATACACAAGAATATGAAAATAAAACCGGAGGTTTTGCATGCTGACCAGTGACCCAGACCACGAGGATCCCACATGGGTAAAGAAGATTTGGGGACGAAGAAAGCAACAGCTAAGCAAATTTCACATTGACATAGTCACAAGCTCCTCTCCTCCACATACGTAATTTGATTATAGATTATAAGATAAGATGACAATCATTCCTTCATCTTCAATCATTAACATATCACAAGTTCAAGTTTACGTGGCTTTTATTTATTTATTTTTCCAAATACCTTCGTTGAATTTTATAACCAAATAAAAGTTGTAGGAAAAAACCAAGAAAATGAAGATATAGGCACCATTTGCTACGCCACAAGTCTTTCTCGACGGTTGCTGGCTAATTTGGGTCTTTTCTATTCAACCCTTTTTAGTTTTTGCCACTAGAACTACATTATTTGTAATTGGTATACTATAATACAAAAGATTTTTCTTTTTAGTTTTAGTAGGTAAATTGTATAATTCACGTTGCCTAGTTTATAACCCAAGGCGGCTAAATTTACGTTTAATGATTAATTTTCAAACGGATTAAAACTTTAAAACTAAGCGAATACTGATGTTACTTTTTCGCAGTGGTTTTATACAATAGATTAGCATTATTCGAACATGGTATGTGAGAACAATAGTTTTGGTTGAAAATAAAATATATCATAGAAAAGCTTGATTTTCTAATAACACAATAGAAAATTGGTCTTGACAATCGGATCGGTTTAATTTTTTTTCGGATGTTTTTAGTTTTTCGGTTTTTGAAAAATAAGACTAAACAATGACTGATTTTATTCCGGTTTAACTTATTTCGGTTTGAATTCTTGTTGGTTCGGTTTTTTCAGAGTTTGATTTGGATTAGGTTGGGATTTGGTTGGTTATGGTTTAACTTATCTATACAACTTTTAGAAATGAAAAATAAAATACCTGATTTTGTGTATATATTAAATAAAAAAATAAAATTTAGTAAATTTCTTTCTACATTTAGTTTGTTCATAAAAGAAACATTTATTGAATTTTCCAATGACATTGCATCGCACCTTAAAAAATTCTAAATTCCATTGCTCTCTCGTTGACCCAAAGAAGAGTTTCCTTCGTTTAGTTTCCTTTATCGGCCAAAACACGGCGCACGCGCTTTCATTCGGAAAAAAAGTCTTATCTTCTCTTAAAAAAAATAGTCTCCTTTCGTCTTCAGCTTCTTCCGGGTTTTCTGATAACTCTGCTTCGAAATCTGTAAATCTCGGATTCAGATCGAAACTTCGATTCCACCATCTTCTGCGTCCTTCCTGCTCAGCTCTTCGACCTACTTGTTTGTTGTCTTCTCGGTTTTTTTTTTTCTCACTCTTTCGATGAAAGAGAACCGGAGATCCACTAGATCGATGTTAAAAATGCGTTCTCTCGTCGCTTTTGTGGTCATTCTTAGCTTTGGTCCGTGCTTTTCTCTTAAGGAAGAAGGTATATCAGTTTTTTCGATTCGTTTTCTCGTTTTGCATGTTTTGTTAAGTTGCAGAGAAACAAAATCCAGTTTCCTGAGAATTTTTTTTTTTTTTTTTTTTTCACATCTCCTCTCTGTTTCGATTTTCGTTTTCAGGTGTAGATTTCCAGAAAAGTGAGGATAAATTGGAAAAGGATCTATGGTCAGATGAAGATTCAGCGATTTTGTAAGTACAGTGTTGATTTTCTGAATTTTCAAATCAAGTAGCTATTTCGGATTCAGATCACTTTGATTTTACGGATTCAAGTCCTCCTCCATTCGAAGTTAGACATTTTTTTGTTTAATCTGCTGATTCAAATTTCTCAGTGGTTGGGCAATTAATTGCTAAGATTTTATAATGAACTCTTGAAATTCGATTTATATGGAAGCTGCAATCATTCAGGGTTTGGTAGATTTATACAATTTCTACAGTCAGTCCATAACTTCAGCGACTTCATCCTTATGTGGAAAGAACCTTTTTTTTAATCATAAACCAAAACACTTAGGAAGATTTTCTCATTCATAATCCTTGACTTAGTAAAACATTCCTTTGACAATTCAGTGTTATAAACTTATAGCCATTGTTTGATCTTATATAGATCATGTTGAAATGAAATTCACTTAATTTTTGTGTTTGTAGGAAAGCTGTTGTATTTCACAGGAAAACACTTGTCCGTAATAACCAACTCACGTACAACGATCTGGCTTCGATAAAAAAACACCGCCGTGCGGCTGCGGCGGTAGCCGCCACGCCACGATCATCATCACCGAGACCTTCTCCAAAAGCTGTTTCAACAGTTCCAGTTCCGGAGCCACGGAAGAAATCATCTACACAAGATGTTTCTCCTTCACCTCCTCCATCTGTGCCTCTCGCAAACTCTCCCACTCCAAGAAGATCTGGCTCTTCTTCGGTGGCTGTTCCTCTAGTGATTGGCTGCATAGGCGGTGCTGCTCTGCTTCTCCTCGTAGCGAGCGGCGTGTTCTACCTCAGAAATAAAGCAGGAGAAACCGTGAATCCTTGGCGTACAGGTCTTAGTGGACAACTTCAGAAAGTGTTTGTAACTGGTAAGTTCCTTTTCTCAATCGTTGTTACAGTATATGAAACGCTTGGAATGTTTCATATATTTACAGTGTGTGGTTTGGTTGATACTCTCAGGTGTCCCCACTCTCAAAAGATCCGAGATTGAAGCTGCATGTGAAGATTTCAGTAACGTCATTGGATCGTGCCCCATTGGGAAACTGTTCAAAGGAACACTCTCAAGTGGAGTGGAGATAGCTGTTGCTTCCATTGATACTACTTCTGCTAAAGACTGGAAGGACAATACAGAAATGCACTTCAGAAAGAAGGTACTGTGTTTTCTCCGGTTCTTTATATTCCTAATGTGTTCTTGTTTCTATGGACATATTCTTCAACTTCTTGCTTTCTGGTTTCACGATTTTCGCAGATTGATATGCTATCCAAGATGAACCACAAGAATTTCGTTAACCTTCTTGGCTACTGTGAAGAGAATGAGCCTTTCACCAGGATCTTGATCTTTGAGTATGCTCCAAACGGGTCACTCTTTGAGCATTTACACTGTGAGTACTTTGTCACAACCCACTATTTCACCCATGTTGGCTCGTTTCCTTGAGTGAGATCTGAATGGGAAGCAAATCGTTTTCTTTCTTTTGTTCTTGCAGATAAAGAATCAGAACATCTGGACTGGGGAATGCGGTTAAGAATCGCGATGGGCTTAGCATATTGCCTTGACCACATGCACCAACTCAATCCACCAATAGCTCACACCAATCTCGTCTCGTCATCTCTTCAGCTCACAGAGGATTACGCTGTCAAAGCAGCAGATTTCAGTTTCGGTCCATCCGAGACAGAGATCTCAGCGTTCAACCCTGAAGACAACGTTTACAGCTTCGGTTTACTGTTGTTCGAGATGATAACCGGAAAACTCCCGGAAGATAGCGTCTTGGTTGATTTCGTAAGAGGAGAGAGTCTAGGCAAGATGGTAGATCCAACACTGGAATCTCACGATGAGAAGATCGAGAATATAGGCGAAGTGATCAAGTCATGCGTCAGGACAGACCCGAAGGAGAGACCTACGATGCGAGAGGTCACGGGATGGTTAAGAGAGATCACGGGAGTATCACCTAGCGATGCTACACCGAAACTATCACCTCTTTGGTGGGCAGAACTGGAGGTTTTGTCCACGGCATGAGAGAGAGAGAGAGAGAGACATTCACCAACAAAAATGTAAAGTATTTTGAAGATGTGTGAAGTTTTGTGAGTGTCCTTTTGTTAGTTAATCAGGAAATACAAGCTGAAGTTGTTTGTTGCTTTATCTTCAAGTTAAGTAAATCCTATAAACATGTATAGATAGATTAGTGTATATATATCGGAAAAAAATCTTGTGAAAACTTTATTACTCTTGCTCTAGATGAATGTGTATATTTGTTCTTTTTTTAAAAAGTCTCCTGGAAGATTTTGTACCAAAATGGTAGAGAAGGAGAAATGACCAATTCAAAGAATATATAAATATGCACATGGTATATATATTTAGTGGGGAGAATGTCACAACACATCTCATGGCTCGATTTTTCGAAATACATAAACATCAAATTGTCAAATTCGTTTCTTCAGTTGCATCTAAATAATCTTGTATGCTGAGAGGATTATCTAATAAAATTCAATTTCTTGTCCATAGAAAATAAAATCCATTATAAAAAATCAATCATAGTTATTATTAAACCCAACAAACCAATTCTTCAAACATATATATCAGCTGACACACAAACACAATTACAATTCACAAACATCACTTATTTATCTCATTAACTAAATCTTCAATAAATTTTGTTGTTGGGCAGCACGCGGTTTCTCGAAATATTAAGAGCAAAATCTTTGCATTTGATGCAGAAGAGACTCAAGTTCTTTGAGTTAATAGGCAGCATGCAGGTAGAGCTAGTATAAATAATTTAGTTACGAAATTATAACAGTAATAAAAAAATTCATCTGATAACATGAGAAGTAAGAAAAGTTGAAACTTGGAACGATGAGCTTGAGCTATAACTTTAATTCATAGCAAAACTTATAAAAGATTATTATGTCACAAACAGGAAAAGGATCAGATGCTACACTTGTGGAAGTAAGCACATAAAAATGTTTTCATTTTTGTTGTTAGGGTTTATGATGCAAGAGATTGATTAAATATGTATGGTTTTTGCACCAAAACAAAAAAAGGGTTTTTGCATATTGATTCTTTCAGAAAGAATAAAACATTTTCTTGACAGATTCTATATATATTGGTCACTGTTTTTTTTCAGGTGCTTGCAGATGTTCCTCTTGAATTTTTTTGAAGATGTATCTCACATTTATATATCTTTCACTAGTAGCAGCAGGTGAGGAGAATGGTGAAAGATACATAAAGGCGAGATCGAGTCATGGTGATAAATTTGAAAAGGATGGCTACTTGAAAATCTCTATCGATGTTATGTTTGTTTATGTATCCACTTTGGATGAAGAGATTGACGCAATGGCAAAAAAAATACTTTGCTGAACAAAGCCCATTGCTCAGAAGATTAAGCTATTCAAAACTACTCACACGCAATGAAAAAGAAAAGATGCTGAGGAAACATGCAAGACGCTAATTGACTGAACTTGAATTAGTATTTGTTTACGAAATACATAAACATCAAATTGTCAAATTCGTTTCTTCAATTGCATCTAAATAATCTTGTATGCAGAGAGGATTATCTATTAAAATTCAATTTCTTATCTATAGAAAACAAAACCCATTATAAAAAGTCAATCATAGTTATTATTAAACCCAACAAACCCAACGCAGGGTTCCTCGAAATATTAAGAGCAAAATCTTTGCATTTGATGCAGAAACGCAAGTTATTTGAGTTAATAGGCAGCATACAAGTAGAGCTAGTAGATATAATTTAGTCACGAAATTATAACAGTAGAGATAAAAACAAATTCATCTGATAACATAAAAAATATTTAAAAATAAGAAAAGTTGGAACTTGAAACGATGAGCTTGAGCTATAACTTTAATCTATAGCAAAACTTTGAGTTTGAGCTAGAAAAAGATTACTATGTCACAAACACGAGAAAGATTAGATGCTACACTTGTGGAGTAAGTACAAAAAAATGTTTTCATTTTTGTTGTTAAGGTTTATGATGCAAGAGATTGATTAAATATGTATGGTTTTTGCACCAAAAAAAAACTAGGTTTTTGCTTATTGATTCTCTCAGAATGAATGAAACATTTTCTTGACAGATTCTTTATATTGGTTAGTGTTTTTCCCAGGTGCTTGCCGATGTCCCTTTTAAATTTTTTTGAAGACGTATCTCGCCTTTACGTATCTTTCACTAATAGCAGCAGATGAGGAGAATGGTGAAAGATATTTAAAGGTAAGATTGAGTCATGGTGATAAATTTGATAAATTTTGAAAAGATGGCTACTTGAAGATCTCTGTAGATGATGTTATGTTTGTTTATGTACCAATTCCGGATGAAGAGATTGACCCAATGGTAAAGAAATACTTTGCTGAACTAAGCCCACTGCTCATTAGATTTAGTTATCCAAAACTATTCACACGCAATAAGAAAGAAGAGAGGCTGAGGAAACTTGCAAAACGCTAATTGACTGAACTTGAGTTAGCTTTTGTGAAATAAAAATCAAAACTTTATGAATATCTTTTGCTAACAAAAGTCAGTATCATTTGCAAAACATTTGTAGTTTTATGATTTTATCTCATCCCATCTAAGTAATTTTCTTGAAACTAAATAGAAGTAATTTTCTTGAAACTAGATGGACATAAAAATCACATCTTAATTAGAGCATTTTTTACACATAACATTAAGAAAGTCCAATGGGAAACAAGTAGTTGCTACTTCAGCCATAGTACCTAATCTAAGCATAGCAATAAATAAAAAATATAAAAAAACCACAAATATTAGATAAGATTACTAGATATCATCAGTTTTACTTGTCGACCCAACACCTAGCTTCAAGGCACATGTGTCTTGTTCTTCCATCACTTGTTCTTCTTACTATGCCTCTGCAGCCTCGACCTCCACGAACCTTGAAAGTCATGTAGAAGATTGCATTACTCGAATTTAGCTTCATGCTCGACTCTACATTTTCCTTTGTCTGTACCATTACTTTCTTCATCTCAAATGGCATATACGCACTCTGCAAGACAGCAACCATCAATCAAGCAAAAGCTTTTGTCCTAGGCTCACATATCTATATGTAATCATCCTTACCAAGTCAGATTGCCATTCGGAGAACAATGCAGTTTCAGCATATAGACAAAGCCACTTATTGTCATGCAACTCTGGTTCCTTCACCTGCACTTTAAGCATTAGTTGAAGAAAGAAAGACAATCTTGCATATCAGTCTGAAGAAGATGAGTAACAAAAAAACTAATGACTTCACCTCATACAAGTCTAGCTTATCAACTCCATCATTCAGTGGCCAATCAGGTAAATCAGTTTTGTAGAATTCATCTACAGCGTCAGAGTCCCAAATGGTAGTTGCGTCTCCATAGCCTATATAGCATTTCTAAACGATTAGCCGTTAGACTAAGGAAACAATCTTACCATCGTTCCAACAATGACATTACCATATATACCACAACATCTTTTCACACAAGTAAAGATACCTGGTACTTGAGGCTTGATTCTGCATATGTTTGTGACTAGTATCAGCCTTGCATTCTTCTCCTTCACTGTCTCCGTGACCATGGTTTGGAAAGTGTGCAGTGAGTTGTCGTCCGGATCCATTATCTCTGATGTTGAATAGGAGTTGTACATTGAAGCGATTTCTGCGTTGACTTTGACAACTCTTTTGAATTGCAAATTCTTCCCCTACAAGGTCAAAACTATTTTTTTTATTTATTATATACCAATGACACACACACAGATGAAGAAGAGAATGTGACCTTTTCAGTATTGTAATAATGGAGTCCTGCCTTTGCGAAGAGTGTATCCTCTAGACCACATCCACTGGGAATTATCCCACCGAATGTATGAAAGAACATATCAACATCGAAACCCTAACGCAAAAATCGCTCAAAATCAGAATTTAGATACATCCATGAAATCGGAAATTCAAAAATCGACCTGACTACTTACGCAAGAGTCCCTAACTTGCTTCGCATACTTTTCCCACTCGGCAAAACTCATGTCGTCTTCGTCGAAGAGATCATCGGCATCTACGAGAGATGGTAGAGACTCGACAGGATCTTCGAGCTTCCTCGGAGGTTCGTCAAACCACAGCCTCGCTTCATCCAACATCACATCGTACCTCACTCCGATATCGCTCATCGACTTCTTCTGCTTCCAACACAATCGGAAACCTAAGAGACTTTTAACTTCTGATAAATAAACAAAAAAAGTGTTTTCTTTTCTAGTCCCGAGTTTTGTCTGTTTTCTGTAGTCACCCCCTTTTCTTTTTTCTTTTGATAAACTATCCACATATTATGAAATTAACTTCCGCTTTTTCGCGCTGATATATAAAATTAACTCCCGCTTTTTTTATTTATTCGACAAGCAACCTACATTCCACGAAATTGTCCTGTCCTGATACAAGGTCCAAACTATTATTCGTTTCTATAATTTAAAAGTTTTTCAACACGACTAGTTAAAAATGTACATACAAATGCTTTACTTGTCGACCCAACACCTAGCTTCAAGACACATGTGTCCTGTTCTTCCATCACTTGTTCTTCTTACTATGCCTCTGCAGTCTAGACCTCCACGAACCTTGAAACTCATAAAGAAGATTGCATTACTCGACTTTAGCTTCATGCTCGACTCTACATCTTCCTTTGTCTGCACCATTACTTTCTTCATCTCAAATGGCATATACGCACTCTGCAAGACAGAAACCATCAATCAAACAAGACCTTTGTTGAGAGAGAAAGAGTGTCCTATGCTCACTATATCCATATGCTAATCATCCTCACCAAGTCAGATTTCCATTTGGTGAACAACGCAGTTTCAGCATATAGACAAAGCCACTCATTGTCACGCAACTCTGTCTCTTTCACCTGCACTTTAAGCATTAGTTGAAGAAAGAAAGACAATCTTGCATATCAGTCTGAAGAAGATGAGTAACAAAAAAAACTAATGACTTCACCTCATATAAGTCTAGCTTATCAACTCCATCATTCAGTGGCCAATCAGGCAAATCAGTTTTGTAGAATTCATCTACAGCGTCAGAGTCCCAATCGACACTTGCATCTCCAATGCCTATACAATGTTTCTAAATGGTTAGACATGAATGTAATGCAACATGATGCTGCCAACATCCAACAATACCATTACCATACCACAACATCTTTTTCAAACAAAATAAATAAAGATACCTGGTACTTGAGGCTTGATTCTGCATATGACTGTGTAAAGTATCAAGCTTGTGTTCTTCTCCTTCACTGCATCCGTGACCATGGTTTGGAAAGTGTGCAGTGAGTTGTCGTCCGGATCAATCACCTCTGATGTTGAATAGGAATTGAACATCGAAGCGATTTCTGCGTTGACGTTGACAACACTCTTCAACTGCAACTTCTTCCCCTGCAAGAAGGACTCACCTTTTCAATATTGTAACAATGATGCAACACACAGAGCATATCAAAGGACTCACCTTTTCAATATTGTAACAATGATGCAACACAGAGAACATATCAAAGGACTCACTTTTTCAATATAGTAACAATGATGCAACACACAGAACATATGAAAAGACTCACCTTTTCAATATTGTAACAATGATGCAACACAGAGAACATATCAAAAGACTCACCTTTTCAATATTGTAACAATGATGCAACACACAGAACATATTAAAGGACTCACCTTTTCAATATTGTAACAATGGAGTCCTGCCTTTGCAAAGAGTGTGTTGTAGGGAGTACATCCACTGGGAACTATTCCAGTAAACGTATGATTGAAGAAATCAACATCGAACCCCTACGCAGAATTTTGATTTACAAAGCTCAGAATCACTCGATGCAGAATTTGGATGAATTCCCAAACAGCTGTGGGAAATTCAAATCGACCATGAGAGGTGTTAAGAGAATAACTTACGCAAGACTCCTGAACTTGCTTCTGGTACTTTTCTTTTTCGACCAGATCCATGTCGTCTTCGTCGGAGAAATGATCAGCATCTACGGGAGAGGGTGGAGAATGCTCAGGTGGTGGAGAATGGACAAAAACTTCAAGCTTTCGCTTACGGTAAGGAGGTTCATTATGCCACAGGCTCGCTTCATGCAACATCACATCGTACATCTTTCCGATTTCGCTCATCGTCTTCTTCGGCTCGCAAGTGAATCGGAAACCTATAAGAGACTTTAACTTCTGGTATAATGAGTTTTCTTTTCTAGACCCAAGTTTTCCTTTTCTTTCTATAGTCAACCCTTTACTTTTGGTGAAGAATAAATAGACCCTTATTCTTTTCAGCACCCAAATCAATAGGCGCCATTCTGCTTTTGTCGTTACAAGTTTTCAACTTTTTCCTGATTTTTATTTTTCTTCTTCATCAAATAAAACATTATTAGATATAAGTTTACTAGAATCAATTTCGGTTTTTGTAAACAGCTCTTTTTCTTCTTCACTTAAAATGACAATCACAAGAAGATGAAGCAAACTCTTGATCTGGAACCACTAGAGTTTTTATTCTCCCTCTTTACTATATAATCATATCTGATTTCTCCATTACCATCCACAAGTTTCTTGATTTCTTTTATGGGAATCTTGCAAAAATGACTCATAAATTCAAGTCAATTGCTAAACTAATCTCCTATTTTACCACTTTTGAAATTAACCACTTTATCTCACTTATATCTTTATCAGTTCTATTTATTTACGAAAATGCCATTAGATTATTGTTTTTATTATTATTTCAGAAATCTATTTTACCAAACAATCTTCATCTTCCTCACTTATTCACGAAAATGCCATCACCATCAATTCATTCAACCACCATTTTCAACCAATTTGAAGTTTTTATTGCTTCAAAGACCCATTTTTTAGCTTTGTAACCTCATTTCCTCTTCTCTTAACCTTCTACTCTTCCATTTTTTCACCATTTTCAGCACAAAAACTCTCTAATCTAAATTTTTGAAACTTGATGTTTCAATATATTGCCATATTTGGTGATTTGGTCTGGCAAATCGTTTGGGCTTGTTTGGTGGTGGCTGGAATCAAAGAAATCGGTGGTTGAATAAGTTAAATATCACTGGTAGGTGATTTTTCAGTTAATTTTCGTGAGTTTTCAGATCTGTGCCGCGAAAGTAGACTTCTTTGTCGGTAGTAGACTTCAAAAGAAGTCTGCTGGTCAACACACAGGTTAGTTTTGCAATTGATCGAGTGTACCAATTTCTAACAGTAGACTTCAGTTGAAGTCTGCGCCATTTCCTTTGACAACAAAAAAAAAATTGTGTAAACTTCAAAAGAAGTCTACGTAAAAAGGGGTTAGTTTTGCAATTGACCAACGTTTGACTTTTTCGTAAGAAGTCTACTCGCAAAAGTAGACTTCTTCGGAGAAGTCTACTTTGAATGTAGACTTCTTAGAGGTTAGTTTTGCAATTGACCAATGTTGACTTTTTCGAGTAGACTTTGCTTGAAGTCTACTTTTCCGAGTAGACTTCGTTTAAAGTCTACTTTCTGAGTAGACTTCAAAAAAAGTATACTCGAAAATAAATTCAATGTTTGGTCAACCCCAAAACTAACCCATGTAGACTTCGTAGGTTATAAAGAAAAATTCCCTCTTCTTTTATTCATAATTTTTGTTTTTTCTTATAGATTTGAATATATATATATATAAATATTAAAAAAATGTAATTTTCTCATATAATAAACAGTTATTTAAAAAATATATATTATATGAATAATGAAAAGTAACAAATTTTAATAACAATTATGATGAAAAGACAATCCCTATATAATTGGTATTTATTCAGATTGTTATTAATAAATTTACTCTTACTTATACATGATTAGAATACACCCTCCCTAATTATTAATTTTACATTCTCATGGAATCTTAATTAAAATTCGTTAGAAAAAAGTTTGGCAAGTTTAATCTCTAATTAATCCACATGATTTTTCCACGAAGAACATTTTCGAAATATTTAGTTCTCAATGAAATCAATGTTTTCTTATGAGTCATGTGATGTGAAACCATAAAGGCTATTTAGATAGATAGCCTAATTTGAAAGATAAATTAAGTAATTAAATAAGGGATTGTTGTGAAAAAAAATGATAAGCAAAGAGGAATGACTACTTTTGAGCCAGTTCACCCAAATATGTGGTAGCGAAGCTAAGTATACCTGATGCAAATTAGGCAGCCAAAATAATATCTTTTGAAATTCTATATTACTTTTGTACTATGATTACTGGAAAAATAGTATAAAATACAAACATGTAATATAACTAAATTAATACAAATAACTGAAAATGGAAAAGTAAATGACGAAAAGGTAAATGTTTTAAATTTGTGCAAATTTTGCTTAAAATGATTTCAAAAAAGTTTGCTCCACTCTGCCAAAACTGAATGTCCAGAAGAAACTCTGACAATTGTTATTTAAACTTTTTTTTTGCAGCCATCAGCAACCTTTTTCAAAGGCTATATAAAAGAAAAATAAGCTAAGAATGTTTGGAAAAAGAAGCCTCACAGTGTGGTAGCTGAGATGTTTAACAGCAAACATCTCATGGTAAATTTAAAAGTAAGTTGATTGAAGAAAAATGGAACTCATTAAACATATTTCTCGTCTTACAATGTGAATCCATTGTAGATGATCTTTGCAGGTCAAGACCCTGCTTACTCATTGTCAGGATAAAGATGATGATCAGCTTCCTGATTCAAAGAGCAAGGTTAATTAACAAAGTCTCTATTTGCTCATCTACGTGCATTACAGTGTGCCTAAAATGAAATGTTCATTGTTGTTTTCATATCAGTCTAAAACATTACATAGATGCGCCAGTAGGTAATGAAAAAACTGGAGAACAAACTGTCAGCGACTTGCTCATGATTTTACAAAATCAAACCCATGGCTCAAGTTTAGGAGTTCACTAAACCTTTTTTTTTTTTTGTTCTGAAAACTCAGTATTGTTTAATCATCATCATCCATGTCTCAAATTTAGGAATTCACTTCCAAGTTTTGTTATAGGTTTAAGTATTAGTTCAATTAAAGAACTCAAAACATCACATATGATTTTGTATTGTATACGATGAAGCCAATGCACACCAAACAATGTTTTTGATATTTTCGGATAAAAAGAATATGAAATGAAATGAAACTCGCCTATATATATAGTATTTTTCACGTGTTCAACGAGTTGCTGATATTTCGCTAGCATCAAAAGCTTTCGGGTGCTTGTTTGTTGTTTCCCCTTAGAGCTCATGCTCTTTGATCCTCTTGATTTACCGGAGCGACTTTTTGCTTCTTTGATGACCACTGGGAGCTCAGGGAACGAGTTTTGGCCACGGTGTCCTCTTTGATGGCACTGTGATTTCTAAGGAAGAATTTATGATCCAGCTGCATACAAGTAGAAAGATTCCAAGTAAGTGATGCAAAATTTTCTTTTGTTTGCTTCAGAGAGAAGAACCATAGTACTCGATATAATCCTCACTGGATATCAAATTGGTGATCAATGAATTTAATACTCCTAAAACTAAAAATTTTAATTTTCGCGCATCACATCACTTAGATGAAATGAATTCCTCATTTTTTTTTTTAATTATTCGACAAGCAACCTAAATTCCACGAAATTGTCATATCCCGCGCGAGTCGAGGTCCAAACTTTATTCGTTTGTATAATTATCTTTTTTCAACACGACTTTTGTACTCATGGTAATATAATAATGCCAGACCAATAAACTATATAATAATGACTACGAATAATATAATAGGCAATTGTGGCATAGATACCAAAACTATTGGGCCATACTGATTGATTAGTTAGCTGCAGTGGCTATGCATGCAACCCCATGCATATAATACGTTCAAATCCATTTCATTATTATATACTTACTATTTCCCATTAAAATATTTTCCGTTCACACATCGTTTATATATATACATTATTAAAGGTATATGTCATATGATACACTTGCTGGAATTTTCTTCGGTCTAGTATACATCGTTTCTATTCTATAATCTCAGATCTTAAGTTCAAAATCAAACCCTATACTAGTATCATGCAAAATCTTGTAGATTCCAAAAATTGAAAAAGGTAAGAGATTCCATAACATTTCCTATACACAAAACACGTCGACGACTTTGGTCAACACTTAGAATTTGATTTATTCATATACATATCTAGCGAATTAGTGTAGTGGTCAATATTCAACGGTTTATAACTTTATAAATTAAGTCCGTAATTGATACTATTACTTAGCTTTTCGTATTTCTTGGTAATTCGTATAATTGCTCATGGGTTGTCGTCTGAGGATGCAAGTAGCTAAGATTTATAGGGTAGATATGAAGAACGTCATTCTAGCATAAATAATTAATTCTCAAATTAAAAATACGAGAGTTTTTATTCTTCCCAACAATTAATAAAGACGACGAAAGATACAATTTCGGCTGGACCTGTACAATGGGCTTCCAAAAAAAAATACAAAAAGAATGAAATGTCATATACCTAATTTATTTGACCAATGACTTCTACATTATATTTGGTTACCCATACAAAAAAAATTAACACAGTACTCTTGCGGATCGTTTACACGGTTAGAGTAAATAATATATATAGAATTCAATGATCGGTGAGAACCTAACTGCACATATTGGTACACATTTTATTTTCGAATAAGCTACTTAGTTTTCAGTAATTACTAGTTTACTACCAACTAATCAAAGCCTGAATTCCAAACTAAGTGAATTGGTTGTACGTACAATTCTGCGATAGGGGAGATTTCATGTAATTTATCAGCTTAAAGCGTGACATTCGATGTCTTAACGAAAATATATTTTGTTTGGAAAGAGAGATGGTACATACATCTTGCATGTATAGGGACAGAGACGCATGTGTAGATAATTATAGATAATATGAATTAGTAAGAGTAGTGGAGATGAAGACAAACCCGTGATTGTCGTTGGTGACAGAAACAAGTAGCAATATTTTCTTCTCGTGTCTCTCAGTGAAGACAGCCCAGCCAAGCACCTTTTAACTTCTGTCTGATTCCTCTTTCTCTCTCTCTCACACACACACACACACACACACATACACATACACACACGCATATGAAGTTATGCTTTTGGGTTTCTACTTTTTCTTTTTCACAGCTTCGGCTTTGAAGTCACGAGCCCATCCCCCTAACCATCCCCTTTTATTTATTTGTTTTTGCTTTTTTAGCCAATTTAATTTATGAGTTGTAACGAGAGAAGAAGTTTCATTTTAATTAATGTGTATGCCTCATTAATATTGCCTTCTTCCTATATTGCAAAAGCTAGTTCGAATGGAACAAGAATACGTATTAAATCAAATGAAAACATTTATCATTTGTTCATTGGCAATAGATTTTGAAATAAAAAATTTGTGAACACTCGCAGCATTTACAGTTCATCTTACACCTAATTTTTTTGTTCCTTACACCTAAGTTTGAGTTACTAAAATCGGTATTACCATTGATCTCTAATTTAAGAAACAAGATTTTAATTTTTGCATGTTAATGAATTTTTTTTGCAAATTTAGAGAAATTCTATCTACTCCAATGAGCTTCGTTTCACTTCCCTATCACGAGATTTGAAAATTGAAGGAATTGAGTTACTCTTAAGTTTACTTTTAAAATATTATGTTATGACTGAAGTGGTACAGTTACTAATGTTTAATGGAAGTAAAACTACCATTTGTTTTTTTGTCGTGAGGTGTAAATCTAGATCTATCTTTCCCTAAAGATGTCTAAAACTATAGAAAAAACATTGTCAAAACTATATATTAACTAGAATTGAGAATATATGTTGCCATCATATGCATATATTTCAACATATATGTAGAGTTGGAGAGAGAAAGAGAGAGAGACACAGAGAAAAAAGGAATGATGGATACAAGCATCCAAAAAGTCATACACATAGACCTTCAAAAGTCTTCACCTTAAATTCCTAACACATATATGTGTTAGTGTGTGATCTTTGGTTGAACTTTGTCCAAAGAACTCCAAGATAGACCAAAAAGTTTGAAACCCCCCACAACAAACAACCAAAAACAGCCAAATAGCTAGAGACCAAGATGAGATCAAGCAGCCAAAGTTCCGAAAACTCCAAGACTTTTCCATCTAACAACTTCAAAGCAACCACCAAGAAAGAAGAAGACAAAAATGAAGAAGATGATGAAGAAGAAGAGGAGGATGAAGAAGAGAGATCAGGAGATCAGAGCCCATCTAGCAATAGCTATGTGGAAGAGAGTGGGAGTCACCATCATCATAATCATGATCAGATCAAGAAGAACGGTGGATCTGTGAGGCCGTACAACCGCTCCAAGACTCCGAGGCTGCGATGGACACCAGAGCTTCATCTTTGCTTTCTTCAAGCTGTGGAGAGATTGGGTGGACCAGATAGTTGAGTTTCAATTATATTTATATATCAATATTCACGATCATTGCATACACGAAGATCTACAATTTCTAGGGTTTTCTTGTTGATATTTAGTTGGGTTTTCTTTAAATGACTTTGTTGGAGCAGGAGCAACACCGAAGCTTGTTCTTCAATTGATGAACGTTAAAGGACTAAGTATTGCCCATGTCAAGAGCCATCTTCAGGTATTTTTGCAAACATACTCATACACATATATTATATTGTGATTTTCATGTGACTCATATTTCCATTTTCATCTTTTTTTCTTAGATGTACAGAAGCAAGAAGACCGATGACCCGAATCAAGGTAACTTTACGTCTTTTACGTTATGATTGAAGTTAGGGCTGATTTCTTTGGAATTTGATCATATATCTTTTAATTGAATTGGATAGAGATATTGATTCCTTTTTTTTTTCTATTTTTCTTATAACTTCAGGAGATCAAGGATTTTCGTTTGAACACGGAGCTGGTTACAATTACAACCTTAGCCAACTCCCAATGCTGCAAAGTTTTGATCAAAGGCCTTCTACTAGCTTAGGGTATTTACAAAATTGCCAGCTTACAAATTTATAACTATATTATAATTAATTGTGTATAACTTGGTATATGTTTAACAGATATGGTGGCGGTTCGTGGACCGACCATAGACGGCAGATCTACCGTAGCCCTTGGAGAGGCTTAACGGCACGAGACAATACAAGAACAAGACAAACACTGTTTAGTTCACAGCCTGGCGAGAGATTTCATGGAGTTAGAAATACTATTCTTGATGATAAGAACAAATCTATTTCGTTTGGAATCAGTTCACATCAAGTGATTCACGAGAAAAATGGAGTAGCTGAAGTTGTTCCACGAGTTCATAGAAGTTTTCTTGAAGGTATGAAAACGTTAAATAAATCATGGGGACAGAGCCTCTCCTCTAATCCAAATTCTTCGACCGCGACAAGACCACAAGATCATATTGCCACGACACTAATAAGTTCTTATCAAAGAGACAATCTGCGAGAGCCACAAGAGTCGGAGAATGTTTTGAAGAGGAAAATATTGTTCTTGTCTGATGATTGCAATAAGTTGGACCAAGATTTGGATCTAAGCTTGTCTCTTAAGGTACCTCGGATACACGAACATATTGAAGGATGCTTGTTAGAAGATGAAGGAAAAGAGCAAGATGATCATGAAGATAGCAAGGTTTTGTCACTTTCATTATCTTCGTCGAGTTTATCAAAACTCGATCGAAGTATTAGGAAAGATGATCAAAATGATGATCATAAAAAGAGAAAGATTTCGGTCTTGGCAAGTCCCCTTGATCTCACTTTGTGAATATATATAACAACCTATATATATATATATATATATACGTATATTCTAAGTGAGATCTTGAGGTACTTGTTGATGGAAGACGGACGGTTCTGTACTGTTTATCATTCGTTGCATATACTTGTGATGACCAGACCCATAACTAAGGTAATAATAGAGACTTTTTTTTTGACGTTTTTGGTCCTTTTTCCACATAATTTTGTCGAGATGTTATTATTTAAATATAAATGGTTGTGATCGAATTGTGAGCAAAAATTTGTTTTATTCTGAATAGTGACCAAGAAATAGATTAGTGAGTCTATATGGTTTTGAGAGTTACAAGACATTGCACGTTGTCTTGGTTGTGTCTTGTTGTGAGACGCTGCAAATGTAGTGTAGTTCCCGTTTTCACTCACTCTCTCACACAAGTATCCCAAGCCAATATTTTGTTCCCTTGCATTGAGATCTTGTCTGAAAATTAATTCATTAACGTTAAATAAGTGAACCTTATACATGCAATCGTATATGTTTTTGTTATATAATAAAATTAACACGCTACTTTACATGAAATTTTTATCAAAATAATTATGAACAAAGTAACAAAATAGTTTTTTTTTTATATAAAAGGGCTTTCATCTTTACAAGTTTGTTTAACTACAAAACTTGTCAATTTATCTTTCCGTTTCTAAATTCATACCGCTCTTAATATTTTTTTCTGACAATGTCACTATACCACTCGTTTAATAATATTACAACGAAAGTTCTTTACAAAACTCTTCCTCTCTCATAAGACTTTCTTTAAGAAAAAAATTGGAGAGAAAGACAAGAAGACAGATGTACTTGGCATGGAGATGTGTCTTGATCGTCTCGATAGACAAGAAATAATTTGATATTCGCATATAATCGTTTTCTTATCATCTCGGGCCTTGAATAAGATTTGGCTATATCGTATTCTATATTATGAGAATATTGACATATTTTTCAGAGAATCAAAAGGTTTTTGTTGTTTTGTGTCTACTTACATGTGTCTTTGTTGTATCATTCTTCTCAATCCTTAATAATTTGAACAATTATATATACTCCATAAATATTGTTAAGTCAAACATATTTGCAACGTGAAAGAAAAACTTTTTTTTTTCTTGATGTGTTAAAATTTGACATCGTAGAGTTTTTATTAAATTAATTTTCAGTCTTCTACTTCATTAACTGATTTTAGATTTTGCAATGGTTTCAGATATATGCTCCAAGCAGCAATTTGATAGCATAGAGAAATTAGAATACAATTTATTCGACTCACGGACTCTCTTTAAAAGCAAATGTGTAGCTTTGTTTTGATTTCTAAGGACGTGTCCAAGAGATTATTCCGGTAGCTTCATTGTCCATACCTGAATGTCATATAGACGATTATCCCCACATCTTGATTAAAAACTCTTTTGTTATATTTGTTAATTTCCATATTATCTACAAATACCCTCACGAATAACGTTAATGATCTCGGTTTATTAGTTTGGCTATGAAGAAGTAGTAACTGTTAGTTTATTTTACTAAACGGTATTAGTAAAAGAAAGGTTTAGTTTGATTATCGGTAATTAACTTTAATCAATTAAAAAAAAAAAAAATTGATGAGGACATTAGTCGTAATATTTTATCAAAATAAAGGTTAAATTATAAATTAGAGAAGAGGAAACAGATTTTGTAAGGCGAAAGTAGCGATGACAGAGTAAGCCTTTTGTGAGGGATGCACAGAATCAAAGAACAAATACTTTGAAACATCGTCACAAGTCCGAGACAATGACTCGCATAGAGGTCCTGCCTCGAGCAACCCCGTCCCGCAACATCCTTTCAACGTTTCTTCCAATCCTGCATTTATTATATAAATTAGAAATGTCACGCTACAACAATTAACAAATCATGGTGTGTAATAATAAAACTTAATAATTATAAGTTATACCGTATTTATGTGGATGTTTGATCATGTCCATTAATGGAGAGTAGATGTCAAGGTAAAGAACTTTGGAGCCTCGAAGCCTCTGACTGAGGCGGAAGTTTAGCTTCTGTAGCTTTTGATTGTAGAGCCGAGAATCAGCGTTCTGATGTTCCGTACAGATCCGATGACGGAAGATGCGAGGGAGAGTGACGGTACCAAGTGTGACTTGCACCGGAAGGCATCCGATTGGTGGTAGTCCAGCTACTGTAATCCTTCTTGCTCCTGCGTCGTGTAGTCTCTGTTAAGCATTCGTGAGATTTTTAAAAATACGTTAGAGCTTTATTTAGAGATGTTAATGTAAAAGCTGTTGTTCGAATATCTTCACTATGGGTCTAATTGCAGTTACAATATAATCTGAAGGAGCAAAAAAAGAATACAAGAATTGGGCTAAGGCCCATTTTTAATATGAAGTGTAAAAGTCGTAATATCTCTCAACTTAAAATTCCCTAAAATTCCCCAAAATTCTACTACTGAAATTTGGATGTACTTTTCCAAATTTTATACAAATCGGATGTATTAGACCATCTCCATCACTAAAATCTATTACAAGAGTATCTAATATATATTTTATTATTATAATTTATTAACACAATTAAATTTAAAATGTAAAAGTATTACAGTAATTTAAATCATGACAGCTGTATTAAATACTAAAAAATTATAGGCAAAAACTGATATTAAAGAGACGTATGTGTATGTATGTGTATGTCTCTCCTCTTTTTCTATTATATTTTTTTTTTTTTTAATTTTAAGATACTTTGTTAACAGATACCAATGGAAGTGTTCTTAGAACATCAGATAAACTTATAAAAAGTTCTAAAGTATATTTTATTAATTAACAGAAAACAGCAAAAAAAAATGATCGAAAAAGAGAGAAAACAGAAAAATAATTTTTAACTAAAAAACAAAGATAACACCAATCGGAGGGAGACAAATCTTTCGAGAGCCAATTCTATCAACTCTCTGAATAGAGTCGACTCTTTAACTTTTGTTTGCCACATCATTTATTTTTTTTTTATTATTTTTTTGTTTCAAAACCCTTACGGAGCTTTCCAATGTAGTTGCTCTTAGAAGAAAAAAAAGAGTCTAATATTTAAGAATAAAATAGAGAAAGAGATATTTAAAATAGTATAAGGATAGCAATGCAAAAAGAAGAAAACGTCATATCATGGTTTGGTTTTCTAGATTTTTTGAAATTAAATAGAAAAATAAAAAAATAGAAGTTCAAGAAGAAGGGAGGGAAATGTTGAAATGGACAAGGACAACACTAGACAACAACAATGCATATTATAATGAAAACGTTTCACTATAATAATAACAATAAAATATTTTACTGATTGTTAGATTAGCAGAATGCGCATAGCCGTATAGGTCTTACTCAAGTAATTTAATAGGTGGGATCCATTCGACTAGGACATTTTTCTTGACGTGCCTTTAAGATTTAGTTTCTAATTTAAAAATAAATAAACAGAATTAAGAAACTAAAATTTAAACGTAAGCTTCGACTAACCTGAACAAAAGCTTCGACTTTGCTGAGAAGAAAGTCATGATAATCCGAAACGGAGATTAATGTCCCAAGAGCATGATCGTAAACATTATAGATCATATCATTAGTCCCCGCACTAATCACAAACAAAGCATTCTTAATCACCCGATTAGTTTCCGAATCTCCAACGACACCCTTCATCTTACGCACCGCATCCTCAAAGTAACTCCATTGCTTGTCCATGCTCAAAGTCAATGATAACCTCGCCGTCCGATCATCTAAACCACCTCCCGCCGACGCAAAACTAACGCCGGTCAAAAGGTCAACGGGTTTGACCGAAGGGTTTAGGTAAGCTGGTAAAGTGGGTTTGAGTCTTAGAGCGGAGGCTATGAAGTCGGTGGCTAGTTTTCCATCGGAAAATCTTCCGGTGGAGAGCTTTTCCGGGAAAGATTTGCCGTAGGGAGGATGGTTGCTCCGGAAGAGAGTTGGGATGTAATTGTTGTTGCCGGAATCCACCGTGGAGTCGCCGAAGGCGTAAAGAGCCGTTATTGGTGGGGATGGTGACGCATTGATAGGGTTAGAAAGCTGGAGGAGGAGAAGAGTGAAGAATGAAAGTAGGATTGGTTTGTGATGGTTATGGTTCATGCTTTTGTTGGTGTGGGATGATGAAAAAGATAGAAACGCATTGTCCAAATTGTTAGCATTGCACAAATATATAGTATACCACAATACCACATGAGTCCAAAAAGGAAATGAAGTTGAATAATGCCCAACTGCTTTTCCTCTTAACAATGGAATATTTTCACTCTCTAATATAATGAGCTAGAGATATCTATTAACTTAACACTTCAAGTCTCATAAAGATTGTCGTATTTAATCTATTATTTTTAATCTAATAAGCTTTATAGCAATGGTTTATCTTCTAGTATAAAATTTAAATATCCATTTACACACAAAATACTATATGAGTTATTTAGTTTTCACAGATTCAAGATACACAGGGTGGTTTCTTGATGTGGAGAATGGAGATTGTTGGAGCAAAATATATACTACAACTTTTAACCATTTTGTGGTGGTTTAGTTGTTGAATATGCGTTCACCCTGCAAAGATATTCGATGGGTTTTTTTTTCCAAATGTAATTTCAATCATCAATAAACTATAGTTTGACGATTTGTATGGGTTTTGGTTCGAAATATGTATCCACTAGTTTTTATCGTCAAGAAACATATCCAAATTTAATAAAGAAAATTCTAGCTAGGGATTTCAGATAACTTCTATTTGCAGTTGGTTGACTAAAGACTAACACACAAAAAAACGATAGTTTCTATATGAATCGACTAGAATATGTTAGTTGCATTTCAAGTCATACGTGGCTTTAATTAAATGGCATATGATATGCATATATCATAAAGCCATGTGCCGAAAGCAGTACATGGATGATCACATTAATAAACAATTGAATGCGTTTACTTTGTATAAGTAACATCACTTTTAAGTTGTTATTATATAATAAAAATGGAGAAAATCAGAATGGGATTTGCCCATTTAAGTGTATAGAGAAAAGAAAAGGACTGAAGATGACTCATAAATGGCGTGCAAAGTGCTGGCATGTAGCTGACGACGATAGCCTTTAATGCGTGCAAAGTGCTCTTGCATGAAGCAAACTCGATTCCCTAATAACTCTTAACAATGGTAAGTACTAGCATCTAAACATGGGTTACAAAGTAAGTAAACAGTAGTATGTAGAAAATTGGTTGACAGAAACCAAGAGAGAGCGGATTAATAGACGATTTCGATGGGTGAAAAATGGTATAATTACATTATTCCAACATTAGTGGGAATAACATGGCGAGAGGCGACTACGTTAATCGAGACGAGCATTTATGACTTAACGCGTCATATGCTATCGTATTAGTTCAAATCTCCCAAAGAATCCGCATAGTTGTCGCGTATCCACATCGTGAATCCGATTTTCATATTTGTATTTTGTTTTTTTTTGTCTTCATGTGAAACATAATTTTA